CCTCCACCTCACATGCGCCACCCTCCTCCGCCCAATACACACACACGCCCCCACAGGATGAGGGGCTCAACGGAATCACCAAGGCCATCTCCTACGACGTCTCCCCTCCCACCACGCAGAAGACCCCCCTGGTGCACACCGGGATTGGCGAGAGGCTGTCGTAAAGTGTACGGCATGTGAGATGTGCTCGACATGAACGGCGTGCTTGACTTGTACGGCATATAAGGCGTGTCCTGACATGTATGGCGTTTTAGTGTATTAAGGATACGGCGCTTACGGCACATGTATGGACGCATGCGTGCCTGCATGTGCTGTGATGGGGGGTCAAGGTGCGGCAGGAGGAGTGCAGGCGGAGAGCAGGAGGAGGAGAAGGGGCATACCTAGGTGCGAGGAAGGAAACGACATGGGGTATCGCATCCTAAGCTACAGACGTTTACACTGCTGAAGGGCGTAGCACGTGTTAGCGAAGCTAGCGCTGGCAGTGCTTCCCAGGCGTGTGTACTTCTCAAAGCGCGGAAGGGTATGTCGTACTTGGGGTGTTGGGTTTACTCCTGTGTTGCTGCAGGGCGCGTGTGCGGCGTGTTGTTGTAAGAGTTGAGATGTGGTTTGTTGGTTGGGTTCCGTTTCGGTTGTTGTCTGGTAGTTGCATGCCGCTAGCATCATAATGCGCTGGCTGGCAGGCATCGGAAGTTGAAAGGTCTTAATTTTCCCAAGGTGTGTTGCAGGATGGCGTAAAACATTGTGGCTTTGTCGTTGCATGTGTCGTGTTAGGTAGGCGTGTTGCGAGGCGCGGTATTACTGGGCGAGGCAAGTTGGAGGAGGAGAGTGCAATGCGCATTGAATGCGAGGCCGTCGTTAGGAATGGTACAGGTGTGCCCCGCATATATGCGCATGTGCGGCGGGACGGGTGCGGAGGTATGCATGCAAGCTGTCGTCATGTGGAAGGGCGCGGGAAAGGACGTTGGGAACGCGCGTTCCAGTCGATTGTGGAATCCTGGTCGCCCTGTGTAACTCACGAGGAGCGCTTTCAAGACGCAGGGTGGCAAGGTCACATGGGTAGACACTGACAGACGCAATGGTAAGGGGAAATAGCAAGCATGCATGCATTAAGATACCGATAGATATGGGCGCAGTAGTAGCACCCGTCGAGCTAGCTTCTTCTGAGATACTTCACTACCGTAGTAGCATATGCACAATGGGCGCTAATGGCTACAGGAGAAAATGAAACGTGCCATCGTGTCTCGGGGTTACGGATGAGGTACAAACGACGCACGCCATTTTTCGCTCGACACTCCGACCAGACCAAACCTTGCTAAGGTGTGAGGTATGGGTCCCAGAAGAGCGACCCATGGGTCACGGGAGCCGCCAAATTGGGGTTACGCGCAATAGCAGCATTACATGCAGAGCTGTAAGAACAGGAAAGACGGAGGGTTGTAACGTGCGTGAAGGGCGCGGGAACCGCGGCTTCTCAGGAGCTTGTCAGCCGCCCGTGTACCCTCCTTTGGCAATGCAGGTCTTCACGTGCAGTGTTCCTGCTCAGAGCACGTTACAAGCTACCACAGAAAAAGCTTCGGCATTCAGCACATCAACTTGTTTTAAGGTTAGTTTTCGCAGCCGGTTTGGGCGATGGCCGCTTGCACGCTTTCTCGCGTGTTGTACGAACGAGCTCGTTCGATTAATTCGATGCGACGCTTCCGGCACCTTGACAACAAGGGTTAGTTTTCGCAGCCGGTTTGGGCGATGGCCGCTTGCACGCTTTCTCGCGTGTTGTACGAACGAGCTCGTTCGATTAATTCGATGCGACGCTTCCGGCACCTTGACAACAAGGATTTTTTGTACAACATCCTTACTTGTCCATATCAAGCACGATACCTATAAAAAGCAACGCGCAAACCACAAATTATAATACAATTACAGTTACACAATCCTTACTTCAGCAAACCTGTCCTTGCAAGCTTTCTTACCCTCTTCAATCATCTCCACAAACACCTGCTACTACTCTTCTTAACTTTTTCTAACTTACCTTCAAACTTACCTTTAGTCCTCAGTCATAACAGTCGCTATGGCCTCATCACCAACCGCAACCACCGCCGAAGCCGCTCTCCGACGCATCACCTCGGCCTCCCTGGGAAGCGATGATGCGGCCCTTGCGGATGCCGCCTTGTTGCAGGCACGCGCCCTAGACAGGTGGGGGTATCCGTCGTGCTGCTTCCGTAAGGGCTCCATTTGCCGCTGTACAATCATTCACTTTGTATCCTGCGTATTCTTGTTTTGTGGAATTTGCTTTATCTCACAGCCTCACATGCACGGCCCAGCAACCCCTCCTCCACCGCGTTCCTCATCCCGCCATCCTCGCCGGCCTCCCTGCGTTTCCTCCCCATCATCAGCTAACCTGCTTCCTGCCCTCTCCTCCTCCTCCTCCATCACGCCACGCCACCACCTCCCCAGGTACCATCGCTTCCGCATTGCCAGCCGTAAGGCCCCCGCCACGAGCGGCGAAGTCGCCGGCCGGACGGAGTATGGCATGTACCTGGGCAAGGGCGCAATGATGGTGCTGCATGCGGATTCGTACGGCAAGGAGGGAGCCGAGCAGGTGGGTGGTTGGAGCTTGGGCGGTTGGGTGGTGGTTGATAGTGGTGTTGTACTGCTCGTGTACGGTGCTGGTTGGGTACGGCAGGTGGGATGGTATGGAGTGTAGTTGGGCGGCGGTTATGTGTGCTGCATGCCCATGCATGCATGCAGCGCAGGGCGGTCGTGCAAAAGCCAGTACAGAAGGAAGGAATACGAGGACCCTGCTTACCTCAATGCGACCGAAACCACACCGGCTTTCCGAGCCAGCCTACCGGCCGTCGCCTCATGCACACACGCCCTCCTCATCCCCTCACCCCCTTCCCTTCCAACCAATCCCCCCTCATCCTTTCCCCTCCCTCCGCTCCAGGTCGGCCCCGCCGTGCGCCTGATAACCAGCTACGAGTTCTCGCATCCGGGCCTGACGGCGGCGCTTCGTGACGGCCGCCCGCCGCCGGACGCTGTACACATGGAGTGGTACGACAGCAAGCGCCCCGTCGCCGACATCCGTACACTGGCGTCGCGACTGCCGGGGCCGCTGCCGCCGCCGCTGGCGCGGGAGGCGCTCGGGCTGCTGACGACGGAGGGGCCGCTGTCGACGGAGGCGGCGTCTTATGCGTCGCAGGCGTTTGCGTTCTGGCTGGGCGGCCGGCCGCTGCCGGCGCCGCCTGCGGCGGCGGCGGAGACGGCGGCGGCCGACGCCGTCGCGGCCCCCACCGCCGACGCCGGCGCCAGCGCTCCCGCCGTTACGCGCACTTGGATGTCGGCGCTGCTCGCCATTTGGAGCCGCCTCACGGGCTCAACACCTCCGGCGGCAGCGGCCTCTCACATTCCTGGCGGCAACGCGTCGTCAGCGCCGCCGTCAAAGCCTGCGACAGGAGTGGCTGTCTCGGCGACTTCCAGCACGCCCAACGGCACCGCCGCCGCCCCCGCTGCTGCCGCGCCCTCCGCTGCCGCCGTCGAGGCTGCTTGGGCTGCGTTTGAGACGGAGGTTCGGGGCCGGGAGGGGCCTGCTGCTGTGTGCGGCAAGGATGAGGTGGATCAGGCCTGGATCCAAGAGCTGCTGCTGCCGGAGTGGGGCGTTGGGGCTGCTGCTGTCAAGGCTGCTTGAGGTCTCCCTGGAGAGTGCTCTTGGCCCCTGTTGTAGGGAGCAACCTGCGGAAAGAGGCGTGCAGGGCTAGGGGATGGCGTGCAGTCGGGGATATGTGTTTGCGGATGTCAAACCAGCGCTGGTACTGCCGTATATGTATATGTTAATCTGCTAGCTTAGCTCAAGCGGATGTGCTGAACATGCCGTGAGGTGCTGTACATGCTGCTACATGAATGTCGGCTTAGCCGGCGGCAATTACCAGAGCGTTGGGATGTACGTGGTTCGCTGACCTGTCTGTGCAATAGTACATATAGCTGTTGTACAACAAAGTGCAACCACGTGCACTGTGTTATACATGCCGTACAATTTGTCCGTACATACCTATACGCTTCCCGGTGAGGGATTTCAGGCCACTTGAATTAGTGGTGCTCGTGCACGTCGATGCCTGTTTTTGCCTATTTGGTAAACACAGTGCCACGTTCGAATGTGGTACTGGCCCTCGTCGTTCTGGTCGAATGCTGCTGGTATTGATTGGTGGGGATGAACGAGGGGTGTACAGTTGTGGGTGCCTTTCGGATGTTGCGTGCCTGTAGGCAGCCTAGCCAGGCCAGGCCATGTCCTTCACTACATGCATGCATGTATTGCGTCTATGCTAAAAGAATGTACTGGATGTGTGTTATGTTGCATGCATGCACATGATGCCGTGTTAGGGACAGTAGTGTTGACGATGGTGCTGATGCATGGGTGCCATGCGTCGTGTGCTGCGGGAAAGCAAATAAGGACCGGCTATTGCTCAAGTTCCCCACAGTATTGATGCCATCAAGCCTGTGTTAACATGCTGAAAACAAGTTAACGACATCATCATTGTAACCTCTTCCTGACTGACAACGATTGAAACGATGCATGCATGCAATCACAAGGCCGGAGAGCACTCGCAGCTCTACCTCCAAATCGATGCCCCTCCCTGCCTCACAACAGCAACAATAAACGCCAAGACCATCTGGCTTCAACAGCAATAGACAGAAACGTGCTACTATCCTTGACATAAAACACAACAATCCAACCACGGGTGATCAGGGAAAGGGCGTCGTCGTGGCCTGTGTGCGTGTTTCTGCTAGGGCCCTTCAAGTTCTTAGTATGTATAACCCGCCTAGCCCAGCTGCCCTCAGGGCCACTGCGCGAGGTGTTTTTTATAATTACTAACATAGCAAAGGAATACCTCGCGCCCATGTCCCACTAGGCGTGGTTAAGGTCACAGGCTCTACTCGCTCACGCACCGTAACACAGCCCGTACGATGGTCCATACAGGTTACCCAGATTCCTACGGGAATGCCTAAGATCCCTTGGCGTTAGCGAGCGCTATTTATGAGGGGTACAGCGAATTACAGCACAACCCAACTTGCCACATTTGCGTTAGCGTAGTCTGTCGCAGTCATGCATTCAACGACACCTGGTCCCATATGTTTGGCAGCGCACGTGCTTCTGGATAGCATCTCTGTCTTTATCCTATAACATTCATACTTGCCTGGTTACTCTGAATGCAAGTAATCTAGTTATTCACCATGGAGTGGGCCGAGTATACTTGGATTGTCGTCGTCAGCGTACTTGCAGCTTTTTTTACGGTGCGTCAACGAGGGCTTCGAGCTTAGCAGTTCGAAACTTGCGGTGGCAACAACCTTGGTTGTTCGTTTTGCCATACTTGCAGGCATACGGCATTGGTGAGCTGAAGGAAGCGTCGCTCTGTTTGTGAAGCGATTTTGACGGATTTGTATGATGGCTGCATGCGGTAGCCTAAAGCCAGACCGCCTAAATCGCTTACCGGTATTGGACTGTCATCTGCGACCGCCTTTGACCTCGTGGCCGCAATCCAACTCCCCACGAACCAACTTAACCGAACTGCACGCATTTTTGCAGTAACACATTGGGCAGCTCCCAGTCCACTAGCCTGCGCATGCGCAGCAATGCCTTTCCCAACCATCAACCGTCCCTTACCCATCCCCAAGTCCTCTAACACATACAACCCCGCCTGCTTAACATCCCAGGTGCTAACGATGTCGCAAACGCTTTCGGCAGCAGCGTGGCTGCGCGCACCCTCACCATGCGCCAGGCGCTGCTCATCGCCGCCGTGTGCGAGTTCAGCGGCGCAGTGCTGCTGGTAAGTCCGCAGGGCCCCAGAGGGGCCAGAGTGGGTCCCGGAGGCAGTTTGCAGCCTCCTCCTCCTCCTCCTCCTCCAACCTACAGAGCCGCTCCCAACACATGCCCTTACGCAAGGCCTGCTCTTCTTCACCCCCCCCCCCCCCCAACACACACACAGTTCGTCAGTTTTCCTTATTTTTACCCACACATACACTGCCTTCCCTCTCCCCCAGGGCAGTGAGGTCACCCGCACCGTCGCCAGCGGCATCGCGCGGCTAGTCGTGTTCGAGCGCGAGCCCGAGATCTACATGTACGGCATGCTGTGCTCGCTGGCGGCCTCGGGCGCCTGGCTGCTGCTGGCCACCTACCTCAGCCTACCCGTGTCCACCACGCATGCGACTGGTGAGTTGGGGCGTCAAAGTAAGGGCATTGACGAGGCAACTGGTAAGTTTGGGGGGGGCCATGTGTGGGAACATTGGAAGGGCATGCGACCAGTGAGTGGCACGTGTACGAGAACCATACTAGGGTTGCACGCGACCGGTGTGAGGGAACCGGGGAATAGGTTTGCATGGAGTTACGGGAGATGCGTCCTGTAAGACCAAGTGCCTCCGCCAATCCCCCATACGCTCTCCGCTTCCAGCACTCTCCTCTCTGCATTGGCAACCAAAGCCTTCTTCTCCTTCTTCTTTCCCCCTCCCTCGCCCCCTCCCTGCAGTGGGTGGTGTGCTGGGTTTCGCCTTCGTGTACGGCGGACGTCATGCGGTGGTGTGGCTGGAGCCGCAGGAGGGCTTCCCCTACATGGGCGGCCTGGTGCCCATCGTGCTGGCGTGAGTGGCTGGGAGGGGCGGCTGTTGCGGTTGCTGCTGCTGCTGCTGCTGGGATATTCGCAACCGCACCTCTCTAAGTCCTCCACACCGCATCCTACAGAGTCTCTTCTTCAGTTGATGCGCTGCGGCGCCGCTGCCTATGCGGCATGTGCCTGCCTAGTTGGTTTGCCCTTACGCAAAGACCCAACACCCCCCACTGCACACCAACACCCGACCTCCCCCCCCCTGCACAGTTGGTTCACCAGTCCGCTGCTGTCGGGTGTGGCCTCCACCTCGCTCTTCCTGCTGGTGCGCACCGCCATACTGCGGCGGGAGAACAGCCTGCAGCTGGCTCTGTGGGTGAGTGGCTGGCTGGCTGGGTGTGTTAAGAAAACTGGCCGCGAGTAGTGGGTGTGTGTGGGGGGGGGGGGGGGAGGATATCCAATGTGTTATGTGACGGTGGTAAACTACAGGTGACAAGCCCTGGGGGGTAGGGGTGCAAATGGGGAACTGACGAGCGGTATGACGATCATCATGGGTTGCGGGGGAGAGGGAGAGAGGCAGCGACAGCGGGAGAACAGCGGGGGTGATGTGGGTTAGATGTGCATGGCGCGGCTGCGCTTTGGCTTGCGCTGTTGCAAATGCGCAGCCATGTAACTGCCCTGCCCCTGCCCCCTCCCCCCATGTCACTTATTTCATTTTCCCCCCATGTCGCCCCATCGCCGTGCGCTCTCAGTCGCTGCCGCTGCTGGTGCTGGTCACCGTCTTCATTAACCTCTTCTTCGTGCTCTACAAGGTACAGCTGCAGCACTGCTCCTCAGCTGCCGTCTGCCTGCCAAATAACTGCCATGCATACTTGCCTGCCTCCCTTGCATGCGCCCGGATGCGGACCGGATATATATATCATGTCCCCCCGCTTCAATTCTTGAGCCCCTGGCCACTGTCCGCTGCCCTTTATCCCCTTGCCCTCGCACACTCGCACAACATTTGCAATCACAGTGCCAGTACATTCTTAGTTGGGGCCAGTTTTCCTAAAACACACCAGTACCATCACCACCCCACCTCGCCGCCTTGCCGGGGCGGGATGTGCCGGGCACCATCCCGCCCCCCTCACCACCTCACCTCACCCCCACATCCCGCCCGGCACAGGGCTCCGAGGCGCGGCTCACCTGGGACGCCAACCGCTGCGCCTGGGTGAGTGCGGCGGCGGCGGGCGGCTGCTCGCTGCTGACGGCGCTCATCGGACTGCCATTCGTACGGCGCCGGGTGTACGAAGCAGCGCTGCTGAGGTGCGGAAACTGGGTGGGAGGCGGGGGGAGCAGGGGAGGTGTTGCCAAGGAGGGTACGGAATGTGCTACGGAAAGGTACACATACAAGAACAACTTAGGGGGTGGGTGGGTGGGATGGTGCAGGCTGTAGGGTGCTTTATAGTCACGGGTCTGACGCACGTGTGTGGGTGGGGGAGTACGCATGAAGAAAGCCCTCACCTTCGATTGTGTTCTTACAGCCCTGTTGTACGGCCATAAAAGAGGTTGCTGAACCAACGACAGACCAACTGCAGCACCTCCGGCATCCCCTGGGCACTCCTTCAACCCCCTCTCCCCGCCTGCGCCCTTCCAACCGCCGCCCACCCTCCCGCCCGAACCCAAACGCAGGCGCAAACGCCACCTCGCGCAGATGGCTCGAGCCAGCAGCCCGCAGCAGCGGGACAAAGACGGGGACCCTGAAAAGGACCGGGAGGTGACCAACCAGGAGAGCGGCAAGTCACCCGCGCGCGGCTCCCACTCCCACTCCCTCCACCCCCACCCCCACCACTCCCTCAACCCCCAACACTCCCACTCCCATTCCCACCACCACCACCACCACCACCCGCAGCACCTGGCTCGCACCACCGGTGGCGCCTCACCAGCCGTCAGCCCCAGTGACAGCCTCACGAGGGACGCACAACTGCAGCAGCAACAACTGCAGCAGTCAGGAGGGCTGGCAGCGGGTAATGGTGGTGTTATGGCGGGTGGTGGTGGTGGTGGCAGGGCGGCACCGGGGCTGATGATGGTCAGCCCGTTCGCGCGCGGCAGTGCCACCGCTGGCAGCATGACGACCATGGTGCCGGTGGCGATGGGTGTTGGGAACGCAGCAGGGGCAGGGGTGGCGGGAGCTACTGCAGCGGGAGGTGAGGAGCAGCTGGGAACACAGCAGCAGCAGCAGCAGGAATCAGGGCAGCAGCAGCAGCAGCTGCTGCAGCAGGTAGAGACGGGGAATGGGATGGCGTCGTCAACAGTGCCGTCGGGCAGTCATGTGGATGCGGGATCACAGCAGCTGCAGCTGCAGCAGTGGTCTGCAGGTCAGCAGGTACCAGGACATGAGGCTGGCTACCAACAACAGGGGCAGTACGCAGCGGCTGGGCAATACTGGCAGCAGCAGCAGCAAGCGCAGCAGCAGTACTACCTACCGCAACAGCCGTACGACCAGCAACAGCAATATGCGTGGCAGGTACAAGGTCAGGGCTGGCAACAGCAACAGCAACAACAGGGTTGGCAGCACTACTATTCCATGCAACAGCAGCAGCCACAAGGTCAACAGCAGCAGCAACAGCAAGCAATTGGCGGTGTGCAGTTCCAGTACCAGCCACAGTTTTACAACAACAACAACTTCAACAACAGTAACAACCAATATTGGGATGCTCAGCAGCAGCAGCAACAACCGTATGACCCGGCTTGGTCGCAGCAGCAGCAATGGCAGCTACAACAGCAGCAGCAGCAGCAGCTACAAGGAGGAGTACCCGCTGCGGCCGCAGCCACAGCAACCGACGAGCAGCAGCAGCCAGTCGGCGCCCCCTCAACCCACACCGGTCCCGGTCCGATAGCGGAGGCCGTGGAAGAGCCCGAGGATCTCGCCCACCTCGCCCATCTCGCACGCATGCCGCAAGGTCCCGGCCCCGTTGCTGAGGCGGTGTCGGGCGGCAGCGCGGGTGGAGGACTGGGGACCGGCAGCTGGCCCCTGACTGGGGTTGCTACGGGGGCGCATAGCTCGGCGCATGAGTCGGGATACGGCGTGGGGGGCGGTGGTGGTGGGGTGATGGTGAACTCTGGTGGTGGTGGCGGCGGCGGTGGTGGGGATGGGGATGGTGGGAGCGATGGGGATGATGACGGCGGGCAGCAGCAGGAGGGCTCTTCTGAGGAGGGGGGCTCGGGTGGTAGTGCGGACATGCACTGGCAGAAGACCTTCGACCAGCTCAAGGTACGGTAGGAGCACGGCAGGGGTTGCTGGGTAGCCGGGTGGTCGGTTGGGGTGCCGTACTGCTATGCGTCCCAAGAGTCAGCAGCACACCGCTCACGCACACGTACCTAGCAAAGACGGGTGCAGCCGTAATGCTCCATGGCAACCGGCGCATGCCTCAACCGCGTCGCTCGCCGGCAAAGCGCAGTCCAGCACCCTCCTGCGGCTCCCCGCCATCATCTGCTCTACCGCACTAGTCGGGCTTCACTAGGCCGCCGTGCTGCTTCCCTCCTCAACCTATCTCACGGTACCTCGATCTCTCCACCCACCCGCTCATATCCTCCCTTTGTCTTGTAGAACCTTGCCGCCTCGTTCTCCCATTGTTTTGCCCAATCATGGTTTCCCATGGTTTAGCCGATTTCTGCACCACCCCCTCGCCCACATCCTCCCCCCCCTGTTCCCCCCTCCCGCATGCAGGCCGTAGTGCTGCACGGCACCAACGTGGACATCCACTCCTGCCTGGAGGAGGGCGGGGACGAGGTGGCTGCCGCCATACACGCGCAGGCAGAGGTGTTCGACCCCTCCACGGAGCACGCGTTCAAGTACCTGCAGGTGGGGTGGGGGGTGGCGCGGTTTGACAAGAGCGGGTTCGGTGGCGGTGGTACGAATGATGACGGAGGAGGAGGTGGTGGTGGTGGTGTGGGGGAGCGGGTGTTGTTGACGCTTGCACACGTGGGTGCCTTTCGCAACCGTCAGCACTCTCCAACACATGTTCGAACCCCGTTTCCCGCCGTACGTAACCCCTAAACCCCCCCCGCAGGTGGTGACGGCCATCTGCGACTCCTTCAGCCATGGCGCCAATGACGTGGCCAACTCGGTGGGGCCGCTGGCGGCGGTGTGGGCCGTATACCGACACATGCGGGTGTGGGGGGCGCTTGGGGGGGTTGGGGTGGGGGCGGGGGTCAAAGTGGATTGCGGTGGGGGTGGGGGTGGGGGTGCAGGCGCTGTGTGTTAGGGCGACCGTGGTGTTGGATGCTACAGGGGGTACCAGGGTGTCGGAGCGTTGACGACAAGTGTTGCATGTTTCAACAACTACTGCTGCTGTTGTGTTCGCCTGGGCTCCCGATGCAGGTGGATTACGATTCTACGCTGCCGGTCTGGATCTTGATCCTGGGCGGTGCTGGCATTGTGGTTGGTCTCGCCACGTACGGTAAGTGTGATGTTACCCAGCTACCCCTCTGTTCTCTTGTTGCTTATGGTGTTCCTGGTTGCATGTGTGCTGCCCCTCATTGCAATGCCTACATGGTACATGGGGCGATGCCCCCTGGCTCGCTAGCTGCGTGCACCCCCCACCCTTCCACACATTGCATGGAGGCGATGCAACCTAGCTGCAAGCACCTCTCTTCCCTGCTAATTGCACCCCTCTTCTCGCTGCATGCATCCCCCCTTCCTCCTTCCTTCCCTTCCTCCATCTTTGCACTTCTTTACTTATTTGTACCCCCTTCCACGCCACCCCCCCCCACCTTCCCCCGCTCTCGGGATATGGGATTGGGACTTTAGTTGTTTGCATTTCTTATATAATTTTTCCCCCCGCCCCTCCAGGCTACAACATCATCCGCGCCATCGGGGTGCGCCTATCCGTCATCACACCCGCCCGCGGCTTCTGCATCGAGCTCTCCACCGCGCTGGTGGTGGTGCTGGCCTCCAAGTACGGACTGCCCATCTCCACAACACACTGTCAGGTGCATGCCGGGTGTACCGATGCCAGGGCTAGAGCCATAGCCACAGGGCTAGCCGTCGCTCAGCGCAAACGGAATGTCCGTATTGCACTTCACGTGCAACGTACACATCCCAGGTCCATGTGCGGGTACTCCGCACTCCCTGCTCCTGCTGCTACTGCCCATCTACCCATCCTCAGTTTCTTCCTTTCTTTACCATAGCCTCCTCACCCTCCCTCACCCCCAGGTTGGCGCCACCGCCGGCATGGGCCTCATCGAGGGCTCCTCCGGCGTCAACTGGCGCCTCTCGCTGCAGTTCCTGGCGGGCTGGGTGGTCACCATGCTCATCACGGGGCTGCTGTCGGCGGGGATGTTCGCGGCGGGGGCGTACGCGCCCAGCGTGCAGCAGGGCAGGCAGCTGAGGAGCTACCAGGATGCACTGGCAGATGTGACGAGCAGGTGGGATGGGATGGGGGGCTAGGGGGCTAGGACTGGTGCATGCTGGGGTTCGTATGGGATGGGGTGTGATTTACGGCGTTATGGGGTTCAGGGACTCATTGAAGCTCCGACATGCTAGGGGGTTAGCACGGCTTGGCCATCGTGGTTCCCCGCTCTGCACGCACTCTGGTTACCTTGGCCAACCTACCTAGCTGACTCACGGTAGCGCTATCCTCGGATATACCGGTGCACCCGCCTTGCCGTACGTGCCAAACACGCAGGTTGGATTTGCTGCTCAACCGAACCAACACCGCCGCCCTCAGCGATCCCACCGCCTGGGGAACCTACAGCCCCGACCTAGCAGCAGCCCTGGCTGCGGATTTCAGTGCGCTGCAGCTGCAAGCGACCCGTGGGTCATCCACAGCCACGCGACCCGTGCAGCATGTGACCGCTAACGAGATGACGCAGCTGCTGGGCCGGGCGTTGGATACCTATCTGAACAACAGCTTCCCGTACATTGGGGGTGTGCAGGCTCGTGACCAAGCGTAATTAGGCGTAATAGCTAGCTACGGTGGCCTAGCTTGGGAGCCCTTGGGGGAGATGGAGTGAAAAGGGGTTGACGGCGAGCAACTGGAACACAACTGTGATAGGGACTGCGTGTTCGAGCTCCAGATTGTTACTGTGGCACTGTTGGAGTATAATGTGTTTTAATGTCGTACCTACATACGTACTGTACTATAGACTTGGAAGCTTGGTCTTACGGATGTTTGTAGGTGAAGCCGTTCGAATTGCCTTTCTTAGATTGTTGTGAGCACAAGCAGCACACGGTTAGTTGATGAGAGAGGGGGGAACCGGAAAGCGCCGAAAGGTGGCTTAGGAACGTCGTGTATCGTCTGGGCTAGCGTGCGTGTTCGTAATTTCTTTTGCGTTACCGGGCAACACAGTTTGCGTTGCGGCAAGGGGATAGGTCCTGTTCCAATGTGGATGGCATGGTATCACCACGTTTCAGCGCGCGGTTTCATGTATAGGTGTGACTTCGGTTGCTGTAAACCCACACGCATAAATCAGCGTGTCAACAGGGCCGACGTTATTTTTACCGAAGCCAGCCTATACGGGACTCGCACTACTTCAATTGCTTAACGATAGCCATGTACTGGGTAATCTGGTTATACCTGGCGCACATGTAGGTTCAAAAGGGCCTTGGAAGGCCATGTACCATTCTGCAACGACCGGCTGTACAATGCTCAATGTCCAGCATTGTTGGCCTCCATCCCGCTCGTGATCTGCATTATTGCTTGCCTGCTTCCACACCGGCATAATCATATATGTCTACTGCGAATTCTCGCGCAGCGCTGAGCTCCATTAATACGTTTCGTCGCGAGTCGCAAACAGCTATACGATAGTTGAAATGGACCAACAGAAGGACGCGCTAGCAACAGACGGGTCGCTTCTACTCGCACTACCAGATCATTTGCTGTGTTGCATCTTAACATATGCTGGGACAGGAGCAGCAGGCGCTTATGCTTCTTGTGCAACCCTTCGCGAAGCTTGGCTCGCCGCGATCACCCAGCCTGAAGGCGCCAGTCGCTACCTTCAAGCGCGATACGGCCCCGATAACGCAGCCCTGCACGTCTACACCTGCCCCGGCTTCCTGAAATGCGTGCTGGCCAGCCTTCCGGCAGCGGACCATGACAGCAGGGTGCTTCAGCTGCTGCAACTGCTACTGGCTCCCTCACGTTCCCAAGGCAGCAACAGGCCGGCTCCTCCTCATCCGCAATCCAGACTAGTAGCCCCCGTCCTCAGCCACGCAGCCGCTGCAGGCCACCTGCGTGTGGTTCGCTGGCTGGTAGGGCACCCGGGGGTTCTCGTAACCGCCGCGGCCCTGAGCTCGGCAGCAGCATGGGGCCAGGTGCAGGTGCTGCGGGAGCTGGCGGCGGCAGCCGGTGCGCAGGGTGCAGGTGGTTGTGGCCTGGGTGAGGGTGGTGGCAGCAGGGGTGTTGTTGCCGTCCTGGCTACGGCGGCACTCGGCCATGCTGCCAAGTACGGGGAGGTTGAGGCGATGCGGGTGCTGCTGGAGGCTGGGGCCGACCCACGGGCCCACGGGAGCTACGCGCTGCAAGAGGCGGCAACCTGGTGAGTTTGGGATTGGGTATGGGCTAGAACCCCGATGGGAATCCCGCCGGTTCCTGCTCCTGACCGGCTGGGGTTTTCCAGTTCGTCGAAAGTCCCTCACACCTGACCTGTGCCCATGCTGCCGCATTTGAGACCGTCTACTTGACATTTCATTTCAGCTTTCCCATCCCAGCTTCTGTCCGTTTCAAACTGCCCTCAGGGGTCAGAAGGAAGCGGTCTCCATGCTCCTAGCCGCCGGCGCAGACCCCACAGCTTACCACTCATGGGCCCTATGCACCGCCGCCAAACACGGCCACACGGGGATTGCACGGCAGCTGTTAGCAGCGGGTGCAGATCCACGTGCCGTTGGGGAGCTGCCGCTGCTGCTCGCATGCAAGTACGGCCAGCCCCATGCCGCACAGCTGTTGCTGTCAGCCGGAGCGGATGCCTTGTTCGTCCTGCGGCGGGCTGTTTTGCTGAATGCAGGGCTTATGGCGGCTACCATTGCAGCCGCGGGAGGCGACGTGACGGCACAAGGCGGGCATTTCCTGGTAATGGCAGCAGAGCTAGGAAACGTGGACGTCGCGGAAACGCTCATGCGCAACGGGAGGTTCAACTACGCTGCCAAGTTTTTTGCGATCTTCAGCGCGACGGCACAACAGCAGGGGTTCGTAGGGCGATTGAAGGCGGGGCTTCGGTTGGCATGGGCGGCCTTGGTGGGGCCTTGGAGGCAACGGCCTTCGGTGTTTCCATTGGGGCGCTTCCTCGCCTGGTGCACGCATGTGGCTCGCTGGCCGGTGGTTGCAGCGCTGTTCGTGGGGATGAAGAGGGACTGGCCGTACAATTGGCTGCTGCGGGGGAGTGCAGAGCTGCAGCACGCGGCGAGGCGGGCTGGCAAGTCGCTGGCGCTGGCGTGGACGGGCTGGGTGATGATGTGTGCAGTGCGGCTGGTGGCAGTCGAGCAGCACGGGGGTTGACTGGTTAGGTGTGATGTTAGCGCGCCTGGATGCCGTGATTGTACGTGGTGCCGTAAGATACCGTACTGTCAGTCCCGTATAAGCGTTGACTGTTGTTGGGAAGAGCGGAGGACAAGAGAAGTCACAAAGCAGCTGGACGTTTTAGAGGCAAAGACGTGGTGTCCCTGCCGGTATATCATTGCGGCGTGTATTTCCACCGACAATCCTCTGTCCGCTTTAACATACCCATTAACACGGCACGGTCCCTGGGAAACACCCAACACGCCAAACTCTCTATGAAACACACCTCAGCACACAGGAGCCTCATGCATAATCGCGCGTGGGCTAAAGGGGAGCAGCAGCGATCAGCCAGCCTTTTACGTGTGCGGCAGCAAATCATACCGGTAGTCACATGCATCCGAATAATCCGGCCTGCGTCATGCTGATACACATAGGAAGAAGGTCTGGGGCTATCGTACAGATATATGGAAAGGGAAGAATAAGATCGGCATAAATGGCATGCCGCCTATCAAAACACACATAGCAAGATTAGTAACTGTCTTTAGTAGTAATGGCGCGCATGCCATTTGGCTGCAACCCAAAGCCACATACTGCGGACAAAGACTGGTGATGAATGAACTAGTGGACACCCCTGCCTGTCCGCACGCCAAGAGCACAAAGTACGCGAACAAAGCCATGACGATACGATGCAATACTCATGTTTCCAAACACAACATGAGTCGTCCTGCGGCTCGTACGTCCCGGACCCATGCACGCCACATCCAGCCGACCCAAGATACCATGCATTGCCACTCACGGGCAACCCGCCTACCAGCGCGGCTCAGGCCCCTGAGCGTGTCCGTAGCTGCGTCACCGCCGTGTCCTAATACGACTATACGAGAGTGAGGAAGGCCCTAACGTGCAATGTGCTTAACCCCGGCCTTACTTCCCCACCTCAATAACCAGTGATGTGTGCGGACTCTCGTCACCCGAGTATAATACACATGCGTGTCCTGCTGCGATATTAGATGCAATCCTCTGCCCAGCTGCCGGCAGCACAATGAACGGTAAACTAATAACTATACGACAAGGACAAAAGAAAGCTGAAGGTCAGGCGCAGCGATGCAGCCATATGCGGCATGACACGATTCGAGGCCACCTGCTGTTGGGCAATTCGCCATGCGGCTGCCTGGTCATCTGGGCATGCGAGTAAACCGCAGCGGCATATTTGGATCCTCCTGCAGGAAGCTGAGGATGTTCCGCACCAGCGTGCTGTTCCTCTGCATGGCAGCAAAGACGACAGCAAAAGAAGGGGGCTTTATTCCCCGCCTGAGGGGCGAGCGGCTATCGCAGGGTCCCACCAATGCGTGTGGCGTGTGAAGACCGTTCGCACGCAGCATACGCTGGGGCGAAACACATGTGGTCATCAATTGGGACGGCTCACCTGTGGGTCAAACATGTCTTCAGTGTGGACACGAAACACGACTTCCGGGTAGCGTTCCACAAAGGCGTCGTACACCTCATGGGTCTTCTCTAGGTCCTTTTCAGTTTTCTGCCTTAGGCTCTCAGCTAGACCCTCGAAGATGCCTGGGTTAGCGTAGTAGGTATGCAAAGACCTGGTCAGCAGCAGGACCTGCGCACGTACAGCATAACAGCGTTGAAGCAGTGACATGGGGGAGGCTAGCTGTCGTACCGTTAGCATGTCACGCAACGTACCTTGACGTGGATGCAGAGTCTCCGCAAGAAGGCCAGGAATTGGGAGAAGTGCTCTTCGCATTTGTTGGAGTCGAGGCTTATTCCACATACGTACCTGCCATCCTTGACACAGCGTCAGTAAGGGTTCCGCAGGACACGCACTCAAAGCTACGCTTCTTACCTGATTTCCTTGAAACCAGAAACAACCCCTGCGTGCAAATGGTACCGGTTGGTTTCATGTGCGTGAAAGAAAGGCAGAAAGGCGAAGTGCACCTGGCTGGCCGCTCTTACCGTCACCGTAACGTCCGTACAAGACGTTGTAGTACAGCCGTGTGGCAATGATAACCCGGTCGATCTGGAACTCAGTAAAGAATGGTAGATTCCGGCTTGATGCCTGGCCCTCATACAGGCTTTTAACTGTCTGAAATGATGCATGTCGGTGCTCAGCCCAGTTGATGTAGGATTGGCCTGGTGCCCTGGGCAATGTGCTTAGCCTCCTGCAAAGCGTTAAACAGGGAACATCTGAGAAAGTTCCCCGCATCTTGGCGTCGACCGCTTCCAAGTATTCGACCCACTGGTATGCATGAAAGAGGTTTAGGTGAGCAGCCCAGTTCTCGCCGCGGATGAGGTAGTTAGGAATCTGATTCAGAGCGTCCATGAGAGCGTTCGATCCCGAGTGCGCCGTTGCAAGTACGAAGACGCATTTGTTTGCTGCAAGGCGGGTCCCGGACGGCCTAGACAATGCTCTGTGCGCTGTTCGTCCGGTTGCCACAGGTCGAATGCCAGATCCAAAAGCTGTAATACTGAGGCTTAATATCAAAATAGCTGCTAAGAAACGCATAATAGCGGCGTTATTTATGTAACTCCAGCGAACAACTTGCATTTAATAGCTGTCAATAACGAGCAAGCAGTGTAAACCTCTGTCCTACAGTTGTAAGAGGGACCTAACAGTAACAAGGTAGGTCATGTTAAGGAAGACGATTCCTTTCCTGCACTCCTGCGTCGGATCCGTTTGCTGTACAAAACGTTTGGATCCTTCTCGGTATTTACACCGGCGAATTCCTCCTTTGCCGGATAAAGGTTGCAGATGGCGCTTTTCCTCAGTCGGCTTATAGCAGGTATTCTTACCCATCCAACGGCAAAAGGCTGGATTTTTACGGCTTCGGGCCTGGTTGCAACAGCGGCCTTTTGCGTTCCATTTGGCATCTTAACACGATTCCTCGAAGGCAAAGACAGAGTTAGAGACCTAGGCCTCGTAATTAAGGTAGGCCCTCAGTGTCTAGGGATTCTTCTCCGAGTCTCCCACACAGGTTTCGGCAAGTAATTGCAGCATCAGCAGGTGCTGCTGCTGTCATTTGAAGTGTACTCGTCCCGTTATGGGGCTATTGGCACTCTCGCTTCTGGTCGCCGTAAGCATCGGCTAGCTGTCATGCTTAGCTATTATAACAAGACCGTTAGGGCTTACGGTCCCATTTATGCTTTGCCGAGCAAGGCAAGCCGGTGAAGCAAACTGGGTTGAAGGACAGTGTGCTTGTCATCCAACCATCAGCACCGTCCGGGAATTGTTGCCGAGCGGAAGGCTTAATACCGGAGTCCTCGTCCCATATGATACTGCAGTGCTTCCAGACAAACTGGTACAGCAGCAGCCACCCGCATGCACCCACACGTCCGTTACGGCCACCCACGACTGCATTAACAGGCACGTCGACCCAATCACGGCAACGTGCTCCTGCCCCCTCCTGCTCACACGGCCCTTCTGCCCAACCTACAGGGCTGCACCATAGCCCTCCTCTCACCCGGCCTACTAGAGGAAGCCCTGTACCGTGCTGCCCTGCTGCCGCACCCAGCCGTTGACCCGCCCTCAGCCCTTACCCTGCCTGCCTACTCACGGGCCGCCGTACTTCCCCTCCTGCTCTTCGTCGCCAGCCACCTGATCAACCCTCGGAGGGAAAGCCGACGGGCCTTTCGTGACTGGCGCTTCCTGACCCTTGCGGCCGCCTTGGGCGTTGCTTGCACGGCAACACATTGGGCAACCGGCGGCAGCCTGGTCGCGTGCGCGGTGGTGCACTGGCTGCCGGTGTGCGTGTGGCTGTTTGGGTTTGGCGGGTACCAGAGGCTAGGGGGCGCGCCTGGAAAGACTGTGAGGACGGTGGGCTCCAGTCTGTGAGGGCCACCTAAGGGCAGCCTCGCGCAGCTCCTTGGCTAGGGGTACGGGTAGGTTTGATTGGCTGCGACGGAGGACTTCGGCTGGACAATGGATGCGGACATGGTGTGTAGGGGGATGCATTAGCATGAGCGCTGCTTGCATGTGCGTTGTTTCTTGGTTCACAGCAGCGTTCGTCTGAGGTGCGCTGGGCAGGGAATGTTCACCGGTGTGTTGTTTGCTTGTTTCTGGGATCCAGGTGGCTGTGCCGTGGACCGGCGGGCGGTACCTTGCTGCATGGAAGCGCGTGCGGCTAACAGCTCCGTCATTGCCTACCGTGGCATGTCTACAGGCTACAGGTCTTGTTCCCTTACTGAGAACGCAAACACTGGTTGGATTGCACAGGCCACCCTGTTGAATACCGGTAAAGGCACCGAAGCCTCCTCGCGCTTCCAAACCTCTGCCAGGTATGTCCGCCCCATGTACATTCCAGCGTATGAGGTGCCCACCTGAACACGCTCAGGACAGCCCAGCGCGCCGCGTGCGTACAGCTGGAACAATGGCTCCCTTTCAGGGAACCATTCAAGAGCAGCTAACGTACCAGCAGGTCTAGTGGTTAACACTCCGTACCGGTACCTTGTGCAGCATTAGTAACACATGTCGTACGGTACTCTCCCGAGTACGACATGCACCAGCAACGCTGCGGACTGAAACAGCATTCTCACATACATGTACAGCCATGGTCAACTCGGTCAACGTATTCCTGGTCCAAGCATTGCAACTCCCCTCTGCACGTCTGCAGCAGCCGTTGCCCCATGGTAAACAGCACACAGCTCACTGCCGGCTCAAGGGTATCCAAAATCAACCAACGAACCCTGGGTCTCGCTCGTGCGTGCTGCTCAGAGCGCCCGAACCAGCGATGCCAGGTAGGACAAACGCGGACCCCACGACGTTCACGGCAGGTCCGTACGCAGCGCCCGGGCAAAGCGTGACCACTCCTTCTCCCACTTAGAGCCCTCCCGCCGCTGCACATGAAGGGGAAATACGCATAGGGAGGTGGGGCGCAAGGATTGCTATCTATACTTTCGGTTTGTACACGCCAAACAGTCTCGGCAACGTGACGACCAGGCCTATACCTAAATTGCTGCGCATTCGATACACATGCCGTGCCCGGCGGTGCGCTGCGCGGCCGACCCATGGGTCGTTTCTTTCAACCGCCGCAACCCATAGCTTACCCTGCAGCGTGACAGGTACAGGCGGTCCTTGGCCCGGTTGATTCCCACGTAGAAGAGCCGCCGCTCCTCCGCGACCTCGGCCGGTGTGATGGCTCCATGCCAGGGCAGCATACCCTCCTTCGGTGCGTTAAGGATGCCGCCGAGTCAGATTGCTGGTACCCAACAGAAACGACCCGCGCTAGTTATAGCCCATGCACCCAGCAAGCACCCACCTCTACTCCGATGATGAACATGTGCTTGAACTCCATGCCCTTGGAGCCGTGCAGCGTGCCCAGCTGTACGGCGTTGCGCTCCACGGCCGCCTCGTCCTGCTGCTTCTCCTTCCCCCAGCGGTAGCCCTGACGTACCGGTATGAGTGGATGACCGTTACAATGGTCCATTGCACCCCACGGGCCCCCGGTGTGTTGCAAAAGCTGTGCGTGGGAGTAACATACTGGTAACAAGGAGCCGCATATGAACTACCCTGTTCTAGCCAAGGTTGAAACCTTGACGGTGCCGGTACGGTTAGTATTTGGGTGCCTTGGTACCCCTGGTAGGCCTAACCAATAAAGCTGAACCGACTCCACGGCAAACTCCGCGCACGCCTTCCCTTACCTTCACAGGCTCCCCGGGCCCCATCATGATATCCGCGTGCCGCAGGAATGCAGCCGCCCCTTCGCTCCCCACATCGCTAGGCGACGATAGGTCTGCTGCTGACGACAGGAACGTACAAAGCTCAAAACGCCATCAGCATGAGCGGAGAGGTGGGACAACAGCTCAAACACATGGCAGTTGACACCTGGCACATTCGACGATCAAGCCACAAGCAGTATCGCACCTGTCGTTACATACTGAGGCATCCAGGTCACATTTATACTTCATTACGGCTGTTCTTTATTGCCTGGCCATGCTTGGGCATATATGCCGTACCTGCCGTACCTTCTAGCCCAGCCTGTAGCGCCCACTTTTCCGGCTTCTTGGCGATGTCAGTGACCAGAAACTTGAGCCGCGCTAGTGCGTCCTTGCCTCCCTTGCCTGACCGGGCAGGGACCGCTTGAAACCTCTTGAGCAGGCAAACAAGGGTGCGTTCCGGTGCCGCTGTGGGCGCTGCTGTGATGCACCCTAGGCGAGCAGCAAGAGCACCCACCCTCGTCACATCTGCTCTCCTCCATGCCCTGTAAAGCTCCCCGCAAGTCCCCAACGAAAGGGTCACCAACCCGTCACCGCCATACCCACGTTTCGCTAGGTGCTTCTTGTACCCCGACTGCTCCAGCAGGGCCACCAGCACCGCATTCACGCGGGCACCGCCCCGGATCAGCCCCGCTGCCCGGGCTACCGTGCCCCGGAGTACCTGCGGATGCCGGCATGCATGCTTGCGTGCGTGCGTGAGCAGCAGCCCTACCTTAATACATGTAACGTATGTGGACTAGGTTGGCTTCAAAGCACCTAGCACCCAGCTCAGCCAAGCCAACTGCAAGACGGCAGAGGTGCATGCAGTACATGAGGAGCGTGCGTGTTAGAGCGAGCCGCACAGGAGACCCACCTGGATTCCCTCAATTGACGTATCCGGAAGGCCCTCAAGGGCTTTGTCCAGAGTGCTGCCGGGCTTGATGCCTGCGGCAGCAGCAACAGCAACGTTGTGGATAGACGCCGCACTAAGGCTGCACCGGCGTACCTATGTGACTGAATCAGCAGCAAGCGAATGATCACCGATAAACTATCAGCCGTACGAACGCAAAGTACTGCACACTATGGTGTGAGGGCTGTAACGATCTAGTTCCGTACGGTGATGACCTGCTGCAGCGCATACCTGGCGGTTGGTAACTCTCATCCCTTCCAGCCTGCTGCCCCTTCTTGGGCGTCCTGCTCCGGCTACTAGTGTTGCCGCCGCCTCTCCCTCCGCTGCTGATAGTGCTGCTCCTGCTGTTACATGTACTACTACCGCTGCTGCTGGCTTGCACAACGGCCGAGTCGCTGACGGTGAAGCAGTCTTGGAACAGGAGCTCCCCCAGGCTCATACCGTTGGCCCTGGCGCGTTGACCCAACACGGACCTTGTTGCCCCACCTGCACCAGCAGATGCAGCAGCAGCAGCATGAGTCACGCAGCGTGTGCGTGGGAACAGCGGAGAACTACATGCACAGTAAGGCCTTATCCAGCAGACACTGCTGTTCCTGTTTTGTACGACAACAACCTATACACACTCGTACTGCAGCACACCAGCAGCCATGCATGCATGCATGCAGGCATGAGCCAATGTAAGCCTGCGGCAACAGCGCAGGTCAAGCAGGTGCAAGGGCATCCTACCAATGTAGCGCTTGGGTGTGTTGATGATGCGTGCGAGGGCGTCCGAGCTGCCCGCCGGGTCAAGAGCTACACGGAGGTAGTCCACCGCGTCTCGTACTTCCTGCAGCGGCATGCAGAAGAGTAGTGCGAGGGCCAGGGCAACATAGGTACCCAGGCAGCAGGGGACAGTGTCACACACATGCATCAAGCAATGGACCAACATGCACGTATCTTCATGCTAGTCGCAGCTGACCCCATGTGACGAACAGTACCGGTAACATGGTACCTAGCTTTCCATGGCCTATAAATCCCATCAGTCGCTAATCCCAACCATCATGCAGCATAGACCTGAAACACAACGTACGAAGCTCCACATACGGCACAACACAGGCGCTTGCTTCCATGCAACCCGCGCACATATCCACCTACCTGCCGCCCCCACAGGTTCCTGTTCTCCACCATCGTGTACGGAAGTCCCAGCCGCAGACACTGCTGCTCCAGGTGCCACAGTCCGCTCCAGCTTCGAGACAGCACCGCAATGTCCCTGGAGGCTACCCCGCTAGCGAGCAGCGACTTGATGTTGTCAGCCAGGCAAAACGCCTCGTCCTCCTCATCGTCATATGCGGCGTAGGAAATGGCGTTGCCGCCGCGGCCGCCGGCAGCAGCAGCAGACGGGCGCACGGCAGTAGTGGGCCGTACGGCGAGGGGTGCCGTAAAAAGCTCATCGCTGGCAGCGGCGGCGGCAGCCAGGACCGTGGTGCCGGCCTTGACGATTTCTGGAACGGACCTGCAGCCCACATATGGAAGAGGCGGTACCCGAAGGTTAGCCGAGCACAATTGTTTTCTTTGGACGGTGTGATGAACCCCTGTGAAGGTACCGGTGGGTGTTGCGTGCACGCCAACTACATGCATCGCGCTGTCCCATCTTACACCCTCCCTGCCCTCCTCCTCCTCCTCCTCCTCCTCCTCCTTTTGCATGTACTAGAGTACGACGCACCTGTAGTTCGCCGTCAAACCCAGCGTCTGAAGCCCCCGGAAGTCGCCCCTCAGCCCCTCCATCAGCGCCCCCACCTGGATTACCCGGTCAGAGCAGCAGCGGGGCAGGCGAGCACGTCTTTCTCCAGACGACACGACACCGGTGCTACACCACAAATCCTTCAGGAAACACCATGCATGGCATTAGCTAGCGTACGGCAAAGTATGGCAACCCGCTGCAACCCACCAGGTAAGCAGCGGCAGTGTTTGCCAGCCCAAGCCCCTCTAGCCATCTCCGCCCTCCGCCCCCCTCCCTCGCCTACCTCCACACCCCGGAATCCGTAGATGGCCTGGTCCGGATCCCCCACCAGAAAGAGGCCGGTGCGCTCTTCACCCTTGAGCAGCCTAATCAGCCGGTACTGCGCTAGGTCCGTGTCCTGCGTATGTACGGCGGTATGTACGGCAGTATCTACCTGAGGAAAAAGCTGAACAGCAACAGTAGCGCCGTGGCCCTTACTGACTCATGCGGCTCATGGACTCGCCCGCCATATCCGGTAGCAGCAGCACCGTCGTGCTGGCGTGAATCCCTTGAGGTACCATAGTGGTTGTGTATAATGTCAAGCGCAGGTGAACTCGCCGAACGCCGGTAACTACTACACGCACACACGTACCTGGCACACGTTCCGACTCGCAGCCAGTTTCCTTAACACACTCACGCCGTCACGCGCACCTGGAACTCATCCACCAGGATGTGATCGAAGCTGCCTCGCAGGTGCTCCAACAGCAACTGATCCAAACGCTTGCTGCGGTCCGGTTGCATGTGATGATGGCGATCCGCTTGCTCCTCTCGCGGCATCAGCAGCTGCTCAGGCACCGCGGAGGACGGCGGTGTTGAGCTGCTGGGGGGTTGCGGTGGTGGCGCCGACACCGGTCGTTGTTGAGAGGCAGAGCTGGGTGGTCCCTCCAGCAGCATCAGCGGCAGGATGATGAGGTCCTCGAAGGTGACCTTGTTGTCGGCACGTAGCAGGCTGTGGCAGGGGCACAGCAGCGGATACGGGTGAGGTGAGGTGACGACATGCAGCAGTGCTGGCAGCGGTTAACGGCATGCAGCCCCCATGACTACCGGTAACAGCAGCCTACTGCCATTGCTGCTGCTCTCGCCCTCACATGTATGGCCAGGTAATCCGCAACTGGTTTGGCGCCTGGTGCCAGGTTTTGCGTGCACACGCCCCGAGGCCCGGTACCCTTACATGCACACATACAGCCAGCAGCCGCGCTGCCCACACAAGCGCATGCGCACGTACCCGAAGAACGTGCTGATGTACGCTTGGACGCGCTCCACAGTCCAGATCTCCCTCGTTTCCGAGTCGGGACCGCCCCGGCCAACAGACCTCCTGCTACTGCCGCCGCCGCTACTGCTGCTGCTGCGATTGCTGCTGCTGCTACTGCTCGCAGCTACTGCTGCCACGTAGGCGCCTCCATCCGGGCGGAACCCAAACACCGCCAAACCACGCACAATTGCCTCGACTTCCGCCGACTCTTGCTGTCCCGGCGGCATCCTCGAGCTGCTGCTGTCGCCGCTGCTGCTGTCGCTGCGCCTGCTGGTCCCGTATTGTTGTCCTCTTGACTGCTGGAAACCAAGCTCCCCTCCAAACTCCCCATCCATCAAACCCGCCTGTACAGCAGCCGCTACCAGTCTGTCGACGTCGTACTGTCCCCGTCCTGCCATTTGAATCCGGATCCTGCCCAGGCTCTTCAAGATCCTTTCGGCGGTGCTTTCCAGTACGCCGTACAGGGTGGTGTCTAACTGGTTGCATTGCCGTACCTCCTTCTCCACCGTCTCGATGGCCCTGATCATGTACTTCTTTATCTGTGCGCGTGAGGTAGCAAACGTATGGATATTATTAATGTATGTCGTGCGTATGGAAGCATGTGATGAGAGAGCAGAAGTGATGGGCGCGTGGAAGAGGCTGAAGTACGCGCGCCCAAGCATGCATGGGTTATGGATATTATTAATGTATGTCGTGCGTATGGAAGCATGTGATGAGAGAGCAGAAGTGATGGGCGCGTGGAAGAGGCTGAAGTACGCTCGCCCAAGCATGCATGGGTTATGAGTTTGTGAATGAAGGCCAGAAGAGAAGTTGTGCAAACAAAAAGCAGGCATGCGTTCAGCCCATGAAGGATACCGTACACCCCAATGCGCAGCGCTGGCAATAAACACAACACAATACGAACCTCAACATGACTGACACGGCTGCGATTAACCCATGCATCCAGGTGCCCACCAGGTTTCGGTTGGACACTGCACGGGGCCTACGCTGTAACAAGTAGATAACCAGCAAACACGCACCTCGCCCTCCTCCTCAACCACGCCGAAACGCGACTTGAGAGCCAGCCCCGGCGGCAGCGGCAAGCGGGCGTTGCAAGCAAGGCTGCTTGGCGGCGGGCAAAGCGCGGCGTGCATGCGGGTTTGTTGAGGGGGTCACAGCGGGCCATCAGGTAGGGGTGCAAAGCGTCATCCAGACAGCGCTGTGACAGAGCATAACACGCACACAAGACGCAACCACCAAGCAACCGCACTACCCCTCCTGAGCATTGCAAGGAACGCAAGCAATCATCCTCTGTAACCGGCTGCCAGCTGCCCCACGCACCGACACACCTCAGGATCTTGTAGCCCAGGGAGTGTATGGTCATGGCATGAACCGCCCCTCGTCCCAACTGCTCCTCCTCCAAGCTATCACCCTCCATCGGGGTGTCAATAACCATTCTGCTGCTGCTACTGCTGCCGCTGCTGGACGGAACCACGACGTCCGGCAGCATCAGCCGCTCCTTGACCTCGAACGCGGCCTTGTTGGTGAAGGTAATGACCAGCACGCGAGCGGGGTCCACCCCCCGCTGCTTCACCAGGTGCCCGGCACGTGCCACCAACACACGCGTCTTGCCGCTGCCGGGACCAGCCTTGATAAGGGCGACTTCGTGCGATGTCTCGGCTGCACGGCGCTGTTCCTCGCTAAGGAGGCTGCTGCTGCTGCTGCTGCCGGCACCGCTGCTGCCAGCAGCTTGCGTGCCTCCGCTGCTGCTGCTGCTGCTGCCAGCAATCGGATGAGAGCGAACGTTGCTCCAAAAGTCACCATCGCCATCTTCGCCCAACAAACCATTGCCATTGTTGCCGGAAAATAACGCGGAAGTAGTAATCGGCCGGGGTCCCTGTGGCTGCCTGATGACCCATGGGTCAGTCGCGGCGGGTCGACGGTCCGGGGCAACGAAAACCGGCGGCGCGGTTCTGCGCCGGATTCCGAACGGCGTTGCTGGGCAGCGCCCATTGCAGCTAACAGGGACTAGCAGCCCGCATGATGTGGAATGAGTGCTAAGGCGCATCTTGCTTGGGCTGCTGCGCTGACGGCCGGTCGGATGGGGATAGTCGGGAACCAGGGAATCGGGCTGCTTTATATCCCCAAGGTCGCACTTTGGCTACCTGCACCCTGTGCCCTAGGCAGCCACGACAGCGCGGTTGTCAGGTAGGGAAAGCCGAACGTTGATAGTGCCTGCCAAGCCGGCTGCCAGGGCTTCCCGGTTTCCGCGTTTCTTTCGTAACGCCCGATGGAGGCGTCCTAGTAGAAGGCGCGGGTCGGCTGGCCCTTCCTATGAACCACGTACGTTCTTTGCCGCAGATGCCATGGTATTATGGCATAAGACTTTTCGTTTACAAGAAGCAGCCGCCAACGCTTTTCCCATCCCACGCCGCCGTACCTGGCTCACATCAATCGGACGTCACTTGCCGTACATACACCAACAGATTTTGCGCCGCATCTCTCTAGCGCTCGTTTACATCATGCACAACGTGTTGTCGTTCTCAAACGGCGCTCTGTGTGCGCTGGAGTTACTGCTGCTGCCTTTGGTAGTTGTGGTGGTGGTGGTGGCCATGCCATAGGACATGCCGTCACACACCTTGGACGGGCTTGGCCACCGCACACATACATTACTCCGCATATACCCACATGCGTCAGAACAAGTGGGGTTCAGTCACATGCCGCCGGCTGGTCTCTCTTGCTTACGGAGAGAGAGAGAAAGAGAGAGTGACTCCGTTCATGCCCACGCATGTTACCCATCTGCATCCGCGTCTCGGCAGCTGCAGGCGTGAACCGCAACATGGTTTACTTGCCGGCAGCAGAACCCGCAGCACAGCAACAACAGCACCCAACGTTGTTGTTGCAATGGGTGCATAAGCTATGATTCGAGCGAAACAACAACTAAACACATTTCCGAACTGCTTGGCGAAACCGGCATGCAGCGCTCTTGCGCCATACCAAAAGTTTGACTGCTGTCCTGAGTGTTGACCCGGCCGTAACGTGGTGCAGCTTCCATGGACACGGATGGGTGTTTTGCAGGTGGCAGCTGTCATCACAACACTACTTCACCTCAGGCGAGCGGGCATGGAAAAAATCTCATACTAGCCCGCCCTTGGCAAGCCGTAATCCTTTGCAGCAAATATGCAAACCGCGTGGCACTAGGATATATGACGGCTACAATAGACAAAGAAGTCCCGCAACACGTTCTGCCTCGGAAGGGCGAGAAGTTGAATGGGTGACGTCTGGGATTCATCTTCTCGGACGGTCCTTGCCTTGAAGTAAAGTACCTTGGAGTCTGTACAAAATCTTCCTATCCGTTCATAGCAGTATACGAGTAGCCTATAACGCAAGCAACATAGACAAAGCGCTCTCTCCGCAAAACAGCAATCCTGCCTCTGAAAGGCTGTTTCGTGGAAGCTCTATAGTTATTTTGTATCCAAAAACAACAAAGAAAGCAAAACATGCGGCATCCGCTGCAGGGGACCAAACTGCCAACGTCGTCCGCTGGAGCGAGCAATGTCAGCTCACTTCAGTCAGCTGCGGCAGCCGTCCTGCTGTACAACACCACACGTCATGCCGGCGTCCTTGATGCTACTGCAGCAGCTGCTGCTGGCGACCAAGACAGCAGCAGCGCAGCGCGCGCTTGGATCCCCGACATCATCCGTCGCATCGCCAGCTTCCTGCTACCCAACGAGGTGGCCTGCAGCCTGCGGCTTATGAACAGGAACGCAGCAGCCGCGCTCAGCGGTCCGCAGCACACCACCGTTCGGCTGTCGCAGCCCTCCCCGCCGCACGCCTTCGCCCAGCGCTGGGGCTCACCGGGCGCCGTACAGGGCCTCAATCTCTGTCAGCAAGGGCAGCTGTTGCGCCTAACAGCATGCAGTGGCGATGTTGGCAACCTGGCAGTAGCAGTGGAGGCCGTACGGCGGGAGAATCCAGGAGGGGAAGTGGAGAACTTGTGTGAGGGGGCCCTCGAGGCCACAGCGGAGGCGGGGCACCGGCACATCTGCGAGTGGCTGCTGACTCATGGCTGCTGCCGCTGGGCAGCAGACGTTGTGTATGCGGCCCTCCGGAAGGGTCAAGCGGGCCTTGTCTTGTGGCTGGTGCAGCGCAAGGAAAGGCATAAGCGTGATTCTAGACTCGACTATGATGACCTATTGACGGCAGCCGTGTACGGCTGTGACCTTGCAACAGTGCTGCAGCTGCAGGCGAGACTGACGGAGCTTCGAAAGGTGTGGCCGGTCCCGTTGATGAGCTGGTGCCGGTACGAAATTGTTAAGAGCGCCGCACGAAGCCCCACTGCTGACTGGCAGGCCAAGTTGGAGTGGTTGCGGGCGAATTGGCGCCTCCCAAAGACCACCGATGCTTGTGCGGGTGCTGTGAAGTGCCCCGACGCTGCTGCGCGCCTGACCTGGCTGAGAGACAATGGCTACCCACTTCTGGGTCCCAGCAGTGGCTACCTATGGTTGAACCCTAGCGTCGTCAGCGAAGCTGTGTCGTGTCAGTGGGCAATGTGGATGCCGTACGGTTCCTGCTGGACGAGGGGGCCGCCATGGGTTACAGCGAGGCCATGGATGCGGCTGCAGCAGGCCACCTGGGGGTGCTGCAGCTGCTGCATGCGCGGGGGTGCATCTCGATGGAGGTGCGCAACAACAACCCAGGCCTCCTGGGGGTCCTCCGCTGTGCCGTAGAAGCACGCCAGCTGCATGTGGTGCAGTGGGTGGCACAGGTGGCGGGGCTGGGGGTACATTCGGACGAGCTGCTGGCGATTGCAATCCGAAAGGAGGACTATCGGATGATGGCCCTGCTGCATGAGGCAGGGGCGGCTTGCGAGTTCCATCATTTCATGCAAGCCTATCATTTGCAATTCCCAAGGATGATGGAGTGGCTTGCGGAGCACGGCTGCCCCATGACGGTGAGTGCGGCTGGCTGGCAGGGCCCATACACATGCATACTGGTTGGCCATTGAATGAGGAGGACATAGGAGCAGGAGCAGTGACGATATGGCATGGGTTCCGCCTTGAGTCGCGAGTCACACATACAGCCCTTGGCCTGCATCCTCTGCTGCCACCGTGCTGCTTCTGCACTGCCCTGCCCTGTGCCCTGCAGGTGCACCCAATACAGTCCGTGGATGATAGCATGTATGCGCTGGCGGGTAAGCTCGGGGACACGGCCACACTGCACCTCCTGCGGCGGCTGGGCTGCCCCTGGCAGGGCCCGGACACCTTCACATGGTGCGTGCGCTCGGGCTGCTGCCTGCCCGTGCTGCAGTGGCTGCGGAAGGAGGGCTGCCCGGTGGACTGGGAGGCGGCGGTGGGGGCGGTGCAGCCGCAGCAGCGCGGCGGGGAGGTGGAAAGGTGGTTGCGTCGGAAGCAGGCCCGGAAGCAGGCCCGGGGGCAGAAGCGACGGCGGGTGTGAGGAGGCCGGGGTTATGAGGGTTGCGAGGGATGGTGGAGGGTACGGGTAGGGGCTGCTGGACCCCCTGGGGGCAGGAGCGTGTGAGGACACGGGGGCGGGGGTGTGCGCCATGCATGCATGTGTAGGTGTGGTGGTAGGGGGCACAGGTTGAAGTCGTTGGTTGCCGTACCGGTACCCTCCAGAACACGTAGGGGCTACTCGCATGTGTGTTTGGTTGCGTATGGGTTGCGCGTGACTACTACTGTGTCAAGAGGCGGACAAGCACAGGATACCGATAACTGGTACTGATTAAGCATGGGCAAAGTGTGCAGGACGCAAGGGGGAGGGGGGGGAGCATTCGGTTTCACGGGTGTTCCCGGACCATGCGATGCGTCCAAGAATGCGCCACAGCGCCCTGCGGTCCCGTTCGGCTGCACCATGCCAGCAAGCACAGCAACCTATCAGCAGCAGCGCACGGCAACACTGCTGGCACGGTATGTGCAAATTGTCGTACACTATGTTTTGTATGTGTTGGGCTTTCCGTAAGTTGAGATTCCGTATATTGGTCATAAGGATCTGCTGCCGCTAGCGCTTTGCCGTACGTACGAAAGAACGGAAATGGCGCCATGCGGTGTCAGGGCAGCCCCGCGGCGCACTGTCTCCACGCACTGCCAGTACCGGTATCATGGAGAGTCGCTGGGAGTGCTACGGGTAGCTGCTGCTGTTGCTAATGTTCCCGCATGGCTCCAGAAGTGGAGTGGGGGCGTAGACGGGGGTGGGGAGGCGCAGGCGGAGGATGAGAACGTTGGTTAGGAGAGGGACTATGAATGAGAACGATGGTTGGGAGGAGGCGGAGGACGAGAACGATGAGTTGCGACCAGTTTCTTAACGCACATGCACTCACGAACACAATTCTCGGTCCAATGAACACAGAGCAGCAGAGGAGGACGCGCTCATCTCCAGGCCGCCTCCAGGCCTCCCGACGCACTCCCCCAATCCACGTCCGCGTCCTCAGCCCCATGGACCGCCACACGGTGTGCCGCTGCACCTCCCAGCATGCAGCTTGCAGCCATACCAGGAGGCCCCGCCCCTCTCGCAGGGTACTTCTTCTTCTTCGTTTCCCCTACCGCAGCAGCAGCAGGACCCCCCGCAGCAGCAGCACAGCAGCACAAGAGCACCAAACAGCGGTGCTGCAATGGGCGCAGCAACAGCAACGTAATAGCGGTAACCAAGGACAGCACACCACTGGTACACAAAACCCCTGCGAGACAACCCTGCATGCATGCATCCGTTGAAACAAAGCCCACCCGATGCATCCATATTAACAACGGTTCCGTGTTGTACGACAGACGTGTAGTGTGCTACGGCAAAAGCGATTGCGGTGTCCAATGCTGGTATCTTCTGGATGCTACTGCTAATGCTGCTACGGGGAACGGGGACCCCAGTCCATCCGCGTAAAGACCTCCATTGCATGCATCCATCCATGCACCATGCACCTCCATCAAGCAATGCAAAGCGGTGATCAGGTCAAGTCAGCCAATACCGAATTCCCCCCCTGCTGCAGCCGAGAACACCGCCCCTCATCGTCGCCGCCGCAACCTACCAGTCGTTGTAAACCCCCGCTACCTCCTTGCGCCATGCCCACCATGCTAGCGGCCGCCGCTGCTGCTGCTGCCCCTCCTGCTGCCGTCACGCGGCATTGACTCCCAGTTACAGAGTCTACCCTCCTCCTGCCTTCCCCTCCGTTTGCCACCGCCACCGCTGCTGCTGCCCCTCCTGCTACTGCTGCTGCTTCTGCTGCTGCAGGATACCGCCCATCTACCTTGCCCCCGTCCCGTCAGTCATCGCCTGCCAGCACCCACCGCCGCTGCCCACCCCGATGCTGATGCTCCACCGCTCCGCTCCCCTCTCACCCTCCCTCCTCCCCAGTTCCCTCTTCAAAAGTACCCTCCCCCGCTGCCGTCCCTGCTGCTGTAGTAGTCGTACGTCAGCACGGTGGCGCCCAGCACCGCCACCGCCGCCAGCTCCATGATGAGGGCTCCCGTCGTGATCACCTGGGGTGGAGGCGGAGGGGGGGGGAGGGGGGGGGTAGAGGGGGGCCAGCGGGGGTGGGGAGGGGCAGTGGGGTGGGGAGGGGTTGTGGGGTGGGTGATAGTGGGGTGGGTGAAGTTACTCCCTCCTCGCCACCGACCACCTCGGCACCCCCCGCGGCCTCCCGTGTCTCGACCAACCTCCGGATGGCTCGCCCACCTCCTTCCCCACCCACCCTTCCCTCCCCTCCCTTCCCTCTTCCCCTCCCCGCACCTTTGCATGCGCCAGGATGGCCGGGATGGCGATGGAGCCCACCGCTGAGAAGCCCGTCAGGAACTTGCCCGCATCAACCCAACTGGGGGGTGGGGGGGTCAAAAACCATACCATACCATAGGACACCACAGGTTGGGGCAAGACAATGGGGATATGAGCAGCGGGGTGCCACCAATCAAGTGTTGATTAGCGCTGGGGGTTGTTGGAGAGGGCACGCATGTGGCGGCGCAGCAGTGAGGCACAGGGGTAGGGAGCGGCGGCAGGGAGGTCAGGGGCTTCCCGGTCTCCTGGTCATTGCACCAACTCTCCCTACGGCCCATCTCTCACTCGCATCTTATACCCAACCAAACAACACATCAGTTCTTGATTTCACCGTACATAACCACATACCCGCTTTGCATGGTGCTGGCGTAGATGCCGTACGATTCACCGCCTGAGCTGCCGAAGAATAAGTACGGCATTGGTACGAGCACGTACATGATGCCAACTAGCATGGGCCACCTGTGAGCGGGGGAAAGGGGGGGGGAAACGTGGGTGTGTTAAGGAAACTGGCCGCTTTGTTTGCTTGTATGCACGACAGATGACTGCGGCGTACATGTCAACGGTCGCGTCAATGGCCGAATCCCCGAGCTCGAGCCAGCGTGCGCCAGTGCCCCTCCACCTGCCATGTCCTGCCCCCTAAGCCAGCATGCGTAGGATGCGTTGGTGGCCCCCCTTGCCCCACTGCATGCCAGCGAGCATCCCCCGCATTCCCATGCTTTCATGCCGCTTGAGCTAAAACCTTAGCTGAAGCGGCTTGGAAACATTAGCATGCAACAAGTACTCATGGAGTGAGGCAAGGGGGCCCACCGGCTATTGCAACACCGTGTTACCAGGGCGGGTACTGTTGCACTCCGCCCCAGAACTAGAGCAACTGTATGCTTACCAATTGTTGAATAGTACGCATCCCTGCAGCGAGCAGCGGACCGCCAAAGGAAGTCAAAGGAAATGAGCAGTTATAAACATGAAGGCGAAAGATGGTGTTCAGCGCACCAGTAATTGTAGAAGCGCTCCCGTTGTAAACATTATCGCCAAGACCAGGATAACTGCACGAAAAACTGACGTGTTGACAGCAGGGACTCGCGCCCATGAGGACGAATTGCTGCACCGCACCTCTCGTGTCTTGAATAGCCATGCTTAAAGAGTATTTGGAATGCAGCCAATAACACTAGAGCTCTTTTCGGGCTTTCTGCTGCAGCAACGTCGCTTCCTATCGGTTGGCCTGTGCTAGAACAGTAAGAATGCAAGCCAGCGACTGGTGCCGTAAGTTTTTTAACGAAGAAAGCTATGGCTGTAAAGGCTGAAACGAAGGTAGCAGGCTGAACAAAGCCGTACATCTTAACGAACGACCCTTGTGGGCCGCGCACACCTTCCGGCCATCTGCGTTGTCGTAAGTGACTATACCATGACTTCTGACCATGTTGATGTTCTTTAACAAGCGGCTTGGCGTCCAATCGACCGGCTTGACCCAAGGGTCTCACCACAAAATCCGAAGCTCAGGCCAGCCCCTTGCCTAAAGCCTCGGCAAGTGCTTAACGCGTTTCTCACCTCCAATACCCATTGCGGCTAGCCAGGTCCCAGGGACCTCCCGCGAACCTTTACGCGTTATCCCTTCTCTTGGGTGTGCTGCGTTCGCTTTCCCCGCCCTACTTTTATGCAATGAACAAACCGTTGTCGGATGCAGTAGCTACAATGCTGTGCTAAAGGCTTAGCCCATGCCGGCATGCATGCACCAAATCTCCCCAGCGCACTGCACTGCCCTTCCCCGAGCAAAATGGCAAGTCAGCTCTAAACCTTCACAATGCGGTTGAGAACGGGATTACTAGTGTAGAACAGGGCAGGGCAAAAGCTGCCGATCGTCTCAGCAGCTTCCGCGCTGAGGGGCAGCAGGCAGCGTGCTAGGGCACCTTGCCACGTGCTCTGTTGCCACCGCATTCCCTACTTGCTGTGTACTTCGGTATTCTGGGTCTTAAGAAGAGAAAGGGGGTTTGCGGCGCCGAAATGGCGGTTAAGGGACTTTGGATGCACGGCAGCCGAGAAACTGCTGCTGCCGGCCGAGGCGCCATCTCCTGATGATGAGGGGCATCGCAGGAACAACAACCCACCAAAATTGTCTTCTTCGTCCTCCTCCTCATACAGCAGCTGAATTATACGTTATACATGATAAATACCGATGTCATACTTGATGACAACATAGCCACCTTCCGAATTAGCAAGCAACCGCAACCATTCTCGCGGCACCTGCACCTGGATAGCCGCGCAGCTAGAATTCCAAGCCCATAGCCCCATTATTGTGCGCTTTGCAAGAGTAATTACCATCCATTGCGCTTATCCTCGTTGCTAGCAGCCTCGGACCTCAGATCGCCTTCCGGGGGGCTGCCTGGCTAGCTTTCGCGGACGAAGCGCGAAAAAAGCTACTAATCGCCACAACTGCCCTTTTTACACTACCAACCTTTTAGTTTTCTACCGATCTGCCCAACATCTCCTTCCGCCTTCCATCTCGCGTCTGACTTGCCTCCGAAACGATGCAACACCCACCGCTCGACACTTCCGGCGGCGGCGCCACCACTACTGCCGCGCCTCCTCCTCCGCCTCCTCCCATAACCACCACCAATGCAGCAACCCCCACCACCCCCACCACCGCCAACAGCAGCAGCAGCACCCCCCCAGCCCCAAGCAGCTCCCCCCACCCCGCCTCCTCCTCCTCCTTCCACCGCGCTCCCCCCCACCGCCCCCCACCCCGCGATCTGGCGGGTCGAGTGGCGCTGGTCACGGGCGCCACCAGCGGGCTGGGGCTGGAGGCGGCGGTGCAGCTGGCGGAGCGGGGCGCGCGGGTGCTGTGGGGGGTGCGCAACCCGGAGAAGGCGGAGCGGGTGCTGGCGGGCATTCGGAAGAGGTGGGGAGGGGAGGTGGGAGGGTGGGAGGGGTGTCAATTGTGCGGGGTAGAGAAGAGGGCTGGGAGGAGGAGATGGAGGGGGAGCGTGGCGGGCGTTGAGAGGGGAGGTAAGGCGGGGTGGGGAGTAAGGCAGCAGGGAAGAGGTTAAGAAAGAGGAAACCAGCTGCGAAAGGTGGGTGGGTGACGATGCAAGGGCGGGGAGCGTACGTGGTGAGACGTACCGCAAGGGCTCGTGTTCCCAACGCACCACGTACGGCACACGCCCCTTCCTCATGCCGTCTTCACCGGTTGGATCCCCCACCCCCTCCCCTCCGCTTCACCCCCCTCCCTTCCATCCTTCCCGCTGCTCCACCACAGCTTCCTTCATACCTTCTCCCCCACCTCCCCCCAACCCGCCTGCATGCAGGTACACGCAAGCAGCTCCCGAGGCTACCGACACTACCACCCCACCTCCCCCCCACCTGGACTTCCTGCTGCCCCCCGCCATCCCCCCCCTGGACCTGGCCTCCCCCGCCTCCATCCGCCGCTTCGCTCGCTGCCTGCTGTCCGACACCTCCACCCCGCTGCACCTGCTGATCAACAACGCGGGGAGCAGCATGGTGGGCGGGCCGCCGGTGGACGACAGGGGAGTCAATGCGCTGGTGCAGGTGAGAGGAGGGGAGGGGGGGAGGAGGGGGGGGAGGGGGGGAAATTACGAGTCCCGATCGGGAGAGGGGGAGGGGGGTTGGGGGTGCAGGTGAGGGGTGGAGAATAAGGAAACGGACGAGCTATATGACGAGGCTTCGCCAGGGGTGAGAGGGGGAAGGGGGAGGTGGGGGGAAGGTGGAGGTGAGGGGTGGATGGGGTCAGTGAAAAAAGAGGAACTAAAGCCGCCGCGCGTTAGGGCAGGTTAGGTAATGCTAACTGCCGTATACAGTTCTAGTTCTAGTGTGTGTGACTACTAGACACGGATCCCTAGACACAATTAAGTACGATACGAATACATACACAAACCAATCAGGGTTACCGGTACTGTATGACCCCCGCCCACCGACCCACGGGTCACCCCCTTCCCCCCTCCCTCCCCCCCCCAGGTCAACTACTTGGGTCCCTACCTGCTCACGCGCCTGCTGGAGGCCAAGCTGGTGGCGAGCGGCGGCCGAGTGGTGGCGGTGAGCTCAGTGACGCACCGCTGCTACGAGCTGCCGAGCGACCCACGGGTCTTCGTGCACTCCACCAACCCCATGGTGTACGCGTGGACCAAGCTGGCGAATGTGGGTTAGGAGGGGGGGTGGGAGGGGAGGGGAAGGGGGAGGGGGAATACCCTCAATCTGTTGAAGGGGATGGCAAACAAGATGACACGGGGGTGGGAAGGGGGGGGGTCTGGGGGGTGGGAGGCTAGGTATGGATGTGGTGGGGAGGGAGGGAGGGAGGGACGAGGGAGGGGTATAGAGCGAACCAGCTATGATGGCGACGTCGAGGGGTTACGTACCTCCTTTCCCCAGCCCCGAACCCGCCTTTCGCTGTGTCTGTCCCGAAGGCACCATAGATCCCTCCTCTCCTCCTCCCCCCTTCGGGCTGGGCGGGTCGGGCTGGCTCACATGTTGCAAACCATGATAATGCCTTATCACACCGTCAGTTCGTTGTTTCCTCTTTACCCCTCCCCCCCATCCCCGCCTAGGTTCTATTCGCGTACGAGCTGCAGCGCCGGCTGGGTCCCCTGGGGGTGCAGGTAGGGGTGGGTGGTGGGGGTGGGGGTGGGGGTGGGGGTGGGGGTGGGGGTGGGGGTGGGGGTGGGGGTGGGGGTGGGGGTGCAGGTGGGGGTGGGGGTGGGGGTGGGGGTGGGGGTGGGTGGTGGGGGGTGGGGGTGCAGGTGGGGGTGGGTGGTGGGTGGTGGGTGCAGGTGGGGGGTGGGGGTGGTGGGGAGGTGGGTGCAGTTGGCCCTCGCTAGCGCGCGTCCCGAGGGCGGTGTCACGTGGGGGCGCCCCAGGCAGCCCCTAGCCCCTGGCCCTCAGTGTGCTGCTTTCCTCTTTACCCTCTCCCCTTCCCTCATGCCTTGCATGTTTCTCTAACACCCCCTGCCTCCCCTCCCCCCCCCAGTCCTGCGCGGTGGACCCGGGCGGGGTGCGCACTGCCATCTGGGACGAGGTGCCGCCCCTGGCGGTGCCGCCCGCGCGCTGGGTGATTGAGGCGGTGTACGCGCCGCCGGGGGACGCGGCGGAGGTGCTGGTGGCGGCGGGGACGCAGGACTGGGAGCGGGTGAGGGGGGGAAGGGAGGGGGGAGGTGGTGGGGAGGGGGGAGCTTTCCTTTGATGATGGAAGGTTAGGACGATGGAGGAATCGTCCGCCGTGTCACCCTCCTTTCGCAGCCGTCCTTCACTTTTTTTTGTATTGTATTGTGGCACCCTACCGCTCCTATCCCCATTGCTTGGCCGTTATTGGTTTCCTGTGGTTCCCTATGGTTTGGTATGGTCATTTACCCCCCGCCCCCCAGGACCGCGCCCCCCATGTGCTCGACCCCCGCGCCGACCTCCGCTTCTACGCCCGGGGAGCCTTCGCCAGCCCGCTGCTCACCCTGGTAGACGGAGCCTGGCGAGGGTGGGGGGACGTCGTACGGCCCTCGCTGTACGGCACCGCTGTCGTACTGCACTCCCTGCTGGATTACCCCGTACGGCACTGGAGCGGCGGAAGGTAGAGGGGGGGGTGGGTGGGTTGGGGGGTGGGGAATGCGTGGTATGCTTCGTCGATACTAAGTCTGCGTCTGCGCCTGTTTCTCATTCCTTACCCCTCCCCTGCCTGACGCTCCCCTCCCTCCCCCTCTCCCCCCCCTCTCCCCCCCTCTACCCCCCCCTCCCCCCACCTCCCCTCCCCTCCCTCCTCCCCTCCCCCCCCCAGGATGTTCTCCCGCACCGTGCCCGTCCGCTCCGCCCCCCAGACCTACGACCTGCAACTGGCGGCGGCGCTGTGGGCATACAGCGAGCAGGCGGCGGGGCTGGGAGCTGCAGGGCCGGGAGCGGGAGTGGGAGTGGGAGCAGGAGTGCCCTCCTCCCCCTCGCCGCTGCCGCCGCCTCCCAGTCTGGCGGAGGCGGCAGCGCACTGCGGAGCCACACCGCCGCAGGTAGGGGGGAGGGAGGGGGTGCTTTGGGAGCGCCAGTAAGAGCAATGAGGGTTCAACGGAGGGTTGTGTCGTGTCCGTCGTACAGCTGCCTGGGGTCGATGTGTGTGCCCGCCCGTTCGTCTTCGTTCGCGTCTCGCCGTATGCTTGCTTTCCGTCCTGGTCTCCCCCATGCTGACCGCTCCTTTTGCTGTCCGGCCCCTCCACGCTGCTCCGCCTGACGCCCGCACCAGGCTCTGTCCCTGAGCGGCTGGGCGGTGGCGGCTGCGGAGGCGGCAACGCAGGGAGCGGCGGCGGAGGGAGGCGGAGGCGGGGGCAGTGAAGAGGCTCCGGTGCCCACCCCCACACGCAAGCGGGCTGTCATGTCGCCGGCTGGGGTGAGAGGTCGGGGCCGGGTGCGGTGAGGGATTCACACCAGTCGTACAGAACACGAGTTTTACGCCTCCGGATGTACGGCTGCGCTGATTACCTGCCTGATGTCGGCTGTCCGCAGCTCGCCCGCTTGCATACATAAACCGCTTCGCCTCCCCCGCTATTGATACTCCTGCTGCTTCACTTCTCACTTACCGGTATTTCCCGCGCCCCCCCCCCCAATTACCGACGGCGACCTGCCTATTGTGGTTCCTCACCTCAGACCCTGATAAGCTTGCCGCCGCTAGCCACCGTCGCAAGCGGCCGCCAAACCACACCCATCGCCGGCGGCGGTGGCGGCGGCGGTGGAGCCGGCATCAGCACCCCCGTCGACGGAGGCGGCTCGGCCGCCAAAGACGCCGCCGCCCGCAGCGGCAGCGCCACTCGCCGTCGCGTGGTCGTGTCGTACAATCGCCGGGATTCTGACGTTGAGGATGGCGGCGGCGGAAGCGGCGGCGGCGGTGAGGTTGCGGGGCCGCCGGCGGGTGAGGCCGTACATGCCGCCGCCGCTGCCGTACAGGTTCCCGTGCCGCCGCCGCCGGAGGCTCTGCAGCACCTGGCGGCGGAGCATGGCATTGTACTGCCGGGGCCGGAGCCTGAGTCAGCAGCGGCGGCGGACGGGGCTGGCGGCGGCGGCGACGGCGCCACCGCTGTCGTGAAGCAGCTAGCGGCGGCGGCGGGGGGTCCCAGCTTTGAGGGGGAGGTTAAGGAGGTCTCGCCGCGCGAAGCGGCGCCGCCGCCACCTAAGCGCCTGCATGTGCAGGAGGCGAGGGATGTGGCGGGGGCAGCGGAGGCGCTGACGCCGGTGACCGGCGCTGCTGGCGGCGTGGGCGCAAGCAATGTCAGCGGCGGCGGCGGTTCAGCTTCCACCGCACCTGGTGGCGGCGGTGGCGGGGTTTCCAGTGGCGGCGGGGATAAGCCCTCAGCGGCGGCGGCGCCACCGCCGCTGCCGCAGCTGGCGTCGGAGGCGCCGTCCGGTGAGGGCCCGGCGGTGGGATCCGCGCCGCCACCTGCGGCGGGCGGAGCTCCTGCGGCGGCGGCGGCGGCAGCACCGCTGGTGGGTCTGACGCCAGATGCTGACGTGGCAGCACGTGACGCCGCGAAGGCGCCCCTTGTTGTGGACAAAGCTGACGTCTGTGGGACGGCAGGGTTTGCGACGAAGGATATGGGGGCGCCGCCGGCGGCGGCGCCACTCGCCGCCAAGGCCCCACCAGCGGCGGCGGCGGCGGCGGTGACGGCGAGCGTGAAGGGCGGTACCGTAGCGAACTCGCCTGACAACAGCAACCGGAAGAGCAGTGGCGGCGGCAGCAGCGGCGGCGGGGCCACCACCGCTGCCGCTGGTCAAGCCAGCAAGGGGGAGGGTGGTGGCAAGGGTGGTGGCAGAGGCAAGGGAAAGAACAAGGGCAAGGGCAAGGCCTAAGGCGACGGGAGCAGCAGGCGCGGCGGTGCCGGAGTAAGCAAGCAGTATGGTAAAACGATTGCGGGGGAGGGAGGTTGTGTTGCATCAAGGGACGACAGACCCCACAATGTGGCAGCATGCGCTCCTTACAACGATGGGTTTTAAGCAAGCACGACTGTGCTCTTCTTCTTTAGCAGAAGCTAACGGCTGTGCGCTGATGACGGGAGATGCATGGATGTACGGCGTAAACGTCTTAGCAGCAAGGAGCGGTTGGGCATCAAGAATCTTTCGGCGGGGCTGTGAGGCCCCAGACATGGTGCCTTTTGTTGCCGTATAGTTTGTTCAGCTGGTTATGATTTCCTTGGGTGCAAAGCCACGGATGTAGTGTCTACGTCAACTTGGCGGCGGGTTGGGATGAGATTCTGGAACTGATTAATGTGGGTACTTTGACGGCGTGCCGATGTCTTCCGACGCTGCTGTCTCCATGCAGTCATGCATGCATGTTTTTACGAAGGAGGAGACGGAGGCAGAATGTGGTAGGTGCATGCGGGCTTAGGAAAGATGTGCGCGTACGGAAAGCAACACGTAATGGTTGCCGCGCATCTTTCCCCATTCCGCATCAGGTATTTGGCAGGCAGGCAGTCACATGCACAATTCTGTGGCTCTCAGATGTTACTATAGTTGTTCACGCTTCAGGCTTGTGTGTGCATGCGGCGTGCCTACCTCAATTTCAACACGGTTCCATGCCTCCATGCGCAGAAGGGATGCTCGGGTCTTTTGCGGAGGCTTGTTAGAGGGCTGACGAAACTTGCAGTTACCCTCCTTCGCCGCCCAGGCCGCACGCATGCCGTGTTTTGCAGGATGATAGCCTGGGCAGGCGATGAGAGCCATGGGCGCTGGCAGGCTGTAGCTCTAGCAAGTTGCTGTTGTAAAACTTCAGTACTTCTTCTTACCAGACGCTTCGTGTTAGCGGCTTCAAAGCATCTGTGCTGAAAGATAGCGGGGCTGGGGCGAAGAGATGCATGGCACTAATCAAGGTGATGTGAGGGAGGCTCGCCAACACCTAGGATTGGAGTTAGGAGCATGCCTAATTCCCCGTAGGCTTACATTTCTATATTCGCACTTTGCATGTTGGCGCGTTTCACAGCGAAGGTGTGCGGGTTACCGACTGTGGGCTGGCCCCGTGTGCTGCAGCTCATCCGAACCACACGTTTGCGTGTGGCGTGCATGGTCCTGGATTGCCGCCAAAATGCTTTAACTATCAGTAAAGTATACAGGTGTATTGTTATTAACTGGGCGCGCGCAGTCTGGGTGCAGCGTAGTTCGGCGCATCTGACATCAGCCGAGGGTGGCAAGAGGCCATCACCAAGCGCGGAAACGTTACAAGTCCATGAACGCGGCGGGCAAGACAAAGTGGGAAGCATGAAAGCTGTATGTGCGTCAGCCTCACAGCTGGGCGATTACTCGGGCTCCGGTACGCGATTACATCCGTCGCGTGCTTACATTACTAGGTAAGTTACTTAACCACAATGGAAGACGATGAATACGCCTTCGTGTCCATTATGCATGGCAGTGTGCAGGATGTAGCAACGAGTGGCCCACCTTGCGACAATCTGTGCAGCATTGTACGACATGGCTCCAAACTTTCAATTTCGCGCGTATAAAAGCAGACCACCCATACGAGCTAAGGCTAAAACAACTATCTGCACACAAGATTACTATACACCGAGTAATAACAAAAAACAACAATGTCGGGCCCCCTCAAGGACGTTCAGCCTCAGCTAATGTCTCCTCCTCGGTCCGGCATTGCCGGTTCCAAGACTGCAACTCCTAGCAAGGCCGGCACTCCGAAACGCAAGTCCAACAACCCTGAGGACCCTTCGCCGTCCAAGGCGTCCAGGTCTAGCCATCTGCATAACCTCTTCACCAGCCCGCGCAAGAGCATGCGCGAGCACGAGCCCTTGCTAGATGAGAACCCGGACCGCTTCTGCATGTTTCCAATTAAGTATCCTAAGATTTGGGAGATGTACAAGAAGGCGGAGGCCAGCTTCTGGACCGGTACGCTTCAGTCCGCGGACATGGATGACGTTCGCACCTTTTGCCCCGAAGCCCTTGAGACTTTACATAATGTGCTCTATTTCGTATTGCTTTGCAGCTGAGGAGGTTGACCTTGGCGACGACATGAAGCACTGGGAGAAGTTGACAGATGGGGAGCGGCACTTCATTTCGCACATCCTGGCCTTCTTCGCGGCCAGCGATGGCATCGTGAATGAAAATTTGGCGATCCGCTTTATGAAGGAGGTGCAGCTGCCCGAGGTGAGGAAGCTCGTCAACCGTCTTGGCTCTTGTGCCATACACTCTGACGCTCCTTGCTCCTGGGTACCTACCGCATATTTCTTTTCCGTGCTGAGCTCTTACTAAGCCCAATACTTGTTCCCCGCAGGCGCGTGCCTTCTACGGCTTCCAGGTCGCCATCGAGAACATCCACTCCGGTGAGAACACCTCTGTTTCCCCGACATGTTGCTAACACGACCCAGTCTGCTTACGCTTACCTGACCGACCTTCTTATCCTAAGCCTGAAGGCCTCTAGCGCTAGTCTCATGTATTAGATAGGCCTTCTTTGGCTCCGAACGGTTTATCCATTCTATCCCTTTCCTTTCACCACGACACAGCTTTAACCCACCTTCTAACCTCGCTTCCCGCTTTCTCACAGAGATGTACTCGCTGCTGTTGGAGTCGTACATCAAGGACCCCGCCCTTAAGCACAAGCTCTTCCACTCGATCGAGACGGTGCCGTGCATCAAGAAGAAGGCGCAGTGGGCGCTGAAGTGGATTGGCAGGTGCGAGGGGAATGGGGCAATAATAAGTTACGTCCTGCAGCTTTCCAAGTTCGCGTTGACCATCAGACAATCAGCCGTCGTTGCCATGACTGCAGTTTGCTCTCTAATTATCTTACTCTACCACAAGCCCATAACCTATTCCCCCCACCTCATCCCCACAGCGACAGCACCTTCCCCGAGCGCCTTGTTGCCTTCGCCGCCGTGGAGGGTATCTTCTTCAGCGGCTCCTTCTGCTCCATTTTCTGGCTCAAGAAGCGCGGCCTCATGCCCGGCCTCACCTTCTCCAACGAGCTCATCTCGCGAGACGAGGGCCTGCACACCGACTTTGCCTGCCTCCTTTACAGGTAGGCGAAGTAATCCACTCGTGCCTTGTAGCCGCTTTGCTACCTTGTAGCGCAGTACGTTCCTTTTTTTTCGTTGCTTCTTTAGCCACGATGTTTCCTGGGGTCCTTACTGCTTACAGCATGCTCAACCACAAGCTGGACGAGTCGCGCATCCTGGAGATCATTACCGAGGCGGTCGAGATCGAGCAGGAGTTTTGCACGGACGCCCTGCCTGTCGACCTCATCGGCATGAACTCGCGGCTCATGGCGCAGTACATTCAGTTTGTGGCGGACCGGCTCCTCGTGGCGCTGGGCTGCAGCAAGAGCTTCAACGTCGCCAACCCCTTTGACTTCATGGACATGATCTCGCTGCAGTGAGTAAATCTCTAAATGTTTAATTGTTTGCGTATATGATATCTGCACAGTTGGTGGTGTACTTGAGCTGCATGCTCGCTGTACGGCCCAGTTGTTTTGCACGTTAGCCTGCAGTTCTACTGGCACTGACTTATTGCCGCGTTGTTTCTATCCCCTAGGGGCAAGACCAACTTCTTCGAGAAGCGCGTGGGCGACTACCAGAAGAGCGGCGTCATGGCGGGCCTGCAGGGCAAGGTCCAGAACTTCTCCATGGACGAGGACTTTTAAACGCCCGCAAATCAAGGCCCGCTGTCCATGCGAGGCAAGAAAGAGGAAGCTACAACCGCTGGCACGGCACGGCGGAGCTTCAGACTAGTAGTTGACTGACTGTTTGTTGACTGATGGAGGACCGGACAGCAGGGGGTAGACTGCCGTAGACATGGCACAGGACTGCTTTCCTGGTCGATGATGTTGACTTGACATGCCATTGCATGTGACAATCATGTTGTTTGGGCTGCCGTTCTGAGCAGCCTGGTCGGTAATCAATTGCCTGCAGCTGTGTGGCCACACGCGCGTGCGTGCGGACAACCCTCCGCCGATCCTTAGGTAGTGGCGCACGCGCAGTATTCTTTATACGCCATGGCGATATGCGATGAGATGTGCGTTCGCTGGCTGGTTGCTACCCGTGGCTTGATAATGTTTCTGACGAGCTACGCATTTTATTGTGCGATTTGCCTACCTGTGTACATATAGAAGTCAAGCTTACACTTGACTACACTGTTAGGGTTTGCCTGGAAGGCTGCCCTGGGTTTTCAGTTCTTGGTTATATTTGTCTTTCTCAAGCAAATGAACGAGCCTTGGGAGTGAATGCAAGGGATCTTGCTTTGTATGAGCGTTGCAAGTTGGAAGGAAGTCTGGCAACCACAGCATCTGTCATACCGCATTCGGGAGGACGGTGGGGAGACCAATGGCTTCCTCAGAGACCTTGTACTCCTCGCTGTGGTTAATATTGTATTAAAAGGTTTCCCTAATGTAACGTTTCCACAGCAGAAGGTCTATGCCCAGCGAACTTTTAAATCTACCAAAATCTGGATTTACTTTACATTTGGTGCAACTGTAGCCCACGAACAAACACCATAACCAAGGCATGGTTCATATCGATGCAAAGATTCCTATACCGTAGTATTGCATGTTGCACATAAAACTACGCCAGTCTGAACGGGAGGGTAAACATCAGACATCGGCAAACGCTTCGGAGAGTTCGGGTCGTACCGAAGTTCCCGAAACAGAAATTCGGTATCCGAAGCTACCCATGCGACAGAAATAGGCCCTCGTGCTCAGGCGGGCAGCCCCTTACAAGCCCCAGAGACCATTTTGACCCCCACCGAAGCACTGCGGACACACAATTACTGCAAAAAGGGTGCAATTTCTGTTCCCTAAGCCCTTAAATTCCAAAATTTTCTCCGGGGGCTTCGCCCCCGAACCCCCATTCAAGGAAAATAGGACAAGTACATGGATTGGGCAGTCAAGGAATAGGCGCGCCGCCCAAAAGCGTGTTTTTAAGAGCGCTTAGAGGGCATACCGAAATAGGACCTTCCCGAAGCCGAAATTCCGTGTTTGCCGACGTCTGGTAAACATACCAACCAATTTGCATACCGATACAATGTGCTATCAAACATATGCAGTGCTGTAATTGAAACGCAACATAAATTGTTTGTGGAACCGTTCGCTCAATAGTGACGGTCGGCTGTATGAAGCCTGCCGCTCACGAGTTGCTTTATTAATCAGTATGCTGTTATGTAGTATACGTCTGTTTTAAGGTTGGGGAGTACTATACCCGGTCCGATGTCCCCATGCCTCCCAAATGCCCCACGAGCCATACTGAGGTCAACCACCTTTACATGCCTTGTGTGGATATGTTGCTTCAAGTTGTTGGTAGCAGAAGTCCGGCAAACTTGCCGGCCACCAGCTTTGGATGAGACGGTGATGCCTCGCGAGAGATGTGGGGTCCTTCGAAAGGTCTGCGTCGATCAGGGGAACATCATCTCCTTTGACCCTGACTATGCGTATGGCCGTGAAAATCCTTCAAGGGGCGCACGGCTCCCGGCTCCCTTACCTTACTTGACGTAAGATGGGTGGGGCTGCCACCCACTGGGTCCTCTGCAAAATGTCTAGCTTCCACCCTTGAGATCGAAGCACCTCTTGCTACGTTGGAATAGAGCTGGGACTTAATCACAATTTATCAACCCATTTCCCTTTCTCCACCCTAACCCTCCCTATGCTCCCCCTCCATGTATGCTCCTCTTCCGTTTTCCATCCTATCGCCATATGCACAGCACTTGGGACGGCGCCTGGAACATCCCTGGAGCCATCAACACTGATGCCATCGTGGGCAATCAGGTGCTTGCTTGCATGCATAATAGCATGTTTTGAGTATCACGCTGCGCCCCAGTGCTCCCCTCCGCGTCCCTCCTCCGCCCTCACCTCCCTGCCTGCCTCCCCCTTGTACACAGGATCGGCACCGGCTGCTGCTCCGCCCGGCCACTCGGCTGGAACCGCGACCACTGCTGCAGCAAGCAGCCCTGCAACTGGAACTCAGCCTGCAGCAGCCGTCTGACCCCTCAGCCCTCCTCAATAACACCTCCTCCTCCTCACCCTCCCCCGCCTCCCCCTTCTCCCGCTGCACGCTGCCCGTGCTGCTGTTCACCGACTGGCCCTTCAACTACTGCGAGTTTTTCACCAACGGAGCCACCGCGGCTGACCACCTGATCAGACGCATGGCCTTGCTGCCGGGTGAGGTCGGAGGGGCGGGGCAGGGCGACGAGGCTGAGGGAGGAGAAGGAGAAGGGCGGGTCCGGGTTAGGCTGGGTGCGCCGCTGCGCCCTCCAGCTGCGTCTGGTCTGGTGTGGCTTGGGTCTGATTACAGGAGATTGGGTAGCTAGCTGGGAGCGCAGTGAACAACATCCTATTGTACCGGTACTTCATCCCCCCACTCCTCCTGTTTAACCCGCACGCCGATGTTTCCTCCTCTCCCTCACCCTCCTCTCCTCTTCCCCCAGACCGCGAGGCTACCCTGGTGCTGGTCACTCCCTCCGGCCTGGGCCGCCTGCCCTTCCACTCCGCCCTGCTGGGCCACCTCAGCACCAAACCCCTCATCACGCTGGGGGAGCTGGCGGCGGGGGCCGAGGCGGCGGGGGCGGGGGCGGAGACAGGGGCTGGTGCGCCGGCCGTGGAGTGGTCGGCTGAGGGCGTGGCTGTGGGGTGCTTTGAGCGGGTGGGTGGGTGGGGGGATGGGGGGGATCGGCGCGGTACCGGTACGAAAGGGAAAGGGCAGGTGTGGAAGGTTTGGCGCAGAAGCTGTACTGCAGTGGAAGGAGGACTGAGGGGCGCTGTGTGGGGGAGGAAAGGTAGGGTGGAAGTTGCGGGCCATGTGGTTTCCAGTGAACCGTTGCATGTTCCGATCCCCACTCGTCCCCCTGCCAACCCCGCTCCTCCCGCCCTACTCCCCCCCTCCCCCCCCCCCCTACCCCGCCGCCCCCCAGATGGTCATCTGCAAGCTGGAGGGCTCCCCGCAGCTCCCCACCCTCACCGCCGCAGCTGTGCTACGACACCTCACCCAGCCCAACATGGGCGGGGAGCTGCCACCCGACCCACTGGGGTTCAACACCGCAACCACCACCACCGTCTCCTCCTCCTCTGCGTCCTCGGCCCTTTCCACCACCACCTCCGTCCCTGACCCAACCGCTGGTGCCAGCAGCAGCACTGGCAGCAGCAGCAGCAGTACCGCAGACGCGTCCTCTACGTTGCGGGTGGTGATCGAGGCGCGCAACTCGGGTGTTCGCGGCATCCGCAACCTGCATCAACTAGTGGAAGCGTGCGAGGGAGTGAGCTGGCCGGGTAAGGGGGGCAGGGGGCAAAAGCAATACAGAAGAAGCACAACAAGCCCAACAAGGACGGACTGGGGTTCCGACACTGCCTCCAACCCGGTATACGTTACCCTCTCGCCCCCTCTTGTGTCCCCCTGTGCTTTCTACCCTGAAGCCCTGATCTCACCGGCCCTATCCCAACCCGCAGACGGCCCTTTCCGCCGTGTCTCCTGCCGCGTGCTCACCACGCACGATACCCCCAACCTACACGGTATCGCACGATTCCGAGCCACCGTGGCTGCCGTACGATCCGCTGACGTACTGGTTACCGTACACGGAGCCGGATCCGCGAATGCGCTCTTCATGCGCGCCGAACGCAGCAGCGACGGACCCGTGGGTCACTCATCGTCAGCGCCTCTTTTAAGCGGCACATCTGCAGCAGCGTTATTAGAGATCCGGCCATGTGGTTTCGGATCTGGATTTACCTGGTGGGTTGATGTACACATGGCGATACAGCTACCAAGATCCGGGGACGACGTACATTTCCATGCGTACAATTTGGAAGATCCCACTCAATGTACGGCATCTAGTTGGGAACTTGCCATAAAAGCCGGCAACGGTGGAAGCAACACCCGTGCGGGTAACGGTCACCGGATGCGAGACCAGAATCTGGTCGTACGGCCAGATGGTTTTTTCGCCATGCTACGGCACGTAGCTAGCATGCTGCGAGACCCGGAAAAGTACGGCAAAGCTAAAGCTGAAAACCAGTTGCATGGGTATGCGATGCCCAGTCCTGGTGGGGATGCCGCCGGCTGGGGGTCCGGTACAGGATTCGGAGGAGGACAGGTGGGGCAGGGCGGGGCAGCAGCGGGGCAGGCGGGGTTAGGCGGCATGGGGTTGTGGGGTCCGAGCGGGGGTGTGCTGCTCGGGCCGTTGGGCGTTACCAACTTCACAGAGCACATTAGGAAAGGGGGGCAGTGGCTGCTGCCGCCTGGCTAAGAGAGAGGAGCAGGAATAGGAGGACGGAGGGAGGAGAGGCCGAATGTACGGTTTATGGTAGTGGCAACGGTGCAGTACATGATCCCTGGTATGTATATCTCATTTTGTGTTCCCTGCGATTTAAATAAGCCTTCTCGCGCTGTTAGGACCGTGGTCCTGCCGTTCGGAGAACTGGATAGCGTAGCAATGGTCGGGATGTGTGGGGAAGTGGCGAGGATGTGAAGGGTGCAGTAGGGTGAATGCTGAGTGGCTTGGGTGTTCACCTTGTCCCATACGGTATTCTTGGAGAGGTTTTTTTATAGGTTATTTTTAAAGTTCTATACTATAGTCTTAACAGCTCTTGCGGTCGGCAGCCAGGAAGCTAGTGAAGAGCTGAATTGCGGTTGGGGCCGGAGACACGGCAATGGATTGGATTGGGCCTTACACACTATTGGTGGAGCTGCTGCTCGCGACAGCACACGGCTCAGTGCAGCGGCGTGCGCCTGCACCCGCTGCACAGCGGAAAACAAAGACGCCCGCGGGCGTAGTAAGCGCCAAAGCGCTGTCCAATAGCGGCCACCCGGCCGCTGGAAAACCCACAGGCGCAAGCAAACTAAACACCGAGATGCTGAAGTCCCAGCCATTCCCAAAAGGGAAACCAGAAGCACACCAGCGGCGCTCAAGCCCTACAGCCCATGCGACAACCCATGCCCCGCCTAACAAGCATTCATAGCTCCCGCCGCCTCCATAGGCGGCGTGGATAACGCTACTGCTGCACTCATGTTGCCCGCCGCTGCTCCCCAGCCTCTCGTGTGCTGTCGCGCCATTGAACCTGGGCCGAGCATGGCTTAACGCGGAAGACACTGGTCAGGGAGGGCGGGGGGAAGTTACGAGCAACAAAGCTCCAATAGTGAAGGCAGAATGCCGAACTATGGAGCTGTCAGACCTTAAGAGACAGCGAGAAGGACGAGCTGTACGACTGCCGTATAGAATCTAACTTAGAGAGCTATAGTCGCTGCTCTCCTGCCGCTTCCAAGTAACAATTATTAAAGCGAACACTGTGTAATGGGCAGCCGCGCTGGAGAGGTAGACTGGTGGTGGCAACACTGCAACTTGGATGTGAAGCCACGGTTCATTAGTTCGTGAGTGTGTTGCCGTGTGAGCGCTGAGCGGTTGTCTGCCACAGCGTAGTGCGTGCTTCCTAGGGGCATGTTCAGCCTAGGAGGTTGCTGACATGCTGAGCCCATCCAGCTTGCCCAGGCCGGTGGTTAGCCGTCATGACACGGATCATTTGTCAATGCCGCGGCGCAACCAAAGGAATAGCGGTGGATGCCAAAGGGTTCGTGCACTGTCACGTTTAGCCCTAACAGAACGACGTCTCTGGTTAAGCCACGTAGTGAAACAGCGGTCCAGGGCCGAAACCGCAGGCATCGCTCCTGCTCAGGCCCGGTCAGACCGTTTTCTTATGCTACACAATGGGAAGACGCACATAAGAGTCTCATACGTGAATTGACGCGACATAGGGGCTTCAGCCATCACAGTGTATGTGGTTGTACGACAAAGCATGCTCAGCTTGTTTGGCCCGTTCTGAGGCCTCATCATACCAACTTACAGCATGTTGAGGGTTACGGAAGCATAGGGAAGGCTGTAGAGGTCCACTGGCGTGAACCTGAGGCCTGGGCAGCCCAGGTTGTACGGCAAAGCATGCTCAGCTCCGTTGGCCCGTGCTCAGGCCTCACCAGACCACCCCGCAACATGGGAAGGGTTACGTCAGCCCATGGAAATCTGTTGGAGGTCGTCTATTGGGAACCTGAGGTCTGAATAGCCCTGTGCAGCCATGAGCATGTGTTGTACGGCAAAGCATGCTTGGGGCCCGCAGGGACCGTTTAAGTGCATCAAACGAACCCAGATAAGCTCTTCCTTAGCAAATAATATACGCGCATAGGAATTCCCTTATACTCTATTTGGCATCGTGTATCCAAGGACATACAGACAAGTACTTGTCGCACCTGTACCGTTGCCCTTTATCGCTACTTCGCTTTGTTGTTAACATTTTATAGGCTTCCAAGGTGCAACTCGGAAGTTGTAAGCACTGGCCCTAGGCGGAGCCCAGTAAGCGAGCGAAAGCGCTCTAAGGTCTGGTATGGCTGTACGGCTCAACCGCCAAAAAAGCGACCAACCGTCTCCTAGAGGCTACTGTGGAATTATATGAAATTTGACGTTGTTAGAACTCTCGTTCTTCCGTTTTCCTATAACGGCCTTCGGGCCTACAAGCGGCGGACGGCTTGCATGAGACAACGCGCTTTGCCGCAACAATACCACGTTGTTATAAGAACAATAAAAGCTGTTGTTTCTGGATCGTGTGAAAGTTACAAAATCACCCATTAAAATCGGGCGACGCTGAAGCCATGGAGCAGCAACAGGCAGCCGGGAATCCGGCTATGGAGCTGGATCAACTGCTGATGGCTTGCCTTTCCAACAATACTGAGGTGGGACTGTATAATCGCCGCATCGCGTTATGTGTATTGAGGGAGGTGCGCTTCGTCGACGGCGGCGGCCATTACGCGATTACTCTTTGGGTCTGGTCGCCTTGGGCTTTCCGGCCTAATCACGTGTCAGCCTCTGTTCTTCTCCCATAGAACCTTAGTTACAGTTGAGCATGCCACTGAAAACATGCGGTCAACTGCCATCCTTACTCGCAATGCACTGATGTCTAGGCCGGATTCCCACCTTTGCGAAACCTCAGTAAGCAGCTACCATTTCGCTACGGACCACAACTTTACCCTCCCTCCTCCCCCCTCCCCCCCGCCGCTCCAGGCGATCAAAGCCGCGGAGGCCTCCCTCAAGCGCCTCACCGCCTCCCCCGCCCTCCTCCCCGAGCTCCTGGCCCGCGCCGCCGGCAGCCCCGCGGCGGAGGTACGACAGCTCTCTGCCGTACTGCTGCGCAAGGCAGTCACCAAACACTGGACCAAGCTATCCGACTCGGTAAGGAGCCAAGGACCGAGCTGCCCAATACCACCACATCACCAGCAGGGCAGGAATACCGCCAGACGGCTGAAGCCTTGCTTTTACCCCACCCACAACTTCCCTCCTCCTCCTACCGGTACCTCCCACCGCCTTATACACTAACTGGTAACGGTAACCCAATCCACAGCAATCAACCCCACATCACAAACCCACATCACCCCCATGTTGCAAACCATGATGACGCCGTATCACACAGTCAGTTACTGGTAGCTGTCTCCTCTTTACCCCTCCCCCCTTCCCCTCCCCTCCCCTCCCCCGCCCCGCCCTCCCCCCAGGATCGCGCCCACATGCAATCCGTCCTGCTGGACCGGCTGGTGAGCGAGCCCGCCCACCCCGTGCGCCGCTCGCTGGGGCACCTGGTGGGGGTGGTGGCGCGGTATGCCGTACCGCGGGGGCAGTGGCCGGGGCTGCTGGAGTTCCTGGGGCGGTGCAGCGGCAGCGGGGAGGCGGGGCAGCGGGAGGTGGCGCTGGGGCTGCTGGGGCAGCTGGCGGAGAACCTGGGTGAGGGGGGGGGTGATGAGTGCAGCAACGGGACTCCAATCGGGGGGGAGAAGGGGAGGGGGTGCGGTGGAGGGGGGTTGGGAGAGGCGGTGTGTTTTCGGGTTGGAGGGTGGGATGGCAGTGTGGGTCGGATTAGAAGGACGATGTGGGTCGGAGCAATGGGAATCAGAAGGGCTTGGAGGGCTTAGAAGGGCTTGGACGGAGCTCGCCGCTTGTACAATGCGGTTGTATCGGTGCGACATCCTCACTCTCAGTCTGCCCAACGTTCTTCTCACCTCTCCCTCCCCTCCTCCCTTTTTCCTCGCGGCTCGGCTTACCTTATCCCTTCCTCTCCCCTCCCTCCCTCCCTCTCACCTCACCTCCCCCCCCAGGTGAGCACCTGGCCCCCCACGTCTCCTCCCTGCAGCAGCTGGTGTCCGCCGGCCTGCGCGACCCCGCCCCCGAGGTGGTGCGCGCGGCGGTGCGGGTGATGGAGCCGCTGGCGGGGCTGGTGGCGGGCGGGGGGGCGGCGCAGCTGGAGGGCTTCCACGGGCTGGTGGGGGCGGTGATCGAGGTAGGGGAGAGGGAGGGAGGGGGGGAGGGGAAGGGGGGAAAGGGAGGGGACGAGGGGACTTCAGGAGGCGGGAGAGTACCCTAGTCACACTGCGCCAGCCGCGGTGTCGCACACCCCTAGCTCGTCATCATCCCCTAACTCATTCGGTAATTACATTCCCATCCTCATCTCCCTCTCTCCAACCCGTGTCCTCAACACACATCCGACTCCCCTCCCCTCCCCCCCCCTCCCCATGCGCTCACTGCATGAGTCGGGATATGGGATTGGGACTCGTTGTTTCACATATTTAATTTTTTTCCCCCCTCCCCTCCCCCCCACCCCCACCCCCAGGTCGCCTCCCGCGCCCAGTCCGCGCAGCCGCACCCCGACAGCGACACGTTGCTGAGCTGCCTGCAGCTGCTGGTGGAGCTGGCGGAGGCGCCCGCACCGCTGCTGGGGCGGCAGCTGGGGGCGGTGGTGGGGCTGGCGCTGGGGGTGGGCACGGATGCGAGGGGGGAGCTGGAGACGCGGGAGGCGGCGCTGGAGGTAGGGAGGGGGGGAGGGGGAGGGGGAAGAGGAATAAAAGCTACCATGCTGTGAATGAACGATACGAGGAGGGGAGGGATGTGCGGTAACCTGGGTTGCCGTAGTTTCTTACCGGTACACACTTGTGAGGACATTTCGGAGCTCACGTTACGGTACGTTTCTTACTCGCGGCCCACCTCCATCCTCGCCCCCCCCCCAGGTCATCCACTGGGTTGCCCGCTTCAAGCCCAAGCAGCTCTCCCGCAGCAAGGAGCAGGTGCGGGCGCTGGTGGGCGCGCTGTGCACCATGGCAGCGGAGCCGCCCCCGCCCGACCTAGACCCGGAGGACGAGGGCACGCTGCCGCCCGCCAAGCTGGCAACGCAGGCGCTGGACTCGGTGGCGCTGCACCTGCCGGCGCAGTGCGTGTATCCTGCGGTGAGGAGCGAGGGGGGGGGAGGGAAGAAATGAATGAGCTGTACGACGAGGCTTGACCACAGGTTGATGCTTGAACCCGGTCCCGAAAAGGGGGGGAAGGTGGGAAAGAAGAATACCCATTGTGGGGGGAGGGAGGGGTGGTGGTGCTAAGGAAACTGGCCGCGAGTGGAAGTGTATTGTGCAGGGCGGCCCTGGTGCTGCTTCGTTGGGTTGGCGACTTTCCTTGTCATGAAAGATAGGCTTACACCCCTGTTACACCCCTCCCCTCCTTCCTTGCTTTAACCACCATCTCGGCTCGACTCACGGTTGTTTCCACCAGGGATTGTCAGTAACTTGTATCATTATCACACCACTCATTGGAATTTCTTTTTTCCCCTCCTCCCTGATCCCCTCCCTCCCTCCCGCCTGCCCACCCCCCAGGTCCTCTCCTTTGCCCGCGAGGCGCTGTCCTCCCCCTCCCGCGCGCACCGCGAGGCCGCCCTCACCGCGCTGGCAGTGGTGTTCGAGGGGTGCGCGGAGCCGCTCAGGAAGAGGCTCAAGGTGGGGGGGGGCGGGTTGCAGGAGGAGGGGGTGGGGGGGACATGGAGGTGGGGGTACGGAGGTGGTGTGAACCCGTGTAGGTGGGCCCCTGGGCGGCGGCGGACCGTTGGAAGGTAGCCCCCGCCATGCCGGTCTCGCCTTCACCCCTGCCCCTCCCCACCGGTTAGCCCTACACACCCCGCTCCCACTCCTCTTACACCCCTCCCCCCCTTCCTGCTCCCCCAGGACGTGATGCCGCTGCTGCTGGCTGGCCTCCGCGACCCCGAGGCGCCCGTGCGGGGTGCTGCCGCCTTCGCCCTGGGCATGGCGGCGGAGTTCCTGCAGCCGCACATCGTGGAGTACTACAAGGAGGTGGGGGGGGGGGGGGGGGGGGGAGGGAGGGAGGGGATTAACTGAAGGAGGGGCAAGGGGGATGAACAGTGAAGTAACGGAGTCCCAATCTCCACCCCGCTCCCCACCCCCCTCCTCGCCGCTCCCCTGCCCTCCCACCCACCTCCCCAGGTCCTGCCGCTGCTGTTCCCGCTGATGGCGGAGGGCAATGCGGAGCTGTGCGAGCGCACCTGCTACGCGCTGGACACCTTTTGTGAGGCGCTGGAGGTGAGGAGAGGGAGAAAGTGTGGGTGGGAGGGAGGGGGGGAGGAGGGGGGGAGGAGGGGGAGGGAGGGGGGGAGGAGGGGGAGGGAGGGTGGAAACTGGATGGGAGAGGTTCATAGGACGCCCGTGTTGATAAGGCGTGCATGATTCTCTTTCTTTCCCCTCTTCCCCCCTCCTAACCTGTGGTTCTGTGTATCTCTTACACCCCCCCCCTCAACCCCAGGGTGCCGAGATCGTGGCCTACCTGCCGCAGCTGGTTTCGGGGCTGTGTACGGTGCTCAGTGTCACGGGTCCTGCCGTACAGGTGGGGAGCTGTGTGTTTTCCTGGCATGATGCATGCGTTACACACATGCGCGTATAGATCGTATCCACAGTCCAAATACTGAAGTAATAGTAGAAGGGAATAGTACTAATAAACTCGTGGTAGTTGAATGCCCCGGAAGCCCGTACACATGGCGTGTGTGGCACGCCTGAGGTGTGTTTGCCGAAGGGCATCGCGCTGCGCCCCCCCCCCTGCCCCCCTGCCGTACACAGGAGCTGGCGCTGTCCGCGCTGGCGTCAGTGGTGGCGGCGGCGGGGAGGGAGTTCGAGCCGTACCTGGGTGGGTGGGGGTTGGGATGAGGCTTGGGTTGGGGGGGTTTGGGGTTGCAACCTGTATGCGAAACCCACATGCAGGTGCCCCCGCAGTGCCGCTGGTAGGACACACGCACATATCACGTCCACATCCGCATGAGCCCCCGCCCCCTCTCCTTCTTCCCCCCTCCCATGCAGCCTCCATTCTTCCCGCGCTGCACCACTTCCTCTCCTCCTCCTCCCCCGCGCTGCTGCCCTGCCGCTGCCGAGCCACGGAAACCGCGGGGCTGCTGTTTGAGGGGCTCATGGGTCAGGGAGCGGCCGGGAGTACGGCAGGCCAAGCAGGTCAGGGTGCAAGTACGGCAGGAGGAGGAGGAGGCGGTTGTACGGCACTGCGGGAGCTGGTGCCTGCGTTGATGGAGCTGGGGCTGCAGGTGGGGGGCCGGGTGTTACAGGGACGTTAGAACGTGGGTGGGGGCCGGGTGGGGCAGTGCGGAGGCGTGTGCTCTTGCCGTACCATCGCCTGCGGTGCCACCACCACCAGCACCACCACCACCAGCAGCCTCTCATGATACCTCATGAAATCATGATAGCCTGCGCACATCTCCGAATACCACCACCACCACCCCACCAGCAGCCGCTCAGGATGCCTGCTAGCTCTCCTCCCCTCGCCTCCCAGGTCAGGAGTGTGTCACCGCGGCTCAGCTGCACTCCTCCCCACCCCCCTCACTTGCCTCGTCCGGTTCCTCGTATCTGCCCCCCAACTCCCGCCCTGCCCCCCACCTGCCCACCCCCCAGGGTTTCAAGCTGGACAGTTCCGAACTGCGGGAGTACGGTCACGGCATGTTTGCATGCATCGCAAAGGTGGGTTGGGAGGAGGAGGGGGAGGAGGGGAGGGAGGGAGGGACAGTTCCCAGCATTGCTACAAAGGAGGGAAGGGGGTCGAGGGACGGGGGTGGGAGGACATGGGCACGAGGACATGGGGGCCCTTGCTATATCGCAGCATACGCTCATTAAACACCTTCACCACTCCCAACGCGCTATGCATGGGTGCTCTCCTTCCTGGTGGCCCCCCTGTGTAGGCCCTAGCTGCGGACTTCCTGCCCTACCTGCCGCACTGCGTCCCCCGCGCGCTGGAGTCGCTGGCACAGGACGACGGGGTGTATGGGGACGAGGATGAGGATGAGGAGGATGAAGACGAGGAGGACGAGGAGGAGGAGGAGGAGACGGACGCGCGGAGAGCGCAGCAGCTGAGCATTCGTACAGGTGTGTGTAGTTGAGCGGAAACAAGAGCAGGCAGTTGGGATAGGTGTGTGTTAAGAAAACTGGCCGCGAGTAGGAACGTACTGGGATGGCGGAAGATGAAGTCCCCACAGAACCGCCGCAGGAGCCGAGGAATATGGTAGCGTATGTAGATATATAAGTCCAGTACTGGTGCTGAGAGTGTGGCTGCTTGATGACAGCACTGCTGCGGTGTCAGGTCCTATCCAGCAGGGCGTGTCGAGGGGACATTGGGAGGTGCGCGCTGCCATGCTCACGTGACACAGCCTTTCACGACCGCCCTTTGCGGAGGAATAGCCGAGCTCATGCACATCCTCCAAACCCTCCTCCCCGCCCTTCCCGATCCCCCGCGCCAGGCGTGTTGGATGAGAAGTGCGCCGCGGTGGCAGCGCTGGGCCACTTCGCGCAGGCCTGCCCCGCCGCCTTCCTGCCCTTCATGGAGGACACCCTGGCGGCGCTCACCAAGAGCGGGGGCGGCATGTGCAGGTGGGGGGGGAGGCAGGGGGGAGTGAGGAGGAAGGGAGAGGGGAGGGAGGGGGGAAATGAGACTGCATGGCAACGGGAAGTGGCGAGTAGTGAGTACACCAAATGGTCCTATCAAAGGGTTTAAACGGAAGTCATTCCAGTAAGTCTCCCTACTCTTCCCCCCTCCCCACCTGCCCCCCCCCTTCCCCCCCCTCCTCCCCACTGTCAGGTACTTCCACGAGGAGGTGCGGGTGCAGGCGGCGGAGGCGCTGCCCCGACTGGTGCTGGCGGTGTACGGCGCCTGCCCGCCGCCGCCGGGGGCCACCGGGGCGGCTGCGGTCACCCCGCAAGTGCGACATGTGCTTGACATTGCGGTCAAGGTAGGGAGGGGGGGGGGGGGGGGGGGGGGTGGATGGGGAGGGTTGAGGTGTGGGGAGGGGGGAGGGGTGAGGGGCGAGGGACAGGATGGGTGGACTGGGATGAGAGGAGGAGGTGCGGGTGGCAGGGGGGGTTATGGCAGGGGGTTGCATGCGAGGTTGTGCAATGAAGGTAGGGAAAGGGGGGCGGGTGTGCGTCTCCTTTGGATGCCGCTGTTTCCCCTCTTAATGCCTATCCCCTTTAACGCCCCCCCTCCTCCCTTAACGCCCTCCCGCCCCTCCTCCCTCCCCTGCCTCAGGAGCTCAGTCGCGCACTGGACGACTCCGACCCGGGGGTCACCACCGCCGCACTGCAGGTGGGGTTGGGTTTGGGGGGGCGTGGGGGGGGTGCATGGAAGCGTGTGTTAGTACGCAGGCCCAACACCCCAACAGGCCTATCATCTTGAGCCTTGAACGCCGGAGGGCAGCACGCTCACAGCCATATAGGCTTAGCCCAACCTACCTGACCCCCTTCCTAACCTCTTTCCCCTCCCTCCCCTCCCCTCTCCCCCCCCCCAGTCCATGACCCTGCTGCTGCGGCAGCTGGGCGCCGAGGCGCTGGGGCCGGAGGTGCTGCAGCTGCTGGCAAATGCGGCAGCGGTGGTGATCAAGGGGGAGGCGCCGTGCCAGGTAGCGGAGAGGGAGGGGCGGGGGGGGGGGGTGCGGGGGGCCATTACCCCGGGGCTGGGGGCCAGGGGGATGAGGAGGGAGAGGGAGCAGGAATCGCTGTTTGTTCTTTCAAAACCCCATGCAAGCCAAACCCCTTTACACCTCGATTCCCCGTCTTACGTCCCAAAATCCTTCCCTCGCAACCTGTGGCACAACAACCAACCCGCGTTCCCCATCCCAACCACAGCGGGTGTTCGAGGACGATGATGACGAGGGCGGTGACGACGACGACGACCCCTCCTCCGGCGGCGACGCAGCGGAGGAGCTCCTGGCAGCAGCAGCCGACCTGCTGCCCGTCCTCGCCTCCTCCGCCGGCCCCGCCGCCTACGCCCCCGTGTTCGAGTCCCTCCACCTGCCCGCCCTGCTCACCCGCCTCAAACCCCAACAGCCCGCGGACTTCCGCGCAGTTGCGGTGGGGGGGCTGGCGGAGGTGGCGGAGGTGCTGGGGGCGCAGCTGGCGGCCAGCAGCGGCGCCGCGGTGGCGGGTGCGATGCCGGGGCTGCTGCGGGAGCTGAGGAGCGAGGAGGCCATCAACCGGCAGAACGCGGCGTTCTGTGTGGGGGTGCTGGCGGCGGGGGCGGGGCCGGGCGTGATGGCGCCGCACCTGGGGAAGCTGCTGCCGGTAAGAGGAGGAGGAGGATAGGGGGGGAAGCAATTCCAATGTGTGGGGGGGGAGGAGGGGAAGGGGAGGGAAAAGAGGGAAAAGAGGAGAAACTACTTCCTGGAGAGGGACGCGACACCCGGTCCCTTTGGTAAAGCTGTCCATCCGTGGTAGCAACCTAGCCAACACAAAAGCGAACCCCAACCAGACATCATCATCCCCACCATCATCCCCACCTCCACCACCTCCACTTCCACCCCCACCCGCAGGCGCTGCACCCGCTGTTCTCCCCCTCCGAGGAGCCCGGGGTGCGGGACAACGCGCTGGGCTGTGTGGGTCGGCTGCTGTCATGCGGCGGCGGGGCGGGGGCGGGGGTGCTGCCGCTGGAGGCGGTGCTGCCGGTGGTGCTGGGGGCGCTGCCGCTGCGTGAGGACGTGAAGGAGGCGGAGCCGCTGTACGGGGCGCTGTGCGGGCTTATGACGGGTGGGGACTGAGGGAGGGAGGGGAGGGGAGGGGAGGGGAGATGGGAGGGGAGGTGGGAAGGGGAGGAGAGGAAGAAGCTAACCGTGTGACGAGGCAGGGTGGATGTGTGTATGCTCTAGACGGGCGAGAGGAGAGCAGAGTGCTGTGTTGTGTATAGCACATTCCTCCAACCTTAACACCCTCCCTCGGTCTCTTCCCTCCCCTGCCCGCCCTGCCCTGTCATTGTTTTTAGCTGTCATTTCACTGGCACCGCACTTTTTGCACCCCCTGCATATCTAGATCATAATACCCATACTGCGCTTGCGCTAAATTAAGCATGCTCGTCCCATGCCGTACTTCGCATCGCCACCTTTCGCATAAATACTAACTCTCGGCATAGTCCCGTCTCTTTCATCATGATAAGCCAGCCATCTTCATCATCATACAGCCTGCGTCGATATACAGCGCAGCTCGCAGCACCAGCACAGCACCGGGACGCCTGCCTGCCTGCTGTTCGCCCGTCGCGCCGCCTTCTTGTGTCTCTGGACGCTTTTCGCTCACTATTAACGAAATTTGGTACGTCTTCGTTGCACAATTTCCTTGCTACGCAGGTCAGTCGGGTTCGGTCGTGGGTGGGCTAGGCTAAAGTTCGACCCAGGGGTCACTTGCGCGGGCGGGCGGGTGGGATGTTTAGGTGCACACAGCCGCATACCAGCCACAGCTTACAGCGCATTTGCGCACAGCAATGCAGTGGAGCTCAGACGCCAGCTTATAGCTCGTCAGGGATTCGTCCAATGATGATGATCTCAGCACAGCCGCCAGCTTATGGAGCTTTATCACGGTTTGTACTTTGTGTGCTGCTACTAACCCAACGAAAATGACTATGCGCAATCCTAAATTCCAGCTTAATGCGGAATCTTCCAACCATATTAATCCCCTGCCTCGCCCCCCAGGCGAGCACGCCCAGCGCATCGCCCCCCTTGTCCCCCAGCTGGTCGCCGCATTCGGGGCCGCAGCGGTGCAGCAGCAGCCGCCCCTGCCGCCCCCCGTGGTGGGGCACATGGCGCGCACGCTGGCAGCCCTCACGCAGCAATACCCCGGACCCATGGGTCAGTTGGTGGCAGCGCTGCCTCAGGAGCAGCGAGCGGCACTGGAGGCAGCGGCGGCGGCGGGAGCAGGGGTGCATTGAGAGGTGGATATGTTCCCCGTATCTGGGGGGCGGAGAGAGAGAGAGACTTGACCAGGCTTGACCATTTGGCATTTTATGGAGCTTTGACAGCGGAGATGGTAGTAGGAGGCGGCAGGGGTCCTGGAGTCTTTCAGATTGCTGAAGGGGATTCTGTGCGGTCTGGGGGTGTGGTGTGGGTTTGTTTGGTTGACGCTGCGGCTTTCCACGGCAGAATGTGACACACAGCTGTGACAGTTAGAACTTGTTGTAGACGGTGGTGGTGGCGGTGGTCTAGCGTGGCCCAGGCGGTGTTAGATAGGCAGTAGCTAGCTGCTCTTGAATAGAGGTAGAGCAGGATACGGCGCATGCTTGAGAAGGTATGTCGGGACCTTTGCCCGCACTGCATGAGCGGCGCACCGCATGCAGGACGGTCGTGCTCGCGCATGGGTTGCTTGCAGCGCTCGGCGGCCCTCCCGCTCCACATTTTCACAATCCTTTCACAACACGCAGAATACCAGATATACGATCAGGACTGCAAGTGGGATACGACAGTCTCACACCGCGCGTGATGTATGACAGGATCATGCAGGAGCGTGCAGGAGCGTGCCCCTATCAGGGAAGCGTGCCATCCTAGCGTAGCCGAAGGGATCCAGCCCTCCGCCAGTCATACCCCCATGCTGCTGATGGGACGAATCCGGCTCATTACCTCCATAGCGTCTCGCCACCTCCCGAGGCAGCTAGGTAATGTTCTCACAGGCCAGACATCGCTTCAAACCGCCTGGACAGCAAAGACGCCTGACGAACCCACACGATCCCAGCATCACACGCACTCCGCAGCCGCTTTTCATCCGCAGCTCCTCAACTTCCCCCACAACTCGTATTACTAGGGTACGAAACACGTTACAACGCCTTACTTCATTATTTTGGCCAGTGCTGCGATCGTGGAGCGCAACAACCTCGCTTGCTGCTGCAGTCCCCGCTGCTGCTGCTGCCGAGGTTGCGCTTGTTCTTGCCGTTGTCCGCCCTCTCTCCTCTGTCGGCTGTTGTCCTCCTGCCCAGCTGCGTCGCTCTCCCTCTGACCACCACTACCACCGCCAGCATCGCCATCACTACCACACATCTTGTCCAGAGCCGTACGAAGCGCCTCGCACTTGAGCACCTGGTCAAGACCCTGCAGTGTGGCGCACGAGGGACGTCGGGATGGCGTGACACACACACATACATGAGCGAAATACACTGAACTGAAACACCGTAAATCCTCATATCGACCCCACGACACAAGAGTAGCATGCTACACACCTTACAAAAGGCCCTAGCAAGCAACCTCGTATCGGCAATCAAGCAAACCTCACCACCCCCCAGCAGACCCTGTGAGGGAACTCCAGATTCCCCTAAGCGGACCCCAAGATCCCCCCTCCCCCTCCCCCACCGTGTCTCATTAAATTTTTACCCCCTCCCCCTCCCCCTCACCTTCCGCGTCATCACCAGCTCCTGCAGCAGCCCCAGCGCCGGCCCCCGCACCGCCTCCCCCTCGCACCGCCCCAGCACCCCCGCCACCGCCCCCGCCACCCCCCGGCTGCCCGCCACCCGCTCCCTAGCTCCTCCATCCACCCGCACCAGAGTGACCAGCAACCCCAGCGCCGAAACCAGCAGCTGCTGCTCCAGGGGAGCGGAGGAAGCTGCACGAAGCTGGCCAAGGAGTACGGCAACTAGTCCGGCGGAGAGAAGGCGTTGTACGACAGGAGGTGAGAGGACGAGGTAGGAGAGGGTGCTGAAGGCGAGCAGGCTGTGCGGGGCGCCCTCGCATGCGGACTCCACCAGGGCTGGGAGGAGGCCGGGGGCGGCGGTGGCGGCGGAGGCAGCGAGCCGGGTGGCGACATCGTAGCTGGGGGCGCGGAGGAGGCAGCTGAGGAGGAGGAGAGGGAGGGAGGGAGGCAGGGATGGGAAGGGAGCGGTGGCGGGCTGGGAGCGACGGCAGGTAGGTTCATGTACCTAAGAGAAGTGGGTACATGATGCATTCCAAGGCCCCTCTACGGTGCCTTGTCCCCAGAGCACTCTCTTGCCCTGCTCCCTCTCGTTCCCGTCCGTCTGGGACACTCCGCTCTCTCCCTCTCCCAACCCACAACGGCGGTAACCCTCCCTCTCCCAACCCACAACGGCGGTAACCCTCCCTCCCCTCTCCCTTCTCCCCCGCCCCTCTTACCCGTTGAGCAGGTGCACTGCCATGGCAGCTCTCAGCGGGTCGCCCCCCGCCGCCGCCTGGGCCCCCCGCGCCGCATAGTGGGCCACCTGCTGATCCAGGGGCAGAATGCTCACCACGTCATCACCGCTGCCGCCAGCCGCACTCCTAGCAGCAGTGGCACTGCCTGCACCAGCGCGGCCGCCGCCGTCGCTGCTGCTGTTATTGGTGTTGCTGTTACTTCCGTACGCAGTCGTGGCTGAGGCGCCCTGGACACCTGAGCCGCCCCTCGGGGCAGAGGTGCCAGCGACATGGGGTGTCCTGCTGGTGGTGATACAGTGCGCGGCACTGGCCCCGCCTGGGGCCACATTGCCCCCGCTGCCGACCCGCTCGCTGCCGCTGTTGGAGTGTGGGTATTGTTGGGAGGAAGAGGCGGGTTGGGAGGTAGGGGGTGCATGTGGGTTGTTGACGGGTGGTCGCTGGGCTGGGCTTCTAGGCGGCAAGGTGCGTTGGATGGGAGCGGCGGTGGCGGAGGAGGTGGAGGTCTTGGCGGATGTGGGTCTGCGGCTATTGGCTGCGGCGGCGATGCGGCGCGCTAGGGCTGCCGCCTCCGCCGTTGATGCCGCAAGCGGTGGAGGCGGCGGTTGGGTGAGGGCTCCGTTGAGGTCAGGCTGGGAAGGCCGCGGGATGGCGCATGAGGACTCGTCGGCGTATCCGCCTTTGCCGGGGCGATTAATCGTAATTTCCCCTCTGCTTGAGGTGTTTGCGCGCAGGTGGTGATGCGATGGGGATACGGCCGGGTCGCTGGGATAATGAGCCAGCGTAGCAGTTGACGCGTGAAGCCAGGCTGCTAGTTACGCCATCAGGCCTATCTACGCCCGTATTCCCGTAACAGTCTGCAAAATGTATACGCTGTCATCCTAACGTTGCGTCTCCTTACTTATTAATCCTACTTCCAAAAGCGTGCGGGCATCCTAGTAACCAAGCCAGCAACAAGTCAAATTATTAGTAAAACGAAAAGGAAGCAATTACAGGAGTAACCAAGTCATGGGGTCTAGCTTAGCAGGCATGGAGTCCATGGGTTCCTAAAGCGTGAGGAAGTGACATAGCCAGCAGCTCTGGACGTCTTGTGAAGTTCTACGTTTGTATAAAGGGCCAGGTTGAGCACCAGCGGTACGTCTTCGCCCCAAAAGGTGGCAGCAGCTGTCGTTCAGTTGCATGACCAATCGGGATCCCGCCTTACAGGGTTACAGCAGCACCTAAAGATTGCCTTTAGCTCCCTCTACCGCTGAATCTATTCATGGCTGGCACTCCACGCATCGCAAAGCATGCACGTCACGTTGCCTGCAAACGGCCCGACGACACAGCTCCCAGCTGAAACCATGGCCACGCCAGCCATGCCGAGCGGCATTCCTCAGGTACAAAGCTTTAAGCCGCTCCTCCGTATCCTCCTCCTATATACTGGAGCTTCTTGGTGAGGTCCAGCTCACTGGCTGCAACGGTCCGCCACACTTTCCTTTACCCCACGGCCTTAACACGTGGGCACTTTTGCGCCGCATAAGCAGCATATGGTCTTGTGACGGCAATGGTAAACGCTTGCATTGGGCTTGCCGAGGGGCGCCAATGGCTGGTAAATGTTGGCACAGGGGCACGGGTAGGCGAGGTTGGGTACGAAGCAAGCAAGTTTTTGCACAGTACTGTTAAGCCAACCCGTTTGCCTAATGAAGAACATCAGCATTATCTGTCTTCGTTTGTTCAGATGCGCGTTGGTGCAAGTATGCAACATGCAGGACGAGCGATAGCAAGCCAAGTTTGTACATCTCGTCCAAACTGTACACGAAAACCTATCCTCTTCTAGGACTTACTGCACTCTCCGTTATAAGAGTAACCCATATCGTGCAAATTTAACCTACTGAAATACGGCCACGGCCTGGAACGGAGCGACCCGCTACGTGGCTTGCACCTAGTTGATGCAATTGTGTCCTGTAATATGTACGGTGGAATAACCTTGCCAGTTCAGTAGGCTTCCACAGCGTTACTCAGCTGCGTGACTCGTCGGCTTCTTTAAGCCTCGACCGCTTGCTGGACGCGGGATGGCTGGGAAGCTATGTGTCTCCGTTATAGGTTAGCTGAACATCAGTGCTTGTGCGCAAACAGCGAAAGCGCTTTCGTCACTTCCTCTTCTGCTTGGGCTGCTTTGCAGAGGCTCGTAACGTGCAAGCTGATGAATTTGCCGAAAAGAACTTTTACGTGAAGCTACGCGTTGGAAGCAATGAGGTTAGCTCAGAATGCTTTGCAAGGATAGTGGCTTTACAATGCCATCCATTGTCACCTCTCTCATATCGCGTCCTTTCCAGGTCAAAACCGACGTGGTCAGGGGTTCACTGCAACCCAAGTTCCTTAAGGACTGCCGCCTAGCAATAGCCAACCAGGAGACCGATGTCCTGCGGGTAAGCAAGGCGCCATCGCCTATGGCCCCTACCCTCCCACCTCCCCTTCTCCTTCCACAGCACCTCCATTCTACACGCCCCTGTAATCAATAGCCCCACATGCCTCCATAAGCACTGTCAGACCCACACCCGCACCCGCCCATTGCACCGTTGCACCTTCCCGTCTCCCACCTCTCCTCGCCCCCTCCTCCAAGAACCTCTACTTCTACCTGCTTCTACAACAACCGGTTTCCAGTAACCCTATACACATTCCTTACCTCCCCCCTCGCGGTTGTTGCGCTCACTGCATGATTCGGGCCATGGGGTTGGGATTCCAGTGCTTCATTTCTACTACAATTTTCCTCGCCTCCCCCTTCCCTCGCCTCCAACTCGATTCCATTTACCAGGAGCTTGTCGTCTTGTTTGCTATTGTCATTCAACGCATCGGTTGTTATTCTTACCCCCCGCCTCCCCGCTCACCTCCCGTCTCCCCCACCCCACCAACACTTGTTTTGTGGCACCCTTTTTTTTTCCGACCCTGCCGCTTTCCATTAATTATATTACCCAAACCCATGGTTTCCTATGGTTCGGTATGGTCGTTGATCCCCCTCTCCTCTCCTCCCCTCCCCTCCCCTCCCCCCAGATCGAGCTGCTGCAGGTGGGTCCCCGCGGCGATCTGGTGGTGGGCTGCGACGAGCTGCGCGTGCTGAGCCTCACCGCGCGCGGCACCATCGTGCACTGGTTCCAGCTCAAGACCGCGGCGCGCAGTGTGACGGCGGAGCTGTGCCTGGTGCTGAGGTTCCTGTCGGGTAGGGGGGCGGGGGAGGGCGGGGTTAGAGGGCTCTGGCGGGTAGGCAGGGGATCCGAGAGAGGGAGGGAAGGCGCACGGCTTGGGTGGGGTGGATGCGCTTCCGGGGGTGCAAGGACGGGTCGGAGGAGGTGAGGGGGCTCCAGTGAAGCCCAGAGGCTGCGGAGGTAGTAACCTTTGGCCGTCGAGCTCTCGCCCTTTATGGCTGCTCCCATTTTGGAGCAACACCTCTCTCCTGCCCTCTCCTCATGACCCCTACCACCCCCTCACCCCCTCACCCCCCGCAGCCACCTCCAACCGGCCCATGTCGCCCACCTACGCCATCACCGCCCGCCAAGCCAAGGAGCGAGCACTGGAGGGCAGTGCCAGCGCACCGCAGGTGTGTGGGGAGGGGGGGAGAGCGCGCAGCGGGGACAGGCTGCAGCTGACGACAGGCGGGGGATGACACGCGGCCCTCTCTTACAGGAATCTCTCGCTCTCAGCACCGTGACATGCCGTGGGCCTCCTCCCAGCTCCGTCCCCTTGCAACCTACAAGCAACAACCCTCGCAGTTGACGCAACAACAAAGCTCCCCACACCTGCCCCCCCTGACTCCGCCTCTCTGCCGTACAGGGCCCCTCAGCAGCTGCCTTCCGAGACCTGCCCGCCAGCACCAGCAGCAACGGGCGATCCACAGCTGGTCCGGCCCCCGCTGCTGCTGCCGCTGCTGCCAATGGCCACACCAGCAGCAACGGCCATGCAGGACCCGCAGCCGCAGGAATGACGTCATCAGCACCCCAACAGCAGCAGCAGCAGCAACGGCTGCAGTCCACCGCCTCCTCCTCAGGGCGGCCAGGAGCCGCAGGCGGAGGCGCTGGAGCTGCAGGAGGAGCAGGAGGAGGAGCGCCGCGGCGGCCTCTGAAGCTGAGTGGGAGTCAGGTTCCGCTGCCTCTGGCGATGCTGGGGGGTATCGTGGTGGGGGCGCTGGTGTACATCTGGAAGCAGCGGCCGGTGTATTATGAGGTAGGAGGTCGGACAGGGGTAGAGGGGGGAAAGTTATAAATAAGAGCGGAGGGTGCAGAGGGTGCGGGCGGGGGTGAGGTGGGCGGATGCTGCCAACCGCCTGCCGATGGCTACTCCTTTTTTCACAATCCTTACAGCGCGTGGCCAGTAACCCCATGATTTGTTCACCCTCCCCTTTCGCAGGTGCAGGAGGACGACACGCTGTGCCACATCGCGTCCTGCTTCAAGAAGCGGGTGGAGGACGTGTACAGGCGCAACCGGGCGCTGCTGAAGAACCCCAACCGGCTGTACCCGGGGGACAGGCTGCGCATCAAGTAGCGCGTGGTCATACGTGCGCGCACGGGTGATCGGTTGCCAGGCGCTCGACATTACTGACACGGCTCGGGAGAGGAGAGCTTATATTGAAGGAGTCCCTATGCCAAGTATGCTTGTTCGATTCCCAACTTTGAGCGATGCGTCCTGACTTGTGTCGTCGCAAGTTGATTCCTAACACGTATGTGTGCATGCATTCAATTCGTCCGGCTTGTTCATGTTACGCATGCGGCGCTTCCCGGGAGGCCGTCTAGGGGCTGCAGCACGCTGGGGGCTCCTGTCTTCCAGGGCGGTAGTCCAGTCTGGCTCCAGTGGGTTTCGCACTTGATTCAACAACACCCTTATACCGCGCGATGTGTCAGCGCGGCCGACATGGCAACACTGGACTGCGCACTGCTGATTGCAGTGCAGGCGTGTGCACCTTGCGACAAGCGTGTGTGGGGCCTTGCGCAAGGGCCCTCCGACCCGCGTGAGGAGCGAACTGTTTTGTACTCTCTTGGTGAGGAGACTAGTCATCATGCATGCATTGTGGTATGTGAAGTGCAGGTGTGGCGGAGCGAGTGGGGAGGGGTGCGCGGGATGTTGGTTGGGGTGGGTTTCTTGGGGCGGTTATGGGTTTTTGTGAAGGCGGATGGGTTTCTGCGGGAGTTGGGTGGGCTATGGGCGAATGGACAGGAAGGAAGGTATGTTGCGGTTGTTTCAGTACGTCACGTACTCACGCTATGGCGTTAATGATGTCACGTCGAGCTGCTGTCTAGGAAGCACGCAAAAAGTGCGTTAAGCGAAGTGGGTTGGTGTGCCGGGTATGAGATGCGCGTGCTGGTAGCCGCGGGGCTGACTGTAAAAACATGGTTGCAGCATCCCTGATAAGGGACACCGCCGCGCAAGCCTAGTAAGGTCATGCAAGCGGCTCTCATCCTGTCACTTCCATCGCGCAGACACTGCGCAAGCGCTCCGGAGGCAATGTCGAAACGTTTGGCTTTAGGGGCCAGGCCGTAGTGTGGGGTAAGGAGAAGGGATAAGGAGCGAAGCTGGCGGGCGCAAGGCGCTATCGGGTTGTGCTAAAGCAGCCCCTCGGCGGCTGACCCATGGGGCCAAGCACATGCACATGACTTTCAGCGAGGCCTCTGGTGTTAGCGTTAACAAGTTGAATAGGCATTATCTATTGGGGACTACCCACATGCACTCCCCGGAGCGAGAGGGAGCAAGATAAACGATGGCAAACACCTACAAGCTTGAGGTTGCCCTTCGCAAACTTAAGCGAGGTATGATACATGAATCATCAAGGATGAAGGTAGCCTTAAGCATTTAAGCAGTGGAGGCTGAAGAGTAGTGCATTTCCTGCTCATGACAGGTAGGTTTGACGTGAAATGCGTGCCCATGTTAAGCATGGAATTGCAAAGGCGGTCGGAAAGGCGTTTGTTGACCAGCTCGCGTTGTGCACGTATTATGTTTACGTTGCTTCTTTGTCAATCGCCAAGTCATGTAAGAGAATGTACCGTACAAACCGTACCATGGCCTGGACATTTAAGGAACGCGGAACTCTATGGTCATCAGTTTCCTGCCATCTTCGCATACCGTTTGTTTCGCATTAAAGACATACAGTTCAGGTCCGTCTATCACAGAAGCCTATCGAACCCTCCAGGCGCGTGGAGTCTTCAGCATGCAGATCTTTGTGAAGACCCTCACGGGCAAGACTATCACCCTCGAGGTGGAGTCCTCCGACACCATCGAGAATGTGAAGGCCAAGATTCAGGACAAGGAGGGTAGGTGAACGGGCTCGAGAAGGTCCCTTCATAGGATCTGTCAGCAGTTGTGTCCAGGTGCCCTGCCTCGTTGCAAGCGTCCCCTAATAACTTGCGTTTAAGACACGACTGTCACAAGACACAGACTCGGATTCTCCCCCTAGCCTAGGGCTTTGTAGTAGAACATGGCGCAGTTTGTTAGGTTTGAGTCTCTTAGGGCTACATAATTACATGCCTTTTGTTAAGATTCTTGCAATATTGCCGAGACTTGCACGGCCAAGGCTTACCATGTTCATGACGGAAGAAGGTCAAACTTGTTCGAGGCAACGTTTTTTGTCTCTGCCCTTACCTTGTTACGATGTACAAGTACAGTTCTTTTATCTTTTCGTGCTTTCCTGCAGGCATCCCCCCCGACCAGCAGCGCCTGATCTTCGCCGGCAAGCAGCTGGAGGACGGCCGCACCCTGGCTGACTACAACATCCAGAAGGAGAGCACGCTGCACCTGGTGCTGCGTCTGCGCGGTGGCATGCAGATCTTCGTGAAGACCCTGACCGGCAAGACCATCACGCTCGAGGTCGAGTCTTCGGACACGATTGAGAACGTGAAGGCCAAGATCCAGGACAAGGAGGGTGAGTCGAGACAGGGGCTGGCGAAGGCGTACGGCTGGTGCTTGCATAGGGTCAGTGGGGTTTCTTGCTCTCGTGTATAGTCTTTGTCCAAGCCCCTGTCCGCTTGTTTCTTTGGCAGTGACTTAACTGCACGGCTCCCTACCAACCCGCAGGCATCCCCCCCGACCAGCAGCGCCTGATCTTCGCCGGCAAGCAGCTGGAGGACGGCCGCACCCTGGCTGACTACAACATCCAGAAGGAGAGCACGCTGCACCTGGTGCTGCGTCTGCGCGGTGGCATGCAGATCTTCGTGAAGACCCTGACCGGCAAGACCATCACGCTCGAGGTCGAGTCTTCGGACACGATTGAGAACGTGAAGGCCAAGATCCAGGACAAGGAGGGTGAGTCGAGACAGGGGCTGGCGAAGGCGTACGGCTGGTGCTTGCATAGGGTCAGTGGGGTTTCTTGCTCTCGTGTATAGTCTTTGTCCAAGCCCCTGTCCGCTTGTTTCTTTGGCAGTGACTTAACTGCACGGCTCCCTACCAACCCGCAGGCATCCCCCCCGACCAGCAGCGCCTGATCTTCGCCGGCAAGCAGCTGGAGGACGGCCGCACCCTGGCTGACTACAACATCCAGAAGGAGAGCACGCTGCACCTGGTGCTGCGTCTGCGCGGTGGCATGCAGATCTTCGTGAAGACCCTGACCGGCAAGACCATCACGCTCGAGGTCGAGTCTTCGGACACGATTGAGAACGTGAAGGCCAAGATCCAGGACAAGGAGGGTGAGTCGAGACAGGGGCTGGCGAAGGCGTACGGCTGGTGCTTGCATAGGGTCAGTGGGGTTTCTTGCTCTCGTGTATAGTCTTTGTCCAAGCCCCTGTCCGCTTGTTTCTTTGGCAGTGACTTAACTGCACGGCTCCCTACCAACCCGCAGGCATCCCCCCCGACCAGCAGCGCCTGATCTTCGCCGGCAAGCAGCTGGAGGACGGCCGCACCCTGGCTGACTACAACATCCAGAAGGAGAGCACGCTGCACCTGGTGCTGCGTCTGCGCGGTGGCATGCAGATCTTCGTGAAGACCCTGACCGGCAAGACCATCACGCTCGAGGTCGAGTCTTCGGACACGATTGAGAACGTGAAGGCCAAGATCCAGGACAAGGAGGGTGAGTCGAGACAGGGGCTGGCGAAGGCGTACGGCTGGTGCTTGCATAGGGTCAGTGGGGTTTCTTGCTCTCGTGTATAGTCTTTGTCCAAGCCCCTGTCCGCTTGTTTCTTTGGCAGTGACTTAACTGCACGGCTCCCTACCAACCCGCAGGCATCCCCCCCGACCAGCAGCGCCTGATCTTCGCCGGCAAGCAGCTGGAGGACGGCCGCACCCTGGCTGACTACAACATCCAGAAGGAGAGCACGCTGCACCTGGTGCTGCGTCTGCGCGGTGGCATGCAGATCTTCGTGAAGACCCTGACCGGCAAGACCATCACGCTCGAGGTCGAGTCTTCGGACACGATTGAGAACGTGAAGGCCAAGATCCAGGACAAGGAGGGTGAGTCGAGACAGGGGCTGGCGAAGGCGTACGGCTGGTGCTTGCATAGGGTCAGTGGGGTTTCTTGCTCTCGTGTATAGTCTTTGTCCAAGCCCCTGTCCGCTTGTTTCTTTGGCAGTGACTTAACTGCACGGCTCCCTACCAACCCGCAGGCATCCCCCCCGACCAGCAGCGCCTGATCTTCGCCGGCAAGCAGCTGGAGGACGGCCGCACCCTGGCTGACTACAACATCCAGAAGGAGAGCACGCTGCACCTGGTGCTGCGTCTGCGCGGTGGCATGCAGATCTTCGTGAAGACCCTGACCGGCAAGACCATCACGCTCGAGGTCGAGTCTTCGGACACGATTGAGAACGTGAAGGCCAAGATCCAGGACAAGGAGGGTGAGTCGAGACAGGGGCTGGCGAAGGCGTACGGCTGGTGCTTGCATAGGGTCAGTGGGGTTTCTTGCTCTCGTGTATAGTCTTTGTCCAAGCCCCTGTCCGCTTGTTTCTTTGGCAGTGACTTAACTGCACGGCTCCCTACCAACCCGCAGGCATCCCCCCCGACCAGCAGCGCCTGATCTTCGCCGGCAAGCAGCTGGAGGACGGCCGCACCCTGGCTGACTACAACATCCAGAAGGAGAGCACGCTGCACCTGGTGCTGCGTCTGCGCGGTGGCATGCAGATCTTCGTGAAGACCCTGACCGGCAAGACCATCACGCTCGAGGTCGAGTCTTCGGACACGATTGAGAACGTGAAGGCCAAGATCCAGGACAAGGAGGGTGAGTCGAGACAGGGGCTGGCGAAGGCGTACGGCTGGTGCTTGCATAGGGTCAGTGGGGGCTCTCGTGTAAACACTTTTCCCTTGTACCTTACACGCCCCTTGCGCTTATAACGTTGGCAGTGACTTATCTCCACGGCTCCCTATCAACCCGCAGGCATCCCCCCCGACCAGCAGCGCCTGATCTTCGCCGGCAAGCAGCTGGAGGATGGCCGCACCCTGGCTGACTACAACATCCAGAAGGAGAGCACGCTGCACCTGGTGCTGCGTCTGCGCGGTGGCCAGTAGTCTGTGTATGAATGGACACAATTGTATGTTTACGCTTCGATCTTGTTTGTACAATAAGCTTTTGTACGATAACGCAGTGGTTGTCTGATACATTGCCATCCGGCGGATGAGCGCGGGCATATGCAACTGGCTCAACACTCTTTTAGATTGCATATACGTGTAACGATAAGAGGCGAAAAACTGGTATCTTTCTCCGTTACAGTTGGCATCTGCACTTGGTTGCTCACTCGAGCTTCTTGCCAGCCATCAAAGTCTTCAGATCCTGCGAGTGCGGTACAGAAACAAAATATAGATGAGAAACACTTCAGCGACATATGACCTCTCAGCAGCTGGGACTTACTTTGAATGCGGCCATGACGTCCCGGTTGAAGACGTACTTCATAGTCTTCCAAGGGCTCTTCTGCACCTGTAAGGGAAGGCCATGTACAGCAAATTCGGGTTGCAAACAGCAAAGCAGTAAACGAACGTACACGGCATTCATTACGTTCGTACCTCGTTCAGAGCAGTCATTACTGTGGGGTTCTCCAGCCACCTGTGGGCAACGCAAGAATTGTATACTGTAAAGCGAATACATGCAAGGGCAAGTTCCGGTGCTACTCGAGAACCCGTCCGCTTACTTCGCCGCCTTAGGGTCGGTCCGCATGAGTGCCACCAGAGGGTTGAAATCACTCGCCTCACTGCTGCTGCTGCTGGCGCTGCTAGCGGCAGCGGGGGGAGCAGTGCTGCTCTCAGCCCCCTCGTTGCTCGCAGCCGCGGCCGCGGGAGCAGCCTCCGGCGCAGCAGGCTGGCCCGGGGGCGGAGGTGCAGGCGCTGAGCTAGGCGGCGCCTCGCCCGTTCCCATTGCAATCGGGGTTTCCACGCTAGGCGAGGCAGGCGCTGCGGGGGCAGCTGTGGCCTCCGCCGGCAGTGCCTCCGGCGTGGCTGGAGTCGCGGACGCCGGGGCCTTCACAGTTCCCATGATCTCCCGCACCTGCGTGCGCGCGCGTACGGCACAGATGCAAGCCTTAGCCACGCGAAAGGCTTAACTCTTAACAGCCTCCGGGATCGCGCGCTGTCTCCTATCCTCCTAACACCAATGCCTACTGCGCTACATTACGCCCTTTCCCTTCTGTGCCCAACCTTTTCAACCCAACATGGGCAAAGGCGGTTCCATCCCCCCCTCCCCCCCTCCCCCCCTTCCCCCCCACCTGGAACACCACATCCAGCACCTCCTTGTCCCCCTCGTACTTGGCCTGCCGGGTGGGGTCCTCCGCGATGTCCAGGAACGCCACCATGAAGCGCGGCTGCTGCAGCTTGGCCAGCAGGCCCGGGTGCGCCATCAGGCGCTGGAACAGCACCGCGGGGTCCAGCCCAAGCCGCTTGGCGCGCGCAAAGGTCTCATCCATGGAGGTGGGGCTCAGGCGCTCCAACATGTGGTCCGGGATGTTGATGCCCTGAGGGGGGCGGGGGGTAAAGAGGAAACAACTAATTGACCGTGTGGGGGGTTAAAGGGGGTGAGGCGGGAGTTTGGAAGATGAGGGGGGTGTGGGGTAGGAGGCAGCAGGGAGGTCAGGGTGAGGCATGTTGGGTGAGGGAATTAGGAGAAGAAGAAGCCGTGAAGAGGAAATTAGGGAAGGGTTGCAAGGCACGGTATATGTCGGTAGCAGGACGGACAAGCTTTTCCTTCCCCGCCTCTTCTCCGGGCACCCACGCACCCTGGTAGCAATCATCTCGGCGATCTTGCGGCGCATGGACGGGTCCTGGAACACCTGCTTGACCATCTCGGGGTTACGGAGCGGCGCCGGCATGGCCCCCAGCATCATCTGCTGCAGCGCGGGGCTCTGACTCATCACGTCAACCATGCGCTCGGCCTTGCGCAGAGCCTCTGGGTGAGAGAGGAGGGAGGGAGGGTGCGGGAGCGGGAGCGGGAGGGAGGGATTTGTTAGGACTTGGTGGGACCAAGTGAGGGAGGTGGACCAGCTGAGTCCCGAGAAAACACTGGGGAGGCGGACGAAGAGGGGTGTGGGTTTGAGGGGGTGGCAGGAGTGGTGGGGATCTGGAGGAGAGGGGGGGAATCGGGGGATGTGGTTCGAGGGGCGCTGATGAGGGGTTGGGTGTCTGGAGATGGGATAGTATGCAGCAAAGACCGTTTGCGGGAGAGACGGCGAGTAGAGTGGAAGGGAAGTGCTACGCTTTCAGCCTGGAGCTCCTGACCTCAGAAGTTTAGTTCCGACTTCCGAGGTGTTACGCAGCGAGTGCCCGAAGGCGACATGGATGGGGTTAGGGGGCCGGCGACCCGCTTCAACATCTTGCTAATTGTTACGGGGAGTTAAACATCATTCTAACCTTCTGAAGGCGCAGCAGACCAATGGCGCACGCTCCCACAGGCCGGCTTCAGCGTCAAAGATGCCGCCGACACGCATGCAGCAACCGTTTTTGTCTCCATGCCCATGCGCCCCGCCAGCATTGCGGGACGCAGCATTGCTCGCGCTAGCGCCTGCATTTTAGCTGCTTGGGCTAAATTACAGCTATGCACTAAGACGTAAAAGCGCTTTTCGATCGGCTTTGGCGCAGGGGCCTGCTGACTCGGTCCTACGTAGTCCCTAAACTGTAGACGTCGCTTGTGTGGAGCAACGCGTAGGATGCGTTTCGGAGTGGGCTTCGGAGTCAGGGTAAGTTAGCCTTGTACGACGACAAAGCTAAGGAGTCAAGCAATCGGCAAGGCACAGCTACGCAGCACATCGCTAGAGTTACCTACATCAGTACTCTAGCGAACATTCCGAGCGTTGTAGGCCTTCTACTCTTACCATCTTCACTTAGCTACTCCCGTTGTTATTCTCTTTCTTTCCTGTGCGTTTCCAAGTGTCTACAGTTCCATATTTGCTTTAAAATCTGTATATATGTACGTATAGCGAACCCTAGCCCTTCACCTCCGTTGACGGCAACAGCCAGGCAGCGAAGCACGGCCCAGACCAGCGGGACTTTGCCTCCCTCGGTCAAAACAATGTATCCGTATCCCCAGCGGCCCGGCGTGGTGTCACAGCCACCAACCGCCTTCACAACTCCGCAACAACGACCTCCATCAGCTTACGTGCCCCCTCCACCGCCCGTCGCCGCCCCGAACTTCAACTTGGACCTATACAGCATGCCTTCCGGCTCTGTAACAGCGCTGCGACTAAGAGTCTCGGAGGATGTTCGGTTAGAACCCCCGGTGAGTGGGGTAATGGCATCCCTTCAGGTATTACCGCTCCTTGAACAAGCGCCCCCTATTCCATAACCCAGGAAGCCGCTATCTTTTTAGTCTCAGCGTTAATCTCCTGCGACTGCGACGCTTTCCTACTTTCCGGGTCCCCATCTCACCAACATAACCCTCGCTCTTCCTCATTTCCTCCCCACGGGTTGGTTTCTTTCTGACACGCATCCCTGACCACGCCCCCCCATGCAGGTCCCCGTCTCCTCCTCGCTGCTCCCCTCGTCCCTCTCCGCTCAAGCGACTCCCATCCCAGACCTCTCGCTAGAGCGGCAATTGCTAGAGGGAAGCAGGGGGCAGGGCGAGGCAGCAGCAGCCGGCAGCAGCAGCAATGCTGGAGGTGGTGGTGCTGGAGGGAGCGGCGGTGGAGAGGGCGGCAGCATGGATGATGCGAAGAGGTACCTGGCGAGTGTAAAGGTAGGTAGGGATGATGCGGGGTCACGAGCGGGGCTGGAGTGGACCCGAGCGTCTTCCTCCCCTGTCTCCCTCCTTCCCGACCCTCCCGCACTTTCCTCATCTCCCCCCTCCCCTCCCCCCCATGCAGTCCGGGGAGCTGCCGTCCGATCCCGCAGTACGGCAGCTGGCGGGGCGGGGACTGCCCCCGGGCCCCGCAGCGCTGGGGGTGGTGTACGGCAGGGGCGGCCGCGGAGGCGCGGAGAAGGTGGGTAGGGCGGGTGGGGCGCACAGCCCATCTGAGCCCGCTCTGTAACCCCCACATTCGCACCCTCCCACCACCGCCACCCGCCCCAATCGCACCCGTAGTACCCCGCCCTACCTGGTTCTGTTTCTCTCCCTTTCCCCTCTCTTCCTCCGCCTCCAGGCTGCTGACTTCGCCTCCCGCTGCGAGCAGCTGGTCACCATGGGCTTCCCGCTGTCCCTGGCGGCGGGGGCGCTGTCGCGGCACGGGAATGACCTGGGGGTGGCAACGGAGGCGTGTCTAGCGCTGGCTAGCTAGCTGGGCTGGACTTCATGTAGCTAGCCAGGTAGTGGCAGCTGGGCAGCGGGTGGCTAGGGTAGCTGATGGTACCGCTTGTGGGATGCTGCTGGTGTTGTTGTTGTTTGGAGCCCAGGTAGGTAGAATGAGGATGGATTGGGCAGGCTAGCGAGCCGGGGAAAGGCCTTGGTACCTTTAGAGTTGGCTGGCGTTGCTAGGGTGCATGTGGGATACGTTGTTGGGATACGGGTGGACTCCCGTTGTGGTGGAGCCAAGGTGCCCGCCAGGACTGGAGTGAAGACCGTTGTGACGTTGGTGACGCTCATGAGTCACAAGGACGGGGTGAAGGAGATTGAACTGTTGACAGCTTCATGGCAACCATGCGGCTGCCGACAGCGGCGGTCTTGGGGCAAGGTGAAGGCGAGGGGTTTCATGGCTGCAGGGCCCTCTGCAGGACGGGGAGCGCCTGCAGGCCGCTGTCCGTGCGTCCCAACATGCTGGGACATGTAGCAATGCGTGCCTACAACTCCCCTGCTGCCTGGAGCTAACATCCAGGCCATACCACCAGGTCTGGCCGGTTGTGGATTTTGGTTCAGCAAACAGCTTGCTTGGGGACGCAGCCCTCGTGAATCACCCTATATCGTACACAATAAGATCATGGTTTAGGACGCTCACTAAAATGTGGTTGGTAGAGGGCACTCGTTGCGGGGTGCCATCGTGCAATATGAAAGATACAAGACCAAAACACCAACCTGAACGAAGTACATACGAAAAAGATCAACTTGGTCACTGCGGAGGGCGCCCCAATCCAACCCCGCATGACGCAGCATTAGGCTACAAATAGTGTTGCAAGGAATAGTTGTCCACGCATTCCGGCACATCTGCAACCTTGGCAATAATAAAGACATAATAACAATTCCGAATGTGATAAGTGCATGGTAGTAACACGCTCGCCGAATTCTTAAAAATATCACATGCCCTGCACACCCTCCTCTTACATGCATGCGCTCCCCAATCATGCGGCTCGCCTTTGCACTACCCAGACGTCACCACCAGCATCTGTACCTCTTCACACCTTTTACCCGCTCTGCCCTCGCCCTGCGCCACAATGAGTCTCGCATGCTCCCCCACACAATACCCCACATCACCCTCCTCGCCAACCCTCTTCCCCTTGCCCTGTCCTCCTGCAAACACCTCCCCCTCCGACCTACTCACCATCTCCCTCGCTCTCCGTACCTGCGCCCCCCAGTCAAACCGCGCCACCACCGCCCATTGCACCCCCGCCTGCAACGAGGATGCGACCGCAAACCCCGCCCACAGCCCCCTCACGCCCATGTGCCTCGGTAGGGCAAGGTAGTAAGCAAGCGGCACGCCCACCCCCCACCAGCCCAGTAGGTTGCACCAGGCGCCCAGCCACTGCCGCCCCGCGCCACGTAGGATGCCCGAAAGCACCACATTCTGGCCGTCAACTGGAGCGTTGAGAAAGGAAATCCGGGCGAGGGGGTTGGAGGGAGGGAACACGGGGGAAGTTCCTGGTCGTCGATTCACGGATTGCACCTCGCCAAGGTAACCTTAAATGTAGTGTGACAGTGACGTTACTCGTGCGCCTCAGACCCTCCCTACCTCGCACAGACAGTCTCCCCTGCATGGCATCCCTCCCACAGTGGACTTCCCTCCCTCATCCTCTCCCAGTCACTCACATACAAAGCATAGCGCCAGCACCGGCATCACCTCTCCCGCCAACGCTAGCACCTCCGACTGAGAGCTCATGAGGCCCATCAGGCCCCAGCGGTTGCCGTACGCCAGCAGCCCCAGCACCGTCTGAGTCACCAACACCAGCCCCAGAGCTGTGTGTGACAGTCGCTTGGCGCATGTGGCGTCACCCTGGACCGACCCGCGGGTCACCAACACGCACACCGAGGCCATGTGATACCGGTAGGTTTTAGACGGCAACACGGCATAGGGCATGGGCCGTTGATAATGCTATAAAAGGACGATGAACAAGCGTCATACAGATATGCTCGAGAACCCCAACCAAGGTCTTGACGACGCATGCACGGTATCTAGCATGTCTGCATGTGCGCGCCTACCTGACCAAGCGTGTTGGAGACTCGAGTTGTGGTGGCAGCGCCTACAGCTGCAGCGCAGATCCACACCAGTGTAGACAGCTGCAGACACAGCCCGGTGACCCCCACGGCAATCTCGGGGTGCGGCAGGTGGCCGGACAGGAACACCAGCACCTGCATACATGTGGTGGCGGTGGTGGTGGTGGTGGCGGTGGTGGTGGTGGTGGTGGTGGCGGTGGTGGTGGTGGTGGCGGTGGTGGTGGTGGTGGTGGTGGTGGTAAGCCCAATGGGGTTGTAGTACGTACCGGTATTGAGATTCATGAGAGGCAATCCCGACAGACAAACCAGAAACCACCGTTAAACCATCTTTACTCTGTCCTCCAACGCACCCCTTCCCTCCTACAAGTAGCTAGGGCCCCCCTACCTCCGTCGCCCAGCCCTCCATGCAAGCCATCAGCGTGTCGGGCACAGCCAGCGCCAGATAGGGCCCCCACCCGCTCAGTGCCGCTGCCGCCGCTGTCGAGGGAGCGAGCAAAGGTACGGCGTCCGGGCTGCCTGCGGAGGCCCAGGTCCGCCATGCGAGGTAGGCGAGGGAGAGCGAGGTGCAGGTGAGCTGGGTGGCGTTGTAGGCGTAGGCGGCGCCATCGAGCTGGAGTCCCAGGCTGGGGTTGGGTGGTTGGGGGGGGAAACGGGAGGCATGCGGTTTGGGGAGAGGTTTGAGGAAGAGGTCATGTGGAGATGCGTGGGTACGATATAGACCGCGACTGATAAGGTGCCAGCTGTGCTTAGTCCAGCTGCTTAATAAAGTCCCGTTTCTCGCTTGCTCCTTCCCGTCCTGACCTGTCCGGCAAACCACCCACCGCACGATGAAGAACCAGCAGTACAGGGGCGAGAGGGCGGTGGCGGTGGCGGTGATGGCCACCCCGGGAGCGACCACCCCCTGGGCCAGCAGGTGTTTGTCAATGCAGCTAAACACAGTGTGGCCGTACAGGGCGGGGAGCGTCAACCGGAGGTACCTGTACGGCATGTACGACATGATGACACGCAATTGTCTTGGCGGAGAAAGGGATTTTGGGGGTATTGACGTATCACATATGCGCAGGGCTATCCTAACAACCCACCAAGGCTGTGGTATCCTACGAGTCTTCCACTGTCCCCTCCACACACCTAATGCATAGTTGCACAACAACCAAAACACACACCTAGCTGCCATCGCTGCAACCTCCGGCTGCTGTCCAAGCGCCCGCAGCAGCGGCCCCGCGTTCCACCACAGCGCCGTCACCGGCACCGCCGCCGCGGCGCACACCGCCAGGGAGCGGTGCAGGGTGGCTGCCAGGGCGCAGGGGTTGCGGGCGCCATGGGCCTGTCCGGACAGTGTTTCGCTGGCCGATGCGAGCCCGTACATGAGGTGATAGCCGGTGGCCATGGCTAGGGAGGCGCCTAGGGTCATGGCGCTAAGGAGGAGGGGGTCTGGCAGGTGACCCACGAACCCCATTTCGACCTGCGGATGCGGGGAGGGGTGGAGGATGGATAGGGGAGAGGCGTTCGGGAGCGAAATGTGTGGTGAAGGGGGTCGATGCTGGGGAGGACGTGAATCGGAGGTCTGGTGCGAGAAGATCGCTGTCCTAATTTAAAACAAGATTGCACAGGTTAGAATGCTGGTGCGTGCATCATGTGTTGGCTTGGTTCCATATGGGAATTGCATGTAAAGCCATGCGTCTTACCATTTGGCTGGCTTGCGAAACAACGTACTGCACAAGGATAGGTCCTGCCAGCACCGTGATCCTAATTGGAGTAGACAAACAATATGTTGGAGTAACAGCCGTGTAAGCAATCGTCTGACAATTTTTCCCTTACCTATGGACATCTTTCCAAACATGCTCTCTCTGATGACCATCTTGTAGTACCATATAGTGTAGACAGGTAGGAAGTCGCTGCACGGTAGGTTAACACAGGTTTAGTACTCGTCTAATGCAAGTATATGCCAAAAACCAAGATGCCTTGTCATTGGCAGGACTATATGTGGTATAGCATTACTAGCTCCATAAAGCGTAAAAAGAGTTTGGGAAGTTATTGAGCCTTTTAGAATACCGTATTGCGTAAGGGAACGGGTTGTACAGCGCAACGGCGTGAACGTGGAAGCGTATGCCAGGGAAGAAAGGCGACAAAAGGCTCCATAATACTGCTCCAAACATGTGGTTTTTGCGTATGTATCTTTGTTCAACCGCTACATGTCTGGGGCCAAAGACGCTAGCAGTTAGCTAACAAAGGTCCATAAGCCACTGTTTTCCGTGTGCTACCTTACAGCATCGATACCTCGGCCTCACCCATATAAAATCCCTTTAGTATGTTCTCACCCGCCCATCGACATGGTCGCATGTAGAATTCTAACATAGTCCAGAGCACCGTGACCATTCAGTCAGCAAGTTCTATACCGTCACTCTACCCTGATCAGTGATCACCCTAGACAAGCGAGCTACGCGTGTGGATCTTACATTTGCCCAACTCGTCGCCACGGATACACTGTCAGCTGCTTTCTATTGCAAGACGACATAATCACTGTCCATCGCTAATTAAGCCTTAGCTGCCCTCCTGTCCTTCCATCCTTGCGCTGCCGAGACAGGGCTAATGCTGCTAACTCCAGACATTTACTGCACTCGTCTTGCGAGACAACACCTAACCCGATGACTCACGCCAAAATGAAATGCCCAAAGCGCCACCCAAGCTCCTATACAAGTTCCTTTCAGTTAAGCAAGGATCACTTACAGAATAGTACAGACGACAACGAAGCCCTGGATAAAGCCGCCTAGAGACTAGTTCTCATTACAGCAGCAAGCCAACCAGGGTTACAATGCCGAATGAGTTTAAACCCCAACCGCCCATCCGGCAACCGTACTAGTCGTACAAGACAAAAAGCTGCTGATTCATGCAATCGTTCTGACTCCCCTGCAATACTCGCATACTCATGCACCCAAAAGCTGTGAACCAAACGACCTGCATGTCTGTAGGAACCCTCCTTCCCGAGGCAAGGAGTGTTCGCATGTAGGAACGTGATAACGGCAGGCACAGTACCGGTAAGCGTATCTACTCTACCACGCCATCTGCCATAGCACGCATGCCTGGCCGCTTCTTAGCCTCCGCGTCCACGGACATGCATGGCGTTGCCGCCTGCACGGACAGGGCCATGTGATTGGTCAACGGGCATTCGGTGTCTACCGCATCACGGCCTCCTCGGCAGGTGCCACGACCCTTCCGATAAAAGAAGGAAACCTTTTACCACGGTACATCACCAGTCTGACCAACCCACCGAACCCGACCCAAAGTTAGCCGAGCCAGCAAAGAGAAGAGGAGGCGTAACCCACCTACAGGCTCTAGCGTTTGTAGTAGTGGTCAAAGGTGGCCTCCGCAAACTCCCCAAACGTGAGCCCCGGCCGCCACTGCCCAATGGCTACACGCTTCGCCTCCACGCCTGCACATACACCGCAGAAACGAAAGGAGGGTCAGTCGGCCTAGGCTAGGGCCCAACATGGCCGTACCTAACTCCATGCACAGCGTGACCCTGTCCAAGGTTAGCCGTGGTTCAGAACTGCCTCGTCAACCAGAACCAACCACATCAAAGCATATCCTCCATGCATCGTCGGGGCTCATCACCCTCCCCATGCATCAGCACCCACTACCCTCACCATCGCATCCCCCCAGCCACCAATCACCTGGCGGGCACTCCATGGACTCCATCACGTTGGGCTGCATGAACACGGCGAACGTGTTGCGACTCACGCCCGCAGCCCCCGGGCCTCGCGCCGCCCGCACGTAGTGGGGGGTGGCCATGAGCAGCCCACCCGAGTGCACCTGCAGTGCCTCTCCAACCTGTGAAGAGGACAGGGGGGCAGGCAGGGAAGGTTGAGGAGGAACGAAGCAGACACGAAGTTGCTGTTACACTGGTCCTAAGTGACTCAAGCGCTCCATGCTTTGCACGTTTCTGTGTGAAGTGGAAAACCCTGTGTGACGCCGCCCCAGCCAAACCTTTGCCGGCCCCTCGGACCCCGCTGGCACGACCAGTGCATCACCGCTGCTCGGCAACCAGTTGCATGCTCACCCCCCCCCCTCGACCCACCCAGCTGTGGCTCGCACCCCACCTGGAAGGCCAGGCAGTCCGGCGGAATGACAGCGCGCACCACTCGGCCCTGCCTGTCTCGGATGTAGAGTCCCGCGGTGGGGTCGGGACACGGCACCTCGTTGCCCGCAGAGTCGATGTACATGGCTGCTGTCAGACCTGCGGGCGTGTGGGTGACCACAACCAGAACATGGTCGGACGCACGGAAGCACGATTGGCCATGCAACGTGCATGTGTAAGCGGAATCGCAGTTTGCTGCCCCAGCCACCGCATGCGGAACTGGTGTGGCGTAACAACCCCTCTCTATGTCGAGAGCAGCAGCAACCCCTTTGTGTCGCAAATACCGCAGCTGTACCTCAACCAGTACCGCACCAAATACCGCGTCAGGGAACTCACCCACACGGAGAAACACCCTGGCGGAGTTTCCGTAACACCCCCCGATACCGGCACGCACCTGTAAGACTGCCATGGTCGCTGTGCCAGCCGCACCAGGGCTCCTCGTGGCTGACGGGCGCCAGGGCCCCGCCCTCCGCGGCGGGCGGTGCCGAAGTGGGCTGTGCGGCCGTCTGCTCCTCCTCCGACACGGGGAAGTAGTGCAGCAGTCGGGCCTGACAGGGGTGCGCATGGAATGACGACGGAGGGAAGGAAACAAGGAGTCAGTAACGCTGTAAGGTGATTTGATGTGGTGTGAAGAAGCGTGTTTAGCAACACCTGTGGGAAGAACGACATCATACGTGTAGCTCTCCCGCAGGCAACCAGCAACGGGAGGCCTTCCAGCGTTGCATGCAAGGACCAAGCTTGTTAATGCATGCACCCACGCATCCTGTCTCAGCTCCCTGCCCCCAGCGACCGGTACCTGCTACCTCACCTTGGGGTTCAAGCTGCGATGCAGCACACCCGCCACCTCGCCTGGCGGCGTGCCTAGCCGCGAGGAAACATACCTGTCATAAACACACGGGGTACGGGGTAACTGCTTGTAAGTTCGTACAGCTATGCAATACAGCTGTGCAGATCCAACACGCACGTCCTTCGTGAACCGCCTCCAACGAGGTCCAGACAACGTTACTGCCCGTTGCGCTACCGAGCTTCTTCTGCTATGCGGCCTCAAAGCCGGACCCTCGGAACCTGATTGCGTACACCATTCACATGTCCTCCTCGAATTCCCACCCCGCACCCCTCCATGGCACTCCATTCCCCGCCATGGCGCTCCGCGCCCGCCGCACCTGTCGCAGTGCACCGCCAGCAGGCAGCCCGCCGCGCACACCAGCCGCCCCAACTGCTTGAACGCCTCCTCCAGCTCCGGGAGCTCCTCCGTCGGCCACACGTTGGACCGGTAGTAGCCGGGGAACAGCCGCCGCAGCTGCTGCGCCTCCTCCTCGCTCAGCTGCTTGCCTCCTGCTGCTAGGCCACCACCGCCACCGCTGAAGATGCTGGTGCTGGTGGTGCTGCTGGCAGGGTGTTGCTGTTGCTGCTGATCGGACGTGTGGGTAATGTGGGTGGGTGATGCGGATGAAGGGATGGCGTCATGGAGCCAGGGCTTCAGCACGTCGCCGGGCTTGGGGTTGAGTTGATCGTCTACAAGTGGGTTGCCGTAGTAGGAGCCCTTGTGCGTGTCGGGCCGGCCGCTTTCTAGGGATTCGCGTCCATGGCTCCAACCCACGTTGTACAGGCTGGCCACATCCTCGTACTTTGACTTGACGGCCTCTGGAAGCCTCTGCGCAAAGGATGTGGGCGCAGGGGCCGCGCGGTTGGTGAGGAAGCGAGTAGTGAGGAAACATGGGCATGTAAGAGCGCATGCCACCCAAGGCCCTGCAACCGCCGGCAACGGTTAAGGTAACCGTACAAGATCGGGTGCAAGCGGATGCAGGATGTGACAGGCGGGATCTCCTGCTGGCAGTTGGCACCCCGAACTAACCGCAAATACGTCTGCTAAGCGGAGGAGCCGTCCACGGTGCTGGACGAAGCCTGGTACGTTCTTGATGACTAGGGCGCCGAGTCCGTCAGGACCATATGCCTGCGAGGCGACCGGGGACGAGGGCTTGGAAGGCGGGAACAGCTCAACCCGGGGCGTCAAGGCTTACCTGCTCGATTTCGGCTGATAGATCCTTTCCAGCAGCTAGCTCATTGAAGTCAAGGACGATGAGCTCGCGTTCTGCAGCTCCTGGCTGGCAATGGCCTCCTGGGGCCTTCTCCGTTACAAACGCCCGCGCCTGGAGCCAATGCCCCGGTGCAAGAATTTTGCCATGCGGATGTTTCACTCTAAGAACGTTTCTACAGTGCGATCGCGCTACAGGAAACGCACGGGCTGCTGGGCAGGCTGCACGCATTGTCATGTGTCTTCCTTCCCAGAAACGTTGTGCGAGATCTACATGTGGCCGTCCTTAAAAGTATGTTCTTTACCAGAAAACATATGCAACTATGTTATCACTTGATTTCAACTGCGCGATGATCCAACAGCTACGACAGCAACACGTGGGCAGTAAGGCAAGACAGCGACGTAAAAGCATTCTACTCCTACCCATTTGAGGACTACAAATAATTGATACAAACTAAGCACCACTTTAGCTGAACCGCATTAATATAAAGTCAAACGGTCAAAGAATGTTATCAGTGCTATACGCAGCCTTGCCTTTAAAATAACCAAAACCGTCTAGCAATTGAAATGTTCTAAACATTTTTCTGGGCGACGGAGGCAGTCGTCGGCATTAGGGTCAGCCGTCGCGTATTATGGGGACGCCGTGGACAGGACACAACTTAAGCCTTCCAGCGTATCCTAACGCACCTACTCCTGGGACGGGAGGCGCGTTTACAGGTGTGCAATGCTATCTTGGGGTTGTACTGAGACACACATCCTATGCTATCTGAAACGCGTTTGCGGTATATAACACCTGTTCTCCTTTTATTGGAGCATACCGTGCAACCGTTTGCTTCGCTAGCATGCGGTTAATTTGACCGGGCGCTGTCTTTGGACCCTGCCTGCCCATCTCTACGTAGGCAGCCCCGCTGGGAGTCCAACGGAACCCCACCCCAGCAGCTCCCCGCGTCAGGCAGCACAAGCAGCGGCACAGCCCACACCGCAGTCCACTTCGTTCGAACAGGACGTACAGGCTCCAGCCCAAGAGGGCCCGCTGACCTACTATCCAACCTTCAGTGTTGTCGATCCCCGCCATAAGTGGCAGCGCATACGCGACTGGGCGTCTAAGGACAGCGCCACCGCAACTGGCCCCTCCGGGGCCAGTACCGGCGGTGCGAGCCCGGGCACCCCACCAATGGGCACGCCGCCTGCAAATGCAGAGGAAGTAGACGTCTCAGCCAGCATCGACTCGACCCTCCTTGAGCTAGAGCTAGAACGCGCCCGCGCAAGTCTCAAAGCAGCCGCTGCAGCAGGGGGCAGTGGAGGAATCTCCTCCGTTGCAGCCGCCATCTCAGCAGCTGCTGCAGCAGCCCAGGCGACCGCCCATGCGGTGGTCCCCACGTCCAAAGGTGTCGCCGCTGGTGGCGGGCCCTTGGCCGGCCCAGGGTTTAACGTTGTTGGCCTGCCGGCCCGGCCTCCCTCCTCGTCCGCCAGCGGGCTTCAGCCACGGGCTGGCGCCCCCTCGCGGGAGCCAAGCTTCAGCGGCTTCGGCTCCGGAGCAATTGGCCCGCCTGGCGCCCCGCAACTCACAAGCAGCTTGTTGCCGGGGCATGTGTCGGGCGGGTACCGGCCAACCACGTCTGTTAGCACGGCTGCGACGGGGATGACGACGGCTGCCAGCGGCCTGAACCCCCATACCGGTTACCCGCTGCACTATCAGCCCATGCAGCAGCAGCAGCTCCATTACATCCCCACCACCACCGCCCCGAGCGGCGCCGCGCTGGGCATGCCGCGTGCGGAGAGCTTCTCAGCCCACCATACTGAACCGCAGCTTATGCCTTCCATGTCGGCCCCCGTTAGCAGCGCCGCTTCCATACCCGGCGGGTTTCTTGGTCGCGGCGGTGTCGGTGCCAGCAGCTATGTTGCTGCTAGTAGCATGCAGCACGCCCAAGCACCGCTGGCCACCGTAGAGGTGAGACGCTGAGCTTGCCGTTATCAAGGTTAACGGAGACTGCAAAGGGAGAAGGGGGAAGTACATTTGTATTGATGCGCGGGGGTGTCTGCGGTGTACTCGTCGGGTAACATCATTACACCACTGCATGCGGTACTAACCACGAAACCCACATACCCTGCCTTCTCGTTTGCGGTCTTTGCGCAGCGCACTGCCCTGGAGGCGCGCTGCCGGGCTGCTGAGGAGGCGCTGGCGCTGACAGAGCGGCGCCATGCGGGAGAGGCGGAGCGACTGCAGGTGGGTATGTGGTGGGTGTATGGTGGGACGACGAAGCATGCTGTGGTTGCCATACGTACGGCACAAAGCGTGTCGGATAAGGCGGTCGGGTGTCTCAATCGTCGGGTGCATCTGGCAACAGCGGCTCAACAGCGGTGGCAGTGGCTTAACATGGTTCTATGTCAAAACGAAACTGCCTTATAGGGTCGCATTACGTCGTTGGAGTCGAGCTTGGCGGCGGAGCGGCAGCTGTGCAGCCAGCTACAGCAGCAGCTGCAGGGAGAGATCCAGCGCCTGCGCACAGCGACTGAGGCTGAGACGTCGGCTCGGGCGGCGGAAGCGGCTGCACGGGAGATGCTGTCAGCTGCCAACCAGGTTGGTCAAGCCACAGGGGCACCAAGGGTCTGGTATCAGCGTTAGGCTTGCATGCAACATAACTACATAAGGTAACCGGATTCCTTAACCGCATTTCCATGTGTTTACCTGTGGCCAGTCGCTGGAGCTGGAGAGGCGTCGCGCTGTTGAGACCGCACAGCAGGCGGCGGAGACGGCCCGCGAGTTGTCGTCCCGTGTTGCCGCCTTGGAGGCGGAGAGGTCCGGCTTGGAGAAGCAGATGCTGCTGGAAAAGGTGAGCTCCGGGGGGTATCCTCATCTCCACGACTCGTGGCAATGGGGAAAGCAGAGGAACCAATCTTGCAAAACGACCGTCTCACCTGGGTTGGCTGAAGCGCTGCTTTGAGGAATTGAGACCATTCTGAACGTCGCTTTGTGGCATCGTTGCTGCAGGAGCAATCGTCACGGCTGCAGAGCCAGCTGAAAGACGCCCAGCGGCAGGAGCAGACGCTGCTGGAGAAGCTGGGCACGTCTGAGGCAGCTCGGCAGCAGCAGGAGATGCGGCTGGAGGTGTGCAGGATTGACGTTGCAGTCGTCGGGGTGTGCCGAGGACCTCTTAGATACCCTCCTAGTCTGTTCCTGTTCCTGCCACCGCGCGCCTCCGTGTGTGGCAGGAACAGGAAACTGTCTGCCGCATGCTACTATTGGCGCACGTGACATGTCCCTACGCGTGCTCTAAACCACCGATAGCTGTCATATGAAGTAGTTTTAATGCCCCCAACCCTGCCCCTCCCCCTCACCAGGCTGCCGCGGAGCAGGTCACCACGATGCGCAACGAGCTGCAGCTGCTGAACGCCAAGCTGGCAGCCCGCGACAAGCAGCTGCTGAAACACGTGCAGGTGAGGGACGTAAGGGTGCGCGCGCACGGTAAACCAGGAAAAACACACGTGAACAGTGCGCATGGCCAACCATTCGAGCGGTACGTACGGTACTCCGGCGCCCAATCGGCATGGAAGTGGTAGGATGGCGCCCTTCTGTTGCCGCAGCCACTGTCATGCACCCACACAAGGCCACTGCCCTGAAGTCGCAGCTCCCACAACAAAGCCTCCCGATGACTGTCCAACTACTGTGTTTTTGCATGCCGCGCCATGCCGACACCCACCACCACCACCACCCTCCAGGAGATGGAGGAGACCCAGCTTGCCACGTTGCGATCCGAGCTGGGCGCCGCTCAGCTGCGTCTGCAGCGCCAGGAGGTGCACTACGCGACACTGCGCAGCTCGCTGGCGGCGGTGTATCAGGCGCTTGGGCCGCAGGTGCGTGCGACTCGAAAACGATATAACGGCTGCGAAGAACGCAACATGACGGGTGGTCCCCGAGCTCCTGACCCATGGGTCAGGAGATGTGCTTGCGAGGTGACCTGGCACAGTTAGGGTAGGCTGCACTGGCAGCCGCACACCATGGGACACATGGATTTACACAGTTCCGTTTTTGTGTGCGTGCGTGTGTGCATGCAGGCATTGGCGGCTGCGTTTGGCTACTCTGATCAGCTGCTGGGAGGCTTCACGGCGAGTGCGGCGGAGTACGGATCTGTGGCGGATCGACTGCTGAGTCAGCGAACGGTGGAGGAGGAGGATGCGGCGGCGGTGGTGGCGCGCGTCAAGGAGCTGGTCACGCAGGTGGGAGTTCGGGGTGAAAAAAGGACCATAAAACGGTATTGGTAACCTGTGGTCTCTATGCAACCCGCCGAACCCACCGGGGCCCCAGCCAAGGTGGGGGCCGGAGTGGTTAGAACCGCCGTAGACGTTAAGCTCCTGCTGGAGTTGTTGAGTGGTTTCCAAGGCTGGCCCGCTTTAAGGCGCTCTGTCTGTGCGTTGGCTGTTCGATGCGCCCCCCAAGCAGCAATTCACCAATTACTCACATTGTTGTTGGCCATGTTTCGGTGCTGACACGTAGACTCGGAACCTCTACATGTCGACGGAGCGACGGGAGGTGGCCATGGCAGCGGAGATGGACCAAGCGCTAAACACGCTCCGGCAAACCAATACGGTACGTCGATCCTGCAGTCATTGGTGCATGGCTGCACTGTCTTGGATGGGTCTTTTGGGTACCACTTGTGTTCCGCCACATGTGTTAAAATAACTGGCCGCGAGGCGAAACGTACTGTGATTCCACATGTGTTCCGCACTTTCCACATTGTGTTGTGTGGTTCTGATGCCCGGACAAGGCATGGCACGGTTATTATTGCGAAGAGGAGAATGTGCTGCCGTACGTTCCTTACCTTCATCACACCAGGACGCGGAGGCTCGGCTGGCTAGCTGCAACGTGGCGTTACGTACGGCGACGCAACGGGTTGAAGAACTCACGGCTCACCTACAGGTGAGAGTGTGAGATTGTCCTGGCAGCATGCACAGAAGGCACAGTCATCCTCTAGCTATACAATACCGCCTCCTCACAGACACCGTACCTCAATTCCGTTACCACGTTGCCTTATGCACTCCGGGAGTGCATGTCCGTACCCCTGATGCCAAGCTCAACCTGGCTCAACGGCCTCTCTTTGTTCACGCCGCTCCGCCTCAGGAGTCCCGCGCACGTTGCACCAGCCTGGAAAACTCCCTCCAAGCGGCGCAGAGGGCAGCCCAAGGCGAGCGCCGGCACTGCGAGGAGCTTCAATCCGCTCTCAGCGAGCTGCAACAGGAGGCATCGACCCTCCGCGTACGAGCCGCCGACGCAGACGGTGAGGGCCCATCACACACCTTAGGGTACCGTACCTGCCTGCCTAGGTAAACTGAACACCTCCCGTGTCGAATTGTCGATGCATGCATGGCCCCTTGCAACGCTCCCGCCCATCGCTAGCTCAACCGCCGCCTGGCAACGTGGCAAGCCCTGATGCCTGTGGTGCTTGCATGTGGTGCATCTGTGTGCCTGTTGCGCTCGCTCACCTGCACAGGTGCTCACAACGAGCTGCAAGCCAGTAGGGAGCAGGTGCTGCAGCTGCAGCAGCAGGTGGCTCAGCTGCAGCTGCAGGCGGAGCAGCTGGGCAGTCTGGCGCAACGCAACAAGGAGGCGGCGGCGGTGCGTGTGGGCATGTCGTGTCGGTGTTGTCTGTCCAGCGTAAACGCAAAAAAGGGAGACGGCATGCTTTCCTCCGGAAGGGGTTGCTTTCCTCCGTTCGAAGCTGAAGTTTGCTGGAAATGCTATTGGTACCCGTGGAAAACCTCCGCGCAGAGCAAGGAGGATCGCGTTCGGGAGCTCCGTTCAGCCCTGGCTTCGGCGCTGGACAACTCATCGGCGGCTGAGGGTCAAGCGGGGATGCTCATCCGGGAAAAGCAGCAGGTAAGCACCTTCTACCGGTACGAACCGTGTGCTGAGCAGAAATGCAGTTGGGAGAGTGGCGACGGCGTCGATACCGTGTCGTTGCGCAATGCCGTACCGATGCGTGATGCCATTTGTCACTTGCCTGCAGGCCCTGGACGAGTTGGAGTATGAGAGGCGGCGGAATGCCGAGCTGGAAGCTCTCGTGCAGGTATGAGAGAATGGGAGAGGCGAGGACTTACCCATAGCGCTATCAGCCGGTGTTGGGCCTTTTGGCGCTGACGCTTCCTCAAGTAACTTGCCTTACAGATGTGTCACGTGTTATGCTAGTTCACAACGCTGACTGCTAAGGGCACCTGGAAATGCTTCTTGGTCCTGCAGGCATCCGAGCAGCAGCTGAAGCGTGTACGTGCCGAGGCGGAAGCCACTGAGAGCTCCTACTGGCAGCTCAGTCAACAGGTGCGAGTTTTACCGCAGACCCATGGGTCGTACCAGCCATTCTACGCGCCACGGCTTACGGCTTTTGCCCATGTAGGTCATGGAGGCAGCAAGGGAGGCGGCTGCTCGAGCGCGTGAGCTTCAACAGGCAAGTCACCCGGACAGTGTCCCCCGCCGCGTTCCATTGCTGCCTTTCCCTGCCCAGCGCTTCCCGCGACCGTGCAAGCCTTACACACCTAAGTAAGAGGTAACGCATGCCCGGCATGCGCCATGCCTCCCGCAGGTGGGAGGGCCGCGTGCGGTGCCCATGCTGCTGTACGCGACGCCGGAGCACCTGAGCTCTGCTGCTGATGACGCGGCGTTGCATCTGGCGACGTTGGAAGCTGCCATGGAGGGCAACCGGCCGCGTACGGCTAACTCCATGCAGCGTGGTGGTGGTGGTGGTGGTGGTGCTGCTGCTGCTGCTGCTGGAGACGGCTGGCACGTGGAAGTGCTATCCCTGGGCGGGGCGGACGTCCCGCAGGTTGGTTGGGTCGCTCGTTGGGTGCATTGCTGGCTGCTTACCGGGGTTGCTTTCCTCTTGGTCAAACAGCTGTACCTCGTAGTTGCATGGTCTGGCCGCACGGTCGTGATGCTTGGGACGTAGCCCAACCCAGCCCACACTGTGGGCCCGTGGCCCCGAGTCCTCATTATTCTTAACCCCCGGTTTGCCCCGCTCCACCCCTCCGTCCGCAGGCATGCACCCGCGCCCTGCTCGGCCACATCCAGTTCCTCTCCACGCAACAGGCGCTGACTCAGCAACAGCTCATCACTGCGCAGCAGCAGCTGCAAGGCCTTGCGAGGTTCCGGAGCGCGCTGCTTGCCCGGGGTGGCGACCTCGCCCGGTCCCGAAGCCAGCCAACTGCTGAGGCGGCCGGTGGCTCGGTTAAGGACGCTGTACGACAGTCGCTGTCCATGCAGGACCGCGCCTTGGCTCTACCTGCCTCCCCAGGCGCTGATGCCTTACAAGGAAGTGCTTCGCAGCATGCCAATGCTCCGGTGCATGAGCTGGCAAGGAACGTGGCGGCTGCGGTAACAGATGCCGTACAGGTGCGGGAAATATTCGTTTATTCGTACTTGCCCCGCATCACCGGCTGGCGGTGTTGGGCAGCTTACGGTATTGCTAGGGGTCACTGATTCAAATCGCATGCATGGCGAAACAGTAATTGTTACGGGCGGTGTTGTTCTGCCTTGGCAACATCTCCCCGAGGCGACTCGAACTTGGCCCATGGTGCGTTGCAGGCTCTTCAGGATGCTTTGGAGCAGGAGGCGGCGACAGCTCGCCGCGCAGACCAGGTTACGGAGGCTCTCCGTCAGGTGCGAATGCGTCGTTGTGGGTTTCCGGCCCAATTCCGGTATGTGAGCAGGCGGGATGCTTCAAGGCTGCATGCTGTATAAGCATACAACTCATTATCTCCTGCCCTTCTGTGTCCTATGCCGTGTACGGATCTCTGTGGCTGCAGCTACAGCAGCAGCTTGAGGGGGCGCGGCAGGAGGCGGCACAGGCTGCAGTCTTGAAGGAGAGCTTGGTCGCATGCGAGGCGGAGCTGCAGCAGGTGAAGGCCACCGCGCAAGCCGAGTTCACCCGGGTTCACAACGAAGTGACCAAGGCGTTTAAGGTACAACTCGACAATGGGATGATGATTAATGACCGTTACAATGGTTCCCAAGAAAAAGGCACGGTTGATGCACCCAACCCTACACTGCAAGAGAAACGGGGTAAACCGCGAAACTAACCCACAAAGGGCCATTTGGATATCCGTTGGCTCGCTGTGGCTTGGTACGTCTCCTTCCTCTGCACCTACCGGATCTCTTCGTGCACTCACGAAACACCGTACCCACGGGTATGCTCTATTTTCTTTTCCCCGCAGGTAGCGGAGCAGGTTCGCGGGGATGCCCTGGTGGAGGCGGATGCGCGGGTCCGCGCCGCCGAGCTGGCCGCAGCGGAGGCGAGCGCGCAGGCGGATGCGCGCGTGGCAGCAGCCGAGCAGCAGACTGCCAACACGGCTGCGCGAGTGACATCACTACAGGTAGTGTCGTTGGGCGCATGTGTTTTCATCCATGAGCTGCGGTAACGATTGTTCCTGCACACGTTGGCTAGCTGCCAACCGACTCCCTAACGGTCCTCTTAGCAAGTTCGCATGCTGTTCCGCTGTTCTCCTAACGGCTGTCCTTCCAACCGCAGACGGAGCTCGCCACCACGAGGTCTCTGCTGGAGGCCACCCAAGCAGAGATACTGGCACTACGGGTGCGAGCACCAGCATGGCATGATAATACAGAATAAAGATACCGGTAGCTTTCTGTTCAAGGCGATTATGCCGTACCTTGTAAGATGTGCATGTCAATACAGCGAAAACGGTTAAAGCGCTGCCGCGGCGTGCTACTTATGAGGCCTCGACCCTCAACGTCTCAACGCTTTTCCTCGTGCCGGATTCCCCTCTGGATCACCTTCTGCTCACACACTACAATACACGTCCATATGTTTCCCTCCCGTGAGTTCGTTCTTTCCTCTTTACGGTACCCTCCCGCAGACGGAGCACTCCGCGGGATTGCAGCATGTCAGCTCGCTCACTGAGCAGCTGCAGCGTGCGAATGAGGAGCTAGTGCAGTTACGACAGGTGGCTGGTCCGGCAACCCGGGAGCGTCTCGTCATGGCTGCAAAGTAAGATCCCTCAAGGGAGCTTTCACCTGAGCGACCCTTGGGTCAATGGGCCTCTCTGTTGTGGATCGCCGCCTGATAAATAGCCTACACGCTCCACTTGCTCTGCAGGCTTCGAGTGCTAAGGCGTAAGCGGTCGGAGCTGCAGCGGCGTCTGACGGAGGAGAGGCGCCGTGCCCAGAAGTTGGGAGCGTCCGACGAAGCACGTCGCAATCGGTAAGGAGACGCGTTGAAGAAAACCCGAAATGGCACGGTAATAGAGCCAGCGTAATGATGACTTTAGTTGCTTTTGCATGCGCGGAGCCTTATGCGGCGTCGGTTTCGGCCACCACCTACATATGCCCTTCTTACCTCCACAGGATCAAGCAAGGCGTTGTCCAGCTCCGGCAGCTTCAGATTGACAACATACAGCTGAAATCTCGACTCCAGGTGCGTTCAGCCTGGGCACGGTGTCCCTTGTTGCTTTTTGCATCCTCTGGCCACTTCCAACTGTACGGCGCTGGAGGGGATTGCACGTACGGCATCAATCCTCTCAGCTGCACCCCGGCAAGCAGAACACCCAATCGTTGAATGTTTGTTCGCCTCATGCGGTGAGCATGCAGGAGACGGAGAGCCGGGCATCCCGCACAGAGTCCTTGCTGTCGAAGCTGGAAGAGCGCAGGTGCGGGGCGTTGAGTGGACTACAGCTGCAGGCTTCCTGATGCTGTATGGCATGCAGCTGCGCTGCTGATGCTGCATGGCATCCTCTGACCTTCCACGTGCACTTGGGCACACATGCAGGATAAATCTGGAGCAGGATCGCAAGGCGCAGTCGGATAAGGTGTCCAAGCTAACAGGTGAGCTGTTGTAGATGCTGCGCTTCCTTACCATCGAAACCCTTGTAGCAGTTGGCTGTCCCCTGCTGTTGTCTCCCTGATCCTTGTCCTGATCCTGATTGGCACGTTCCGCCTCTCCGGCCTCGTTTCCTTCCTCTTCTTCGACGCTCCAATTTAATTCCTCCTTTACTCCCACCTGACGCTGCTGTCACCCTAAACCCTGCTAATGTGCTAAACCCTGCAGGCCAGCTGGCGGACGCCAACAAGGCCCTCGAGGCGGCCCGCCGCGCTGAGACGGCTTCCAGGAAGGAGCTGGACCGCCTGGTGCGGGAGCAGCTGGAGCCGCAGCGGGTGAGGGAGGCAGGGAGGAGGGGAGGGCATATCCTTGGGGTTTGTGGCATGTTCTTGGTCTGCGTGAAGGTGGCTATTTTCCGCGAGGATTGAAGCGGTGTAGGATGTGGGGTATGGTCGTATGGGAGTGTGAGCCTGTCGGTATGCCGTTGTGTTACTGACATTTACACGGCTTCCCCAACGCCTCCTGTCGCCCTCCTCCCTTGACAGCGGAGGACGACAACGGTGCTTGAGGAGCTTGAGCGTGCGGCGGCGGCGCTGCAGGTAAGGCGGTTGATTGGACCTGCTAAGGCTTTTAAGAAACTGCGGTTGTCTGGACGAACACCCGTACTCATAGATACCCGTTGTAACCTACTCTTCGTAGGAGAGCCAGGCCAACGCCACTCGGCTTCTTCAGCAGGGTGAGGAGCTGCGAGCTGAGTTGGAGGTGAGACGATGTCTTTGTGGAAAGCTGCTATAGTAATGAACTGTTTGCTTTCACAGCTCGGGGTCCGCAAAGGGCTTCGCATGAAAGCGGCGGGTATGGGGGGAGTGGCTGAGCGCTCGTAGTAAACGACATGTTGGCATACGCTTTGTAGCATGCAGAGCTGCAACCGTCAATCCTGTCCTCCTCCCCGTTGTCATCCTCCATTGATATCTTTCCGCAGGAGACGCACCGTGCTGCTGCGGAGGAGGCCATGCACGCGGAGGAGCGCCTGACGGCCGCCATGCGGGTACGACCATGGGCTCGGAGTCGCTCCTTGCTCCTTGGGGCGCAAGAGGAGGTCTGGACTGCTTAGTTTTTTGCGAAATGATCGAGGAAGTACGCATGCCGTAGCAGCACGCAGGCTGGCTTGTACACACGCATGGATGTACATGTACCACGCTGTTGGTCTAAAACCTTCTGTCCCTTGCTGGACCCGTCCGCTTTCGTCTTTGCTTGTCGCATCACAGGAGCTAACCGAGCGGGACGCGGTGATTGCGGATCTGCGGCAGCAGGTGACGGCGGCGCAGGCAGCCGCTGCCGCTGCGGCGTCAATGCTGCCGGCCATTTCTTCGGGCCAGCTAGGGGACGCGGCTGCCATACAGACGCACCTGATCGGTCAACTGGGGCAGCTACAGGTACGTCTGATCCTGATACATGGCTGCAAACACTGCCGTGTCCGTGTCAAACACGCGCTTCCCATGAAGTTCACTATGTTAGTTTTGGGGTCCTTGGCTATCGCTAATTCAGTTGCTTGTCACCGCATCCCACCTCGCGTCCTGCTGACAGGCGGTCAACGTTGAGTTGGAGTCCAAGCGCGCTGCGGTGGAGGCGGAACTTGAGACGCTGAGGTGGGCGGCTGCTGCTGCGCAGTGTGGTGTGGTGTGGTGTGCATGAGCCTGTCATGCACCCTCACGCACACGCCTGCACCGAGGGGTTGCAGACAATTAGCCTGGTTAGGTACCTTGCAACCACCGTGATGCTGTTGTAGAAGCCGGACCTCACCTCCATGCCATGTTTACACCGCAAACTCACCTTCACCTCACCACCTGGGTTTCCCTCCTCACCGTATGTGGCTGCAGGGTCCGTGTCAGTCGAGCTGAGACCGCCGCCGCAGCAGCAGCCCGCATGGACACCCCGGCTGCAACCGAGCCCAGCGCCTTCCCTCTGGCCTCGCCGCATACGGCGCCCGCCTGCACTCCGGAGGGGCACCTGCGCCTCCAGGTCCGGACGCTGGGCGACCTGGGCAGCACCCCGCGCGGCCTGTCCAGCCTGGGAGCTGCTGGCCCAGTGTCGGGTTATCGTGACGACGGCGCTGCCAGTGTGGCTCCCTCGTACACGCGAGGTGGGAACTGCTGCACTTCTACGCTGTCGTACTGAACTGGCTGTTATGTATCACGCACTTGATTGGCACAGGCATGAAGCAGGCGGACTGAAGCCCGACTGCACGATGAACCGTGAGCGTGCACAGCACAGTATGCATGAACTGAACAAATACCGCCTCCCTTGCCTTGCCTTGCCTTGCCTTGCCTTGCCTTGCCCTCGGAATTCCCATTTCACCCACACCCGCCGCCCCTGCCTCCCCAGACCTGGACCCCGCATCGCTGGCTGCCAAGGAGCAGCGCATGCAGGAGCTCCGAGCCGCCCTCTCCTCCCTCATGGCGGAGCGATCCGCGCTGCAACAGGAGCTTTCAGCAGCACGCGCTGACGCCAGCAACGCTGCTGCAGCGGCCGTCAAGGCAGCAGCCGACGCTAGGCTGCAGACCGAGGCCCAGCTGGCGCGCATACGCGAGCTTGAAGAGGAGGTCCAGCGCTCCGCGGCCGCACTTCAGGAGGCCCGGGAGGCCTTGGCTGCGTCGGAAGGGCGGCTTGCGGAGGCAGCTGATGTGGGTCAAAGGCAGCTGCAAGAGGAGCTCGAGGCGTGCGTGCTGCGGCGGGAGGAGGAGCTGAGGGCGGCAGCGCAGCAGGCAGAGCAGCAAGCAGCGGAGCGGGAGGCATGGTGGCGAGGAGAGGTGCAGGTGATGGAAGCCCGCGCGTGGGAGGGTGAGGCAGCGTTGGAGGCGTTGTGGCGGGAGAAGGTGGAGTCGGCGGAGCGGAGAGGCCGGGAGGAGGTGGAGGCGGCGGAGCGGCGGGGGCGGGAGGAGGTAGAGGCAGTCGAGCAGAATTGGAAGAGGGAGGTGGAGGCGGCGGAACGGCGGCTTGCGGAGGAGGTGGAGGCGGCGCAACGCACTGGCAAGGAGGCGGCGGAGGCAGCGGAGAAGCGGGGGCGGGAGGATGTGGAGGCGGCGGAGAGGCGGGGACGGGAAGAGGCGGAGGCGGCGGAGGCTAGGGCGCGTGAGCAGGTGGAGGCAGCCGAACGTCACGCCAAACAGGCCATTGAGGTACGCGGTCGTGCTACTGACAGCGAGGTCGTCCGGTGCGTTTCTCACCTTGCTGAGGTGCACAAAGCCTCACTCTAGCCTTTTGTTGCTGCCATGTCGCTCATGGCGGCCTAACGCCCAAGCATCCCGTTCATTACTCTCCCGCTCCGCTCCGCACTCTCCCACCGTGAGCAGGAGGTGCGCCTCCAAGCCATGGAGCAGGTCGCATCCCTGGAGCGCCGGCTGCGCGAGGAGACTGCTGCCCTGGAGAGGCGTGTGCGTGAAGCCGAGCGGACGGCAGCGGACGCTACAACACGCGAGGAGGAACGCTCACGCCAGGTGAGGCTGACCGACCTGCATCCATGTTACAGCTGCGTTTAGGTCCCATTGGGCGGTCATTTTGTTGCACAGTATGGATGTAGTACGACTCTTGTACGGTCACCATGCAATGTGTGATCAGTGTCGTACCTGCCGACGCAGGCGGACCGAGCTCGAGAACAGCTGTCTCAGATGCAGGTAAAATAGTTTCGGCTAATCTTTACTTTTGCAGCACCGCTTCTCTTAGGCACCTATAACAAATGACCTGGCCCTCTTGCGTTTCCTCCTCCTGCTGCTGCTGCTCTACCATATAAACCGTACTGTACCCCGCTTCTCTTCTCAGGCTCTGCATGCATCAGCGGAGGAAGCGGTACGACAGCTGTCATCCCAGCTACGCGAGCTTCAGCAGGGCGGCAGCAACCAGGCGCAAGCAGCCGTGGCGGAGGTACAGCAGCTGCAGGTCACTGTGGACAGCCTTCGAAGGGAGCTGTCCCTTGCCCGGGACAATGCAGCCGCCAATGAAGCGGTGAGGGCCGGGGGCGGTTGTTTGTTGTTCACTAGCCTCGCAGCGCTGCCAGTGGCGATTGTACAATTATACGAAACAAAACGTTTCCGAAATATGCCTATCGTACCGCAGGAGGTACGGCGGCTGCAGGCGCAGCACGAGGCGACCGTAGCGCAGGGCCGCTCGCTGGCATCTGAGCTTCAGGCAGGTTTCGGGGAAGAAAGACAGCGCTTGCATCCCCTGCCATGGCGCGTGCACCACGGATCACCTGCTCACCTCGCGCCTACCCACATGCCTCCAGGCCTCGGTGTCCTTCCCATTACTTTTCGCCTTCCTAGCCCCTCCGACTTTTAAATTCAAGCTCCTTCCTGACCCTTTCCACACGCCTGCTGTTTCCCTTGCTGTTTCCCTCATGGTTCCCTGCTCCTCGCACACAGGCCCTCAGTGACGACCTGTCCGCTGCTCGCACCCGCATCGGCGTGTTGCAACAGGAGCTGGTGGTCCAGCATGCGGAGGCGGACACCCTGCGGCAGGCCAACCAGACACTGCAGGCGGGGCTGTCGGCTGCGGAGGAGCGTCACGTGGACAGCGAGGCACAGCTGGTGGAGGCGGAGGCGGCGTTGTCGCGACAGCAAGGGCTGGTACGGCAGGTGCGTGGGTTGCAGCTTCTTTGGTCAGCTTCCGCTTTGGCGCGCTTAGCTTCTTTGGCTTTGGCGCGCTTAGTACCATATACGGGGTTCCTAAGACCCCCTTTTGTTGGACATGGATTGCGCAGGTACAAGCGGAGAACGAGCGGCTGCACGAGCAGTACACCCAGCTGCAGCAGCAGCTGCAGCAACTGACGGCGGAGCGGCGGGCGGCCGCAGTGGCGGCGGCAGCGGCCACGGCAGCCGCCGGCGCGGATGTGGGGCTGCTGAGGTCCGCATCGCCTCCGCGCGCAGGTGTTTCCTCCTCGCCCCTTGGCAGCGGCAGTCCGCCGCGGCCTATCCGCGATGGAATGTTGCCGGGCAGCGAGGAGGGTGGAGGAAGCGGCGGCGGCGGTCGTAGCCGACGTGAGCGGACATCTTCGGCGGTTTTGGAAGCGAGGCTGCTGCATGCGGCGGTTTCGGAGCTTGAGGCCAAGGCGGAAAGCCTGCAGGTGCGAAGGGGTATTGTAGTTTCTACATGGTCATTGCCAGCTTCTGAGCTTGCGTGTGTCATGCCGTATCTTGCCTGTCTGTAAGCGTAAAAATAGGAGCACTAACAGCATCGTCCCTTCTACGGTATTCCCATGGTCTTCCGCAGCGCGACCTCTTAACCGCAGAGGCACGAGCCAAGCAGGCAGAAGACGATGCCCAACTACTCCGCATCGATCTAGACACCGCAACCAACCGTCTGCGGGCCGCGGAAGCCAAGGCAACGGACATGCAGGGCCGCCTTGAGGTACGAACGTAGGATGCGACCTGCCCCGCCCCTGGCTTGTGTGTGCATGAACCGCATGAAGGAGCCACGTGTGGCGGGCCCCACGATGGGGCACGCACCGATATGCTGCCCACTCCTTACCGTAGCAGCAATCTTTGTAGTAGGCGTATGCGCACGAATACGGTACAGATGACAGGCGGAGTTAGGCCTCTCGCCTCCGACCTGCCCTGCGTTCCTGTGCGCCCATCCCTCAACAACCGTTTCTCCCTGCAGGCCTCCCTGTCGGATGCGGCCCAAGGTGTGGGCTCGTTGCGCGGTCAGCTGCTGGAAATGGAGCTCCAGTTGGACGAGATACGCGACCGGGAGCAGGTAGATACGGCATGGAATGTACGGCGGAATGGAGGAGTGGATTGTCGTACGGTCGCGCCACCCCTTGTTGCCACCCTTATTACGGTACCTGTACCCTCTCCTTGTCGCCTTAAGCACGGCTTAAGCGCGCGTTGAGCGTCTCTCGGTTGGACCGCACGCAGCGATAAGCGCTGCTATGAGAAGTGCTGCTAACGCGCTGAGGGTTGCTTGCTACCGCCGGTATTCCATGGACTAATATCCCACTCGCTCGCAGGCCAGCCAGGCTGCGCTGTTCCGCGCCAATGCTCGCTGCGAGGAGCTGCAGGCAGCGCTTGCGGAGGCGGAGCAACGTGCGGAGGAGCTGCAGCACCGATGCGAAGACCGGGAGCTGGAGGTTGGAGTGTTGCAGGTACGGGGAAGGGGTCTGGGAGAAGGGAGGGTCTCATGCAGCTGCCGAGGCCGTTACAGGCCAGACTTGTTTCCCATACACCTGGTCTTTGCAAGCTCTGTCCTGAACGAACGTGCCGCTGACGCCCGTGACGCCTTTCGGTCCGCAGGCTCAACTGGCGTCTGCATCCGCCCAGCGCCTCGCACAGCTCGCGGAGGCGCAGCAAGCCGGGGAGCCGCATGGGTCGGGCCAGGTGGGCTGCACGTCTTGCAACTCTTAAGGAGGGTTCCTGTTGGGGTACTTGCGTCGCCCAGTGGGCCCCGTGTTGTGCTGGTGTGCATTCCTGCTGGAATGTCCCTGGAGGTATCCCCTGACTGCTTTCCACACTGCAGGCTTCGGCGTCTGCCCTGGACATGCAAGTCCGTGAGCAGGCGCTGCTGGTGGGCACGCTGCAGGTGGGTCCAATACGGTAGACACGGTAGACACAGCTCGTATGGGTCATGCCATGCGGCCGTGTTGTGGGTAGCTGTGCAGGAACCTTAGGTTTTTATGTTAAGCCATTGGTCCTTGGCCGCTCTGTTCACCTCAGTGGAAGGCTGCATGCTGCGTCCGGGGGATTGTACTCATTTTCTTACCGTTTGCGCTCGATTTCGCAGGCTGACCTTCAGGCGGCGTTGGCGCGGGCGGAGGGCGCCGAACGGGTAGGTTCCAATGGAATGCAGGGACCTACCTCGCCCTTTGTTCTTTTCCTTCCAACTATCGGTACACAACCCTACAGCGGCTGCCAGACTGGTCACGCAACCCACCCCCGCATTCCTCCCATGGCACGTGCCCCTCAGGAGCTGGCCGAGAGCAGGGCTGCTGCTGAGGTGCTTCGCGGTGAGGTGGCGTCCCTGGAGCGGCAGCGGCATGCGGTCGCCCTGGAGGCGCGCAACACCGTGGACACCGGGGCGCGCATGCGGGTACGTGGCCGCCAGCTAGGCGCAACTAGAGCATGGGCTCGCGCCGGTTTGCTTGTTTGGACAAGGTGCTGGTGTTGGAAGGGCCCCTGGCATGTACCGTAAATCCGCTGTAAAAATGGCGCTTCTGATTGCGTGTTACTGCAGGCTGAGCTGGACAAGTTTTCAAGCAGGCTGACAGAGGTTGAGGTGGGTTGCCAAGCAGCTGGCTGTATAAGGTCTTGCTCTTTGCATGCGGCCGCTCTTCCCTCCCAGGCCCTCACAACAACACTCCTCCATCTTTCATTCATTTCAGGCCGACTTGCTCAGGGCACAGGAGGCACGAGACCGGGCCGTGGCACAGGTAGGGCCGCTAGGGGATTACATGACGCATGGGGGGCGTGCCGTGAAATATCCGGGGTTGCTACCGAGACCTCAACGTCCTGACGTAATAGACGGGGCCAGGCGGGACTGCAATTCCCCACGTTTCGTTACTACCGGTAGCTGACGTCCGGGCGGCTGTGTGCTGGCAGGCTCGCACCGCTGAGTTGCAGCTGGCGGAGGAGCGGACTGAGGCGGAGTCGCTGCGCTGTCAACTGGCGGCTGCAGCCAACCAGGGCCGCGGGGCGGACTCGCTCTGGCTGCAGCGAGTGGCAGAACTGGAGCGGGCGCTGTCAACCGCCAGGCAGCAGGTAAGAAGCTACACGCGTATTTTTTTTAATTTAGACAGGAGCCCTGCTGGAAAAAGCTATCTGCCGACGGTCCGCATGGTGTTGAGCTACCGTAGCACGTTTTGGTCCATGAGTCTGCTTGAGCAATATACTACATGTTTGTGGTGGAAACCACTCCTCATGCAGGCGGCGGAGGCGGAGGATGCGGTCGTGGAGGCGGCTGCTGCTCAGATGCGGTCGGCTGGCCTGGAGACGCGCGTGCGGGACCTAGAGGCGGCGCTGGCGGAGGCAGAGACGCGAGTGGCTGCGGCAGCAGAGGGCGAGACGCGCACGGCAGGAGCACTTGCTGGAGAGCGGGAGGTACGGAGTTCCTCGTATCAAGTTTGCTTACCGGTAATCGCCGTAAGCATTCTTCGCTCATGCGCGACGGACCATGTTGACATACCGTGACTGCAATGTCCGCACAGGCACATCGTCAGGAAGTTTCCGCGTTGCAGCTGCAGCTGCGAGGCCTACAGGACAAGCTGGCAATGTGCGAACGGCAGGTGTCGGACCGTGATGCGCGCATTGAGGGCGCAGGGCAGCAGGCAACGTCGCTTCGCGGCCACGTGGACGCCTTGGAGGAGCAGCTGCGGGAGGTCCGCCGGGAGTTGCTGATGGCAAGGAAGGTGCGTCGGGCCGGTCGGGATTCATTATTGGTGCGACGCCTTGGTCCTCATAACAGCAATGCCATGCCTATGTACGCAGGAACGAGAGGCACTTGAACAGAGAGTTGCAAGGTACGCGTTTGGACGCTCCATGCCATGCCATGGCCGCTGGGGTTCGTGTTAACAAGTAAGCACTTGGGATGATACTTGCAGTTTCGAACAAGAGGCTGAGGGCGCCCGCAGCTCGCCACAGCAAAACGATTCGGCCAGTGTAAGCGGCTTCAGTTTCGCAACATCCCAGGTGCCGCAGCAGCATCTTGTAGGGATGCTATCCGAGAACCGGGACTTGCTGGAAAAGCTTGCTGCAACCCATTCAAAGTTTAAGCAAGCTAAAGCAAAGCTGGCGCAGAAGGAGCAAGAGCTTCGCAGTAAAGACCTCGAGGTAACTTTTGTAAATGCGGTGATGAATTGCCTGTACCGGTGAAGAAGGTCGTTTTACACAACGATTTTCCCTTTTTTTGCAGCTGGAGCGCCTTCGTACGCAGGTGGCAAATCTCTCAGTATCGACAGGTGAGCTTCAAACACCAACGACAGATATTTCTGTTGGGTAGGGATAATTAATTCAGAACCTCGCTTTTCTCAGTCTTATATGTTATCTATGTATTACACAAAGCGCTGTTCTTGGAAACGTTAACTGCAGACCCTGGCCAAATGTCGACGATAGCTTCCAACAGCGCGGACCCGCTGGTTAGCGCGCTGCGGTCAGAGCTTGAAGCTTACAAGGTGTGTCACCTTTGGTTGGTTATGTGCTTTTCCGTGCTCTGTGCTTGTCACATGACATTTCCGGTTACCTTAACCTACTTTTTTCGAAGGCTGCCTTAACATCATCGCAAGAAGAGGCTGCGGCCAGCGCCGCAGCCGCTGCTGAGGCGCAAGCACGATGCGAGGCGCTCGCAATGCGCCTGCAGCAGGATGGCGAGCGGCGAGCGTCTAACAGCCAGGCGAGCAGCCGCGTTGTGGAGCAGGCCTCCCCCAGCATGATGGAGCGCCTGATGCAGCAGGGGCGTGCTGGCAGCCCTGGCGGTGGGGACAACAGCGCTAGCATGCAAGCCTTGGCCCATAAAGTCCGAGCGCAGCGGGCAGAAATAGAGACGCTCACTTCGGAGCTGCAGGTAGGCTTGCTTCCCGCTTTCCACATACGCAGCAACGATGGCTGGGTTACATGACCCACGTGGGGCACAAGCGGCAGAGTGGTAGACGCATGAGTCCCAAGGTGAAAGGCATAGGCGCATTCTGCGTTGGTTCCCAACCGTCTGTATGTCAGCGACTTCACAGTTTGCAACAACTTGTGCATCCTGGTCTTACCCCTCCTTCTTCCTCCTGCCTGCACACCTTACAGGCTGCTAATGCGAAGCGCACCGAGCTTGCCAAGCAAGCTGCCGCTTTGGGTCAGCGTCTTGCATCGGCCGAGATACGGGTATGTGGAGTGGAAGTCTTTCGTGCACGAATACGTGCCTTTTTAGTGGGGTGCTGCCCTGCCGGAGGGTATCGAGTCTCTTGGATACGGGGCGACAGTTCTCCACTTCAACGTGCAGGAACGGGACCTTGCATCAACCGCGGAGTTGCTGCGGCAGCAGCTTGCAATGGCACAACAACAGCTGGAGAGCCGCCAGGCCATGCTGCAGCAGCTCATATCAGCCTCGCAGCAGCAACATCAGAACACGCTTGCACAGGCGGCGCACAAGGCGACCGCCGGGGGGCCTTCAGGTCCTCCCAGTCCCACTAGCACATCCCGCTCCTTGGGCTTGACAGCTGCGTCGGGCGCCGGCGATGGCTTTGACGACGTTCTGCCGTCCACCTCAACAAGTCCCCGCTCGCAGGTATACGACTTACTCTTGTGTTTGCTTGGGCTTTGGCTCGTTGTGGCGACACAGCATAGCGTGTTGGTCATCTCCGAGTTCGTCATCGACTAGTCACCTTCCCGCCGATTTCCCGCACCAGGCGACACGTGCCTACCACACCACCTTCACCCTGTCGCCAACCCGGGCTCGCTCCGCTACTGCGTCCGCACATGCGCACTCCGAGGGCTTCGCTGCCGCTGCCGGCGTGACCGCCTCCCAGCAGCAACTGCTGGCGGCCCAACAGCACCAGCAGCAGTCCTTAAAGCTGGATCGCGTTGTAGCCATGTGGAGGGACGCGTGTCGGGCCAAAGATGCTCGGCTGCAGGAGTTGCAGGTGGGGAGCGGCGGCTCGCGTTGATGCCATGTGTGCTGAGTTGGGTCCAAGAGCAGGCAGCGGTTTGAGCCGTCGCTGCTGACCGGATCGTTAGAAGATGGCCCTTGGAAACCGACGTGCTTTGGCTTTGGCAGCAGTTGACATGCGTGAGTTGTATAAGAGCCACCCGGATGTTGCGGTTGTCATGCAGGCGGACCTTGCGACCTACACCACGCAGCTTGAGCGGGCACGGGCGGACGCCTCGTCCCTGACAGCCAAGGTAAGCCACACGCGCTGTTGCGGGGCGGTGTGTAGTTCCTGCACAGGCCGGCGGCGAGCCCGGTGTGCGCAAGAGACGGGACGTAGCCTTGGCGGATGTTGTCTGACCCGTTGTGTAACCTCAACATGATGGGCAGGTGCTGGAACGGGAGCAGGCGCTAGCGTCCTGCGAGCATCAGCTGGAGCTAGAGCGGGGGAGCCTGGGAGCACAGCTGCGTGCGGCAGAGGACAAGCTGGCCGTCAAGGCGCAACAGGTGTGTAGGCCCCCCAAAAGACCTTTTACGTGTGCTGCCGGCGTGGCAAGCTTGTAAGGCATGTGCGAAGGTCACTGTAACGCTAGTAACCTGCATCTGCCGGTGTCGCTCGCTCTCGACCCTGCTCTGGCCGCAGCTTGCTGCCTTGGAGGACGAACTGCAGAGTCGAGAGCAGGAGCTGCGGACCACTCGCGCGCAGCTGCAGGTCGCGCAGCGCTCCCTCTTGACGCTCCAGGTGAGCAACCAGAGCGAGTGCTTATGGGACCTTGGGCCTCAACTGAAACCGCACGCCTGCCCCTGACATGGACGACTGGGGCAACTCGGCGGTGCCTTGACCGACTGGCAGTTTGGAGTTGACGGGTGGTATGGACCTTGGTCCTTACAATGCAGGCCGAGGGTGAGGCGCACCTTGAGTCCGCCAACACCACAGCGGCGGATCTGGCGGCGTCGCAGCAGCAGGTGGAGGCGCTGCAGGTACGAGCGGGTGCGGTTGCAAAGGGGCAATCCATGCATTGCATCGCCCGGGCCTAGGCCAGGCAGTAGCGTCTCGGCGCGCTTTTGCCCGCTTAGATTATTGGTCTATTTAAACCGTCATGTCATATAATACCGGTAACCTGCAGGCCGAGCTTTGGGAGTTGCGGCATCAGAGCGCCAATGCCAGGACGGAGGCTCAGCAGCTGACTGAGCAGGTGGGTGTGGGTTACGTGGAGTCCAGGACAGCAGCCGTGCGTCCAACCAATCGCTAACCGCTAATGTGCTTGCTGCCTGTTTCTCTCTTTCCTATTCCCTCAGATGCTGCCGCTGCAGGAGCAGCTGGGCCGGTCGGAGGGCCAGGTTGCACAACTGCTTGTGGTCGTCCGCGGCGCCCTTGCTGCTGGCGCCGCCTCAGCCCATCAGCAGCTGCAGACCAGCGCTGGCGGGACTCTTGCAGACTTCCCAGAAGCCTCCTTCGGAGGGGCGCCTGCTGCAGCTCCTGGCCCCTTGCCAACCTCCCTTCGTTTGCTGGAGGTAAGGCTCGCAGCTTGCTGGGGTCCCTTGCGCTGGTCCCTCCTTCCGGCACACGGTTCCCTGCTTGTACACGTGACCCCATGCAAACACAGTATCCTTACGACGCATGAAAGCGTACGGCATGAATGTTGCCCGGTATAGCCTGTCGCATCATGTGTCCCTGATGACATGCACTGCAGGAGCTCACCTCGGTGTTGGTGGAGGAGCTGCAACGGCGCGGGGCTGTCATGGGCAGGCTCGAGGGCGAGGTGGCGGGGCTGCAGGGGCAGCTGACAGCACGAGAGGAGGACGTGAGGCGCCTGGAGGCGCGGCTAAAGTGAGTTTAGCGGTGTTGTGATGATGACGCCACACTGCATGTCCTAGCAGCCAGCTGATCTCGTCCTCGTCCGCTTCGGGACCACCCGCCTCCGCTCTCCGCAGGTCCGCGCAGGACGGTCTGGCTGCCCGGCTGGACGACGTGTCCCGACTGCAGACGGCGCTGCGCCGCAAGGAGGCGGACTGCGAGGCGGTAGAGACAGAGATCTCGGCGCAGATCGCGGACTACCAGCGGCTCAAGCAGCGGCTGTTGCAGCAGGTGTGGGCGCATCAGACAGCCATGTTGGGACTGTTGGGGGTTGTGCTTCGCATTTGACACGATGCGCTGTCCATCCTGTTGGAGCCGATTGGTACGGCGGTTACGTAATGTGGGTCACGTCCTCATGTGTCGATGTGTATATCGTACGTTGTTTGTGCAGGAGCGCGACAGCAGCCGGCTGTCTGCTGACCAAGAGGCGCTGTTGCGTCGCTGCGACGAGTTGGAGGGAGCGCTGGCTGCCAAGCAGGAGGAGTGCGCGCTGCTCAACAAGAAGTGCGCGCAGCTGGAGGAGCAGTGGCAGGCGGGCCGGGCTGCCATGGCTGCTTTGCAGGTACGGCAGGGATACGATAGGATCATGGCACACTCTCATAGGCATGTGGCCCGGGTAACGCCGCGCGTGCTTATCTTGACGGCTTCGTATCGCCTTCAGCGGCGCATTATAACATTGTTCCTGGCCTCCCTACCCCAACGCCTGCAGGAGCGTGTGCGGTCGCTTGATGCGCAATCAGAGGCACTGCAGCGCAGCGGCCAGACCGCGTCGCTGGCCCGGCAGGAGGCGGCAGCGTCACTGGATGCAGCCCGAGCTGACCTGCGAACAGCGACGCAGCAGGCGGCTGCCTACCGGGAACAGCTTGAGCTGCGAAATAACGAGATCAGGTGAGGGTGCTGAGGAACGCGCACGAGGGATGCTACCGCGGCAGGGACCACCTACCCTTGCTGCCGTCGCCTCTCAAAGCCATGTTTGGTAGAAGTACGGTAGCTAACCAAGCTAAGCCCCACATGCGCATGCGCAGGGAGTTGAACGCCATGCTGCAAGCCTGGGAGGCACTACGGCTGGGCAAGGACGCCCAGATCTCGGCGCTCATGGAGCGGTGCAAGCGACACGAGGAGGACGCGGCGGAGAAGGCACGCACCGTGGAGGCGCTGCGCCGAAAGCTGCAGGTGCGACGTGTACGCTGGGTTGAGAAAAACCTCCAGGTCAAAAGCGACCACGGGATAAACCCGTGCTTGTTGAGGGAACATATTACGCCTCTCCCTCCCATGCGGTTTTGTTTCATTCTGAGCTCTGATCCCTCTTACCGATATGTGTCATCCGGGCGCTTGTTCCTTACAGGCGTTCAACGGTGTAACAGGGCGTGTATCCCTCAGCGGAGCACAGTCCGGCGGCAGTCCGAGCGGCTCCGTTGTCACGCCTCACATGGCCAACCAGCAACAATCGCAGTCGAGGCCCATGTCAGGGACTAGCGGCACCTTGGGTGGTTCTCGTCACATCCATGTTCATATGCATGGGCCGGCGGTGTCACCCTCTGTATCCGGGGTTTCTGGCACAGGATCAAACATTGCACGCTAACGATCGGGGTATTAGTAATGCGTACCGTATTCGCTTGCTAGGTGTTGCTTGTATTGGTAGATGTTGCTGAATGCCTGTGAATTTGCGAAGAACTATTCACGATGTCCGTCGCCGGCAAATCTGGAGATCAATTTCCGCAGTTTGGGGCTTTAGGTTTCGAAATGCCGTGACAGGCGTAATTGCACCATGGGTAGCACGGTTAACATGTATGCACTCGAATCGGCTTTTTTATTTCGCTTCCTCAGGCAAATGACAGCAGTAGAGCCTCGTGCTGATGACGCCTGAGTGCCCAAGCGCAACCAGTTGGAAGCAGCACGTTTATATGCAAGCAGCCATTATGGTTACAATGTTGTTCACGAGCGGACGCCCACCCTCCACCTTTCTCAGGAGGCACACTAGCGCGGAGAAACAAGGAGAAAAGACATGAGAAACAGCGCTGAGCTTAGTCAACACGCTTCAGCAGTTTGTTCGTTTTTGAGCAGGATAGGATAACCGCAACAGCCGCCGTGCACACAGGCAGACTGGAAGGTTAAAGCCATATATAGAAGGTAACCAGCGTTCGAACCATGACAGTTTGCCATATATATAAGGTACCGAGCGTTTGAACCACGACAGTTTGCGTGCAATAGGGATAAAGCAGCCGCACCGCTCTACACCAGCATGCAAGCTGCAGCAACCCCTCGCAAGACAGCATACCCGCTCACGTATACACACACAAACGGATTGTGCAATCATGCACGCTCCAACATATACACAACCATGCGCACAGCACGGTAACCACAATGGTCGGGCACAAACCTAAGTTCCTCTCCACTTAGCGGTGGCAGTCTACACGGTCAACAACCTAACCTCCAGTAGCAACAATTCATACGTTTGGCCAGAACGCATGTCCCACGAGTAACGCGTTTCCTCCTAACGCAAAGAAAGACGTAAGAATAACGGACTACACGGCCGACAACAGCCGCCACACCAACCACTCCTGCTCCCGGCTTAACTGACCTAGTGTTCCAAATGCCGGTCTCGCATACGAGCATAGCATGGCACTACCACATATCGAATGCGCCCGGCACTCACAGCTGGCACCCGACGGCTATTACGACAGGCAACCCTTCGAAGTCCTTATCACAAAAGGAGGGAAGGACATGGCGAGTTCTCGCTCGCGTACTATGACCTCACTGGACAAAACCAGGTGTCGCTTCATACATGTGAAGCTCATTACAAGCGTGCTGTCGGCACTAACCCTCCAATAGTTACCACGCCCTGCAAAACCAATAGAAGCCCGCATCATTGAAACACTGTGTATGCGTTCGTAAGTGAAAACTCCAGAAACAACCAAAAGGCAGCCCTGCCATGCAGCCATCTAGTGAACGTTAGGCAGTATCACCCACGCGAAGGTCTGCCACGCAAGCTATGGCCGCTAGCCTCGCCCCGCACAGTTCATGCTTATATAAATTGGCACAAACAGGAACAGTCAATTCAAGTCGCTTAGTAGGGAGTAGTATGAAACGCAATGAAAGTGTCCCACAAAAGATAACCTAGCTTTCACCCTCAATACGAAGTCAGTCGTTGTTTGCCTCGCCTAAACCAATGCACATGGCATCGTGTGTTAATAGCCACTACAACAGCAGCGCACATGCCGTGCCATAGGGCACTCAATCATACGTTATTCAGTTCTCCCTACTACCTTGAACCCATACCAAATCATCCCGACGAAACCCAAACCCCCAAACCCAACACAGCAAAGTCCAAGATGACCGCTCGCATCCCCCTCAACACGCCCCTGACTGCGCCAATCATCTAAACCCAACCCCTACACACCCTGTATAACCCAAACCGAACCCCTCTGCCCGGCTGATGAATGGAACCCTGGAAACCCGCATCACCTCGTGCCGCCCTTCGTCACGATCACATGCACCCGACCGGTGTCCAGATCGTACACGGCTCCCGCCAGCAGCACCTTGCCCCGCTGCAGCCCCTCCTGGATGATGGTGGAGCGCTGGCAGCGCTGGATCTGGTACTTGACGTTCTCCCGGACCACCTTTTCTTGCCGCTCCTCCTCGCTGTCCAGCAGACGCTGATGCGCCTTGGCTGATACGCTGTCGACGCGCGCGATGGCCACGTCCAAGTTGCCCACCAGGGTGTCGATGAAGCCGGGGAAGGCCTTGCCTGTGGGGGTTGTGAAGGGTTCAAGTTCAGGGTCAAGGTGAGGAATGCCAAAGGGTGCAGGTGTGTTGCTATGGGGTGTGGACAAGGAGGGGTGAGTTGGTGGTGCTAGGGCGGAGTGGAGCAGCGATTTGGGTAGGGTAGGCGGGTGGGGTTCCTCCGGCTAACTGCCATGGGTTAAGGAGTCTTGTGAGCATGCATAACGAGGCAGATTGCCCAAAGAAACCTGATGGTTAAGGTGGAAAGAGCGTGGCATGGCCATGTAACCCAGACGATGATACGCCGTTAGGCATGGCCCGGGTACATACCCGATAACGCCGCGTGGACGGCTCCGCACTTCGTGTGTCCAAGGATCATAACCACTTTCACCCCGACGTGCAGGACGGCATACTCGAGGCTTGCTACCTGCTCCGGCGTTGCTATGTTTCCAGCAACGCGGCAGACGAAGACGTCGCCGAAACCCTGATCGAAAACGATTTCAGCTGGTACACGGGAGTCTGCGCATCCAAGGATTGCCGCGAGCGGCTTTTGCTTAACAGAAATTTGCTTCACTCGAGAAAAGTCCTGGTGCGGATGGACGCTTGCTCCGCTTATGAACCGTGCATTGCCGTCCAAGAGAGCCTGCAGCACTTGTTCTGGCGACGCGCGGTCTGTAAGCGAGTTGACCTTGTCTAAGGACGCCTTGCTGTATTGTGAGATCCCGCCGTTGCCTAATTCCTGGGAGCCGCCTGTCAGCGTCAACTGCAATGGCAAAGTTACTCTCCTTCAGTGCTGGTACTTGCAGCTACAAAAGCTCCCATACGCCATGTAAAATACATCATATAACAATCGTATACACCCAGCAACAGCCAGCAGGCCCTGAATTGCCTCTCTAACTCACAGTGTTGGCCTCGGAAACTGCTTGCGGCAACGGAACAACCCGTGTAATTGGTACGTCGTTTTCTCTTTGTGCGCTTGCGCCGCAACCCATTCTTATTCAGCGGTTGGCGAGGTGTTAGGCGCCGGAGGCAGCAGAACCTAACACAAAGCTGACAGCAAAGAAGCTAAAGGCTTTTCCCCTCTATAAGGGAACTATAATTGTTGGAGTCTCAGCCCGTCTCAGCCTCCAATTTTCAATCATAGCACAGAGCCCATCTTGGAAATACTGTCAGCATGGTTGCGAATAGTTCCTGTGATTATAAGATTTTGAAGTACCGGTAGTATGAGCTTGAAGTTCCAAATGGTGTAAGCTGAGCATTTGGGAGAGGCTGACGAAGTCGACGAACGACGCTTCTTTTATGCCGTACGAATAGTATCAACCATGGTAATTCCTATCAATGTTTCCTGCTAGGTGCGTAACCTTAGGGTAAATAGCACTCAATACGGTAGTGCACGGCCCCTTGCTATTTGTCCTCGTTACGCTGGAATAGTGCCCTCTTAGCGTTTTTTTGCTGGGAAGCATGGCCCAGGTGCGGTATGGTTGCTGTGAGCGTTATCGTCATCTTAGCCGCGATTATGCACCATCTTGGGGCTGGACCACGGCTGCATGGGATGCCATTTTCCCTTCACGTCGGGCTTGCGTATGCAGGTTGCCGCTTTGCTGGTCGCCACCTCCTCAGGGCGAGGATTGGCAGAGGAACTTACAGCTCACGGTACGCGTACTTTGTCCTGGCCATGTAGTCCCGCATCCCGAACTTGCTCATACTGCACAACACCTGTACACCCTTAAGGCAATATGGGCAATACGCAAGCAAATCTGTTCCATGCAGCAACATGATCTTTCCTTCCTTTTCTTGTCTGTGCCAAACCTAACCTCCCTGTGCCGCGCTGCTGTCACTTTCAGGCAGCTACACATCGCTTGTCGAGGGCCCGGATGGAGTGCCTAAGGTCCTGTTGGGCGTCAACGGGCAACCAGTCCTGAATCACTGGCTGGCTGCCATGGCACAGTGTTCGCGGCTACAACCCTTGGATCAAAAGGTGTGTGTGCTGACCCAAATCGAAAGCCCAAATCTTAGGTAAACGCGTGCACAAGCGCAATTTAGCCATCCCTAATCCCTCGCGCCCCATCACGCCATGCGCCCCTCATGCAGGTCTTCATCCTCTGCAACGAAGTCAACGTGGATGCCGTACGCGCCTGGGCATCCGAGCCCGCCTTCTCAGGCGGCGGCTTCCCCCTAGAAAACATCCTCACAAACGGCGCAGACGACAGCCTCGGCCTGGCCGCTGACGTCGCGTCCTTCCTAGCCGCCGCACCGCCCTCCGTCTCCGGGCGCAGCCTCTTGGTCGCCGAGGCCGACGCGCTGTGCGGCCCCTGCTTCGGCGTTGCCCGCCTTGTAGAACACGCGGTGGTCCGCGGCAAGGACACCGTCATATACATGGCTGCTCCCGAGGGCATGTCGCTCGAGGGGCATGCAGTAGTGGGACTGGAAGACCCGCGTACGGCGGCTCAGTCGGCGTCTCAACGTGTGGTCGGGCTGGATGCGGAGCCCTGCGGCGCAGTAGATGCCGCGACACTGACGCCCGTGCTGGCGCCGGTGGCCATGCTTCGGCCAGAGGCGTTGGAGCGGCTGGTGAAGACGGTGGAGACGGGCGCCGCGTCGTACAGTTCGCGAATGGGGGGCCTTATCGCGGCGTTGCAGCCTGGCAACATTGCGCATCCCTCCATGTACGCCATGCCACTGGACTGCTTCTTCCGCCTCACAGATGCTTACAACGTCGCGCTCACCTCCAACTTCTACGCCTACTACGCTGCTGAGAAGGCGGGCTTCAAAGGCGATGCGGCGCGCGCGTTGGAGGCGTCGCGGCGGCTAGCGCAGCTGCATGAGGCTCGCACGGCAGCGGGCGGCTCGGCAGCGGCGGGAGTACGACTCATGGCGGAAGTGGAGGCGGCGCGGCCGCCTGAGCCCTGCGTGGATAAGGAGCTTCGAAAAGTTTTCCGCGGGTTCTGGGATGGGTGGCTGCGAGGTGACCGGCACCATGACCTCGCAGCCATGGCAGGCCGCGGCATCACGGGTGCCTCGGTGTTGCTGGGCGGCAGCGGCGGCGGAATGGGGCACAGCGGTGGCGGCGTGAAGGCAGGCAGCACCATGCCACTGCGCTTTGCGGATGCCACGACGCGGCGTCATGGGGCGAAGGAGCAGCACGCGGTGTACACCACAACGAACAACACGTACGGGCTAAAGCCGCCCTCGCAGGTTGACATGCCGCTGACCTACACGGCCGCCTCGCAGCACTTCACCAAGTCCTTCCCCGTCACGGCGCCTAAGAGCAGCAGCCTGGTGACGGCGGTGACCAAGTCCAAGGTGCACAAGGCACTGGATGACTTTTAGGCTGCGGATGGTTTCAGGGTGATTTGCATGCGGGACGAACTTGGGCCGGCAGGTCCTAAGCTGCAGCCCTGAATTCTGCAACTGGTGCAGGGCTCTGGTGCAGGCTTACGGCACCAGCGTTTGCTGGACGTGGTTCCCTCATAGTAATTGTAACCGACTGTACAGACTTGTCCATGCGTTTGCGATTTATGGCGCCTGCGGGTGGAGGTAGGAGGCTGGTCGTCGCAGAGAACCTCCCTAATATAGGAATAGCCGTTAGGATACTGGTAACAAGTGTATCTGTGGGCTGTCACAATGGCACACTCCTTTGAGCTTGGACACCAGTATATTGCTGCTTCTCTGCGCTCTAGATAGGCATAAGCAACTAATGCATGGAACGTGGAAGGCTGTAATGCTTGGGTAGGCGAGGAGGACGGTGACTGGTGACTCGGGTCTGTTACCAAGACCCAGCTGCCGGGAGGGCAGCTGCAGCGCTGGTCCTGGGGTGCACCGCGCGTGCGTTTCGTCAATAGCCCGTAGCTACATTGCCAAGGGCTAAGTAAAGCCGCATGCACGGCGAGGCGGCTTGGTCTCCATCCGATACCTTGTTTCTGACTTCGGCCTGCGATGTTCGCAGCATTGATGCTAGTACGGCAACGGATGCCTCCTGCTGGATGACCCCAGCTGCACGTGTGCATCAAGGCACCGGTCATCAACACAGTCGTAGTTGATTGCAAGATGACGTTCATGGACTTGTTTCTCGTCCGTTGTGGTGCACGACGTTACGATCACGTTGTCGTACACTTGGTGAGGGCAGAGGGGGATGTGCATGCTCCTTATTCGCATGTGCGGTTTGACTTGAGAAGGGTCAGCATTAATGCCCAGCATGGCGTCACAAGTGGGGTGTATACAAAGCAGCTGGAAAGTAGTTACATGGTACCGGTATGTGCCACTCTCTTGCCAAGGTTGCCGCTTAGTAACTAGCATGGGTACCGCATTCCAGGTAACTATGCATGGTACTTTATGACCGGTCCTGAGCTATGTGCAAGCCACATTGACGACCGTTATGAAACATTAAAAGCCATTACGTTCGAACTACCCTCAACTGCAACTGTACCAACGATGTTTGTAAGGGAGGCCGTAAAACCTGCGCCCACACTTGCAGATTTGGGCTCTGACGATATTCTATGTACGACACTTGCACGCCTGACACCGGTTTAGTTCACAAGGTTTGCACAAAAGGGTCACGCCTTCCAATGTTTCCACTGCATACGAACCTAGGAATCACACGACACACTAAGAACCTTCACAATGCCCTCCTCGATAACTGCAGCGCTGTTGTTAATCACCTACCATGCAAACAAGCATGAAAAACCCGCTGCTTCAGCCCCCAACGCCACCCCAAGCCGCCAGCTGCATCCTCGGCAACTCCTACGCCAACGCGACCCCGCTTCCCTGGCTCGCCAGCAGCCACCCCTCCGCACGGTCGTGTGCAGCCTGCAGCCTCTCCTTCATCGCACCCAGCGCCGCAATCTCCTCCCGCAGGTTCACTGTCTTCATCCCGCCATGCCCCCGCCCGGAAGCGCACCCCTCCCCTCCGTCAGCACCAGCAACGGGTGTTTTCAACCTCCCCGATACCGTCCGCCGCCGCAGCGCATTTTCGCGCCCAGGCCCGGCCACCCGCCCAGCGAACCGCCGGGCTGCTGATGTATGCAAGCGTTCCGGTGATACCTCTCTGATGCTGCCGCTGCTGCTGGCACCGCGGTCGCCAGCAGCAGCATGATGAGCGCGCGATGCCGACCTGCTGCGCCTCCCGGATGCATGGTGGCATTGCTGCCGCGGTTCCTGTTGCGGCTGTTGTGGGGCCCGCAACGCCAACTCATCGCCCCCATGCGAAAAGCCGTAAGGATCCGCATGCATCCAGGCGTTCTGCTCCTGCATCAGCCTCGCTGCCATCAGCCGCTCTGTGGCGTCCTGCTGGACGTCATGCTCGTCGCTGTACGGCAAGGCCAGCCGCTGGCAGTTGTGCTCGTACAACGGGAGCCAGGCGGGCCAAGCTCCCAGCAGGCGTCGTCCGGCTGGGAACCCCGGGCAAGCGATACGACGCATGCGGATGGCAAAGCTGCTACCTGCTCCGCTACCCGGTAGCTCCCATCTTGCACTGGGCCGCTGCGAAGGACGCGCGCCCGGGGCTTCTTGCCGCAGGTAATCGACCGGCTGATGCAGTTGCTGCTGCTGCTGGTTTCGGAGCACATGGTGGTCTTGGAAGTCGCTGCCTAGAAGCCGCCTCAACGTGTTGGACCAGGGGCCAACCAGGGCCAGCGCAGCGGCCATGGCCAGCAGGCAAGCAGCGATGCCGCCGCGGGGTATGCCGCCGCCGCTGTCACCAGCAGCGCCAAAGCCCCTGCCCCAGCCCCCGTCCCATCCTCCGCTGGAGCCTCCCCGGCCGCCGCTGAAACCGCCGCCATGGTCTCCATGCCCCCCGCTGCTGCTCCCGTTCCCGCCACTGTCGTTGGTGTGGCAATTGCGGGCTCCACTGCCGCTATTGCTGTCCGTGTGGCTATCACAGACGTGCCCGCTACCGCCACCCGCCGAGGTTGAAGGTTCACTATGCTCCTGAGGTGGGCAAGCGGCGCTACCTGTCGATCCTGGGGAACCGGGATGGACGCTGCTGGCGGGCGCGCTGCTTGCAAGCTGGTGGGGAACTTGCTGCTGTAGCTGCGGCTGTGGCGAAAGGTGCTTAGATGTGGTCGCGGAAGCGGCGCTGACGGCAGCACGTGCCGCCTGCGGTAATGCAGGTTTGTAACGGGGCATGGTAGCGCACAGAAAAGCGAAAAGCGTCTGCCCATCTGCTGATGGAGATCCCGAACGGCAAGGAGCACCCACCGTAGGCTTTGAGCCCAGCATCGTGAACAGGCATCCAAGCACAAGCGTGCTGGTGGCGACGCCGGCCTCCGCGGCGACTAGGATTTCGCCGGATGAACTGTCGAAGGGAAGCGCCTTTGCAGCCACCTCGGGTCGGCCGCTGGGTCTCCCTGCTGCACCCCTCGACCACCTCATGATAAGTGAGCTGTGCGTTCCACTTGGCAAGCTCGCGATGCTCACATGAGCGCAAGTGGAGTAATATGCCGTCTGCAGGGGCAGCGTGAACACTACTCAGTATATATGTTAGGTGAGGTGGACGCGCCCTCCAATCCTCTTACCGGCCTGGGTGCATGTCGGCATTCAATCAACCGTTGGGCAGGAAGGAGTCGCATGGCCGGCAAGATACCAGCAAGTTGCCTGAATTTGAAAAGTATGTTGAGTGATATTACATCTAGTATGGTTATAAGCTCTCGCAGCACTACTCCAAAACCTTTTACCTAAGGAATGGCGCCTCTACTGCAAACCAGCTAGCTGATTGGTATAACCCCGACATTGCTGCTGCTGCTCATGCGCGTCAAGCTATGCAGCGACTCCCGCCGAGTTGTCTGGTGCGAGACTACAGCTTCAAACATCCAAGCGTTTGTATTTGTACTGCTTTCGGCCCCCCTTGTATCCTCTATAATGCTTCACCGGTGCTCTATCAGGGCAGCTAACGGTACTAACCTACAGGGCGGTTTAAAGGTATAGGCTGTATGTGATTAGGGGAAAGCTGTCTAGTCTGTACCAGGTACCCACGATGCGATATGATGTGACTGCTAATCCGCTTCCTAATCCGGATACAATTTTCATGCAAGGTGGCCTAGGATTAGAATGAGCCCCGGAACCGTCGTACTATCATGACAGGTACGAACCTGGAATCTTTGAGGACTGCTTCGGAGAGGGAGGCGTGATTTACCGGCAGCTTTATGACTTTCGTAGAGTATCGCAAGTCCGAATTCGTTGCCCTAGGCCTCCTAGTTCCTGCCTTGAACCTTGCCAAGGGTACGCATCAGCATGGCATCCCAGCGCCTATTAACACTACTGATCCGCACCAAGGGTACACCGTAACCGTAAACTCATCCGTGTTGTACTGAAGCCGGGTTCACGTCTTGGGCAGTGGTGTTAGGGGATGACACGAGACGTCTTGCCGGAGCACGTTAAGCGAAAGCAACCCCAACCCCAGCCATGAACTTTTGGTGTACCACGGCCTGCATCGATTCAGCACTTGAGCGTCTTGTTTATATGCATTACCGAACACCGCTAGTTGCCACCAGGGTTAAGTTTTGGCAAAGTAGCAGCCCTGGCTGCCCTTGTTACAAGGGTATGCACAGCCCTTGATGCTATGTGGATTTGCACATTGAGGTGTCGCGTGGGGTGGTCAGCTCCAGGCGGTGATTACGGAACAGGGTCCGGTCAGGCCAGCTTGTAGCGGGTTTCACACGCGGTCCTTAGGCCCCCTGCGCTGAAAACTGCAGGGGTTGTTCCACTGCTAGGATACGCTCTACACTTGCTGCACTTTATTGGAAAGAATAGTAGCTGGCTAAGGGCAGAAATGGATAAGGCATACCGGTACGCGCACGGGACGAAGGCCCACGGGTCCCTTAAAAATGTCGTGGCGCTGTAAGCTTTAAGAAGAACATACCGAATTAAAGGCATGTGGGACCATGCATGCGTGGTTACGCGTGAGTTTGGGCACTGGTACTAAGTTTTAGTCCTGACGGCGTACCTGCCTCAGCTTCTAGCTTCTCAGCTTCTAGGACTAACATTATATGCACAAATAACGGCTTCACATGATGCAGTAGCTTTGGTTTTCGCTGCGAGGCATGAAAAGGTACCTGCCGTATTCGAAGGCCTCCTTCATACATAAGAATTCAAAGCCTACCGAGTAGGTAGGCATTCATTAGAATTCAGCGACTGGTAGCACAACCAACATAGGTCACGCATAAAAAGTTTAGCAAGTAAAGGCGTTACTAGCCCTTTCCGGGCAGTTTCACTTTTGACGCCGACAAATGGCTGATAGGGGACGAAAGGCGTTCCCAGTCTCATCGCATCTGTGCGATGAGGTGAGTCCAGACTTCCTGGGGTTATTATAGACGAACCCGCGCCCCATCGCCGATAGCCAGTTTCATGTGACGTGCGCTTTCTCACACAGATTCTATAGATGCTATTGGGACATCTTAGTCTTTGAGGAACTGGATATAAGCTTGGTGCCGCCGGCCACAGGCAGTAATCCTTGTCTCATTCCTTTGCTGCGCAGCGCTGGCAACGACACTGTATGGATCTTCACAAGCAGCGGCTTGCTGATATGAAGCACCGTATCGATAACACGAAGCCAGAGACGTTCGACTTGGTGCTCTCGAAGGGCAAGCGTCAAATGCTGGACAAGGAGCGCCAGACAGAGGTCGACCGGGTGAGCTGATCAGGATTATCTCTCGTGCTTTGCTTTGTGTACAGGGGTTCCTTATTTTACGAACATGTAATGGTTTTGCGCAGGAGAACGCTATTCTGCTGCAGAAAATGGTACGCATTAAGGAGCAGGATACACGGGCGGTTTTCCGGCCATGGACAGCGCGTTCAACCTTTCAATGGAAGGTCGGGCATTACTATGACCCTGCAACCAACACAAAGACGCTCGACCACATCAACCTCACCAGCAGCGTTTCGCCCCGCTCCATCCACTACTTCGCGCTCACCCGCCCCGGCACCGCGCCGCCTGACGTCACAGCCCGCCTACGCGACATGGAGATCCAGGTGCGTTTAGGCTCGGTTTACGGCGGGGCAGTACTCTTTCCAAGCAGGACCGGGTTCTGAACGGAGCAGTAGCTATAGCTTGGGGCTTCCACAAGCACATTACTGCGCACCTTACCTTACGCTTCCTTAAACTCTTCTTAACCCTGCGCATTCCTTACTGGTGCTGTTCTCCTCATCAGGTCGACAATACAAAGCTGCTGAGGGCCATCACCACCATGCGCTCACGGTACAGTGTAGAGAAGCTTGAGCGGCAGCACAACGAAGAGAGCATCCTCGTCAACCGCATCTCGAACTTCCGTGGACCGGAACACGCCAGGTATGTTGCTTCAGCATCGCTCTTTCTTGGTTACCGACCTGTCCGCGTTGGATATTGGTGTGGACGGATGCTGCATGCACGGACGGCATTCCTCCTGTCCATTCCAAACACTCTTCCAACCCCTAGCCTCCTCCTTTGCTTCCCTTCTGCAGGTACCACCCTCCGGGCCGCAGCACAAGCGCCACCCGCAACTCTGCCTACCTTGCTCCCCTGCCCGGCCGCTCAACCAGCACCAGCCGTCCGCTGCGGACTGCTCCCGCGCACCTGGGCTCAAGCATGCCCGCGCCCCTCTCCCAGCAGCAGTACTATGAGGAGGCGCAGAACCGCGACATCCCGGTGCCGCTGTCGCGCGGCAGCTCACGCACCGGTATCTCCACCGTTGTCGGACCCACCCGCGCTTCTCCGGAAGGCCTGGCCGAGGCATCGCCGCGCCGTAGCAGCTCCTCGCACGCCGAAGACTCGGCTGCTGCCGCCGAGGCTGCCATTGCCGCGCGGCGCGCCAGTGGCAGTGCCGCAGGCAGCCGCACAGGTAGCCGCGCAGGCAGCAACGCTGGCAGCCACGCCGGAAGCCGCGCTGGCAGCCACGCCGGAAGCCTCGCCGGAAGCCACGCCGGAAGCCGCTCGGGCAGCCAGGCGACTAGTCGCCCCACCTCTGCCTCTGCTGCCGCTACATTTTCTTTCGGCGCGCAGCAGGAGGAGCAGCAGCAGGAGGAGAACCCGGTCGAGCCACATCAGGAGCAGGCGACGCAGCACCATCCGGAGGAACAGCAAGAGGCGGGCAGCGAGGGGCGACGGGCGTCCTCGAGCTCCCAGCAACAGGTCGGCGGCGCCTCTTCGGCCGCCGGTGCCAGCAGTGGTGGGGCGGACCACAGCGGTGATGATTACGGTGATGACCAGTACGAGCAAGACGAGGGCCAGTTTGAGCAGGAGCAAGAGCAGCGGCAGCAGGAGGAGGACGCTGGCAGGTATGAGCATCAGCAGGAGGAGGAAGAGGAGGAGGAGAGGGAGGCGCAGACGCGTGCTAGCAGCGGAAGTTACGGCGGCGGTTCTCAGGGCTCCCAGGGCGCGGCCGAGGAGGAGGCTGGCGATGATAGCTTTGAGGAGGCGTTTGACCAGGACGCCGACGCTGCTGCTGCTGCTGCATCGGCGTCGGGCGCTGCGGAGGAGGACGATGCCCCTGCTGCGGATGAGGAGCCGGAAGGGGGCGCGCAGGAGGAGGAGACGTACGGCAGTGACGGCGATGCGGCGGCGGCATCGTACGACGAGGAAGGATCCGCAGCAGGTGCTCCTGCCGAGCCCGAAGCGGAAGCGAGCCAGGCTAGTGCAGCGGCTTCAAGCGGAAAGGCTGGTTCGGAGCCTGAAGCTGAAGCTGAGGCTGAGGTGGCTGAACCAGAACCTGAGCAGGAGGCAGAAGAGGCGGAGGCCAAGGCGCAGCCCGAGTCCAGGGAGGAGGAGGCGGAGGATGGCTATGGCGTTGACGCGGATGCGGAGGCAGGCCTGCGTGACGAGATGGCGGCTGCGGAGGAGGCAGAGATGAACACGCAGTTTGCGGCGGAGATGGCCACTGATGCCGCAGGTGACTTTGCTGCTGGCGCTGATATGTACGGGGCTGCTGCGCCTGAAGCAGGAGGTGACGCTGGAAGCACGGGTGCCGGGCCGCATGATACCACCGCGTCACCCAAGGTCGGCGGTTTCGCTGAGGATTGGGATTAGAGGAGTTGCCTCGCATTGTGATCCCAAGTTTGCTTGTGTGCAAGTGTAGTCTAATACATGGTTTTTGAACTCTTCTAGGCTTTAATCTGCTGGGTTGCTGCTTTGTAAGAAGGGCAGCTTTGTGAAAATGCTGCAGTACGCTTCAGCTGCGGTTTTATTTTAGCATGATGTGACGGGAGGGAGGGGCGAACATGCGTAAAATACGGAGGGTATCTTGGGTGCAAAGGAGAGCGGGTTGCAGGGCCGTATGCGTGGCCCTTTGCATGTAGTCAACCTAAGGATGTAGAGTTAGTAGTAGCAGGGCTGCTGGGATTTGGCGGTGTATAACAGTGGCGCGTCCCGAGTTACGTGATGAGTTTTTAGGTTTCTAGGCTAGAGTGTGGCAGGGAGGTATTTCTATCTCGACACAACTAGGCGGGCGCAAACGCCCAATCTGTGGCTCCTCCGCCTTTGTCTGAGGCGGTTTGGCTCGGTGCGTGCAGGCTGTGCATGTGTCTGGCCGTGGGCAGGGAGGGTGAGTGCGCGGGGTTTCATAAGCAACTTGGTAACCAACAATGTTAGATGATGCATCTGCTGCAGTGTTGCGTCCTCCCCAGCTGGAATATGTCTGTACGGGCGGGAACCTTTTACACGCAAATGTACGCAATTGTAGGGCAGCCCCTTGTGGGTTTCATGTGTGTGGCCTGCTTCTATATGTAACATGAGTCTGGAAATGGTTGAGGGCCGGACATGCACGTTACATGCCTTTGCAAAAAGATCAAGAGCTAAAGCTCTCAGCTTTATCCAGCGGTCGATCAGTCCTTGAAGCACACCTAACAGCTCGCTAGCGATTCGGTCTCTTGTACGGTTTCCAGGAGGTCCGGTCACCCTACTAGCGGTAACCTTTGCATTCCAACAGCGCACCTATCATGACGGCAGCCGGAGCAGGAGACGGTAGCCAACCAGGAAGCAGAAAGGACGTGCTAAGGACACTACAGTTTGGCTGCAGACATTGTTCTACCTTGCCGTACAGCGTGCTTTCCCGTACGGCACCAGCACGGGCCAAAGTACCGAGCTCTCACTATGATAGGATCGTGCGCTGCACTTGGATTGTTGTCACCTCCCTGTATTAACTCGCATTCTGAATGTTGCGCACGTGTCTGCTCTACATTGGCGAGCTGAGAGCAAAGCACCCTTGATTTTGACAAATAGCGTTACACGGTGTATCTTCGATGCATCATACTTCAGCATCGATGCACGCAAGACTCCCATGTTGCAGCGTCTCTTCATATTCTTCTCCTCTTTGGGGCCACGACACAACCGTAGACACCCAAGACCGTTCACAACAACAAAACCACAACCGAGACTCCACTACCACACAAAAGCCGGTGAAACAACCAAATCTGAATCACAGTTCACGCAAAAAAATTCTGCACACTAACAAGGTCATATGATGTCAAGCAAAGCATGCACACGCACATCAAGAGCAGCGCGCGATACCTCCTATCACAAACCCTTACTAGCGACAGATCCGGCTTCACCATGTGCCGTCAAAGCTTCTTCTTCGTCGTCTAATCAACCATTTAATGCACAAGCAGCGTGCATCCAGCAGCGTGCATCCGTGGCCTAATGCGGGCCAATGCCAGCTGTGCAACGATGCAAAATGCAAACAGGCCAATCTTCGCGAATTTTCCTTGTGTTTGAAGAGGCAGGAGAGTGCACTTTGCCGCAACATACATCATGACCTGATGATGCCACCGCTTTGCAACATTCCTTCTTCCTGTCACCACCACCACCACCACCACACAACAAACCCACCAAAATACGTTCCTACTGTACCACAAAGACGAACGCCGTTTAGGGAAAGCCCCTCCAGCTCCCCATTCTTTATTACTTCCTCCACCGCTACTCCCTACAATGGTCCCCTCCAACCAACCCCACCATCCGACCTTGAGTTTTCCATCATCAACAAACCAGCCCAACGCGGCACTCCTCCAGCACTCGCATCACGCTTAAGCGCTGACCAGGGCGCTCTTCTTGGCGACGTGCAGGGCCAGGTCCACCACACGGTTGCTGTAGCCCCACTCGTTGTCGTACCAGGCCACCAGCTTGACGAAGGTGGGGCTCAGCATGATGCCGGCCTTGGCGTCCACGGTGCAGGAGGCGGGGTCGGTGATGAAGTCGGAGGAGACGACGTCGTCGGTGGTGTAGGCCATCACGCCCTTGAGCTCGTTCTCGGAGGCGGACTTGAGGGCGGCCATGATCTCCTCGTACTGCAGGGATGGATGGAAGAGGGGATGGGAAGGGGAGCAGCGCCAACGGACAGGGAAACATCAGCGACCTAGCCCGGTAGAACAGGCAGGGCAAGTAAAGATGCTCCGATATCCCATTGTACATGTATCACATTGCTGAAGTCTCGCCCCATCGCTTTCCATACGCTGAATAATGCTTCTTACAGCTCCCCGCTAAGCTCCCCCCACAGCCCCAACTCACGGTGGTGGCCTTCTCCAGGGTGATGGTCAGGTCGACCACAGACACATCGTTGGTGGGCACGCGGAAGGCCATGCCGGTCAGCTTGCCCTTCAGCTCAGGCAGCACCTGGGGGGCAGCAGCAGCAGCGGAGGGAAGGGAAGGAAGGGGGGCAGCGGATGAGTGCAGGAGCGGATTAAGCAAGAGGCGGGTCGGAAGCGGTTCCCCCAGGTGTGAATGCTGATATGCCTGGGAGCAGATGCGTCAAACAGCGCCGGTAGCTAGCAGTTGCTGACATGGCGACAAGGTGGATAGCCTGGACTCTGCCTCCTGCATCCTCACCTTGCCGACAGCCTTGGCGGCACCGGTGGAGGAGGGGATGATGTTGCCGTTCACGGCGCGGCCGCCGCGCCAGTCCTTGCGGCTGGGGCCGTCCACGGTCTTCTGGGTGGCGGTGGAGGCGTGCACGGTGGTCATCAGGCCCTCCTTGATGCCGAACTTCTCGTTCACAACCTGCGGGTGTGGTGACGGGGCAGCAGGTGCGAAAGGAAGGTGAGGAGGAGCCAGCAGGGAAGCAACTAGGTTTGAATTGAGCTTTAAGCCTTTCCTAAAGAAGACATAGACCCTAACTGTCAGGTTGGCCAGCTGCTGGATCCCGCGACGCACCTTGGCCAGGGGAGCCAGGCAGTTGGTGGTGCAGGAGGCGTTGGAGATGATGTGGTCCTTAGCGGGGTCGTACTTCTCGTGGTTGACGCCCATCACGTACATGGGGGCATCGTTGGAGGGAGCAGAGATGATGACCTTCTTGGCACCGCCCTTCTGGTGAAGAGCAGCCTGCGCGGAAGGGAAGGTAAACGGTTGGAAATGGCATCGGATGAGCAAACGATGCAAGGGAGCGGTATTGAAGCCTAAAGTACTAGTCATGTGGTGAAAACTTTAATGGGGGTAAGCGAGTAGTGGGAGCAAAGGCCGCAACCAAAAATGGTGACGCCTCATATCGCGAAAGGAAGAAGGACCGTCGAGTACGGTACGGAACGCACCTTGTCGATGGTGGTGAACACGCCAGTGCTCTCAACGACGATGTCAGCGCCAGCGCTAGCCCAGTCAATCTTGGTGGGGTCACTGTGGGAGTCAAATTATGGGGCGAGAGCGAGGTCAGGTAATTAGGAAGTTGACAAACAGTAAACCGTAAAAGTGCATATCGTTAAAATGCCAAAATGTAAAGTACAGATTACGTTTTGGTAAGCGAGCCATGTAGCAGCCAGCTGCTAACAGCGTCGAAGCCGCAATGTGAAGTAAGATCGGAGGAACTTAACGGTCACGCCCACCCTTGTGCAAACGTAAATCTTGCAACAGTGACTGCCATATGCCCTGCATGCAATGCTTACGTCTCCGTGAAGGTGTGGACCTTGCGGCCCTCCACGAAGAAGCCCTCCGCGCTGCCCTCCACCTTGCCGGGCCAGACCTTGTGCACGGAGTCATACTTGAACATGTAAGCCATGTACTCCGAGTCAATGAAGGGGTCGTTAATGGCCACGACCTCGATGTCGGGGCGCAGCATCGTGGCGCGCATCACCAGGCGACCAATGCGGCCGAAGCCTGCAAAGGTGGACCGAACACGCCCGGGATAGCATAAGGTGTACCAGAGGTATGCAAGCAGTCATGAGAAGATGGCACGACGCAGAACACCCTCCGACAGAAGCGTCTCGGAAACTCTGATGGGCAAGTCAGTCACTACTTACCGTTGATGCCGATCTTGACCTTGCCACCCTCAGCGCGAATGGCAGGGCACACCACGCGGGACCGGCTGGGGCGGCCAGCGCGGGCGGAGGCGGTCAGACGCTGCTGAGCGAGAAGGGCCATGGTGAAGGCTGTTGAGGCTTAGCGACAAACAAAGTGTATAACTACCTTTGCAAGGCAAAGCTCTATGTCGGAATTGGAAACGCTTTGCCTTATATGGGCTTCGGATGGCGCGTCACAGTTACGGCGATTTGGAAGCCACGTACGTTTGGAACCTACGCTTTTTCCCGGCGCAGAATCTTCCGTAAAAGATATTACGCTTCGTTACGTCCTTATGTGTCTGTGTCAATGCCACGGCGCCTACGTTATTATACCTTTTATTTGGAAGCCAGGAAAGAGCTCACCCGCATAGGGGTACTATATCGGCACTCGTGAGTGAAAGGAGCCTCTCCTGCACTACCGATTCCAAATATGCAAAGAGTTCGCTTAATGAAGGGTGCGGTCGCTTGCCGCGGACAACCGACGATCTAGATGCCGATCCGACGTTTTATGTACCTTGCAGCGACCCGTTAAAAGCTTTCGGGAACTGTAGTGCGTGTACCGTTCTATGCACGGGTAGGGCGTATTTTGGCTCCGTCGCCATCTGTCGGTCCCACTGCTTGGCATGACGGCTTCCTAGGGCAATTACGTCGCGCAGCTACGCCTCGCCTGTAGTTCCTTCTCAACTTAGTTGTACTTGTGGAAACTCTTCGCGGTAATACAACTTTCCTATAGGATAAATACAGAGGAGTGTCAAGGATGTTGGCACATGTCGCTCTAAAGACGGCATAACATACTGTTTAAGATAGGGTATCAAAAAAGAAGCTGTCCGCCCTTCCTGCAAGGGTGTGCTGAAATACAACTCTTACACTGGAGTCTGAACGGAGGTGTGGTGGCGGGCCACACCATGGGTATGCAGTCCCGGTCTGCGGCCACCTAGAAGGCGGGGCGCCAGCGGTTCCTGAGGTTCTGCGTCGATGTTCTGCACCTGAGCGATCAGGATGCCTTCCCACGGGCCCGGGGCCAGGACCTCAACCGTTTCCCACGGGCCCGGGGCCAGGACCTCAACCGCTTCCTAGTCTGCCTCTTCATCACGCACTCGTCGCCGTTATTGGCGCCCTCCACACTCCTTGGGACCGTGAGCGCTCTGGCGGATTGGCAGCGCGCGCGGGGGCTCCCAGCAGAGGCAGCAATTAGCGCCGACCCGCGGGTCAAGCGCACTATAGCGCAGGCGTTGCAGAGTCGACCGGCAGACGCCTGCGCCACTAAACGCCGGAAGGCACCGCTGCCCATCCGCGTCCGGTCGGGCTGCTCCGGCACAAGGCCAACACGAACCCGGGTGAAGCGCGGCGCTGATCCCAAGATGCATGCTGGCTCGTGGTGGGTTTCTTTGGCATGCTCCGCCGAAGCGAGCTGGCGGCTCTGAGCGTGGGCTACAGGTCGTAACAACCATGCCAAGAGCTCCACGATTACGGACAGGGGTTTACTAGCATCACTGAGAAGCATACTCACCGCACTTGGTTTCCACCCTGCCTTCCGTCCCGGGTGACGGGACTTCCCAAGCCCCAACGTTAGGCTGCTCACACGTTGCTTAGGTCCCTGCACCGCCTGTTCCCCGAAGCTCTGTCTTCGCCTGCCTCCTATAGTCGCAACACACATGCGAGCACCTCCCAGCATCACACCAGTAAAGCCCCGTTCATCATGCACCCCACCATTCAGCAGCACCAAGCAGCGGCATGCACGCAAGGATCCCATTCCTCATTCGCCGCTGCTGCTGGGAACCGGAATACGGCAGCGGATGTTGCTGCAGCTGTCGGCTGTTGCTGCCACTCCTGCTATTGCCGCGCCTGCTGCAGCGGTGTCGGCTGCGGCGTTGACGTCGACTGCAGCAGCGCCGGCGGCGGTGGTGACGGCAGCACCCGCAGCAGGAACGCCATCTCCTCCGCCGCCTCCGCCGCCTGCGCCTCCCCCACTCGCACGTGCCCGCTACCGTCCCAATACACCCGCAGCAACGGGGCAACCACGCCCGGCACGCCCTCTCCGCCACTGCTGCTGCTGCTGCTGCTGGTGTCATTGTCATCGTCGCAGCCGGCAGCGCCGCCACGACGTCTCCGAGCCGCAACCGCTCTGGGCCTCCAAATGCCGCGGGACAGGAAACGACGCCAGGGGCTGACATCGCGGTCGCCGTCGCTGTCGCCGGTAACAGCGTCGGCATCGTCGTCGGGCATTCGAGAGCTGTTGCCGCCTCCGCCGGCGGCGGCGGCGGCGGTGGTGGCGCGCAGCTGGTGCCTCAGTCTTGCAACCCACTTGGCGGGAATGGCGGGGTGCACGCGCGGGTCCTGACAGCGGAGGGAAAGAGGGAGGGGGCAGGCCCGCGTCGTCAACCCAAGATACCGGTATAGGAACCAACCCAGGCCGAACAGCAACCCTTCACCTTCCTCACCATCCTTCCCTTACCTCATCCGCACAGCTCGCCAACACCGCTGCCCTCCAACCGCCCCCGCTGCCGCCACTCGCATCCAGATTGCCGTACGGACAGATCTCCCACAACGCCGCACAGTCCCGTGGGTCGCTTGGGTCGCCCCACTCGTCCCACTCGTGCGCCGTCAGCGGCAATCGCGGATCCGTACAACTGCTCCGAAGCTCTAAGAAGGCGCAACGCAGTACGGCAGCGCCCCAGAGATCTGGACGAGCGTTGAGTGCGGCGGCTAGGACTACACCGCCTGTACGGGTGGTTAGGGTGGTTGTATGTTTTAGAACAATCGGTAGCCAGAAAACTAAGGAGCATCACAGCCCACAATAAACACAACAGGGTTGACTTTACCCGTCCTGCATCGTAACCTTCGTAACAAACCTATCGATACCCTGCCATGCGCTTTGTTGTAAAGGACAACAACCGCAATCGCGCCTGACAAGCGCAACCTCCTGCAATCACTCCGCCAACCCCGTCCCGTCCAGTCACGCTCCCACGCTCCCACCCACCCCACCCGCGCTGATGGCATGCCCCGCCAGCAGCCCCGGCGCAGTGAGCCCCGCTGCCACCAGCGCATCCGCAGCAGCCAGGCAGTCCTCCACCCCGGCCCGCTTGGAGGCCCGGCGGCCCGCGACATGCCAGCCGCGACCCTTCTCGCCGCCTGTGGGTTGGGTTTGCGTGGATTTGGGTTGGAGGAGGGCAGCGGAGGTGTAGCGTGCAGACTGACCGGTCTGTGTTAAGAAAACTGGCCGATCGGTGACTGCGACCGTTGACCGGTGTGTGCTGCTTCCATGCGTAGGCACATGGCTGTAGCGTGGCCGCTGTCAGGAGCTCCAAAGCACGAGCATGGCCTTTCTGCTTTCCAACCTTTACACCTCTTCCACTCATCCAGCCCCACCTCCGCCCTTACCGCACTCACCTCCCCGCACATGCACCTTCGCCGCCACCCAGCCCCGGCCCAGCAAGCTGAGCAGCGTGGGGTCGTACCCGCACTCCAGCGGTAGCCCGTACGAGCCGTACACGGAGAGAAGCAGCGGCCTGGGCACAGACCCCCCGGAAGTTGACGTCACGGCTGCAGCTGTGGTTTCGTAGCCGTTTGGTGCCTCGCCACCACCGTCATCACAGCCTGCTGACACCAACTGCCATGTAAAGGTGGAACTTCCATTGCTGTCGTTGCTGTTGTCGTTGTTGTTGTTGCGCAACTGGGGGACGAGCTTCACTCCAGGCGGCAACACAAGCGTCACGGGGACTTGGACGTGTACAGCACCCCCTGAAACATCGCCTGCAAGGTGACCGCCGCCGCTGCCGGCGCCGTCGCTTGGGCTGTCGTACATTGACGTACGAGGTGACGTCATCACGTTTAGCCGTACGAGTGAGCAGCGACGCAGCAGCTCCCGAGCTGCCGGCGGCGCTGCTTCCTGCGAGAGGAGCTCCAGCCGGCCTGTTGAGAGGTGGTAGTCGAAGGTGGCTGGCGGGTGCAGGGGGCTGGAGACGGTGAGGCGCAGGGTGGGGGAGTGCGGGTCGGCGTTGATGCCGGGGACGAGGTGCAGGGCCCAGGGGGGCAGGGGCACCTGGGATTGGGGAGCGGAAAAGGCGGGTGCGGAGGGTGGGTGAGGCGGTGGGAGGCGGAAGGGAAGGAAGGAATGGGACGAGCTGCGGATACAAAGGATCCGGACGTGGCGCAGGGAGTCGTTGGCTTTTGGTGCCTGCTCCTCGCTTCTTACGACGGCTAGACGGCTAGACGGCTAAACGGCAGGGATTACGGGAATGCAGGCAGGGAGCACCAGGTGGCTTACAGCCCTTACAGCCCCGGACACGCCCCACTAGCCAGAGGCTGCTGCTGCCACCCACCTGTACAGGAACCACCGCGGCAGTCGGCCCCTCGAAGGGAGTTGCAGCTGCCAGGGTTCCGGAGGCTCCCCGCAGCCGCAGTGGCGCCAGCGGCAGGACACTAACGGCGGGAACCCCCTCGCGGCGCTCGTACAGCACACAGCAGTCGCTGCGCGGTTGCCGTCGTCGCGGTTGGCGTCACCGTTCACGTTTAGATGTTCATGTGGTGTGGTGGAAAGGGAGGCAGAGGAGGAGCATGTAGGAGTTATCGAAGAAGACGTAGAGGAGCGATTGGAAGAAGGGGGTCTGTCGTCTGTTCTTTCCTTGGTCTGCGGCACCAACAGCCCTAAAACACCACCATCGGTACCAATCTTAGGGGTAAAGAAGCCGTCTCCCCATTCCGCCCAGCCGACGCCACCGCACTGCACACCTGAACAGGTCCAGGTCGGTCACCACCACCCCAGGTCGGGGGCCCAGCAGCGGCTGCCAGTGCGCCACTCCAGGGGTGCCCACCGGAGCTGAAAACACATGCAGCTCGCCGCCGGTACTGCTGCCATTGCTGACGATGCCGGCGCTCATGCTGTTGCTGGTGCAGCTGATGCTGCCGCCAACGCTGTCAACACGGTTGCCGGCAGCACCGGTGCTTTCCTCGTTATCTCGGTGCACCTTGGGATCGTAATTGGACAGAATAACCAATCGCCCCGCGGCACCATCATCACCACCAGCAGCATCACCAGCACCATTCGCACTATCACCAGCTGCAAAATGCTCAACAAAGTACTCCAGACCGGGCATCCTGCGCTGCACCAGTCGCGGCGGGACCGACCCAGGGGTCACTGCGTCCAGCAAATGCACTTCGGAGCTGGTTTTGGAGTTGCTGCTGAGCAGCAGGAAGGCCCAGTCCTTGGTGCGACCCAGCGCAAGAAAGAACCGCGGGTCGTTCTCGGTCAGGAGCACCCGCGGGGGTGAGGCGCAGTGCAGGTCGTGGAGAACCACCTGGGGGGAGAGCGGTGGGCGGGTTAATCAGGGAGCGAACTAGCCATGTGGGCGGAGTAGCGGGCGGAGGGTGCCGTCTCGATTAGCGTGTTGATTGCTGGTTGACTCTAAACATCAAAAGGAGATACAGCAGGCGGGAGGACGGAGCGCATGTGGGGGAGGGTTGGTGGGCGCAGTGGCAGTGTCTTTGTGAAAGCTGGTGGGGAAGAACATGGGGAAGCAGCAACAGCAACAGCAGCAGCAACACCACTACATGCGGCAGCACATGTGGGACAGCACCTCACCGCCCGGTGAACTGCTGCTGTCGGCACGTGAAGGCTCCCTCCGCAGCTGACGTCTCTGCCAATATCTCACCTGCCCAACCCCCCCACCCCCTCACCTGCCAACCTCCCCCCCTTCCCCCTCACCTGCCAGGGCCTGCCCAGTGCATCCGGCCGGGTGACCAGCAGCGACCTGCCGTCAGCAGCCAGCTCCAACCCGCCCGCACCCGCTACCCCGCCAACCACCCCGCCGGGCAGCAGCAGCCGACCTGCGCGTGAGGGGGAGGAGGCAAAATGTGAGGGAGTAAATAGATGAAAAATGAAGCAAAGGTGAGGGAAGGGTACCGGTAGAGAGGATAAACACATAGACTAAAGGCCGACTACACATGTGAAGCAAGGCTCCCTCCATGATGGGCTGTGCGTCATGGTGGGTGTACGGTGAGGAGCACTGCAAACTTACCTCCTTACCGCAAGTTCATAGTAAGGAATAGTAAGTAGTGCGTAACTGCAGAAGGAGGAAAGCTCACCTGTTGCCGTATCCCGTACAAGTGCGCAGTACACGTCATGTTGGTCCCGAACCGGCAGCGTATATGCCAGCAGCCGGTGGCGCGGACAGAGCTTGATTGCGCCCACATCCTCACCTGCACCAGCATGAGGCGAATAACGCAGCATAAGGCTCATAACGCAGCACGCAACGCAGCACTCAGCACAAGGGGGCAGCAACACGGGGAGGTGCAACGCAGTGCAAGGTTGTTACAATTCTTCAAGAAGGAGTAAACCCAAAGGACAGCCGTCCCGCACATCACTTCCCGTTTGTCGCCCCCCCCCCAGTTCCCCCCAAGTTCCCGTGCTCCACCAGTTCGTACGTTTCCTTGTTTTCCCCTCCCAGCTCACCCAGGGGCAGTCCCGTCAGCTGCGCGGCCACTCGGGCGTCCGCTGCGACCAGCCCTCGGTCCAGAAGCACCTGAGGGGGCGGGGGCCGGGGCGGGGGCGGGCAGGGAGCAGGGCCCCCTGCTGCCGGGCCCCTGGACCGGCCTGCCGCTGCTTGCCGCGACTGCGCGGACGGCTGTTGGCGCTGCTGGTGCTGGTGTTGGGTCCCAGGAGCGGGAGCGGGAGCGGGAGCGGGAGCGGGAGCGGGAGCGGGAGCGGGAGCGGGAGCGGGAGCGGGAGCGGGAGCGGGAGCGGGAGCGGGAGCGGGAGCGGGAGCGGGAGCGGGAGCGGAGCGGGAGCGGGAGCGGGAGCGGGAGCGGGAGCGGGAGCGGGAGCGGGAGCGGGAGCGGGAGCGGGAGCGGGAGCGGGAGCGGGAGCGGGAGCGGGAGCGGGAGCGGGAGCGGGAGCGGGAGCGGGAGCGGGAGCGGGAGCGGGAGCGGGAGCGGGAGCGGGAGCGGGAGCGGGAGCGGGAGCGGGAGCGGGAGCGGGAGCGGGAGCGGGAGCGGGAGCGGGAGCGGGAGCGGGAGCGGCCCTGCGCATGTAGGCCTCCACGCCGCCGTCAGCACCCGTTACCGTCCAGTAGTAGTACGGTCCCAACCGCTCCGGAGGCGCCGCATCTCCCCCTGCCCCTGCCCCTGCCGCTGCTGCTGCCGCTGCCTCGCGCCCGCCTCCCGCCTGCCCCAGGTAGCTGCTGCGCCACTCCTCCAGCAGCTGCTGCTGCAGCACCCGCACACCGCCAGCTGCCAGGGTGCGGCAGGTGTGTGCGTCCTCGCGCTGCAGGTGTCGCCGCAGCTGCTGCTGGCGCTGCTGCTGCTGGGAGCGGCTAAGGGAGGAGGAGGAGGCGGGGGTGGGGGTGCTACTGGTGGTGCTGTTGCCGCTGGGTTGTGGGTCGGGAGGGAACGGGTCCATCCAGCTGTGAGGGTGGGGTGGGGCAGGGTAAGGCGGGGCAGCGCTGGTTAGGGGGTGAGGACAGCTTGTCCGGTGAGGGCTGAAGGAGGAGCAGGAGTGAGGATGGGAAGAAGCTGACCAGGAGCAAGGGTTGCCTGTGAAGGGTTGTCTTCGGGTGCTGCTTACACATTGATGCTTATGCAGCCCCTAATCGCACCTGTACTCATCTTCCCAGGTCCTGCCGTTGTACTCTTTTGAGTATGGAATTCGTTTGGGTTGCGGGCAGCCGGCCCAACTTGCTCTTAGGAGCTCGCGACCATCAGCGACAGCTCCGAGCCCTTCCGAGCTGAACCTTCTAATTGTAATACGACTAAATGGTACATGATGGCATCTTGTCGAATTTGCGGTGCTGTTCCTGTAGAAGCGCTCGCTGCAAAATGTTGCTGCGCAGTGGCCCATCATCCGCCGCTCATGGGTCGCCAGTGCAGCCGCTCGCGCCACCACGCGTAGCAATGCATTCCTTAGCTCTGTCATGCTCTCTCGTTTAAGCCAGAATACGTGCTAAGACATATATGCTTGCCGTGTTCAACCCAGAGAACAGCTCTATACCCATGTCAATGCACACAGGGTCGCGCTTGCTCTTTCCTATCCTGACAGCCAGAAAACAGTGACACTACGTGGTTGTATATCACATGGCGGTCGACATGGCACTACCCTTCGTGGACACGTCGTACGGAGGTGAATCCCCGAGGATACGTGCGGCTGATAGGCTGTCCCCATCCCCCTTCCATGCATCGAGCTCTCCGAAGTGCGCATAGTTCCGTTTCCCAAGTGGGTTACAAACAGCAGGTGAAGAGGTTACACAGGCAGCTGGCAATTGGCCAGCATACCCGTTTCTTGCGATACCCGCCTTCTGAGCCCCTTCATGGGTTCAAGGCAAGGCCGAGCCATGAAGGGCTACATCCGCTTTTAACACCCCGCATGTTGGGCACATGCGATGGCCAAGAGAATATCCCCCAGTAGCAACGTACAGCGGCCCCCTACAACAGGCGGGCCCGATACACCACACACGCCATGTACGGCGTGTCTGTTGCCCCGTACCTAAAATGGGGCGCAAGTCATCGACGATCTTGATCCTCTTCTGTGCTACTAAGCTATCGACTTACTGAACCTTAACTTGACCGCGGCCGGTGAGGAGAAGCCTACATCGACAACTGTCGATACTTGGAAAAAGGCCAACCGAAACCGCGCAACATAGGCATGATGTGTATTCACCACCATACAAAAGGACACATGACAAACCAGTCCTGACTCGACAAAACGTGTTGTTTCTCCTCGAACACTGTTTTATAATGCTTTTCGTGAATAAAAGCATATGCCTAATCAGGACATTACCCATCTGGACAAAAGCAGCGCAGCACCACTGCAGCACAAAACACGCGTCGGCCCTCTCACACATGACCATAAAACACGGGACCGAAACAGCGTCCAACAGCTGCATGCTTCCATTCCTTATGACCACACAGAACGCACACGCACAAAGTGGCTTACGTAAGCGCGCCGCCCGCAGGGCAAACAGCAGAAGGGGTTTGTCCATTTGAAGGGGAGGATGGCCAAAGCCGCACTCTAAAGAATACCTAGTTCAGCTAACCCGCCAGCAAACCGTTGCAGGACGCCTCATCATCACTCCACATGATTAGGTAAAGACTCGTCAAGTCCCTTTGTATACTGCACAGCCCGCGAAGGAGGGGCAAAAACCTGGAGTTGTAATGCCAATACCCAATACCTTTCAACCAAAAGAGACATGGGCGTACGACAAAAGCTGTAGCGCAATAAGGGTCAATAAGAGCGGGCAGAGAGACACCCCAACCGAGCAGCATAAGACGGGATGCCGGGTGCCACGGCCCTGGGCACCCACGTATAACGCGTTCTGGGCTTAAGGCTTTATGCCTTTTGCGTTGACGGAACGTGACCAAGACACAGGTCAGAGAACTATACAGCCAGTGACGTGACCTTGGCTTCTGCTCTTCTCCCAGTAACAGCAGCATCAGCAGCAGCTTACCCCACAAAAGGGCTACAATGACTTCACACAGTGCTACACACACAAAGGAGGAAAAACACCACTCGCCTGATAGTTAGACATATTAAGCTCCGCTCAACACGACAAGACGCAACAGAGGCGTCCACAGCACCGCACCACACTGCAGAAGGAGGCGCAACGGAGATGCCAGTCCGGCAAACAACGTATCACCACCACCACCACCACCACCACGACACACAGCACACACACCCACACCCCTCGGCCGTCTGCGGCAGACTCACGAAAAATGCAGTCACAAGGAGCCCAAGCAGCCGACAAGCCGACAAGTGTGGGACCAAAAGGATGTCAAAACGTAAACAAACTATAAGCGATCGAACCATAGCTATTCGCTGGCCACACACTCCCATCCTCTTCACCAACCGACACCATACTGCATCGACAGGGCCAAAAGCGCGCAGGTCTTAGGCCCCAAACAGCTCTCCTCGCTAAGCTAGCAACCACAAAAACAAACATAACCCTCACTCGCTCGGCTCACGGGGGAAGGCATGCGGCGCCAGCACACACCACACGCGCATAATTTCACACAGGCTGAAACCACGCCTCTCACAATAGTCTTATCTGTGTGTATTGAAGTGGGTCAGGATCGTTATCATCACCAACAGCAGCAGAGCAAGCAGGAGCAACAGTTGCAAAAGTCCCAACAAACACGGCTTACATACAAAAGTAGGCAAAACGTGTGGCATGGTCGAAGACTTGGAATACCTCCCTTTCAATTGGGTTAGGATACAGCAGCAACATCCAAACCACATTCACAAGAAGGCAGACACAGAGAGTAGCCAATAGCACAGCCCCAAACCGCGGGCCAAACGCATATCTCATGACTCACAGCAACAGCAAAATACACTTCTTACTGCCGCTACAAAGGCTGCTTGTAACAAAGGCGCCCGTTCGTGCTACTAATAATCGCTAGCGTCTCGGCTGCTGCGTCCTCCTACCTAGCAGGCGCCATGCCTCCTATAACACAGAGCGGCCAGCGGCGGCAAGCGCCGCCGCCGTATCCTCCACAGCTACCGAAACCGCAGGCGGAATACCCACGGCCGCCGTCGCAGCTAATGCAGCAGCTGGCGGCATGGCCATGGCGTCGGGGCGGATAGCAGAAATAGGAGCGCCGTACAGCGGCGGCCGCAGCTGTGGCGGCGCCATCCCCAGCGTTCTACCAAGCGCCGAAACTACCGGGGGCAACTGGGAGGTTACAGCCTGCGTCTTCATAGCCGCCAGGTCCGGTGGCGAGGGCGTCGCCAGGGTATGAGGCGCGACGCTGCTGACCGGCACCGCGCCCAGCCCAGCCGCCGCCAGCCCCGGCACTAACCTGAACCGACGGGTTCGAAGCGTAGGCAGCGGCAAGCAGCGGGAGTGGTGGCAGCGAATTGGTCACGACCCTGGAGTGCAGTTAAACAGGCAGTGGATGAGGAGAAGGCACATGCACGGGGGATCAATGCCCGATTGGTCGGGGCTTAATACGGGCTTGGGAGTCGGGGTTGGTGGTGGGCTGGTGGAATCTGCGGCCGGTCGGGGGGAATCTGCACGCTGAACCAATCACGCAACGCTAACGTACTTGCAAGTCATGCCCAAGAAGTTGGCACTCGCAGCGTGGGGCGCAGCGCAGCATGCCTGGTGGTGGTGCAGGGTTGGGGGAATAAAGGCGCATGCCAGGAAGAACAAGGAATAACGCCATAAACACACCACGCAGTAGGTTAATAACGAGCCCCGGGTACCGGTACGCAGCGCTACGCACCCCCTTTAGGGGGCCATTACCTCCGCATCATCCCCTGCGCATCCCCCACCGGTGGGGCGGTCGCGCAACACCCATGTATCAACACCCACATGCAACAACACCCAGGCAGGAACCCGGTGTCTCTCACCTTGGGTCTGCCGCCGCCGCAGCTGCCGCCGCCGCGCGCGCCCAGTCCGGCGGTGCCGTCGCGCCGGTGTTCTGGTAGAGCAACTGGAAGTTGTTCGTCGCGGCTGCTGCTGCGGCTGCCGCGGGGTCCAGCGCCCAGCCTGCCGACGCGGCGTCTACACCGCTTCCTGGTCCCGACCCAGGCTGAAGTGCCGCCGCCTGCGCCGCTTGCTGCTGCTGTAACAAGCTCAGCGTGGCTGCATTCATGCCGCTGTTCACCAGGGATGAAGGCGGACCTGGGGGACAGCGAGGAGGAGCGGATGATGCATTTCCGGACGCTGTTTCATTTTATCACATGCGATAATCCTGGCATGGGGCTCATGGCAGGTCGTCCCAAGGGCATACGGCAATCACCCGCTCTTAAGACCCGTGTACCCAGGTCGCGAGCACAGACCTTGGGAAAGCGGCGCGCCGTACTGCGACGCGGCGGACAGTGACGTGGCGTCCAGCATGGGGCTGCTGGGGGAGGCCCCCGGCACCTGCGCCAGCTGCGCGTTAGCGAGCGCGGCTGCTGCGGCGGCTTGGTTGGTGGTCGCGTGGTTGACCAGGCCCATGCCCTGGTAGATGGGATTGAGCCAGGGGTTGGAGCCGGCCATGAGGATGGGCTGCAACGCAGGGTTGTTGAGCGCCGCCTGCGTGGCGAATGCGGCCGCCTGCAGGACGTTGATGCCGTTCTGCAGGGGAGGCAGTGCAGGGGAACAGGGCACATGTTAGGAGGCGAGGTAGTCCGAGTTATGGCCAGTTCCACCATTACTGGCGGCAGTTCCTTCCAAGCCCACCCACCCCATGACGCGTATTCCGCTCTGTTTATGTTAGGGGCAAGTCAGCCGGTGTTGCAGGTGCAACACCAAATCCCTAACCCGCTGTTCCCGCTGTATAGCTGCACGAAGGCGTGACCCTGACCCAGGTCCCGCGCCCAGCCTACCAGCAGCTTGTTCGCTGTGTTCTCGTTCTCACGCTGCAGCGTGACCTTCTCCATCTCATGCCGCCCCACCAGCTGCAGCATGCAGAAGCGGTCACCGTACTCCGGCCCGAACTTGTGGCGGTCCTTCTCCATCGCCCGCACGGCCTCCTGGGGTGTCTCAAACTCCACAAAGGCCATTCCCGTGGGCCGCCCGTCCGCGTGCATGATGAAGCTGACGCCCTCCAGCTTGATCTTGTAGCCCGCAAAGAACTTCCGCACGTCCATGGCGGTGGCCTTGAAGGGAATGCCCTTCATCTTGAGCACGCCCTCCCCGCCGAAGCGCAGCGCCAGCGTGGCCTGCATCTCCTTGCGTGACACCTGGAACGGGCGGGGAAGTTGAAACGAGTGAGCGTGCTGTTGGTGAGGCAATCCGTGAACGCGGAGGCGTTTTTATGTAATGAAACGCAATTTGACGAGGATGCAAGAGGCTGTTTCTAGGGATAGGAACCACGGACACATAGGCGAGAACTACTCCGCTCTTGCTGCGATGCAGCCTTACTCCTAGCACTGATGCCAAACGCCCCGGGCTTTACAAACCCCACACGCCACACGCCAAACCCCACACGCCAGCTGCTTAACGAACTTGCAAAGTGGCTACCCACCTGTATCAAGCGAACATAGCGATCCCCAAACTTCTCGGAGAAAATCTTGTGGTCTTTCTCCTTAATGGAGCGCGCTGCTTCCTCTGGAGTCTCGAAGTCCACGAATGCCTGGTGCGTTAAGTTGAATTCGCGGTGAACTTACAATCCCCCTCAAAGAGAAGTGACACAAGGTGAACAACAAATATATTACCTCGCCAGTTGGCTTGTTATCGGATCGAACAACAAGCTGCACGCCATTCGGCTTGAGCTTGAAGCTCTCAAAAAACTGAATGATGTCAAGCTGGGTGGCGTCGAATGGCAGGCTCTTGATCTTCACAACACTGTCTGAATGAGCGCCATGACTGTGGCTGCCACTTCCCTACACAACGAAGGAAGGAGGCGGAAGGATGGTCGGTGCCCTTCCCAAGTGCTTTCCAACAAACTTTTATAAAGGACCAATTTGGTAAGATTGAAGCAAACAATTCCCAAACTTTTGCCACACCTGCGCCTGCTCCTGCTGTTGCGCTTGCGCCACGGCTGCTTGCATATCCGGGATGTCTGAATCGAGAGTTGGGTACACCCGCACGTAGCGGTCCCCGAACTTCTCCCCGAACGTCTCACGGTCTTTTTGTGTAGCACGGCGAGCCTCGTCGCTGTTCTCAAAAACAACAAAGGCCTGTATGAAGGAAAGGCGCGCTGAGACTACAATCACCCCCAGTAGTTAGCGACGCCCACGCCGCAAGCAAGCATAGGACGTAGGCTTAATTTAAATTACCGCACCTCGCCGTTTGGCCTGCCATCAGGGTGCTTGCGCAGGTACACCTGGTCCGTCCGGAGCGTGAAACCCGCAAAGAACTTTATGATGTCCTCCTTGCCGCCCTTAAAGGGAAGCCCCTTCATCTTTACCACAGAGCCATCCTGAGGTAGTGCTGCAATTGTAGCGGCAGGAGCGCCCGGCAGCGCTGGCTGGGCTGGGGCGGACGACATGGCAAACGGATCGGGAAGAGACCCCTAAGAAAGGCAAAGACCCGTTCGGGCCGGTGGGATCTGTTGTTGCCTTGCTGGCATAGGCTACTTAATACTTAGCTTACTTATGGGAAAGCGCAGTAAAAGTGGCGTAGAGCAAACTCAAGGTTGTCAAGACTTGTGCGGTTGCGGCTGGGCAAAAGCAGTGGTCTATTGCAGGCACCCTATATATAAATAAGAACGTTGAGTATACAAACAGAGCAGTAGAGACTTGCCCACGTGTAGGCGCAGCTATGGCAGGGTTGGGGCCTTGTGCCCTGATACGGTACGACCGCAACGAGGCCGCAAGTTGGCATGCCGCGCTGGCACGAAACGTTCTAGAAAGATTGTTGGAAGTCTCATCCCGCCTTGCAGCAGCTTATGGTTTTGCTTCTTACTGCTGAAACAGTTTACCAAGGTACACCCTCTATGCCGCCTGAGGTGGTCCGCGACGAATGGTACCAGGTCGATATCTAGACCGTTGGCCCTTTGCATTTCCATAGGCTGCAGGCTTTTACATGCTTGCCTTTGCCGTTCATTAGCTTTTAGAGTCATCGTTCTGTAAAGGATTTCCCCGCTTCCTGTGAGCCAGCTCGGCTAACCGACAGATAGGCGGACTTGTACGGTATATAAGTGCATAGAGATGTGTACATATTACATAGTAGAGGGCAAAGGAGCGCCAAGAGTTGACCATCTTCAGAGTCTTCGTTCCGTACCGTCCACAGCAGGGACTTCTCTGGAAGGTGTTGCGAAACCTGCCTGATGCTGACAATGACGATGACCTCCGTAACATCCCTATACCTTAACCAAAAACGAAACATCGATTACGCCCAGCCAACGGCTCACCCTGGTGCGCATGTAACACATTGCACGCATTGTTGGGGGGCTCACTGCTTCGCAGGTGAACAGGTAAGCGGACCAGGTATGCATAGTTCTAGCCGTCGCCTAGCGGTGAATAACCCCTCATCGCTAAGCCGCACCCTTGCATCTAGGCCCACGCAACGCCTGTTCGCCAGCTGCAGCACCCTGCTTCCTGGTGTGCAAAACACGGTCCCCCTGACATGTATCCTGATGTACCCATGACGACGCCCAAGTTGCGACAAACCAAACCGAATCGTCGCTAACAACCCAAACCGAATCGTCGCTAACAACAACCATGACGCACGTAACACCACCTCAACCTTCAACCGCTACTCCTCTGTCCACGTGGGTGCACAGGAAGGCTCGGTACGTACTTCCCCCCATTTGCTGCACACACAATCCCGCTGGGAGGCGGTGCTTGTTTGGAAGCGGGAAGCGAAAGAGCGCGTACGTGTATTGGGGACCCCTTTCACCCCTCTCGAGGGAGCAGAACTCCCGCATGAGGACGCATGAGGCGGCGCGAATTGGCCCTGCGCTGTAGCTTGTACTGCAGCTGTTAGCGGCTGGGAGGACCATCCCCGAATGTTGCGGGGCGAATGTCAAACGTGTGGCATTACCGGTGGCTGTTGCAGCTACTTCAGCTGCTGCTGCCAGGCGTAACAACCCATCATCCGGCCATGCCATCAGCGCGTAGCTTACCGGTACTAGGGCGCAGCTGCGCTTCCCAAGCGCAGGGTGACTGCGCTGCCGGATGATGGCGTGGGAGGATGTGAGGTACGACATGTCCGGTACGGCGGGCCCAGCAGGAGACCGTAGCGTATGTATCGGACAGCACAGCACCCGTGCGATATTGCACCCTTTCAAGCTGCGGCTTCAGGGTGCTGATGCTCCTCTTCCATGCCGTGACAAGGTGCACCCTGCTTCCGCCGCTCGCTTTCACTACTACGTGTGTGTCTGCCCGGTTGGTGTCTGCCTGCTGCTGGTTTGCAAGGCCCTGTCAGATCAGCGGCAGGGACTCCCAGCAGGCGGCAAGCGGGGCTTTCGGCTGCCGCCACTGCGCGCCCCACCAGAGCTCCTGCTGGTCACAGCAGCCGCCATGCATCAGCCCGCCCTGCTGCGGACCCGCCTGCTGCTGCACATGCGACTGCTCCTGCTGGTACTGTTGCTGCTGCTGCTGCTGTTGACCCGCACCTCCGCCGCCTCGTGCCGCTCCTCCCCCCGTCGCTGCTGCTGCTCTGCGTGCCGCTGCCGTCGCCGCCTCCGCCGCCTCCAGCGTTGCGGCCAGCCACTGCGCGATCTCCGCCTCATCCGCCGGCGGGGGGTGCTGGCTGGTGAGGTAGGCGCTGCGGACGGCATCCGAGGCGGTGATGCGCTGGGAGGGGTCGTACCTGCGCGGTGGAGGTGGGTACAGCAGGTGTGTACGGCACACATGGGAGCAGGGGGGGCATGAGACCCCCTCCCCCCCCCACACACACCTGAGGAACTGCGCCAGGAAGTCCAGCGCGGCCCCGCTGGCCCCCGGCAGCAGCCGCCCCAGCGGCACCGCCTGCGCGGCGGGGAAGGCGATCTTGCCCCAGTCAGGCAGCTCGCACACCACCGGCCACACAGCCTCCATGCTGCCAAATGTGGCGATGACGCGACCCAGCTGGTCGATGTCGTTGTCGCCGGGGACCAGGGGGGACAGGCCTGCATAGCGGGTTGGGGCCAGGGCTGTGGACGCCAGGTATTTGAACCCCACCAACGGCCCCTCTCCATCTCCTCTGGTGCGTTTACTGGTTGCCTTGGTTTGGCTAACACAGGCCGGATTCGGTGAGTCCAGCCGGGCTTCTTTGTCCCAAGTCAACATGCTTGGGTATCCGCTTTTCCTCCCCCCCGTGACCCTCCTCCCCTCTTCCCTCCCCTGCTTCCTACCCAGCAGCTCCGCCCACACCAGCCCCAGCGCCCACGTGTCCACCGCCGGGCCGTAGCAGCGGGCGCCGTACAGCAGCTCGGGGGCGCGGTACCAGCGGGTGGCCACCGCGTGTGTGTATGCGGGGCGCTCGCCGCCGTCGTGGGGGCGCGCCAGGCCGCAGTCGGCTAGCTTGAGGGTGCCTGAGGAGGCGGAGAGGAGTGTGTTGCTGGGCTTGATGTCGCGGTGCATGATGCCTGGGGAAGGGGAGGGAAGGGTAAAGAAGGATGGGGAGAAAGGAGGAGGAGGTTAGGAAGGGCCGGCGGAAGGAATTTAGAAGTATTAACAGGGGGGTAGACGTCAGCAGTCTTACCCTCGGCATGGAGAGCCTCCAGGCCGCGACACATCTGCAGCATAAGGCCCTTTGCAATGCGTTCTGGGGGCGGTGCGGGCAGGCGGCGCAGCAGCGCAGCTAGGTCGGTGGTGCAGTACTCCTGAACGAGGTAGATGGCCTGGCCCTGGAGGGGTTGCGGCAGACAGAGGTGAAGGAAGAGGACATATCAGGAGAGCACTCTACCGAAAAAAGAGAAAGAGTGATGTGGTAAGGTCAGGGTCAACGGATGCCTGGTCTAGAAGGGTTGAGAAGAGGGTGGCCCTGGGAATCCAGGGATTCGATGTGCAGCGACCCTTTGACTCACCTTCGGAAAGACGTCCAGCAATGCAACCACATTTGGGTGTGAAACGCTTTGCAGCGCCTTGATTTCGCGAACGATAACATCTGGTATTCCCGAGGTGTTGCGAATGTGAATTCGCTTTAAAGCAACAACTTCGCCTGTCTCCAATACCGATGCTAGGGACACCTGAGAAAGGCATCGTAGTAACGTTTCATGTATGGGGGATCCCTGACAGCAAAAATACTTAATGGTCTGTCGCGTACCTCGCCAAAGGCACCCTGGCCTAAACGGCGTATAGGCCGGTAAGTATGGAACGTGCCTTGGAGGGCAGAGGGCATTTTTCTCAGTAACACATCTGTTGAACAGGAAGAGTACATGTATCTGCACGGCACATAGTTGGGCCCACGTACATGAGGCTCGGCGCGCGTAGGAACGTTTCACGCAATTCTGTACAGAATTGTATGATTTTCAGTTAGGAAGCATTTGTTCAAGACTGTGACAATGCAGACGCTATCTTCCAAGGCCTTCACAGGCAGCGTGCAGCCTTTCACTGCCAACCGCGTGTCCGCCGCTAGGCCTGCTCGTGTGGCCACTGTAATTGAGAACCGTGTTGCGCTCCGTTTCCAACGCTTTGGCCGCAAGAAGCTGCCCTTCTATCGCCTTGTGGCCATTGACAGCAAGAAGCGGAGGGATGGCGAGCCGCTGGAGTACCTGGGCTGGTATGACCCCTTGAAGAAGGAGACCAACCTGAACGCGCCTGCGATTAAGGAGTGGTTGGCTAAGGGCGCTCTGCCCTCAGAGACTGTGGAGGGTCTGCTCAGGAAGGCGTACGTAATGGAGCCTAAAATGAAGAAGGTGGTGGTGCCCAAGGACGCAGTTAAGATCTGAGTTAAGCAATTCACAATTAGCGGTCGTCGGCAGTTGTGGACCCCATGCTTCAACGGCGGCGATACAGCCTCGCTATGAACGTGTGGGACAGCGGGGCATCAGCGGATGAGGATGGCGCCTAAGCAGAGGAGGAAGCTGTAGTTTTCAGCCTGCATTTTGGCGATTGCCGCTGCCGGAGGAGCGGTTGGGGGTTTTGGAGAGGCCTGAGCGGTTGCAGCTGACTTGCCACAATTTTGTTCTTATGGGTGGCAGTGCTCGTTCAGCTTGCGTGGGGGGGGGGCCGGAGTAACCGTTTGGGAGGCATTTTTGGACGCAGAGCGGGCTTCTGGGGATCTGAATGTTATAGAGCCAGTTGTGCTTGGGAGATAGACACGGGAGGGTTGAGAGGAAACACTTCAGCGCAGACATTGCGCGCATGCATTCTTGTCATGCGGCTTGGTAGGGGGCTGCACGCGGATTCATGTATGTGAGCCATTACCCTGTAATGACCTAAGATATGCGAGATGTTGAGTATTGTACACCGAAGTGTTGTACTTGTAGCTTGAAGGGTAAGCGCATTACGGTCTTTCCCTAGCGAGCATGTGTCTCTCAGCTGTCCCGGCTGATTCTGAGATGCTCACCTATAGCTCACCTATGGGTGCACACCGGACTGGGTCACACGGTGCAAACAGCCCGCCAGGACGGCACTGGTAGCTGCTGAGAGCGGTAGTAACAGCAACCGGCAGTGAAGACGACCCTCAACGCATGAGAGCGCAGTTAATTAAGGCAGCGGTTGGCGTAACTGGTTGACCGTTGCCTGGTCCCTGGCGGGGTACGGCAGACCGCAATAGAACCCTTTCAACACGTAGCGGGAAGGCTTGCTAAATGCTAATAGCAACCTGCCTGGCCAGCCTGCTGTCCCCGAAATCGGGACATGAACAAAATAGACCAGCTTTATCCTACAGGATAGAACGGGAACTGTGCACCACTCCTGCTGGTATACTTCCCTCCTCTGACCTGAACTCATGAAACTCTTGGCACATTTTTCCAACACCCTGCACAACCTCAATACTGTACTCCGACTTCCTTACAAGGCTCCGGCTTTGCGAGCCAGTCCCGAGCAGCGAGCTGACAGGCTCAGTTCCCGTCCCTGCCTTCCACACACCCTTACCAAATCCCCCGCCGCCCCCGCAGCTCCTCTACTTGCCCGCCGCCTCCTTCCCCACCGTCCGCTCCACCACCTTATCCACAATCCCCATCAACGCCGGCACACACACCACCGACGCTGCCGCCCCCGCCCCCACCTCCTCCGCCCCCTCCATCACACTCCTCCCCGCATCCGCCGCCTCGCCCAGCCGGGGATCCAGCGGCACTCGGCCCAGCAGCTGCACCCCCATCTCCGCGCACATGCGCTCCGCCCCGCCCCCCGCCCGGAACACCTCCGCGCCCACACGCACCTCCCGACCCGGAAACCGCTCCGCCAGCAACGCCAGAACCTCCGACGTCACGTCCTGCGCCTCGCCGCCCACCGTCGTGAAGGTGCACCGGCCCGCCGGCGTGACCAGCCCCGCCATGTTCTCCACCACACCCAGCACCGGAAGCCCCACCTTGCGGCAGAAGCTGACCTCCTTGCGCACGTCAATGATGGCCACGTCTTGCGGGGTGGTCACGATGATGGCGGAGGCAGTGCTGCTGCTGCCGCTGGTGCCGGAGGGGGCGGAGGAGGAGCCGTCCGCGCTGGGGACGGCGGCGCTCTGTACGGCAGGACAGGACAGCGGCAGCGGCTGAAAGGGTCGGCACCCATTTTGAAGCAACACATGGTAAAGCCTTCTACATGTAAACCAACACTTGTTTTGTGGGACCCTGCCGCTTCCTATCCCCATTTGTTTTGCCCCAACCTGTTATTTCCTATGGTTTGGTATGGTCTTTGGCCCCGCCTGTCCTCTCCCCCATCCCCCCCACCTGCAGGCACTGCGCGATGGTGATGTGTTCGTCCGAGGTGCCCGGCGGCGCATCCACCACCAGGAAGTCCAGGGCCCCCCAGTCCACGTCCTTCAGGAACTGCTTGATCAGCCCGTTCTTGCTGCGCGGGCGGCACACGTGCATGGGAGGGAGGGAGGGAATAGAAGAATATCCAATGGGAGGGAGAAGGAGGGAGGAACGAGGAAGAGTGTGACCACCTGGTTAAAGGGCGTTCGTCCCTCCTGGTATAAAGCAAGCATTGTATTCATTGCCCTCGAAGGAGGAGCGGTAGAGGCAACGTGCCGGGGCAGCATGAAGGTGCTGAGCCGCGCCATGTGTCTAGAAGCGCCAAGTACGAATACGGTAGGAGCAGGAGAAGGTCACATGCACCAAAGACAAGTCTGCGTCTCTCCCTACCGCGGGCCTCGCCAGATGACGGCCTCATCTGGGTTGGGAAGCATGAAGCCTGCGGCGGTTGTGGGAAGCAAAGCAGCAGCAGAAGGAAAGGTAAGATATACTCAGTCAAAGACTTGAATGTGGAGACGTCCCCACAAGGACAGCCTCCCAGTGACGCGTTGTTCATAGCCGGCCCCATCATGACCCACGGCCATGTGTCGTCATGTGCCATCCCCCGCCTCTCCCCCTCCCCCTGCCCCCTCCCCCTGCCCCCTCCCACCGATGCTCATGACAGCCAGGTTGTCCTCCACGTAGACGGGCGACCAGCCCAGGTTGGAGGAGTGCACCTCCTGCCCCTCCAGCCCCAGCATCTTGGGCACGGAGGGACCGCAGATGTCGATATCAAGCAGGCCCACCTGGCAGGGGAATTAGGTAAACTGAGCCACAGAAACACCGACCCTGACCGTAGTAGGGGGTCAAAGACCACATCAAAGCATAGGAAACGCCAGGTTGGGGCAAAACAATGGGGAGAGGAGATGAAGAGGGGAGGTGAAGGGGATAGGGGGAGAGAGGGGGACGGGTGGGCTTTGGCAGGTGACCCGGGTGAGTCCTCATCGCACGCACTCCAACTGGGGCACGACCGGGGCACGACCGGGGCACGACCGGTAGCAGCTGTGATGGGAAGGAGCTAACGGCTACCGGTGCCAGCTATCGTTGCCAGCTATCGTTGCCAGCTTGGCTCCGAGTTCACCTGCTGCCCACCTCGTGCCCCTGCTGCCGCCCCCCTCGGCAACACCCCCTGCCCAACCTGTGTCCCCTGCCTCCACCCCGCCCCCCAAGCAATCATCCCCCCCACCCCAAACACCGCCCCCACCCCCACCCACCTCGTGCCCCCTGCGCGCCAGTGCGAACGCCAGCTGCGCCGCCACCGTGCTCTTGCCCACCCCGCCCTTGCCGCTCAGCACCAGCAGCACATGGCGCACGCGGGACATGCGGGAGGAGATGGCGGCCAGGTCTGCAGGGGGGGGGGATGAAAGATAAGTGCAGCAATGAAAAAGGGGGGGCTTGGAGATAAACCAAACCACAGGGGAGGGGAGGGGGGGTACAGAAAAAAAATGGTGGGGCACAGTGGCAGGGGTAGGAAGGGCAGGACTACCGTTTTCCTTATTCCAATAGTGCGGGCTGTTACGGGGAGGGGACAGACAGGCGCCAAAAAACCGAGATGGTTGGGTTTCTCTATTGAACCCCCACCCCCCGCACATACAGCTCGACAGTTTCCTTATTTTTACCCCCCACCCCACCCCCGCCCGCCGGCCCCACCTGGGTCGGGTCCCTTGGGTGCGGTGGCGCAGGCGCTCTGGTTGGGGCAGCCGGCGCATGCGGCCGCCTTGCCCGCCTGCTCGCTGGAGGCGCCCGGGCAGTCTGGGGAAGGGGGCGAACAGGTGAGGCGGGGAGCAGGGAGATGGAGAGGTGGGGAGGGGGCGAGTGCGACAGGTAGCGAGGCACAGCAGCAGCATCTGGGTTGTCCAAGTGGCACCCGGGGAACCGCTCAAGAGCGTGTCGGGGCGATTGGGAAGCTGGAGATGTAACTGGCCAGCCCTGACCGAGGGGCTCACGTTGATTGGCATTCGCCGGGACGTCTGTTGGGCCGTTGGTTGGTGCCGTGGATGCCATCACGGTGCTCTATATGGGTCTTGTTTGCGTCGCTCTTGTAAGCCGGCGGCTAGGATGTCACACAATCTGACGTTGCGCTGGACTAAAGCCGGTCGATGCGTTGGTTAACTTTAACAGGTAAGCCGTTAAGGAGTTGACCGACTGTTGTCGACAGCGAATACCCCAAACAGTAAGGATGAGAGGAGTGGATAGTTGCGCGGATGGGTCGTTGGGTCGAGGATTCACCAATTCTATGGAAAGCGCTGTAGTTCCTCGGGTTATAAAACTCTTGACGGAGTGGCAATACCTATACACAGCTTACGACTGAGTTACGGGCGGGTTGACGCGATGGAACTTGTTGGCGTGCTAGGTAAGGGTAAGCGAATGAAGCTAGACAAGCGGAGGTGACTCTTTCATACGAGGGACATTGTGTTTGACTTGCCAGCACATGTTGCCCAGGGTAGCTCGATGATCGCATGACCCCGCATGTACGACGGCGCGAGACCGTCGATCCCTTTGGTCCAACCGCCGCAAAGTTGGCATTCTGTCAGCACAGCTGTTAGCCTTACTTCGTGAATTATTGAACATATTCTTCTACCGCACGGAGCAATTTCATACGTCTTTCAAACTTCGCTTCTCCTCAGTTGCCGAACGCAAAGTAGCAAATAATATAATAGACGACATACGTTATGCGTGACAGGTCAGAGAGGCGCCTATTAGGCGCCCTCTTTCCGTTGGCACTGCTAGCTTTTGCCAGCGCATACTACGTGCCTGGCACTTACCCAGCGGAGTTCAAAGTTGGAGAACCCCTGCAAGGTTAGATCTCTTTGCGGAAATGCCGACAGGGCATCCTTTTGGTTTTAGGCGAAACCTTCAGCGATCCGCTGTTGCCTCTGCTTTCCTCGGTGCACAAACGCAGTTCATGTCAGTACTTTGACATCGTTTGATACGGAGCTGCCCTATGAGTACTACACGATGCCTTTCTGCAAGCCTGCGGAGGGCGTGCACCGGATTGCCAACGCTGCGAACCCGGGGACCATCTTGGAAGGCATCCGGATAGAGAACTCGCCATACAACTTTTCTATGAAGGCAAGGATAAATGCTTCAAGCTTTGTTATCTGCCCCTCTTCTCGGCACAACCTGCTGACCACCGTTGACCCTGGGGCCCGCAACGACTGGCACAGGTCAAGCAAACGGGCCTTAAGGCCTGTCCAAAGGGGTCGTATGGGCCGCTTACAGGCCATGAGGTCAAGGTAGGCCGTTGTAGGGGCCTAGCTTTGCAGGAGGACGGGAACAGCAGCGGCTAAGAGGGCTTTGCGGGCTCTTTCTGCCGGACGATGGGTTGTTTGGGGATTTGGCTATAGGGTGTCAAGCCCTCAAGGCTATTAGGGCGTCAAGCCCTCAAGATGGGAGCTCATTGCACTGAGCTGAGCATGCATGCACGACTTTGCATCCCAGCCCACATGACTGTCAGGGATGTGGTATCACAACCACACCTAGGAGACACGTACGGCCAACCCGGCTGCCCTCCCTGACACCCTTACCTCTCGTGCAACCCCACCTAGCATCCCCCTTCCTTCCTCGTTGCCCCTGCTTCGCCTTGTCTCTTCCTTTCTCCCCTCCCACTCCTCCTCCCGCTCCCAGACCCTTCAGCGGCTGATTGACCAGCACTACCGGGTCAACCTCATCTTGGACAACCTGCCGGTCACCGTGTACGACCTGCTGGATGAGGTGGGGGGAGGGAGGACGGCAGGGAGGGAGGGGCTGGGATGGGGGGGGAAGGGCTGCTGGGATGAGGGGGGGCAAAGATAGACCAACTCTTGGAATACCACACGTTGCTGGATGGGGGGAGGGCGGGAGGTGCTGGGGCTGGCAGTCGGGTGTTGGATGCGGTGGGGACGGGGGGAACACAGAGAAACCGGGCTAATCCTTATCGTAGGCCTTATCCACCGCCTCCACACCCATCTCTGCCCCCATCCACTTGCGTCCACAGAAGAACGAGTTCCTGCGTCCGGGCTTCGAGCTGGGCTTCAAGCGCGACGGCAAGTACTACATCCACAACCACCTCGTCTTCAACGTGCTCGTCTACATGACGCACGGGGAGTACACCGCGGCTCGCGACTCCTACGCCAAGTCCCTCACCGTGGACTCCCTGGACACCCGCCACCACCGCCACCTGCTCCGGAACCCCCACCAGAACAGCCGGGCCCTGCTGGGAGGCGACTCGGAGGCTGCCTCCGCCGCCGCTACTGCCACTGCCAGTGCAGAGGGTGCGGATGGTACGGCAGCGGCGAGTACGGCAGAGGCGGGCAACCCGCCGTACTACATGGTGGTTGGGTTTGAGGTGTCGCCATGCTCCATCGCAAGGAAGGCAGGCGCGGAGATTGAGGATATCGTGTGCGGCGTGGATGATAATTCGCACATCACGCCTCAGGTGGGGCTGCTGGGGGGGGCAGGGTGGCTTTTGGTACAGCTTAATGGGGCAGCAGGCCCTACTACGGTCCCTACTATGCCCAGGAAGCTGTAATCTTAACACGTTTCTCAAACAAACTTACTTTGCATACCAAAGAACGCTACTTCCGTTGCTAACGGTGTTACGCTTGTGTGCTCCTGCATACCAAAGAACGCTACTTCCCTTGTTAACGGTGTTACGCTTGTGTGCTGCTGCTTCCGACTCCCGCAGGAGATCAAGGAGGGCGCCAACATCGTGTACACGTACGACGTGTATTGGCAGGACAGCAAGATCAAGTGGGCCTCGCGTTGGGATGCGTACCTGCGCATGCCGGGCGGCAAGGTGGGGCGGGGGGCCGGTGGGGGGCCGGAGGAGGAGGGGGAGGGAGATGTGCTCAGACAGCCACCAGCAGCCACCCCTGGTGAGGGCCAGGCAGCAGCGGCCGCACCTGCCGCCCCCGCCGCCCCTGAATGTGGAGATAATGCGCAATGGGCGGTTGACGGGATAGGAAAGAGGCTGTGAGAGGGAAAGCATTACCTGTCTTCTTTTCTGGCCGTTCATTATAGCGTTAACCCCCATGAGCCTTACTCAAACGCCGGTGCCCTTTCCCAATCCGCACACGCCAGCACCCCACTATACGCAGTCCCGACTTCCAGCATTGTGCAAAGAGTTGGGTCCAAGAGCAGGCAGCGGTTTGAGCCGTCGCTGCTGACCGGATCGTTAGAAGATGGCCCTTGGAAACCGACGTGCTTTGGCTTTGGCAGCAGTTGACATGCGTGAGTTGTATAAGAGCCACCCGGATGTTGCGGTTGTCATGCAGGCGGACCTTGCGACCTACACCACGCAGCTTGAGCGGGCACGGGCGGACGCCTCGTCCCTGACAGCCAAGGTAAGCCACACGCGCTGTTGCGGGGCGGTGTGTAGTTCCTGCACAGGCCGGCGGCGAGCCCGGTGTGCGCAAGAGACGGGACGTAGCCTTGGCGGATGTTGTCTGACCCGTTGTGTAACCTCAACATGATGGGCAGGTGCTGGAACGGGAGCAGGCGCTAGCGTCCTGCGAGCATCAGCTGGAGCTAGAGCGGGGGAGCCTGGGAGCACAGCTGCGTGCGGCAGAGGACAAGCTGGCCGTCAAGGCGCAACAGGTGTGTAGGCCCCCCAAAAGACCTTTTACGTGTGCTGCCGGCGTGGCAAGCTTGTAAGGCATGTGCGAAGGTCACTGTAACGCTAGTAACCTGCATCTGCCGGTGTCGCTCGCTCTCGACCCTGCTCTGGCCGCAGCTTGCTGCCTTGGAGGACGAACTGCAGAGTCGAGAGCAGGAGCTGCGGACCACTCGCGCGCAGCTGCAGGTCGCGCAGCGCTCCCTCTTGACGCTCCAGGTGAGCAACCAGAGCGAGTGCTTATGGGACCTTGGGCCTCAACTGAAACCGCACGCCTGCCCCTGACATGGACGACTGGGGCAACTCGGCGGTGCCTTGACCGACTGGCAGTTTGGAGTTGACGGGTGGTATGGACCTTGGTCCTTACAATGCAGGCCGAGGGTGAGGCGCACCTTGAGTCCGCCAACACCACAGCGGCGGATCTGGCGGCGTCGCAGCAGCAGGTGGAGGCGCTGCAGGTACGAGCGGGTGCGGTTGCAAAGGGGCAATCCATGCATTGCATCGCCCGGGCCTAGGCCAGGCAGTAGCGTCTCGGCGCGCTTTTGCCCGCTTAGATTATTGGTCTATTTAAACCGTCATGTCATATAATACCGGTAACCTGCAGGCCGAGCTTTGGGAGTTGCGGCATCAGAGCGCCAATGCCAGGACGGAGGCTCAGCAGCTGACTGAGCAGGTGGGTGTGGGTTACGTGGAGTCCAGGACAGCAGCCGTGCGTCCAACCAATCGCTAACCGCTAATGTGCTTGCTGCCTGTTTCTCTCTTTCCTATTCCCTCAGATGCTGCCGCTGCAGGAGCAGCTGGGCCGGTCGGAGGGCCAGGTTGCACAACTGCTTGTGGTCGTCCGCGGCGCCCTTGCTGCTGGCGCCGCCTCAGCCCATCAGCAGCTGCAGACCAGCGCTGGCGGGACTCTTGCAGACTTCCCAGAAGCCTCCTTCGGAGGGGCGCCTGCTGCAGCTCCTGGCCCCTTGCCAACCTCCCTTCGTTTGCTGGAGGTAAGGCTCGCAGCTTGCTGGGGTCCCTTGCGCTGGTCCCTCCTTCCGGCACACGGTTCCCTGCTTGTACACGTGACCCCATGCAAACACAGTATCCTTACGACGCATGAAAGCGTACGGCATGAATGTTGCCCGGTATAGCCTGTCGCATCATGTGTCCCTGATGACATGCACTGCAGGAGCTCACCTCGGTGTTGGTGGAGGAGCTGCAACGGCGCGGGGCTGTCATGGGCAGGCTCGAGGGCGAGGTGGCGGGGCTGCAGGGGCAGCTGACAGCACGAGAGGAGGACGTGAGGCGCCTGGAGGCGCGGCTAAAGTGAGTTTAGCGGTGTTGTGATGATGACGCCACACTGCATGTCCTAGCAGCCAGCTGATCTCGTCCTCGTCCGCTTCGGGACCACCCGCCTCCGCTCTCCGCAGGTCCGCGCAGGACGGTCTGGCTGCCCGGCTGGACGACGTGTCCCGACTGCAGACGGCGCTGCGCCGCAAGGAGGCGGACTGCGAGGCGGTAGAGACAGAGATCTCGGCGCAGATCGCGGACTACCAGCGGCTCAAGCAGCGGCTGTTGCAGCAGGTGTGGGCGCATCAGACAGCCATGTTGGGACTGTTGGGGGTTGTGCTTCGCATTTGACACGATGCGCTGTCCATCCTGTTGGAGCCGATTGGTACGGCGGTTACGTAATGTGGGTCACGTCCTCATGTGTCGATGTGTATATCGTACGTTGTTTGTGCAGGAGCGCGACAGCAGCCGGCTGTCTGCTGACCAAGAGGCGCTGTTGCGTCGCTGCGACGAGTTGGAGGGAGCGCTGGCTGCCAAGCAGGAGGAGTGCGCGCTGCTCAACAAGAAGTGCGCGCAGCTGGAGGAGCAGTGGCAGGCGGGCCGGGCTGCCATGGCTGCTTTGCAGGTACGGCAGGGATACGATAGGATCATGGCACACTCTCATAGGCATGTGGCCCGGGTAACGCCGCGCGTGCTTATCTTGACGGCTTCGTATCGCCTTCAGCGGCGCATTATAACATTGTTCCTGGCCTCCCTACCCCAACGCCTGCAGGAGCGTGTGCGGTCGCTTGATGCGCAATCAGAGGCACTGCAGCGCAGCGGCCAGACCGCGTCGCTGGCCCGGCAGGAGGCGGCAGCGTCACTGGATGCAGCCCGAGCTGACCTGCGAACAGCGACGCAGCAGGCGGCTGCCTACCGGGAACAGCTTGAGCTGCGAAATAACGAGATCAGGTGAGGGTGCTGAGGAACGCGCACGAGGGATGCTACCGCGGCAGGGACCACCTACCCTTGCTGCCGTCGCCTCTCAAAGCCATGTTTGGTAGAAGTACGGTAGCTAACCAAGCTAAGCCCCACATGCGCATGCGCAGGGAGTTGAACGCCATGCTGCAAGCCTGGGAGGCACTACGGCTGGGCAAGGACGCCCAGATCTCGGCGCTCATGGAGCGGTGCAAGCGACACGAGGAGGACGCGGCGGAGAAGGCACGCACCGTGGAGGCGCTGCGCCGAAAGCTGCAGGTGCGACGTGTACGCTGGGTTGAGAAAAACCTCCAGGTCAAAAGCGACCACGGGATAAACCCGTGCTTGTTGAGGGAACATATTACGCCTCTCCCTCCCATGCGGTTTTGTTTCATTCTGAGCTCTGATCCCTCTTACCGATATGTGTCATCCGGGCGCTTGTTCCTTACAGGCGTTCAACGGTGTAACAGGGCGTGTATCCCTCAGCGGAGCACAGTCCGGCGGCAGTCCGAGCGGCTCCGTTGTCACGCCTCACATGGCCAACCAGCAACAATCGCAGTCGAGGCCCATGTCAGGGACTAGCGGCACCTTGGGTGGTTCTCGTCACATCCATGTTCATATGCATGGGCCGGCGGTGTCACCCTCTGTATCCGGGGTTTCTGGCACAGGATCAAACATTGCACGCTAACGATCGGGGTATTAGTAATGCGTACCGTATTCGCTTGCTAGGTGTTGCTTGTATTGGTAGATGTTGCTGAATGCCTGTGAATTTGCGAAGAACTATTCACGATGTCCGTCGCCGGCAAATCTGGAGATCAATTTCCGCAGTTTGGGGCTTTAGGTTTCGAAATGCCGTGACAGGCGTAATTGCACCATGGGTAGCACGGTTAACATGTATGCACTCGAATCGGCTTTTTTATTTCGCTTCCTCAGGCAAATGACAGCAGTAGAGCCTCGTGCTGATGACGCCTGAGTGCCCAAGCGCAACCAGTTGGAAGCAGCACGTTTATATGCAAGCAGCCATTATGGTTACAATGTTGTTCACGAGCGGACGCCCACCCTCCACCTTTCTCAGGAGGCACACTAGCGCGGAGAAACAAGGAGAAAAGACATGAGAAACAGCGCTGAGCTTAGTCAACACGCTTCAGCAGTTTGTTCGTTTTTGAGCAGGATAGGATAACCGCAACAGCCGCCGTGCACACAGGCAGACTGGAAGGTTAAAGCCATATATAGAAGGTAACCAGCGTTCGAACCATGACAGTTTGCCATATATATAAGGTACCGAGCGTTTGAACCACGACAGTTTGCGTGCAATAGGGATAAAGCAGCCGCACCGCTCTACACCAGCATGCAAGCTGCAGCAACCCCTCGCAAGACAGCATACCCGCTCACGTATACACACACAAACGGATTGTGCAATCATGCACGCTCCAACATATACACAACCATGCGCACAGCACGGTAACCACAATGGTCGGGCACAAACCTAAGTTCCTCTCCACTTAGCGGTGGCAGTCTACACGGTCAACAACCTAACCTCCAGTAGCAACAATTCATACGTTTGGCCAGAACGCATGTCCCACGAGTAACGCGTTTCCTCCTAACGCAAAGAAAGACGTAAGAATAACGGACTACACGGCCGACAACAGCCGCCACACCAACCACTCCTGCTCCCGGCTTAACTGACCTAGTGTTCCAAATGCCGGTCTCGCATACGAGCATAGCATGGCACTACCACATATCGAATGCGCCCGGCACTCACAGCTGGCACCCGACGGCTATTACGACAGGCAACCCTTCGAAGTCCTTATCACAAAAGGAGGGAAGGACATGGCGAGTTCTCGCTCGCGTACTATGACCTCACTGGACAAAACCAGGTGTCGCTTCATACATGTGAAGCTCATTACAAGCGTGCTGTCGGCACTAACCCTCCAATAGTTACCACGCCCTGCAAAACCAATAGAAGCCCGCATCATTGAAACACTGTGTATGCGTTCGTAAGTGAAAACTCCAGAAACAACCAAAAGGCAGCCCTGCCATGCAGCCATCTAGTGAACGTTAGGCAGTATCACCCACGCGAAGGTCTGCCACGCAAGCTATGGCCGCTAGCCTCGCCCCGCACAGTTCATGCTTATATAAATTGGCACAAACAGGAACAGTCAATTCAAGTCGCTTAGTAGGGAGTAGTATGAAACGCAATGAAAGTGTCCCACAAAAGATAACCTAGCTTTCACCCTCAATACGAAGTCAGTCGTTGTTTGCCTCGCCTAAACCAATGCACATGGCATCGTGTGTTAATAGCCACTACAACAGCAGCGCACATGCCGTGCCATAGGGCACTCAATCATACGTTATTCAGTTCTCCCTACTACCTTGAACCCATACCAAATCATCCCGACGAAACCCAAACCCCCAAACCCAACACAGCAAAGTCCAAGATGACCGCTCGCATCCCCCTCAACACGCCCCTGACTGCGCCAATCATCTAAACCCAACCCCTACACACCCTGTATAACCCAAACCGAACCCCTCTGCCCGGCTGATGAATGGAACCCTGGAAACCCGCATCACCTCGTGCCGCCCTTCGTCACGATCACATGCACCCGACCGGTGTCCAGATCGTACACGGCTCCCGCCAGCAGCACCTTGCCCCGCTGCAGCCCCTCCTGGATGATGGTGGAGCGCTGGCAGCGCTGGATCTGGTACTTGACGTTCTCCCGGACCACCTTTTCTTGCCGCTCCTCCTCGCTGTCCAGCAGACGCTGATGCGCCTTGGCTGATACGCTGTCGACGCGCGCGATGGCCACGTCCAAGTTGCCCACCAGGGTGTCGATGAAGCCGGGGAAGGCCTTGCCTGTGGGGGTTGTGAAGGGTTCAAGTTCAGGGTCAAGGTGAGGAATGCCAAAGGGTGCAGGTGTGTTGCTATGGGGTGTGGACAAGGAGGGGTGAGTTGGTGGTGCTAGGGCGGAGTGGAGCAGCGATTTGGGTAGGGTAGGCGGGTGGGGTTCCTCCGGCTAACTGCCATGGGTTAAGGAGTCTTGTGAGCATGCATAACGAGGCAGATTGCCCAAAGAAACCTGATGGTTAAGGTGGAAAGAGCGTGGCATGGCCATGTAACCCAGACGATGATACGCCGTTAGGCATGGCCCGGGTACATACCCGATAACGCCGCGTGGACGGCTCCGCACTTCGTGTGTCCAAGGATCATAACCACTTTCACCCCGACGTGCAGGACGGCATACTCGAGGCTTGCTACCTGCTCCGGCGTTGCTATGTTTCCAGCAACGCGGCAGACGAAGACGTCGCCGAAACCCTGATCGAAAACGATTTCAGCTGGTACACGGGAGTCTGCGCATCCAAGGATTGCCGCGAGCGGCTTTTGCTTAACAGAAATTTGCTTCACTCGAGAAAAGTCCTGGTGCGGATGGACGCTTGCTCCGCTTATGAACCGTGCATTGCCGTCCAAGAGAGCCTGCAGCACTTGTTCTGGCGACGCGCGGTCTGTAAGCGAGTTGACCTTGTCTAAGGACGCCTTGCTGTATTGTGAGATCCCGCCGTTGCCTAATTCCTGGGAGCCGCCTGTCAGCGTCAACTGCAATGGCAAAGTTACTCTCCTTCAGTGCTGGTACTTGCAGCTACAAAAGCTCCCATACGCCATGTAAAATACATCATATAACAATCGTATACACCCAGCAACAGCCAGCAGGCCCTGAATTGCCTCTCTAACTCACAGTGTTGGCCTCGGAAACTGCTTGCGGCAACGGAACAACCCGTGTAATTGGTACGTCGTTTTCTCTTTGTGCGCTTGCGCCGCAACCCATTCTTATTCAGCGGTTGGCGAGGTGTTAGGCGCCGGAGGCAGCAGAACCTAACACAAAGCTGACAGCAAAGAAGCTAAAGGCTTTTCCCCTCTATAAGGGAACTATAATTGTTGGAGTCTCAGCCCGTCTCAGCCTCCAATTTTCAATCATAGCACAGAGCCCATCTTGGAAATACTGTCAGCATGGTTGCGAATAGTTCCTGTGATTATAAGATTTTGAAGTACCGGTAGTATGAGCTTGAAGTTCCAAATGGTGTAAGCTGAGCATTTGGGAGAGGCTGACGAAGTCGACGAACGACGCTTCTTTTATGCCGTACGAATAGTATCAACCATGGTAATTCCTATCAATGTTTCCTGCTAGGTGCGTAACCTTAGGGTAAATAGCACTCAATACGGTAGTGCACGGCCCCTTGCTATTTGTCCTCGTTACGCTGGAATAGTGCCCTCTTAGCGTTTTTTTGCTGGGAAGCATGGCCCAGGTGCGGTATGGTTGCTGTGAGCGTTATCGTCATCTTAGCCGCGATTATGCACCATCTTGGGGCTGGACCACGGCTGCATGGGATGCCATTTTCCCTTCACGTCGGGCTTGCGTATGCAGGTTGCCGCTTTGCTGGTCGCCACCTCCTCAGGGCGAGGATTGGCAGAGGAACTTACAGCTCACGGTACGCGTACTTTGTCCTGGCCATGTAGTCCCGCATCCCGAACTTGCTCATACTGCACAACACCTGTACACCCTTAAGGCAATATGGGCAATACGCAAGCAAATCTGTTCCATGCAGCAACATGATCTTTCCTTCCTTTTCTTGTCTGTGCCAAACCTAACCTCCCTGTGCCGCGCTGCTGTCACTTTCAGGCAGCTACACATCGCTTGTCGAGGGCCCGGATGGAGTGCCTAAGGTCCTGTTGGGCGTCAACGGGCAACCAGTCCTGAATCACTGGCTGGCTGCCATGGCACAGTGTTCGCGGCTACAACCCTTGGATCAAAAGGTGTGTGTGCTGACCCAAATCGAAAGCCCAAATCTTAGGTAAACGCGTGCACAAGCGCAATTTAGCCATCCCTAATCCCTCGCGCCCCATCACGCCATGCGCCCCTCATGCAGGTCTTCATCCTCTGCAACGAAGTCAACGTGGATGCCGTACGCGCCTGGGCATCCGAGCCCGCCTTCTCAGGCGGCGGCTTCCCCCTAGAAAACATCCTCACAAACGGCGCAGACGACAGCCTCGGCCTGGCCGCTGACGTCGCGTCCTTCCTAGCCGCCGCACCGCCCTCCGTCTCCGGGCGCAGCCTCTTGGTCGCCGAGGCCGACGCGCTGTGCGGCCCCTGCTTCGGCGTTGCCCGCCTTGTAGAACACGCGGTGGTCCGCGGCAAGGACACCGTCATATACATGGCTGCTCCCGAGGGCATGTCGCTCGAGGGGCATGCAGTAGTGGGACTGGAAGACCCGCGTACGGCGGCTCAGTCGGCGTCTCAACGTGTGGTCGGGCTGGATGCGGAGCCCTGCGGCGCAGTAGATGCCGCGACACTGACGCCCGTGCTGGCGCCGGTGGCCATGCTTCGGCCAGAGGCGTTGGAGCGGCTGGTGAAGACGGTGGAGACGGGCGCCGCGTCGTACAGTTCGCGAATGGGGGGCCTTATCGCGGCGTTGCAGCCTGGCAACATTGCGCATCCCTCCATGTACGCCATGCCACTGGACTGCTTCTTCCGCCTCACAGATGCTTACAACGTCGCGCTCACCTCCAACTTCTACGCCTACTACGCTGCTGAGAAGGCGGGCTTCAAAGGCGATGCGGCGCGCGCGTTGGAGGCGTCGCGGCGGCTAGCGCAGCTGCATGAGGCTCGCACGGCAGCGGGCGGCTCGGCAGCGGCGGGAGTACGACTCATGGCGGAAGTGGAGGCGGCGCGGCCGCCTGAGCCCTGCGTGGATAAGGAGCTTCGAAAAGTTTTCCGCGGGTTCTGGGATGGGTGGCTGCGAGGTGACCGGCACCATGACCTCGCAGCCATGGCAGGCCGCGGCATCACGGGTGCCTCGGTGTTGCTGGGCGGCAGCGGCGGCGGAATGGGGCACAGCGGTGGCGGCGTGAAGGCAGGCAGCACCATGCCACTGCGCTTTGCGGATGCCACGACGCGGCGTCATGGGGCGAAGGAGCAGCACGCGGTGTACACCACAACGAACAACACGTACGGGCTAAAGCCGCCCTCGCAGGTTGACATGCCGCTGACCTACACGGCCGCCTCGCAGCACTTCACCAAGTCCTTCCCCGTCACGGCGCCTAAGAGCAGCAGCCTGGTGACGGCGGTGACCAAGTCCAAGGTGCACAAGGCACTGGATGACTTTTAGGCTGCGGATGGTTTCAGGGTGATTTGCATGCGGGACGAACTTGGGCCGGCAGGTCCTAAGCTGCAGCCCTGAATTCTGCAACTGGTGCAGGGCTCTGGTGCAGGCTTACGGCACCAGCGTTTGCTGGACGTGGTTCCCTCATAGTAATTGTAACCGACTGTACAGACTTGTCCATGCGTTTGCGATTTATGGCGCCTGCGGGTGGAGGTAGGAGGCTGGTCGTCGCAGAGAACCTCCCTAATATAGGAATAGCCGTTAGGATACTGGTAACAAGTGTATCTGTGGGCTGTCACAATGGCACACTCCTTTGAGCTTGGACACCAGTATATTGCTGCTTCTCTGCGCTCTAGATAGGCATAAGCAACTAATGCATGGAACGTGGAAGGCTGTAATGCTTGGGTAGGCGAGGAGGACGGTGACTGGTGACTCGGGTCTGTTACCAAGACCCAGCTGCCGGGAGGGCAGCTGCAGCGCTGGTCCTGGGGTGCACCGCGCGTGCGTTTCGTCAATAGCCCGTAGCTACATTGCCAAGGGCTAAGTAAAGCCGCATGCACGGCGAGGCGGCTTGGTCTCCATCCGATACCTTGTTTCTGACTTCGGCCTGCGATGTTCGCAGCATTGATGCTAGTACGGCAACGGATGCCTCCTGCTGGATGACCCCAGCTGCACGTGTGCATCAAGGCACCGGTCATCAACACAGTCGTAGTTGATTGCAAGATGACGTTCATGGACTTGTTTCTCGTCCGTTGTGGTGCACGACGTTACGATCACGTTGTCGTACACTTGGTGAGGGCAGAGGGGGATGTGCATGCTCCTTATTCGCATGTGCGGTTTGACTTGAGAAGGGTCAGCATTAATGCCCAGCATGGCGTCACAAGTGGGGTGTATACAAAGCAGCTGGAAAGTAGTTACATGGTACCGGTATGTGCCACTCTCTTGCCAAGGTTGCCGCTTAGTAACTAGCATGGGTACCGCATTCCAGGTAACTATGCATGGTACTTTATGACCGGTCCTGAGCTATGTGCAAGCCACATTGACGACCGTTATGAAACATTAAAAGCCATTACGTTCGAACTACCCTCAACTGCAACTGTACCAACGATGTTTGTAAGGGAGGCCGTAAAACCTGCGCCCACACTTGCAGATTTGGGCTCTGACGATATTCTATGTACGACACTTGCACGCCTGACACCGGTTTAGTTCACAAGGTTTGCACAAAAGGGTCACGCCTTCCAATGTTTCCACTGCATACGAACCTAGGAATCACACGACACACTAAGAACCTTCACAATGCCCTCCTCGATAACTGCAGCGCTGTTGTTAATCACCTACCATGCAAACAAGCATGAAAAACCCGCTGCTTCAGCCCCCAACGCCACCCCAAGCCGCCAGCTGCATCCTCGGCAACTCCTACGCCAACGCGACCCCGCTTCCCTGGCTCGCCAGCAGCCACCCCTCCGCACGGTCGTGTGCAGCCTGCAGCCTCTCCTTCATCGCACCCAGCGCCGCAATCTCCTCCCGCAGGTTCACTGTCTTCATCCCGCCATGCCCCCGCCCGGAAGCGCACCCCTCCCCTCCGTCAGCACCAGCAACGGGTGTTTTCAACCTCCCCGATACCGTCCGCCGCCGCAGCGCATTTTCGCGCCCAGGCCCGGCCACCCGCCCAGCGAACCGCCGGGCTGCTGATGTATGCAAGCGTTCCGGTGATACCTCTCTGATGCTGCCGCTGCTGCTGGCACCGCGGTCGCCAGCAGCAGCATGATGAGCGCGCGATGCCGACCTGCTGCGCCTCCCGGATGCATGGTGGCATTGCTGCCGCGGTTCCTGTTGCGGCTGTTGTGGGGCCCGCAACGCCAACTCATCGCCCCCATGCGAAAAGCCGTAAGGATCCGCATGCATCCAGGCGTTCTGCTCCTGCATCAGCCTCGCTGCCATCAGCCGCTCTGTGGCGTCCTGCTGGACGTCATGCTCGTCGCTGTACGGCAAGGCCAGCCGCTGGCAGTTGTGCTCGTACAACGGGAGCCAGGCGGGCCAAGCTCCCAGCAGGCGTCGTCCGGCTGGGAACCCCGGGCAAGCGATACGACGCATGCGGATGGCAAAGCTGCTACCTGCTCCGCTACCCGGTAGCTCCCATCTTGCACTGGGCCGCTGCGAAGGACGCGCGCCCGGGGCTTCTTGCCGCAGGTAATCGACCGGCTGATGCAGTTGCTGCTGCTGCTGGTTTCGGAGCACATGGTGGTCTTGGAAGTCGCTGCCTAGAAGCCGCCTCAACGTGTTGGACCAGGGGCCAACCAGGGCCAGCGCAGCGGCCATGGCCAGCAGGCAAGCAGCGATGCCGCCGCGGGGTATGCCGCCGCCGCTGTCACCAGCAGCGCCAAAGCCCCTGCCCCAGCCCCCGTCCCATCCTCCGCTGGAGCCTCCCCGGCCGCCGCTGAAACCGCCGCCATGGTCTCCATGCCCCCCGCTGCTGCTCCCGTTCCCGCCACTGTCGTTGGTGTGGCAATTGCGGGCTCCACTGCCGCTATTGCTGTCCGTGTGGCTATCACAGACGTGCCCGCTACCGCCACCCGCCGAGGTTGAAGGTTCACTATGCTCCTGAGGTGGGCAAGCGGCGCTACCTGTCGATCCTGGGGAACCGGGATGGACGCTGCTGGCGGGCGCGCTGCTTGCAAGCTGGTGGGGAACTTGCTGCTGTAGCTGCGGCTGTGGCGAAAGGTGCTTAGATGTGGTCGCGGAAGCGGCGCTGACGGCAGCACGTGCCGCCTGCGGTAATGCAGGTTTGTAACGGGGCATGGTAGCGCACAGAAAAGCGAAAAGCGTCTGCCCATCTGCTGATGGAGATCCCGAACGGCAAGGAGCACCCACCGTAGGCTTTGAGCCCAGCATCGTGAACAGGCATCCAAGCACAAGCGTGCTGGTGGCGACGCCGGCCTCCGCGGCGACTAGGATTTCGCCGGATGAACTGTCGAAGGGAAGCGCCTTTGCAGCCACCTCGGGTCGGCCGCTGGGTCTCCCTGCTGCACCCCTCGACCACCTCATGATAAGTGAGCTGTGCGTTCCACTTGGCAAGCTCGCGATGCTCACATGAGCGCAAGTGGAGTAATATGCCGTCTGCAGGGGCAGCGTGAACACTACTCAGTATATATGTTAGGTGAGGTGGACGCGCCCTCCAATCCTCTTACCGGCCTGGGTGCATGTCGGCATTCAATCAACCGTTGGGCAGGAAGGAGTCGCATGGCCGGCAAGATACCAGCAAGTTGCCTGAATTTGAAAAGTATGTTGAGTGATATTACATCTAGTATGGTTATAAGCTCTCGCAGCACTACTCCAAAACCTTTTACCTAAGGAATGGCGCCTCTACTGCAAACCAGCTAGCTGATTGGTATAACCCCGACATTGCTGCTGCTGCTCATGCGCGTCAAGCTATGCAGCGACTCCCGCCGAGTTGTCTGGTGCGAGACTACAGCTTCAAACATCCAAGCGTTTGTATTTGTACTGCTTTCGGCCCCCCTTGTATCCTCTATAATGCTTCACCGGTGCTCTATCAGGGCAGCTAACGGTACTAACCTACAGGGCGGTTTAAAGGTATAGGCTGTATGTGATTAGGGGAAAGCTGTCTAGTCTGTACCAGGTACCCACGATGCGATATGATGTGACTGCTAATCCGCTTCCTAATCCGGATACAATTTTCATGCAAGGTGGCCTAGGATTAGAATGAGCCCCGGAACCGTCGTACTATCATGACAGGTACGAACCTGGAATCTTTGAGGACTGCTTCGGAGAGGGAGGCGTGATTTACCGGCAGCTTTATGACTTTCGTAGAGTATCGCAAGTCCGAATTCGTTGCCCTAGGCCTCCTAGTTCCTGCCTTGAACCTTGCCAAGGGTACGCATCAGCATGGCATCCCAGCGCCTATTAACACTACTGATCCGCACCAAGGGTACACCGTAACCGTAAACTCATCCGTGTTGTACTGAAGCCGGGTTCACGTCTTGGGCAGTGGTGTTAGGGGATGACACGAGACGTCTTGCCGGAGCACGTTAAGCGAAAGCAACCCCAACCCCAGCCATGAACTTTTGGTGTACCACGGCCTGCATCGATTCAGCACTTGAGCGTCTTGTTTATATGCATTACCGAACACCGCTAGTTGCCACCAGGGTTAAGTTTTGGCAAAGTAGCAGCCCTGGCTGCCCTTGTTACAAGGGTATGCACAGCCCTTGATGCTATGTGGATTTGCACATTGAGGTGTCGCGTGGGGTGGTCAGCTCCAGGCGGTGATTACGGAACAGGGTCCGGTCAGGCCAGCTTGTAGCGGGTTTCACACGCGGTCCTTAGGCCCCCTGCGCTGAAAACTGCAGGGGTTGTTCCACTGCTAGGATACGCTCTACACTTGCTGCACTTTATTGGAAAGAATAGTAGCTGGCTAAGGGCAGAAATGGATAAGGCATACCGGTACGCGCACGGGACGAAGGCCCACGGGTCCCTTAAAAATGTCGTGGCGCTGTAAGCTTTAAGAAGAACATACCGAATTAAAGGCATGTGGGACCATGCATGCGTGGTTACGCGTGAGTTTGGGCACTGGTACTAAGTTTTAGTCCTGACGGCGTACCTGCCTCAGCTTCTAGCTTCTCAGCTTCTAGGACTAACATTATATGCACAAATAACGGCTTCACATGATGCAGTAGCTTTGGTTTTCGCTGCGAGGCATGAAAAGGTACCTGCCGTATTCGAAGGCCTCCTTCATACATAAGAATTCAAAGCCTACCGAGTAGGTAGGCATTCATTAGAATTCAGCGACTGGTAGCACAACCAACATAGGTCACGCATAAAAAGTTTAGCAAGTAAAGGCGTTACTAGCCCTTTCCGGGCAGTTTCACTTTTGACGCCGACAAATGGCTGATAGGGGACGAAAGGCGTTCCCAGTCTCATCGCATCTGTGCGATGAGGTGAGTCCAGACTTCCTGGGGTTATTATAGACGAACCCGCGCCCCATCGCCGATAGCCAGTTTCATGTGACGTGCGCTTTCTCACACAGATTCTATAGATGCTATTGGGACATCTTAGTCTTTGAGGAACTGGATATAAGCTTGGTGCCGCCGGCCACAGGCAGTAATCCTTGTCTCATTCCTTTGCTGCGCAGCGCTGGCAACGACACTGTATGGATCTTCACAAGCAGCGGCTTGCTGATATGAAGCACCGTATCGATAACACGAAGCCAGAGACGTTCGACTTGGTGCTCTCGAAGGGCAAGCGTCAAATGCTGGACAAGGAGCGCCAGACAGAGGTCGACCGGGTGAGCTGATCAGGATTATCTCTCGTGCTTTGCTTTGTGTACAGGGGTTCCTTATTTTACGAACATGTAATGGTTTTGCGCAGGAGAACGCTATTCTGCTGCAGAAAATGGTACGCATTAAGGAGCAGGATACACGGGCGGTTTTCCGGCCATGGACAGCGCGTTCAACCTTTCAATGGAAGGTCGGGCATTACTATGACCCTGCAACCAACACAAAGACGCTCGACCACATCAACCTCACCAGCAGCGTTTCGCCCCGCTCCATCCACTACTTCGCGCTCACCCGCCCCGGCACCGCGCCGCCTGACGTCACAGCCCGCCTACGCGACATGGAGATCCAGGTGCGTTTAGGCTCGGTTTACGGCGGGGCAGTACTCTTTCCAAGCAGGACCGGGTTCTGAACGGAGCAGTAGCTATAGCTTGGGGCTTCCACAAGCACATTACTGCGCACCTTACCTTACGCTTCCTTAAACTCTTCTTAACCCTGCGCATTCCTTACTGGTGCTGTTCTCCTCATCAGGTCGACAATACAAAGCTGCTGAGGGCCATCACCACCATGCGCTCACGGTACAGTGTAGAGAAGCTTGAGCGGCAGCACAACGAAGAGAGCATCCTCGTCAACCGCATCTCGAACTTCCGTGGACCGGAACACGCCAGGTATGTTGCTTCAGCATCGCTCTTTCTTGGTTACCGACCTGTCCGCGTTGGATATTGGTGTGGACGGATGCTGCATGCACGGACGGCATTCCTCCTGTCCATTCCAAACACTCTTCCAACCCCTAGCCTCCTCCTTTGCTTCCCTTCTGCAGGTACCACCCTCCGGGCCGCAGCACAAGCGCCACCCGCAACTCTGCCTACCTTGCTCCCCTGCCCGGCCGCTCAACCAGCACCAGCCGTCCGCTGCGGACTGCTCCCGCGCACCTGGGCTCAAGCATGCCCGCGCCCCTCTCCCAGCAGCAGTACTATGAGGAGGCGCAGAACCGCGACATCCCGGTGCCGCTGTCGCGCGGCAGCTCACGCACCGGTATCTCCACCGTTGTCGGACCCACCCGCGCTTCTCCGGAAGGCCTGGCCGAGGCATCGCCGCGCCGTAGCAGCTCCTCGCACGCCGAAGACTCGGCTGCTGCCGCCGAGGCTGCCATTGCCGCGCGGCGCGCCAGTGGCAGTGCCGCAGGCAGCCGCACAGGTAGCCGCGCAGGCAGCAACGCTGGCAGCCACGCCGGAAGCCGCGCTGGCAGCCACGCCGGAAGCCTCGCCGGAAGCCACGCCGGAAGCCGCTCGGGCAGCCAGGCGACTAGTCGCCCCACCTCTGCCTCTGCTGCCGCTACATTTTCTTTCGGCGCGCAGCAGGAGGAGCAGCAGCAGGAGGAGAACCCGGTCGAGCCACATCAGGAGCAGGCGACGCAGCACCATCCGGAGGAACAGCAAGAGGCGGGCAGCGAGGGGCGACGGGCGTCCTCGAGCTCCCAGCAACAGGTCGGCGGCGCCTCTTCGGCCGCCGGTGCCAGCAGTGGTGGGGCGGACCACAGCGGTGATGATTACGGTGATGACCAGTACGAGCAAGACGAGGGCCAGTTTGAGCAGGAGCAAGAGCAGCGGCAGCAGGAGGAGGACGCTGGCAGGTATGAGCATCAGCAGGAGGAGGAAGAGGAGGAGGAGAGGGAGGCGCAGACGCGTGCTAGCAGCGGAAGTTACGGCGGCGGTTCTCAGGGCTCCCAGGGCGCGGCCGAGGAGGAGGCTGGCGATGATAGCTTTGAGGAGGCGTTTGACCAGGACGCCGACGCTGCTGCTGCTGCTGCATCGGCGTCGGGCGCTGCGGAGGAGGACGATGCCCCTGCTGCGGATGAGGAGCCGGAAGGGGGCGCGCAGGAGGAGGAGACGTACGGCAGTGACGGCGATGCGGCGGCGGCATCGTACGACGAGGAAGGATCCGCAGCAGGTGCTCCTGCCGAGCCCGAAGCGGAAGCGAGCCAGGCTAGTGCAGCGGCTTCAAGCGGAAAGGCTGGTTCGGAGCCTGAAGCTGAAGCTGAGGCTGAGGTGGCTGAACCAGAACCTGAGCAGGAGGCAGAAGAGGCGGAGGCCAAGGCGCAGCCCGAGTCCAGGGAGGAGGAGGCGGAGGATGGCTATGGCGTTGACGCGGATGCGGAGGCAGGCCTGCGTGACGAGATGGCGGCTGCGGAGGAGGCAGAGATGAACACGCAGTTTGCGGCGGAGATGGCCACTGATGCCGCAGGTGACTTTGCTGCTGGCGCTGATATGTACGGGGCTGCTGCGCCTGAAGCAGGAGGTGACGCTGGAAGCACGGGTGCCGGGCCGCATGATACCACCGCGTCACCCAAGGTCGGCGGTTTCGCTGAGGATTGGGATTAGAGGAGTTGCCTCGCATTGTGATCCCAAGTTTGCTTGTGTGCAAGTGTAGTCTAATACATGGTTTTTGAACTCTTCTAGGCTTTAATCTGCTGGGTTGCTGCTTTGTAAGAAGGGCAGCTTTGTGAAAATGCTGCAGTACGCTTCAGCTGCGGTTTTATTTTAGCATGATGTGACGGGAGGGAGGGGCGAACATGCGTAAAATACGGAGGGTATCTTGGGTGCAAAGGAGAGCGGGTTGCAGGGCCGTATGCGTGGCCCTTTGCATGTAGTCAACCTAAGGATGTAGAGTTAGTAGTAGCAGGGCTGCTGGGATTTGGCGGTGTATAACAGTGGCGCGTCCCGAGTTACGTGATGAGTTTTTAGGTTTCTAGGCTAGAGTGTGGCAGGGAGGTATTTCTATCTCGACACAACTAGGCGGGCGCAAACGCCCAATCTGTGGCTCCTCCGCCTTTGTCTGAGGCGGTTTGGCTCGGTGCGTGCAGGCTGTGCATGTGTCTGGCCGTGGGCAGGGAGGGTGAGTGCGCGGGGTTTCATAAGCAACTTGGTAACCAACAATGTTAGATGATGCATCTGCTGCAGTGTTGCGTCCTCCCCAGCTGGAATATGTCTGTACGGGCGGGAACCTTTTACACGCAAATGTACGCAATTGTAGGGCAGCCCCTTGTGGGTTTCATGTGTGTGGCCTGCTTCTATATGTAACATGAGTCTGGAAATGGTTGAGGGCCGGACATGCACGTTACATGCCTTTGCAAAAAGATCAAGAGCTAAAGCTCTCAGCTTTATCCAGCGGTCGATCAGTCCTTGAAGCACACCTAACAGCTCGCTAGCGATTCGGTCTCTTGTACGGTTTCCAGGAGGTCCGGTCACCCTACTAGCGGTAACCTTTGCATTCCAACAGCGCACCTATCATGACGGCAGCCGGAGCAGGAGACGGTAGCCAACCAGGAAGCAGAAAGGACGTGCTAAGGACACTACAGTTTGGCTGCAGACATTGTTCTACCTTGCCGTACAGCGTGCTTTCCCGTACGGCACCAGCACGGGCCAAAGTACCGAGCTCTCACTATGATAGGATCGTGCGCTGCACTTGGATTGTTGTCACCTCCCTGTATTAACTCGCATTCTGAATGTTGCGCACGTGTCTGCTCTACATTGGCGAGCTGAGAGCAAAGCACCCTTGATTTTGACAAATAGCGTTACACGGTGTATCTTCGATGCATCATACTTCAGCATCGATGCACGCAAGACTCCCATGTTGCAGCGTCTCTTCATATTCTTCTCCTCTTTGGGGCCACGACACAACCGTAGACACCCAAGACCGTTCACAACAACAAAACCACAACCGAGACTCCACTACCACACAAAAGCCGGTGAAACAACCAAATCTGAATCACAGTTCACGCAAAAAAATTCTGCACACTAACAAGGTCATATGATGTCAAGCAAAGCATGCACACGCACATCAAGAGCAGCGCGCGATACCTCCTATCACAAACCCTTACTAGCGACAGATCCGGCTTCACCATGTGCCGTCAAAGCTTCTTCTTCGTCGTCTAATCAACCATTTAATGCACAAGCAGCGTGCATCCAGCAGCGTGCATCCGTGGCCTAATGCGGGCCAATGCCAGCTGTGCAACGATGCAAAATGCAAACAGGCCAATCTTCGCGAATTTTCCTTGTGTTTGAAGAGGCAGGAGAGTGCACTTTGCCGCAACATACATCATGACCTGATGATGCCACCGCTTTGCAACATTCCTTCTTCCTGTCACCACCACCACCACCACCACACAACAAACCCACCAAAATACGTTCCTACTGTACCACAAAGACGAACGCCGTTTAGGGAAAGCCCCTCCAGCTCCCCATTCTTTATTACTTCCTCCACCGCTACTCCCTACAATGGTCCCCTCCAACCAACCCCACCATCCGACCTTGAGTTTTCCATCATCAACAAACCAGCCCAACGCGGCACTCCTCCAGCACTCGCATCACGCTTAAGCGCTGACCAGGGCGCTCTTCTTGGCGACGTGCAGGGCCAGGTCCACCACACGGTTGCTGTAGCCCCACTCGTTGTCGTACCAGGCCACCAGCTTGACGAAGGTGGGGCTCAGCATGATGCCGGCCTTGGCGTCCACGGTGCAGGAGGCGGGGTCGGTGATGAAGTCGGAGGAGACGACGTCGTCGGTGGTGTAGGCCATCACGCCCTTGAGCTCGTTCTCGGAGGCGGACTTGAGGGCGGCCATGATCTCCTCGTACTGCAGGGATGGATGGAAGAGGGGATGGGAAGGGGAGCAGCGCCAACGGACAGGGAAACATCAGCGACCTAGCCCGGTAGAACAGGCAGGGCAAGTAAAGATGCTCCGATATCCCATTGTACATGTATCACATTGCTGAAGTCTCGCCCCATCGCTTTCCATACGCTGAATAATGCTTCTTACAGCTCCCCGCTAAGCTCCCCCCACAGCCCCAACTCACGGTGGTGGCCTTCTCCAGGGTGATGGTCAGGTCGACCACAGACACATCGTTGGTGGGCACGCGGAAGGCCATGCCGGTCAGCTTGCCCTTCAGCTCAGGCAGCACCTGGGGGGCAGCAGCAGCAGCGGAGGGAAGGGAAGGAAGGGGGGCAGCGGATGAGTGCAGGAGCGGATTAAGCAAGAGGCGGGTCGGAAGCGGTTCCCCCAGGTGTGAATGCTGATATGCCTGGGAGCAGATGCGTCAAACAGCGCCGGTAGCTAGCAGTTGCTGACATGGCGACAAGGTGGATAGCCTGGACTCTGCCTCCTGCATCCTCACCTTGCCGACAGCCTTGGCGGCACCGGTGGAGGAGGGGATGATGTTGCCGTTCACGGCGCGGCCGCCGCGCCAGTCCTTGCGGCTGGGGCCGTCCACGGTCTTCTGGGTGGCGGTGGAGGCGTGCACGGTGGTCATCAGGCCCTCCTTGATGCCGAACTTCTCGTTCACAACCTGCGGGTGTGGTGACGGGGCAGCAGGTGCGAAAGGAAGGTGAGGAGGAGCCAGCAGGGAAGCAACTAGGTTTGAATTGAGCTTTAAGCCTTTCCTAAAGAAGACATAGACCCTAACTGTCAGGTTGGCCAGCTGCTGGATCCCGCGACGCACCTTGGCCAGGGGAGCCAGGCAGTTGGTGGTGCAGGAGGCGTTGGAGATGATGTGGTCCTTAGCGGGGTCGTACTTCTCGTGGTTGACGCCCATCACGTACATGGGGGCATCGTTGGAGGGAGCAGAGATGATGACCTTCTTGGCACCGCCCTTCTGGTGAAGAGCAGCCTGCGCGGAAGGGAAGGTAAACGGTTGGAAATGGCATCGGATGAGCAAACGATGCAAGGGAGCGGTATTGAAGCCTAAAGTACTAGTCATGTGGTGAAAACTTTAATGGGGGTAAGCGAGTAGTGGGAGCAAAGGCCGCAACCAAAAATGGTGACGCCTCATATCGCGAAAGGAAGAAGGACCGTCGAGTACGGTACGGAACGCACCTTGTCGATGGTGGTGAACACGCCAGTGCTCTCAACGACGATGTCAGCGCCAGCGCTAGCCCAGTCAATCTTGGTGGGGTCACTGTGGGAGTCAAATTATGGGGCGAGAGCGAGGTCAGGTAATTAGGAAGTTGACAAACAGTAAACCGTAAAAGTGCATATCGTTAAAATGCCAAAATGTAAAGTACAGATTACGTTTTGGTAAGCGAGCCATGTAGCAGCCAGCTGCTAACAGCGTCGAAGCCGCAATGTGAAGTAAGATCGGAGGAACTTAACGGTCACGCCCACCCTTGTGCAAACGTAAATCTTGCAACAGTGACTGCCATATGCCCTGCATGCAATGCTTACGTCTCCGTGAAGGTGTGGACCTTGCGGCCCTCCACGAAGAAGCCCTCCGCGCTGCCCTCCACCTTGCCGGGCCAGACCTTGTGCACGGAGTCATACTTGAACATGTAAGCCATGTACTCCGAGTCAATGAAGGGGTCGTTAATGGCCACGACCTCGATGTCGGGGCGCAGCATCGTGGCGCGCATCACCAGGCGACCAATGCGGCCGAAGCCTGCAAAGGTGGACCGAACACGCCCGGGATAGCATAAGGTGTACCAGAGGTATGCAAGCAGTCATGAGAAGATGGCACGACGCAGAACACCCTCCGACAGAAGCGTCTCGGAAACTCTGATGGGCAAGTCAGTCACTACTTACCGTTGATGCCGATCTTGACCTTGCCACCCTCAGCGCGAATGGCAGGGCACACCACGCGGGACCGGCTGGGGCGGCCAGCGCGGGCGGAGGCGGTCAGACGCTGCTGAGCGAGAAGGGCCATGGTGAAGGCTGTTGAGGCTTAGCGACAAACAAAGTGTATAACTACCTTTGCAAGGCAAAGCTCTATGTCGGAATTGGAAACGCTTTGCCTTATATGGGCTTCGGATGGCGCGTCACAGTTACGGCGATTTGGAAGCCACGTACGTTTGGAACCTACGCTTTTTCCCGGCGCAGAATCTTCCGTAAAAGATATTACGCTTCGTTACGTCCTTATGTGTCTGTGTCAATGCCACGGCGCCTACGTTATTATACCTTTTATTTGGAAGCCAGGAAAGAGCTCACCCGCATAGGGGTACTATATCGGCACTCGTGAGTGAAAGGAGCCTCTCCTGCACTACCGATTCCAAATATGCAAAGAGTTCGCTTAATGAAGGGTGCGGTCGCTTGCCGCGGACAACCGACGATCTAGATGCCGATCCGACGTTTTATGTACCTTGCAGCGACCCGTTAAAAGCTTTCGGGAACTGTAGTGCGTGTACCGTTCTATGCACGGGTAGGGCGTATTTTGGCTCCGTCGCCATCTGTCGGTCCCACTGCTTGGCATGACGGCTTCCTAGGGCAATTACGTCGCGCAGCTACGCCTCGCCTGTAGTTCCTTCTCAACTTAGTTGTACTTGTGGAAACTCTTCGCGGTAATACAACTTTCCTATAGGATAAATACAGAGGAGTGTCAAGGATGTTGGCACATGTCGCTCTAAAGACGGCATAACATACTGTTTAAGATAGGGTATCAAAAAAGAAGCTGTCCGCCCTTCCTGCAAGGGTGTGCTGAAATACAACTCTTACACTGGAGTCTGAACGGAGGTGTGGTGGCGGGCCACACCATGGGTATGCAGTCCCGGTCTGCGGCCACCTAGAAGGCGGGGCGCCAGCGGTTCCTGAGGTTCTGCGTCGATGTTCTGCACCTGAGCGATCAGGATGCCTTCCCACGGGCCCGGGGCCAGGACCTCAACCGTTTCCCACGGGCCCGGGGCCAGGACCTCAACCGCTTCCTAGTCTGCCTCTTCATCACGCACTCGTCGCCGTTATTGGCGCCCTCCACACTCCTTGGGACCGTGAGCGCTCTGGCGGATTGGCAGCGCGCGCGGGGGCTCCCAGCAGAGGCAGCAATTAGCGCCGACCCGCGGGTCAAGCGCACTATAGCGCAGGCGTTGCAGAGTCGACCGGCAGACGCCTGCGCCACTAAACGCCGGAAGGCACCGCTGCCCATCCGCGTCCGGTCGGGCTGCTCCGGCACAAGGCCAACACGAACCCGGGTGAAGCGCGGCGCTGATCCCAAGATGCATGCTGGCTCGTGGTGGGTTTCTTTGGCATGCTCCGCCGAAGCGAGCTGGCGGCTCTGAGCGTGGGCTACAGGTCGTAACAACCATGCCAAGAGCTCCACGATTACGGACAGGGGTTTACTAGCATCACTGAGAAGCATACTCACCGCACTTGGTTTCCACCCTGCCTTCCGTCCCGGGTGACGGGACTTCCCAAGCCCCAACGTTAGGCTGCTCACACGTTGCTTAGGTCCCTGCACCGCCTGTTCCCCGAAGCTCTGTCTTCGCCTGCCTCCTATAGTCGCAACACACATGCGAGCACCTCCCAGCATCACACCAGTAAAGCCCCGTTCATCATGCACCCCACCATTCAGCAGCACCAAGCAGCGGCATGCACGCAAGGATCCCATTCCTCATTCGCCGCTGCTGCTGGGAACCGGAATACGGCAGCGGATGTTGCTGCAGCTGTCGGCTGTTGCTGCCACTCCTGCTATTGCCGCGCCTGCTGCAGCGGTGTCGGCTGCGGCGTTGACGTCGACTGCAGCAGCGCCGGCGGCGGTGGTGACGGCAGCACCCGCAGCAGGAACGCCATCTCCTCCGCCGCCTCCGCCGCCTGCGCCTCCCCCACTCGCACGTGCCCGCTACCGTCCCAATACACCCGCAGCAACGGGGCAACCACGCCCGGCACGCCCTCTCCGCCACTGCTGCTGCTGCTGCTGCTGGTGTCATTGTCATCGTCGCAGCCGGCAGCGCCGCCACGACGTCTCCGAGCCGCAACCGCTCTGGGCCTCCAAATGCCGCGGGACAGGAAACGACGCCAGGGGCTGACATCGCGGTCGCCGTCGCTGTCGCCGGTAACAGCGTCGGCATCGTCGTCGGGCATTCGAGAGCTGTTGCCGCCTCCGCCGGCGGCGGCGGCGGCGGTGGTGGCGCGCAGCTGGTGCCTCAGTCTTGCAACCCACTTGGCGGGAATGGCGGGGTGCACGCGCGGGTCCTGACAGCGGAGGGAAAGAGGGAGGGGGCAGGCCCGCGTCGTCAACCCAAGATACCGGTATAGGAACCAACCCAGGCCGAACAGCAACCCTTCACCTTCCTCACCATCCTTCCCTTACCTCATCCGCACAGCTCGCCAACACCGCTGCCCTCCAACCGCCCCCGCTGCCGCCACTCGCATCCAGATTGCCGTACGGACAGATCTCCCACAACGCCGCACAGTCCCGTGGGTCGCTTGGGTCGCCCCACTCGTCCCACTCGTGCGCCGTCAGCGGCAATCGCGGATCCGTACAACTGCTCCGAAGCTCTAAGAAGGCGCAACGCAGTACGGCAGCGCCCCAGAGATCTGGACGAGCGTTGAGTGCGGCGGCTAGGACTACACCGCCTGTACGGGTGGTTAGGGTGGTTGTATGTTTTAGAACAATCGGTAGCCAGAAAACTAAGGAGCATCACAGCCCACAATAAACACAACAGGGTTGACTTTACCCGTCCTGCATCGTAACCTTCGTAACAAACCTATCGATACCCTGCCATGCGCTTTGTTGTAAAGGACAACAACCGCAATCGCGCCTGACAAGCGCAACCTCCTGCAATCACTCCGCCAACCCCGTCCCGTCCAGTCACGCTCCCACGCTCCCACCCACCCCACCCGCGCTGATGGCATGCCCCGCCAGCAGCCCCGGCGCAGTGAGCCCCGCTGCCACCAGCGCATCCGCAGCAGCCAGGCAGTCCTCCACCCCGGCCCGCTTGGAGGCCCGGCGGCCCGCGACATGCCAGCCGCGACCCTTCTCGCCGCCTGTGGGTTGGGTTTGCGTGGATTTGGGTTGGAGGAGGGCAGCGGAGGTGTAGCGTGCAGACTGACCGGTCTGTGTTAAGAAAACTGGCCGATCGGTGACTGCGACCGTTGACCGGTGTGTGCTGCTTCCATGCGTAGGCACATGGCTGTAGCGTGGCCGCTGTCAGGAGCTCCAAAGCACGAGCATGGCCTTTCTGCTTTCCAACCTTTACACCTCTTCCACTCATCCAGCCCCACCTCCGCCCTTACCGCACTCACCTCCCCGCACATGCACCTTCGCCGCCACCCAGCCCCGGCCCAGCAAGCTGAGCAGCGTGGGGTCGTACCCGCACTCCAGCGGTAGCCCGTACGAGCCGTACACGGAGAGAAGCAGCGGCCTGGGCACAGACCCCCCGGAAGTTGACGTCACGGCTGCAGCTGTGGTTTCGTAGCCGTTTGGTGCCTCGCCACCACCGTCATCACAGCCTGCTGACACCAACTGCCATGTAAAGGTGGAACTTCCATTGCTGTCGTTGCTGTTGTCGTTGTTGTTGTTGCGCAACTGGGGGACGAGCTTCACTCCAGGCGGCAACACAAGCGTCACGGGGACTTGGACGTGTACAGCACCCCCTGAAACATCGCCTGCAAGGTGACCGCCGCCGCTGCCGGCGCCGTCGCTTGGGCTGTCGTACATTGACGTACGAGGTGACGTCATCACGTTTAGCCGTACGAGTGAGCAGCGACGCAGCAGCTCCCGAGCTGCCGGCGGCGCTGCTTCCTGCGAGAGGAGCTCCAGCCGGCCTGTTGAGAGGTGGTAGTCGAAGGTGGCTGGCGGGTGCAGGGGGCTGGAGACGGTGAGGCGCAGGGTGGGGGAGTGCGGGTCGGCGTTGATGCCGGGGACGAGGTGCAGGGCCCAGGGGGGCAGGGGCACCTGGGATTGGGGAGCGGAAAAGGCGGGTGCGGAGGGTGGGTGAGGCGGTGGGAGGCGGAAGGGAAGGAAGGAATGGGACGAGCTGCGGATACAAAGGATCCGGACGTGGCGCAGGGAGTCGTTGGCTTTTGGTGCCTGCTCCTCGCTTCTTACGACGGCTAGACGGCTAGACGGCTAAACGGCAGGGATTACGGGAATGCAGGCAGGGAGCACCAGGTGGCTTACAGCCCTTACAGCCCCGGACACGCCCCACTAGCCAGAGGCTGCTGCTGCCACCCACCTGTACAGGAACCACCGCGGCAGTCGGCCCCTCGAAGGGAGTTGCAGCTGCCAGGGTTCCGGAGGCTCCCCGCAGCCGCAGTGGCGCCAGCGGCAGGACACTAACGGCGGGAACCCCCTCGCGGCGCTCGTACAGCACACAGCAGTCGCTGCGCGGTTGCCGTCGTCGCGGTTGGCGTCACCGTTCACGTTTAGATGTTCATGTGGTGTGGTGGAAAGGGAGGCAGAGGAGGAGCATGTAGGAGTTATCGAAGAAGACGTAGAGGAGCGATTGGAAGAAGGGGGTCTGTCGTCTGTTCTTTCCTTGGTCTGCGGCACCAACAGCCCTAAAACACCACCATCGGTACCAATCTTAGGGGTAAAGAAGCCGTCTCCCCATTCCGCCCAGCCGACGCCACCGCACTGCACACCTGAACAGGTCCAGGTCGGTCACCACCACCCCAGGTCGGGGGCCCAGCAGCGGCTGCCAGTGCGCCACTCCAGGGGTGCCCACCGGAGCTGAAAACACATGCAGCTCGCCGCCGGTACTGCTGCCATTGCTGACGATGCCGGCGCTCATGCTGTTGCTGGTGCAGCTGATGCTGCCGCCAACGCTGTCAACACGGTTGCCGGCAGCACCGGTGCTTTCCTCGTTATCTCGGTGCACCTTGGGATCGTAATTGGACAGAATAACCAATCGCCCCGCGGCACCATCATCACCACCAGCAGCATCACCAGCACCATTCGCACTATCACCAGCTGCAAAATGCTCAACAAAGTACTCCAGACCGGGCATCCTGCGCTGCACCAGTCGCGGCGGGACCGACCCAGGGGTCACTGCGTCCAGCAAATGCACTTCGGAGCTGGTTTTGGAGTTGCTGCTGAGCAGCAGGAAGGCCCAGTCCTTGGTGCGACCCAGCGCAAGAAAGAACCGCGGGTCGTTCTCGGTCAGGAGCACCCGCGGGGGTGAGGCGCAGTGCAGGTCGTGGAGAACCACCTGGGGGGAGAGCGGTGGGCGGGTTAATCAGGGAGCGAACTAGCCATGTGGGCGGAGTAGCGGGCGGAGGGTGCCGTCTCGATTAGCGTGTTGATTGCTGGTTGACTCTAAACATCAAAAGGAGATACAGCAGGCGGGAGGACGGAGCGCATGTGGGGGAGGGTTGGTGGGCGCAGTGGCAGTGTCTTTGTGAAAGCTGGTGGGGAAGAACATGGGGAAGCAGCAACAGCAACAGCAGCAGCAACACCACTACATGCGGCAGCACATGTGGGACAGCACCTCACCGCCCGGTGAACTGCTGCTGTCGGCACGTGAAGGCTCCCTCCGCAGCTGACGTCTCTGCCAATATCTCACCTGCCCAACCCCCCCACCCCCTCACCTGCCAACCTCCCCCCCTTCCCCCTCACCTGCCAGGGCCTGCCCAGTGCATCCGGCCGGGTGACCAGCAGCGACCTGCCGTCAGCAGCCAGCTCCAACCCGCCCGCACCCGCTACCCCGCCAACCACCCCGCCGGGCAGCAGCAGCCGACCTGCGCGTGAGGGGGAGGAGGCAAAATGTGAGGGAGTAAATAGATGAAAAATGAAGCAAAGGTGAGGGAAGGGTACCGGTAGAGAGGATAAACACATAGACTAAAGGCCGACTACACATGTGAAGCAAGGCTCCCTCCATGATGGGCTGTGCGTCATGGTGGGTGTACGGTGAGGAGCACTGCAAACTTACCTCCTTACCGCAAGTTCATAGTAAGGAATAGTAAGTAGTGCGTAACTGCAGAAGGAGGAAAGCTCACCTGTTGCCGTATCCCGTACAAGTGCGCAGTACACGTCATGTTGGTCCCGAACCGGCAGCGTATATGCCAGCAGCCGGTGGCGCGGACAGAGCTTGATTGCGCCCACATCCTCACCTGCACCAGCATGAGGCGAATAACGCAGCATAAGGCTCATAACGCAGCACGCAACGCAGCACTCAGCACAAGGGGGCAGCAACACGGGGAGGTGCAACGCAGTGCAAGGTTGTTACAATTCTTCAAGAAGGAGTAAACCCAAAGGACAGCCGTCCCGCACATCACTTCCCGTTTGTCGCCCCCCCCCCAGTTCCCCCCAAGTTCCCGTGCTCCACCAGTTCGTACGTTTCCTTGTTTTCCCCTCCCAGCTCACCCAGGGGCAGTCCCGTCAGCTGCGCGGCCACTCGGGCGTCCGCTGCGACCAGCCCTCGGTCCAGAAGCACCTGAGGGGGCGGGGGCCGGGGCGGGGGCGGGCAGGGAGCAGGGCCCCCTGCTGCCGGGCCCCTGGACCGGCCTGCCGCTGCTTGCCGCGACTGCGCGGACGGCTGTTGGCGCTGCTGGTGCTGGTGTTGGGTCCCAGGAGCGGGAGCGGGAGCGGGAGCGGGAGCGGGAGCGGGAGCGGGAGCGGGAGCGGGAGCGGGAGCGGGAGCGGGAGCGGGAGCGGGAGCGGGAGCGGGAGCGGGAGCGGGAGCGGGAGCGGGAGCGGGAGCGGGAGCGGGAGCGGGAGCGGGAGCGGGAGCGGGAGCGGGAGCGGGAGCGGGAGCGGGAGCGGGAGCGGGAGCGGGAGCGGGAGCGGGAGCGGGAGCGGGAGCGGGAGCGGGAGCGGGAGCGGGAGCGGGAGCGGGAGCGGGAGCGGGAGCGGGAGCGGGAGCGGGAGCGGGAGCGGGAGCGGGAGCGGGAGCGGGAGCGGCCCTGCGCATGTAGGCCTCCACGCCGCCGTCAGCACCCGTTACCGTCCAGTAGTAGTACGGTCCCAACCGCTCCGGAGGCGCCGCATCTCCCCCTGCCCCTGCCCCTGCCGCTGCTGCTGCCGCTGCCTCGCGCCCGCCTCCCGCCTGCCCCAGGTAGCTGCTGCGCCACTCCTCCAGCAGCTGCTGCTGCAGCACCCGCACACCGCCAGCTGCCAGGGTGCGGCAGGTGTGTGCGTCCTCGCGCTGCAGGTGTCGCCGCAGCTGCTGCTGGCGCTGCTGCTGCTGGGAGCGGCTAAGGGAGGAGGAGGAGGCGGGGGTGGGGGTGCTACTGGTGGTGCTGTTGCCGCTGGGTTGTGGGTCGGGAGGGAACGGGTCCATCCAGCTGTGAGGGTGGGGTGGGGCAGGGTAAGGCGGGGCAGCGCTGGTTAGGGGGTGAGGACAGCTTGTCCGGTGAGGGCTGAAGGAGGAGCAGGAGTGAGGATGGGAAGAAGCTGACCAGGAGCAAGGGTTGCCTGTGAAGGGTTGTCTTCGGGTGCTGCTTACACATTGATGCTTATGCAGCCCCTAATCGCACCTGTACTCATCTTCCCAGGTCCTGCCGTTGTACTCTTTTGAGTATGGAATTCGTTTGGGTTGCGGGCAGCCGGCCCAACTTGCTCTTAGGAGCTCGCGACCATCAGCGACAGCTCCGAGCCCTTCCGAGCTGAACCTTCTAATTGTAATACGACTAAATGGTACATGATGGCATCTTGTCGAATTTGCGGTGCTGTTCCTGTAGAAGCGCTCGCTGCAAAATGTTGCTGCGCAGTGGCCCATCATCCGCCGCTCATGGGTCGCCAGTGCAGCCGCTCGCGCCACCACGCGTAGCAATGCATTCCTTAGCTCTGTCATGCTCTCTCGTTTAAGCCAGAATACGTGCTAAGACATATATGCTTGCCGTGTTCAACCCAGAGAACAGCTCTATACCCATGTCAATGCACACAGGGTCGCGCTTGCTCTTTCCTATCCTGACAGCCAGAAAACAGTGACACTACGTGGTTGTATATCACATGGCGGTCGACATGGCACTACCCTTCGTGGACACGTCGTACGGAGGTGAATCCCCGAGGATACGTGCGGCTGATAGGCTGTCCCCATCCCCCTTCCATGCATCGAGCTCTCCGAAGTGCGCATAGTTCCGTTTCCCAAGTGGGTTACAAACAGCAGGTGAAGAGGTTACACAGGCAGCTGGCAATTGGCCAGCATACCCGTTTCTTGCGATACCCGCCTTCTGAGCCCCTTCATGGGTTCAAGGCAAGGCCGAGCCATGAAGGGCTACATCCGCTTTTAACACCCCGCATGTTGGGCACATGCGATGGCCAAGAGAATATCCCCCAGTAGCAACGTACAGCGGCCCCCTACAACAGGCGGGCCCGATACACCACACACGCCATGTACGGCGTGTCTGTTGCCCCGTACCTAAAATGGGGCGCAAGTCATCGACGATCTTGATCCTCTTCTGTGCTACTAAGCTATCGACTTACTGAACCTTAACTTGACCGCGGCCGGTGAGGAGAAGCCTACATCGACAACTGTCGATACTTGGAAAAAGGCCAACCGAAACCGCGCAACATAGGCATGATGTGTATTCACCACCATACAAAAGGACACATGACAAACCAGTCCTGACTCGACAAAACGTGTTGTTTCTCCTCGAACACTGTTTTATAATGCTTTTCGTGAATAAAAGCATATGCCTAATCAGGACATTACCCATCTGGACAAAAGCAGCGCAGCACCACTGCAGCACAAAACACGCGTCGGCCCTCTCACACATGACCATAAAACACGGGACCGAAACAGCGTCCAACAGCTGCATGCTTCCATTCCTTATGACCACACAGAACGCACACGCACAAAGTGGCTTACGTAAGCGCGCCGCCCGCAGGGCAAACAGCAGAAGGGGTTTGTCCATTTGAAGGGGAGGATGGCCAAAGCCGCACTCTAAAGAATACCTAGTTCAGCTAACCCGCCAGCAAACCGTTGCAGGACGCCTCATCATCACTCCACATGATTAGGTAAAGACTCGTCAAGTCCCTTTGTATACTGCACAGCCCGCGAAGGAGGGGCAAAAACCTGGAGTTGTAATGCCAATACCCAATACCTTTCAACCAAAAGAGACATGGGCGTACGACAAAAGCTGTAGCGCAATAAGGGTCAATAAGAGCGGGCAGAGAGACACCCCAACCGAGCAGCATAAGACGGGATGCCGGGTGCCACGGCCCTGGGCACCCACGTATAACGCGTTCTGGGCTTAAGGCTTTATGCCTTTTGCGTTGACGGAACGTGACCAAGACACAGGTCAGAGAACTATACAGCCAGTGACGTGACCTTGGCTTCTGCTCTTCTCCCAGTAACAGCAGCATCAGCAGCAGCTTACCCCACAAAAGGGCTACAATGACTTCACACAGTGCTACACACACAAAGGAGGAAAAACACCACTCGCCTGATAGTTAGACATATTAAGCTCCGCTCAACACGACAAGACGCAACAGAGGCGTCCACAGCACCGCACCACACTGCAGAAGGAGGCGCAACGGAGATGCCAGTCCGGCAAACAACGTATCACCACCACCACCACCACCACCACGACACACAGCACACACACCCACACCCCTCGGCCGTCTGCGGCAGACTCACGAAAAATGCAGTCACAAGGAGCCCAAGCAGCCGACAAGCCGACAAGTGTGGGACCAAAAGGATGTCAAAACGTAAACAAACTATAAGCGATCGAACCATAGCTATTCGCTGGCCACACACTCCCATCCTCTTCACCAACCGACACCATACTGCATCGACAGGGCCAAAAGCGCGCAGGTCTTAGGCCCCAAACAGCTCTCCTCGCTAAGCTAGCAACCACAAAAACAAACATAACCCTCACTCGCTCGGCTCACGGGGGAAGGCATGCGGCGCCAGCACACACCACACGCGCATAATTTCACACAGGCTGAAACCACGCCTCTCACAATAGTCTTATCTGTGTGTATTGAAGTGGGTCAGGATCGTTATCATCACCAACAGCAGCAGAGCAAGCAGGAGCAACAGTTGCAAAAGTCCCAACAAACACGGCTTACATACAAAAGTAGGCAAAACGTGTGGCATGGTCGAAGACTTGGAATACCTCCCTTTCAATTGGGTTAGGATACAGCAGCAACATCCAAACCACATTCACAAGAAGGCAGACACAGAGAGTAGCCAATAGCACAGCCCCAAACCGCGGGCCAAACGCATATCTCATGACTCACAGCAACAGCAAAATACACTTCTTACTGCCGCTACAAAGGCTGCTTGTAACAAAGGCGCCCGTTCGTGCTACTAATAATCGCTAGCGTCTCGGCTGCTGCGTCCTCCTACCTAGCAGGCGCCATGCCTCCTATAACACAGAGCGGCCAGCGGCGGCAAGCGCCGCCGCCGTATCCTCCACAGCTACCGAAACCGCAGGCGGAATACCCACGGCCGCCGTCGCAGCTAATGCAGCAGCTGGCGGCATGGCCATGGCGTCGGGGCGGATAGCAGAAATAGGAGCGCCGTACAGCGGCGGCCGCAGCTGTGGCGGCGCCATCCCCAGCGTTCTACCAAGCGCCGAAACTACCGGGGGCAACTGGGAGGTTACAGCCTGCGTCTTCATAGCCGCCAGGTCCGGTGGCGAGGGCGTCGCCAGGGTATGAGGCGCGACGCTGCTGACCGGCACCGCGCCCAGCCCAGCCGCCGCCAGCCCCGGCACTAACCTGAACCGACGGGTTCGAAGCGTAGGCAGCGGCAAGCAGCGGGAGTGGTGGCAGCGAATTGGTCACGACCCTGGAGTGCAGTTAAACAGGCAGTGGATGAGGAGAAGGCACATGCACGGGGGATCAATGCCCGATTGGTCGGGGCTTAATACGGGCTTGGGAGTCGGGGTTGGTGGTGGGCTGGTGGAATCTGCGGCCGGTCGGGGGGAATCTGCACGCTGAACCAATCACGCAACGCTAACGTACTTGCAAGTCATGCCCAAGAAGTTGGCACTCGCAGCGTGGGGCGCAGCGCAGCATGCCTGGTGGTGGTGCAGGGTTGGGGGAATAAAGGCGCATGCCAGGAAGAACAAGGAATAACGCCATAAACACACCACGCAGTAGGTTAATAACGAGCCCCGGGTACCGGTACGCAGCGCTACGCACCCCCTTTAGGGGGCCATTACCTCCGCATCATCCCCTGCGCATCCCCCACCGGTGGGGCGGTCGCGCAACACCCATGTATCAACACCCACATGCAACAACACCCAGGCAGGAACCCGGTGTCTCTCACCTTGGGTCTGCCGCCGCCGCAGCTGCCGCCGCCGCGCGCGCCCAGTCCGGCGGTGCCGTCGCGCCGGTGTTCTGGTAGAGCAACTGGAAGTTGTTCGTCGCGGCTGCTGCTGCGGCTGCCGCGGGGTCCAGCGCCCAGCCTGCCGACGCGGCGTCTACACCGCTTCCTGGTCCCGACCCAGGCTGAAGTGCCGCCGCCTGCGCCGCTTGCTGCTGCTGTAACAAGCTCAGCGTGGCTGCATTCATGCCGCTGTTCACCAGGGATGAAGGCGGACCTGGGGGACAGCGAGGAGGAGCGGATGATGCATTTCCGGACGCTGTTTCATTTTATCACATGCGATAATCCTGGCATGGGGCTCATGGCAGGTCGTCCCAAGGGCATACGGCAATCACCCGCTCTTAAGACCCGTGTACCCAGGTCGCGAGCACAGACCTTGGGAAAGCGGCGCGCCGTACTGCGACGCGGCGGACAGTGACGTGGCGTCCAGCATGGGGCTGCTGGGGGAGGCCCCCGGCACCTGCGCCAGCTGCGCGTTAGCGAGCGCGGCTGCTGCGGCGGCTTGGTTGGTGGTCGCGTGGTTGACCAGGCCCATGCCCTGGTAGATGGGATTGAGCCAGGGGTTGGAGCCGGCCATGAGGATGGGCTGCAACGCAGGGTTGTTGAGCGCCGCCTGCGTGGCGAATGCGGCCGCCTGCAGGACGTTGATGCCGTTCTGCAGGGGAGGCAGTGCAGGGGAACAGGGCACATGTTAGGAGGCGAGGTAGTCCGAGTTATGGCCAGTTCCACCATTACTGGCGGCAGTTCCTTCCAAGCCCACCCACCCCATGACGCGTATTCCGCTCTGTTTATGTTAGGGGCAAGTCAGCCGGTGTTGCAGGTGCAACACCAAATCCCTAACCCGCTGTTCCCGCTGTATAGCTGCACGAAGGCGTGACCCTGACCCAGGTCCCGCGCCCAGCCTACCAGCAGCTTGTTCGCTGTGTTCTCGTTCTCACGCTGCAGCGTGACCTTCTCCATCTCATGCCGCCCCACCAGCTGCAGCATGCAGAAGCGGTCACCGTACTCCGGCCCGAACTTGTGGCGGTCCTTCTCCATCGCCCGCACGGCCTCCTGGGGTGTCTCAAACTCCACAAAGGCCATTCCCGTGGGCCGCCCGTCCGCGTGCATGATGAAGCTGACGCCCTCCAGCTTGATCTTGTAGCCCGCAAAGAACTTCCGCACGTCCATGGCGGTGGCCTTGAAGGGAATGCCCTTCATCTTGAGCACGCCCTCCCCGCCGAAGCGCAGCGCCAGCGTGGCCTGCATCTCCTTGCGTGACACCTGGAACGGGCGGGGAAGTTGAAACGAGTGAGCGTGCTGTTGGTGAGGCAATCCGTGAACGCGGAGGCGTTTTTATGTAATGAAACGCAATTTGACGAGGATGCAAGAGGCTGTTTCTAGGGATAGGAACCACGGACACATAGGCGAGAACTACTCCGCTCTTGCTGCGATGCAGCCTTACTCCTAGCACTGATGCCAAACGCCCCGGGCTTTACAAACCCCACACGCCACACGCCAAACCCCACACGCCAGCTGCTTAACGAACTTGCAAAGTGGCTACCCACCTGTATCAAGCGAACATAGCGATCCCCAAACTTCTCGGAGAAAATCTTGTGGTCTTTCTCCTTAATGGAGCGCGCTGCTTCCTCTGGAGTCTCGAAGTCCACGAATGCCTGGTGCGTTAAGTTGAATTCGCGGTGAACTTACAATCCCCCTCAAAGAGAAGTGACACAAGGTGAACAACAAATATATTACCTCGCCAGTTGGCTTGTTATCGGATCGAACAACAAGCTGCACGCCATTCGGCTTGAGCTTGAAGCTCTCAAAAAACTGAATGATGTCAAGCTGGGTGGCGTCGAATGGCAGGCTCTTGATCTTCACAACACTGTCTGAATGAGCGCCATGACTGTGGCTGCCACTTCCCTACACAACGAAGGAAGGAGGCGGAAGGATGGTCGGTGCCCTTCCCAAGTGCTTTCCAACAAACTTTTATAAAGGACCAATTTGGTAAGATTGAAGCAAACAATTCCCAAACTTTTGCCACACCTGCGCCTGCTCCTGCTGTTGCGCTTGCGCCACGGCTGCTTGCATATCCGGGATGTCTGAATCGAGAGTTGGGTACACCCGCACGTAGCGGTCCCCGAACTTCTCCCCGAACGTCTCACGGTCTTTTTGTGTAGCACGGCGAGCCTCGTCGCTGTTCTCAAAAACAACAAAGGCCTGTATGAAGGAAAGGCGCGCTGAGACTACAATCACCCCCAGTAGTTAGCGACGCCCACGCCGCAAGCAAGCATAGGACGTAGGCTTAATTTAAATTACCGCACCTCGCCGTTTGGCCTGCCATCAGGGTGCTTGCGCAGGTACACCTGGTCCGTCCGGAGCGTGAAACCCGCAAAGAACTTTATGATGTCCTCCTTGCCGCCCTTAAAGGGAAGCCCCTTCATCTTTACCACAGAGCCATCCTGAGGTAGTGCTGCAATTGTAGCGGCAGGAGCGCCCGGCAGCGCTGGCTGGGCTGGGGCGGACGACATGGCAAACGGATCGGGAAGAGACCCCTAAGAAAGGCAAAGACCCGTTCGGGCCGGTGGGATCTGTTGTTGCCTTGCTGGCATAGGCTACTTAATACTTAGCTTACTTATGGGAAAGCGCAGTAAAAGTGGCGTAGAGCAAACTCAAGGTTGTCAAGACTTGTGCGGTTGCGGCTGGGCAAAAGCAGTGGTCTATTGCAGGCACCCTATATATAAATAAGAACGTTGAGTATACAAACAGAGCAGTAGAGACTTGCCCACGTGTAGGCGCAGCTATGGCAGGGTTGGGGCCTTGTGCCCTGATACGGTACGACCGCAACGAGGCCGCAAGTTGGCATGCCGCGCTGGCACGAAACGTTCTAGAAAGATTGTTGGAAGTCTCATCCCGCCTTGCAGCAGCTTATGGTTTTGCTTCTTACTGCTGAAACAGTTTACCAAGGTACACCCTCTATGCCGCCTGAGGTGGTCCGCGACGAATGGTACCAGGTCGATATCTAGACCGTTGGCCCTTTGCATTTCCATAGGCTGCAGGCTTTTACATGCTTGCCTTTGCCGTTCATTAGCTTTTAGAGTCATCGTTCTGTAAAGGATTTCCCCGCTTCCTGTGAGCCAGCTCGGCTAACCGACAGATAGGCGGACTTGTACGGTATATAAGTGCATAGAGATGTGTACATATTACATAGTAGAGGGCAAAGGAGCGCCAAGAGTTGACCATCTTCAGAGTCTTCGTTCCGTACCGTCCACAGCAGGGACTTCTCTGGAAGGTGTTGCGAAACCTGCCTGATGCTGACAATGACGATGACCTCCGTAACATCCCTATACCTTAACCAAAAACGAAACATCGATTACGCCCAGCCAACGGCTCACCCTGGTGCGCATGTAACACATTGCACGCATTGTTGGGGGGCTCACTGCTTCGCAGGTGAACAGGTAAGCGGACCAGGTATGCATAGTTCTAGCCGTCGCCTAGCGGTGAATAACCCCTCATCGCTAAGCCGCACCCTTGCATCTAGGCCCACGCAACGCCTGTTCGCCAGCTGCAGCACCCTGCTTCCTGGTGTGCAAAACACGGTCCCCCTGACATGTATCCTGATGTACCCATGACGACGCCCAAGTTGCGACAAACCAAACCGAATCGTCGCTAACAACCCAAACCGAATCGTCGCTAACAACAACCATGACGCACGTAACACCACCTCAACCTTCAACCGCTACTCCTCTGTCCACGTGGGTGCACAGGAAGGCTCGGTACGTACTTCCCCCCATTTGCTGCACACACAATCCCGCTGGGAGGCGGTGCTTGTTTGGAAGCGGGAAGCGAAAGAGCGCGTACGTGTATTGGGGACCCCTTTCACCCCTCTCGAGGGAGCAGAACTCCCGCATGAGGACGCATGAGGCGGCGCGAATTGGCCCTGCGCTGTAGCTTGTACTGCAGCTGTTAGCGGCTGGGAGGACCATCCCCGAATGTTGCGGGGCGAATGTCAAACGTGTGGCATTACCGGTGGCTGTTGCAGCTACTTCAGCTGCTGCTGCCAGGCGTAACAACCCATCATCCGGCCATGCCATCAGCGCGTAGCTTACCGGTACTAGGGCGCAGCTGCGCTTCCCAAGCGCAGGGTGACTGCGCTGCCGGATGATGGCGTGGGAGGATGTGAGGTACGACATGTCCGGTACGGCGGGCCCAGCAGGAGACCGTAGCGTATGTATCGGACAGCACAGCACCCGTGCGATATTGCACCCTTTCAAGCTGCGGCTTCAGGGTGCTGATGCTCCTCTTCCATGCCGTGACAAGGTGCACCCTGCTTCCGCCGCTCGCTTTCACTACTACGTGTGTGTCTGCCCGGTTGGTGTCTGCCTGCTGCTGGTTTGCAAGGCCCTGTCAGATCAGCGGCAGGGACTCCCAGCAGGCGGCAAGCGGGGCTTTCGGCTGCCGCCACTGCGCGCCCCACCAGAGCTCCTGCTGGTCACAGCAGCCGCCATGCATCAGCCCGCCCTGCTGCGGACCCGCCTGCTGCTGCACATGCGACTGCTCCTGCTGGTACTGTTGCTGCTGCTGCTGCTGTTGACCCGCACCTCCGCCGCCTCGTGCCGCTCCTCCCCCCGTCGCTGCTGCTGCTCTGCGTGCCGCTGCCGTCGCCGCCTCCGCCGCCTCCAGCGTTGCGGCCAGCCACTGCGCGATCTCCGCCTCATCCGCCGGCGGGGGGTGCTGGCTGGTGAGGTAGGCGCTGCGGACGGCATCCGAGGCGGTGATGCGCTGGGAGGGGTCGTACCTGCGCGGTGGAGGTGGGTACAGCAGGTGTGTACGGCACACATGGGAGCAGGGGGGGCATGAGACCCCCTCCCCCCCCCACACACACCTGAGGAACTGCGCCAGGAAGTCCAGCGCGGCCCCGCTGGCCCCCGGCAGCAGCCGCCCCAGCGGCACCGCCTGCGCGGCGGGGAAGGCGATCTTGCCCCAGTCAGGCAGCTCGCACACCACCGGCCACACAGCCTCCATGCTGCCAAATGTGGCGATGACGCGACCCAGCTGGTCGATGTCGTTGTCGCCGGGGACCAGGGGGGACAGGCCTGCATAGCGGGTTGGGGCCAGGGCTGTGGACGCCAGGTATTTGAACCCCACCAACGGCCCCTCTCCATCTCCTCTGGTGCGTTTACTGGTTGCCTTGGTTTGGCTAACACAGGCCGGATTCGGTGAGTCCAGCCGGGCTTCTTTGTCCCAAGTCAACATGCTTGGGTATCCGCTTTTCCTCCCCCCCGTGACCCTCCTCCCCTCTTCCCTCCCCTGCTTCCTACCCAGCAGCTCCGCCCACACCAGCCCCAGCGCCCACGTGTCCACCGCCGGGCCGTAGCAGCGGGCGCCGTACAGCAGCTCGGGGGCGCGGTACCAGCGGGTGGCCACCGCGTGTGTGTATGCGGGGCGCTCGCCGCCGTCGTGGGGGCGCGCCAGGCCGCAGTCGGCTAGCTTGAGGGTGCCTGAGGAGGCGGAGAGGAGTGTGTTGCTGGGCTTGATGTCGCGGTGCATGATGCCTGGGGAAGGGGAGGGAAGGGTAAAGAAGGATGGGGAGAAAGGAGGAGGAGGTTAGGAAGGGCCGGCGGAAGGAATTTAGAAGTATTAACAGGGGGGTAGACGTCAGCAGTCTTACCCTCGGCATGGAGAGCCTCCAGGCCGCGACACATCTGCAGCATAAGGCCCTTTGCAATGCGTTCTGGGGGCGGTGCGGGCAGGCGGCGCAGCAGCGCAGCTAGGTCGGTGGTGCAGTACTCCTGAACGAGGTAGATGGCCTGGCCCTGGAGGGGTTGCGGCAGACAGAGGTGAAGGAAGAGGACATATCAGGAGAGCACTCTACCGAAAAAAGAGAAAGAGTGATGTGGTAAGGTCAGGGTCAACGGATGCCTGGTCTAGAAGGGTTGAGAAGAGGGTGGCCCTGGGAATCCAGGGATTCGATGTGCAGCGACCCTTTGACTCACCTTCGGAAAGACGTCCAGCAATGCAACCACATTTGGGTGTGAAACGCTTTGCAGCGCCTTGATTTCGCGAACGATAACATCTGGTATTCCCGAGGTGTTGCGAATGTGAATTCGCTTTAAAGCAACAACTTCGCCTGTCTCCAATACCGATGCTAGGGACACCTGAGAAAGGCATCGTAGTAACGTTTCATGTATGGGGGATCCCTGACAGCAAAAATACTTAATGGTCTGTCGCGTACCTCGCCAAAGGCACCCTGGCCTAAACGGCGTATAGGCCGGTAAGTATGGAACGTGCCTTGGAGGGCAGAGGGCATTTTTCTCAGTAACACATCTGTTGAACAGGAAGAGTACATGTATCTGCACGGCACATAGTTGGGCCCACGTACATGAGGCTCGGCGCGCGTAGGAACGTTTCACGCAATTCTGTACAGAATTGTATGATTTTCAGTTAGGAAGCATTTGTTCAAGACTGTGACAATGCAGACGCTATCTTCCAAGGCCTTCACAGGCAGCGTGCAGCCTTTCACTGCCAACCGCGTGTCCGCCGCTAGGCCTGCTCGTGTGGCCACTGTAATTGAGAACCGTGTTGCGCTCCGTTTCCAACGCTTTGGCCGCAAGAAGCTGCCCTTCTATCGCCTTGTGGCCATTGACAGCAAGAAGCGGAGGGATGGCGAGCCGCTGGAGTACCTGGGCTGGTATGACCCCTTGAAGAAGGAGACCAACCTGAACGCGCCTGCGATTAAGGAGTGGTTGGCTAAGGGCGCTCTGCCCTCAGAGACTGTGGAGGGTCTGCTCAGGAAGGCGTACGTAATGGAGCCTAAAATGAAGAAGGTGGTGGTGCCCAAGGACGCAGTTAAGATCTGAGTTAAGCAATTCACAATTAGCGGTCGTCGGCAGTTGTGGACCCCATGCTTCAACGGCGGCGATACAGCCTCGCTATGAACGTGTGGGACAGCGGGGCATCAGCGGATGAGGATGGCGCCTAAGCAGAGGAGGAAGCTGTAGTTTTCAGCCTGCATTTTGGCGATTGCCGCTGCCGGAGGAGCGGTTGGGGGTTTTGGAGAGGCCTGAGCGGTTGCAGCTGACTTGCCACAATTTTGTTCTTATGGGTGGCAGTGCTCGTTCAGCTTGCGTGGGGGGGGGGCCGGAGTAACCGTTTGGGAGGCATTTTTGGACGCAGAGCGGGCTTCTGGGGATCTGAATGTTATAGAGCCAGTTGTGCTTGGGAGATAGACACGGGAGGGTTGAGAGGAAACACTTCAGCGCAGACATTGCGCGCATGCATTCTTGTCATGCGGCTTGGTAGGGGGCTGCACGCGGATTCATGTATGTGAGCCATTACCCTGTAATGACCTAAGATATGCGAGATGTTGAGTATTGTACACCGAAGTGTTGTACTTGTAGCTTGAAGGGTAAGCGCATTACGGTCTTTCCCTAGCGAGCATGTGTCTCTCAGCTGTCCCGGCTGATTCTGAGATGCTCACCTATAGCTCACCTATGGGTGCACACCGGACTGGGTCACACGGTGCAAACAGCCCGCCAGGACGGCACTGGTAGCTGCTGAGAGCGGTAGTAACAGCAACCGGCAGTGAAGACGACCCTCAACGCATGAGAGCGCAGTTAATTAAGGCAGCGGTTGGCGTAACTGGTTGACCGTTGCCTGGTCCCTGGCGGGGTACGGCAGACCGCAATAGAACCCTTTCAACACGTAGCGGGAAGGCTTGCTAAATGCTAATAGCAACCTGCCTGGCCAGCCTGCTGTCCCCGAAATCGGGACATGAACAAAATAGACCAGCTTTATCCTACAGGATAGAACGGGAACTGTGCACCACTCCTGCTGGTATACTTCCCTCCTCTGACCTGAACTCATGAAACTCTTGGCACATTTTTCCAACACCCTGCACAACCTCAATACTGTACTCCGACTTCCTTACAAGGCTCCGGCTTTGCGAGCCAGTCCCGAGCAGCGAGCTGACAGGCTCAGTTCCCGTCCCTGCCTTCCACACACCCTTACCAAATCCCCCGCCGCCCCCGCAGCTCCTCTACTTGCCCGCCGCCTCCTTCCCCACCGTCCGCTCCACCACCTTATCCACAATCCCCATCAACGCCGGCACACACACCACCGACGCTGCCGCCCCCGCCCCCACCTCCTCCGCCCCCTCCATCACACTCCTCCCCGCATCCGCCGCCTCGCCCAGCCGGGGATCCAGCGGCACTCGGCCCAGCAGCTGCACCCCCATCTCCGCGCACATGCGCTCCGCCCCGCCCCCCGCCCGGAACACCTCCGCGCCCACACGCACCTCCCGACCCGGAAACCGCTCCGCCAGCAACGCCAGAACCTCCGACGTCACGTCCTGCGCCTCGCCGCCCACCGTCGTGAAGGTGCACCGGCCCGCCGGCGTGACCAGCCCCGCCATGTTCTCCACCACACCCAGCACCGGAAGCCCCACCTTGCGGCAGAAGCTGACCTCCTTGCGCACGTCAATGATGGCCACGTCTTGCGGGGTGGTCACGATGATGGCGGAGGCAGTGCTGCTGCTGCCGCTGGTGCCGGAGGGGGCGGAGGAGGAGCCGTCCGCGCTGGGGACGGCGGCGCTCTGTACGGCAGGACAGGACAGCGGCAGCGGCTGAAAGGGTCGGCACCCATTTTGAAGCAACACATGGTAAAGCCTTCTACATGTAAACCAACACTTGTTTTGTGGGACCCTGCCGCTTCCTATCCCCATTTGTTTTGCCCCAACCTGTTATTTCCTATGGTTTGGTATGGTCTTTGGCCCCGCCTGTCCTCTCCCCCATCCCCCCCACCTGCAGGCACTGCGCGATGGTGATGTGTTCGTCCGAGGTGCCCGGCGGCGCATCCACCACCAGGAAGTCCAGGGCCCCCCAGTCCACGTCCTTCAGGAACTGCTTGATCAGCCCGTTCTTGCTGCGCGGGCGGCACACGTGCATGGGAGGGAGGGAGGGAATAGAAGAATATCCAATGGGAGGGAGAAGGAGGGAGGAACGAGGAAGAGTGTGACCACCTGGTTAAAGGGCGTTCGTCCCTCCTGGTATAAAGCAAGCATTGTATTCATTGCCCTCGAAGGAGGAGCGGTAGAGGCAACGTGCCGGGGCAGCATGAAGGTGCTGAGCCGCGCCATGTGTCTAGAAGCGCCAAGTACGAATACGGTAGGAGCAGGAGAAGGTCACATGCACCAAAGACAAGTCTGCGTCTCTCCCTACCGCGGGCCTCGCCAGATGACGGCCTCATCTGGGTTGGGAAGCATGAAGCCTGCGGCGGTTGTGGGAAGCAAAGCAGCAGCAGAAGGAAAGGTAAGATATACTCAGTCAAAGACTTGAATGTGGAGACGTCCCCACAAGGACAGCCTCCCAGTGACGCGTTGTTCATAGCCGGCCCCATCATGACCCACGGCCATGTGTCGTCATGTGCCATCCCCCGCCTCTCCCCCTCCCCCTGCCCCCTCCCCCTGCCCCCTCCCACCGATGCTCATGACAGCCAGGTTGTCCTCCACGTAGACGGGCGACCAGCCCAGGTTGGAGGAGTGCACCTCCTGCCCCTCCAGCCCCAGCATCTTGGGCACGGAGGGACCGCAGATGTCGATATCAAGCAGGCCCACCTGGCAGGGGAATTAGGTAAACTGAGCCACAGAAACACCGACCCTGACCGTAGTAGGGGGTCAAAGACCACATCAAAGCATAGGAAACGCCAGGTTGGGGCAAAACAATGGGGAGAGGAGATGAAGAGGGGAGGTGAAGGGGATAGGGGGAGAGAGGGGGACGGGTGGGCTTTGGCAGGTGACCCGGGTGAGTCCTCATCGCACGCACTCCAACTGGGGCACGACCGGGGCACGACCGGGGCACGACCGGTAGCAGCTGTGATGGGAAGGAGCTAACGGCTACCGGTGCCAGCTATCGTTGCCAGCTATCGTTGCCAGCTTGGCTCCGAGTTCACCTGCTGCCCACCTCGTGCCCCTGCTGCCGCCCCCCTCGGCAACACCCCCTGCCCAACCTGTGTCCCCTGCCTCCACCCCGCCCCCCAAGCAATCATCCCCCCCACCCCAAACACCGCCCCCACCCCCACCCACCTCGTGCCCCCTGCGCGCCAGTGCGAACGCCAGCTGCGCCGCCACCGTGCTCTTGCCCACCCCGCCCTTGCCGCTCAGCACCAGCAGCACATGGCGCACGCGGGACATGCGGGAGGAGATGGCGGCCAGGTCTGCAGGGGGGGGGGATGAAAGATAAGTGCAGCAATGAAAAAGGGGGGGCTTGGAGATAAACCAAACCACAGGGGAGGGGAGGGGGGGTACAGAAAAAAAATGGTGGGGCACAGTGGCAGGGGTAGGAAGGGCAGGACTACCGTTTTCCTTATTCCAATAGTGCGGGCTGTTACGGGGAGGGGACAGACAGGCGCCAAAAAACCGAGATGGTTGGGTTTCTCTATTGAACCCCCACCCCCCGCACATACAGCTCGACAGTTTCCTTATTTTTACCCCCCACCCCACCCCCGCCCGCCGGCCCCACCTGGGTCGGGTCCCTTGGGTGCGGTGGCGCAGGCGCTCTGGTTGGGGCAGCCGGCGCATGCGGCCGCCTTGCCCGCCTGCTCGCTGGAGGCGCCCGGGCAGTCTGGGGAAGGGGGCGAACAGGTGAGGCGGGGAGCAGGGAGATGGAGAGGTGGGGAGGGGGCGAGTGCGACAGGTAGCGAGGCACAGCAGCAGCATCTGGGTTGTCCAAGTGGCACCCGGGGAACCGCTCAAGAGCGTGTCGGGGCGATTGGGAAGCTGGAGATGTAACTGGCCAGCCCTGACCGAGGGGCTCACGTTGATTGGCATTCGCCGGGACGTCTGTTGGGCCGTTGGTTGGTGCCGTGGATGCCATCACGGTGCTCTATATGGGTCTTGTTTGCGTCGCTCTTGTAAGCCGGCGGCTAGGATGTCACACAATCTGACGTTGCGCTGGACTAAAGCCGGTCGATGCGTTGGTTAACTTTAACAGGTAAGCCGTTAAGGAGTTGACCGACTGTTGTCGACAGCGAATACCCCAAACAGTAAGGATGAGAGGAGTGGATAGTTGCGCGGATGGGTCGTTGGGTCGAGGATTCACCAATTCTATGGAAAGCGCTGTAGTTCCTCGGGTTATAAAACTCTTGACGGAGTGGCAATACCTATACACAGCTTACGACTGAGTTACGGGCGGGTTGACGCGATGGAACTTGTTGGCGTGCTAGGTAAGGGTAAGCGAATGAAGCTAGACAAGCGGAGGTGACTCTTTCATACGAGGGACATTGTGTTTGACTTGCCAGCACATGTTGCCCAGGGTAGCTCGATGATCGCATGACCCCGCATGTACGACGGCGCGAGACCGTCGATCCCTTTGGTCCAACCGCCGCAAAGTTGGCATTCTGTCAGCACAGCTGTTAGCCTTACTTCGTGAATTATTGAACATATTCTTCTACCGCACGGAGCAATTTCATACGTCTTTCAAACTTCGCTTCTCCTCAGTTGCCGAACGCAAAGTAGCAAATAATATAATAGACGACATACGTTATGCGTGACAGGTCAGAGAGGCGCCTATTAGGCGCCCTCTTTCCGTTGGCACTGCTAGCTTTTGCCAGCGCATACTACGTGCCTGGCACTTACCCAGCGGAGTTCAAAGTTGGAGAACCCCTGCAAGGTTAGATCTCTTTGCGGAAATGCCGACAGGGCATCCTTTTGGTTTTAGGCGAAACCTTCAGCGATCCGCTGTTGCCTCTGCTTTCCTCGGTGCACAAACGCAGTTCATGTCAGTACTTTGACATCGTTTGATACGGAGCTGCCCTATGAGTACTACACGATGCCTTTCTGCAAGCCTGCGGAGGGCGTGCACCGGATTGCCAACGCTGCGAACCCGGGGACCATCTTGGAAGGCATCCGGATAGAGAACTCGCCATACAACTTTTCTATGAAGGCAAGGATAAATGCTTCAAGCTTTGTTATCTGCCCCTCTTCTCGGCACAACCTGCTGACCACCGTTGACCCTGGGGCCCGCAACGACTGGCACAGGTCAAGCAAACGGGCCTTAAGGCCTGTCCAAAGGGGTCGTATGGGCCGCTTACAGGCCATGAGGTCAAGGTAGGCCGTTGTAGGGGCCTAGCTTTGCAGGAGGACGGGAACAGCAGCGGCTAAGAGGGCTTTGCGGGCTCTTTCTGCCGGACGATGGGTTGTTTGGGGATTTGGCTATAGGGTGTCAAGCCCTCAAGGCTATTAGGGCGTCAAGCCCTCAAGATGGGAGCTCATTGCACTGAGCTGAGCATGCATGCACGACTTTGCATCCCAGCCCACATGACTGTCAGGGATGTGGTATCACAACCACACCTAGGAGACACGTACGGCCAACCCGGCTGCCCTCCCTGACACCCTTACCTCTCGTGCAACCCCACCTAGCATCCCCCTTCCTTCCTCGTTGCCCCTGCTTCGCCTTGTCTCTTCCTTTCTCCCCTCCCACTCCTCCTCCCGCTCCCAGACCCTTCAGCGGCTGATTGACCAGCACTACCGGGTCAACCTCATCTTGGACAACCTGCCGGTCACCGTGTACGACCTGCTGGATGAGGTGGGGGGAGGGAGGACGGCAGGGAGGGAGGGGCTGGGATGGGGGGGGAAGGGCTGCTGGGATGAGGGGGGGCAAAGATAGACCAACTCTTGGAATACCACACGTTGCTGGATGGGGGGAGGGCGGGAGGTGCTGGGGCTGGCAGTCGGGTGTTGGATGCGGTGGGGACGGGGGGAACACAGAGAAACCGGGCTAATCCTTATCGTAGGCCTTATCCACCGCCTCCACACCCATCTCTGCCCCCATCCACTTGCGTCCACAGAAGAACGAGTTCCTGCGTCCGGGCTTCGAGCTGGGCTTCAAGCGCGACGGCAAGTACTACATCCACAACCACCTCGTCTTCAACGTGCTCGTCTACATGACGCACGGGGAGTACACCGCGGCTCGCGACTCCTACGCCAAGTCCCTCACCGTGGACTCCCTGGACACCCGCCACCACCGCCACCTGCTCCGGAACCCCCACCAGAACAGCCGGGCCCTGCTGGGAGGCGACTCGGAGGCTGCCTCCGCCGCCGCTACTGCCACTGCCAGTGCAGAGGGTGCGGATGGTACGGCAGCGGCGAGTACGGCAGAGGCGGGCAACCCGCCGTACTACATGGTGGTTGGGTTTGAGGTGTCGCCATGCTCCATCGCAAGGAAGGCAGGCGCGGAGATTGAGGATATCGTGTGCGGCGTGGATGATAATTCGCACATCACGCCTCAGGTGGGGCTGCTGGGGGGGGCAGGGTGGCTTTTGGTACAGCTTAATGGGGCAGCAGGCCCTACTACGGTCCCTACTATGCCCAGGAAGCTGTAATCTTAACACGTTTCTCAAACAAACTTACTTTGCATACCAAAGAACGCTACTTCCGTTGCTAACGGTGTTACGCTTGTGTGCTCCTGCATACCAAAGAACGCTACTTCCCTTGTTAACGGTGTTACGCTTGTGTGCTGCTGCTTCCGACTCCCGCAGGAGATCAAGGAGGGCGCCAACATCGTGTACACGTACGACGTGTATTGGCAGGACAGCAAGATCAAGTGGGCCTCGCGTTGGGATGCGTACCTGCGCATGCCGGGCGGCAAGGTGGGGCGGGGGGCCGGTGGGGGGCCGGAGGAGGAGGGGGAGGGAGATGTGCTCAGACAGCCACCAGCAGCCACCCCTGGTGAGGGCCAGGCAGCAGCGGCCGCACCTGCCGCCCCCGCCGCCCCTGAATGTGGAGATAATGCGCAATGGGCGGTTGACGGGATAGGAAAGAGGCTGTGAGAGGGAAAGCATTACCTGTCTTCTTTTCTGGCCGTTCATTATAGCGTTAACCCCCATGAGCCTTACTCAAACGCCGGTGCCCTTTCCCAATCCGCACACGCCAGCACCCCACTATACGCAGTCCCGACTTCCAGCATTGTGCAAACGATTCATCTTCTCTAACCCTCACCTCTCCACCTCCTGGGTTAGGCTTCTCTAAAGTAGTTTCAGAGCTGTTGCGATTACACCGCACGAGTCGGCACATGGGATTGTGCTCCACTCGCCAAACCTTTCCTCACACCACGTCCTACCTCCCCCCAACAGGTTCACTGGTTCTCCATCGTCAACAGCCTGCTGGTGGTGCTGGTCATGGCAACCATCGTTGCCATGATCCTCATCCGTACAGTACGGCGGGATCTCTCAAAGTACGAGGCGCTCATGGTGGACGGCTCGGCGCCCGGCGGCGGCGCCGACCCACGGGACGAGGCGGGCTGGAAGCTGGTGGCGGGTGACGTGTTCCGCTCGCCTGCCAGGTCGTTCATGCTGGCAGTGCAGGTGGGGGTCAGCGGAGGGGCACGAACTGCAACTGCAAGACAACTGGGCATGTGCAACAGCGATAAAGGTCTTAGTAAGCGTACCGGTGTATGCGTCACGTGCCCTTTCCCATTAAAACCGCCCACTCATACCCTTACACCTACCCTATCTGATCGTATGTTCATATCTATCCCCCCTGCCTCCCCCGTGCTTAGGTTGGCACCGGCGTTCAGATCCTGGCCGCCTCCCTGGTGACTCTGGTCCTCGCAACGCTGGGCTTCCTCTCCCCCGCCGCCCGGGGTGCGCTGCTGACCGCCGGCATCGTCTTCTTCGTGCTGCTGGCGGGCCTGGCGGGCTTCACAGCGGTGTACGTGTGGGGGCTCATGGAGCGGTCCTTCAACAACTGGCAGGTGGGAGGCGGGAGGGGTGCGGGTTGCGGGTTGCTGCTGACGCGTTTGGCAGGTTTGGGTTGAGGACGGCATACCGACACCTCGGAGGATGAGCACCCTGCGGAGGGCTGATTTACGACTGATGATGCTCCCCCTGCACTCCTATCCTTTTCATTCCTTCCCTCACTCTTGACCGCTCAGGGCGTCGCTGCGCGTGTGGCTGTCTACTACCCCGGCCTGAACCTCCTCATCTTCACCATCCTCAACCTGGCCATCCACCACACCGGCTCCACCGGCGCCATCCCCCTCGGCATGTACTTCTCCCTCGTGGGCACCTGGTTCCTGGTGGCCACGCCGCTCACCTTCATCGGCGGCATGCTCGCAGTCCGCGTCCCGCTCCTGGACTGGCCCGTCAAGACCAACCAAATCCCGCGTCACATCCCGCCTGCACCCCTGGCGGCCTCGCCGCTGCTGCTCTTCCTGGCGGCGGGCGTGCTGCCGTTTGGCACCATGTTTATTGAGCTGTACTTTGCCATGACATCGCTGTGGCTGGGCTACTTTTACTACCTCTTTGGCTTTGTGCTGCTCATTGGTGCGCTGACGTGCGTCATCAACGCGGAGATTGCGGTGCTGTGCACGTACGTGCAGCTCTGTGCGGAGGACTACTCCTGGTGGTGAGTGTGCCGGCACGTATTTGCTACTGCTGCTGAAAGCATATTGGGGTGGAATATACGGGCTGGAATTTGGGCTGCCTGCTGCCCTCACCGCCACCTTCTTAGGTCAGCTACTATGTTTCACACACCACTCAAAACATTATTTGAACATTGTTTTAATCTCTGCCTCCCTTGAATTGTATCCCATTCCCAGGTGGCGCTCCTTCTACCGGGGTGCTAGCGTGTCGCTCTACATTGGGGTGTACGCAGTGGGTTTCCTGGCCTCCTCGCTGTCCACCCTCACCGGCTTCATTCCCGTCTTCATTTACCTCTGCTACATGTCGCTGTTTGTGATGGCGTTCTACTATGCCATGGGCACACTGGGTTTCGGAGCTAGCTTGTGGTTTGTGTACAGCATATTCAAGGCGGTTAAGGCGGATTGAGGGACGAGAGGGATTCGAAGAGAGTTAGAAATGGAAATGAGAGGAGGTTGGGATACACGCCAGTCGTTTGTTGGGCTCCTACTCCTGCAATGCCAGGCAGTTGGGGACAGCTGGCATTCCTGGTGACTAGGCCCTCATTCTTGCGCATGCAGTAAGACCTGATGAGCAACTCATGACACGCATCGTCCGGGGCTCGGGCATGGTCACTACCGCCGATCTGGACTAGTGCTATTAGTCGTATACGGGTATTGGGAACTTTAAGCTCTCGGACTTGCTGGGGCGTCGGAGGGTAGCTGACGACCCTATGCTGCTACAGCAAGTCACCTTGGCACGTGTGGTGTTCATCGGCATGTATGTCCGCATCTTGTTGAATTATAGGAGAAGGCGTATTTGATGTCCTTAAGTCGCTTTGGTGACGAATGTACGGACAGGCAGAGCAGTAAAAGGTAGTAGGGGTAGGGGATGAGCGGACGACGACGTCTCGCTTGTGGTGCCTGCGTGTGGCCCTGGCCATGCAGCCACTGCGTTGCCTGCTTCTTGGCTTCTGCAGTGTAATGGCCCTTGGCAGCTGTCTCCTTTACGTTGCTGAACCTCTCCCTTCGGCAGTCTAAGTGAGCGTTACACCCTATACAATAAGCCTCTCGAGATAGGTTAGGGGCGACACCCAGCACAGGACTGTCTGTGTGATGTGGCGACGGGGAAAGGGAGGCATAGGGAGCTGGCGAATAGCCGTTACTTGGTGAATAGAGACCGTGTATTAAGGCTGCATGCAGTGTAGATGGGCAATCGCGCATGGATCAGGTGGGTAAAGCGCGTCATGAGCGAAGACAGTTACCAGGAGTGAAGAGGCACTCGTGCAGTTACCCCCCACAAGGCTGGCGATTTACTTCAGGATGGGGGATCGAGGGCGCACATACGGGGGCGTGCCGCTGTTTGGATGCAGAACACTGCCGCACATTGCTGCACATGTATAGCGGCCTGTTCCAGGACTTGAAAGGGCGTACGGCAAGCTAATCCGGTCAAAGCGGTTGGTTCTTGCATAGTGGCGCAGCAAATCTGTGGGCAATTGGCGTCTCTCCATCATAAGTCGCATTGTTATCGCTCTGTTTTGCGGCTCTCCCGCTTCTCGCTGCGGCTATCTCTGAAAGTGACCGGCATAGCTTAGTACACACCGGACGATGGCAACTGTAGCTCCCCCAGCGCCTGCATCATTTGCTGAAGCTCGGCGAAAACGGGCTTTGGAGGTGCGTATGTACCTCGAACATGCGAGGAGGTTGCCCATGCAATGAGCCACTCGTCCCTGATCACGGCTGCAGTCTCACCAAGCTCTAAGTAAAGCGTTAAAAGAACACCGGTTTGATGATGCTCTGGAGCACGCACGTACAGGTACGCGTGTGAAGCCAGTGTGCATGCGTGAGCGTGTTATGACACAGCTAGCGCCATGATCCGCGCAGCTTTAGCCTTGGAGCCAGACAACAAGATGATCAAGGAGTTCTACAGACTACTGGAGGAGAAACAAGAATTGGGTAAGAGGATGGGGTCGGGTCCCATGTCCGCGCAAAAGCTGGTTCATAAAGCACATATCCGTATGCCGCCCCAGATGAAACCGACGATGATACCGATGACGAGGGGGCAGCCACGGGGAAGCCCGGGGAAGCGGCTGAGGCTACAAGCAGTGAGGACGACGACGAGGATGAGGATGGCTCGGACGAGGGTGAGGAGAGCGAGGAGGAAAGCAGCGAAGAGGACGAAGAGGAGAGTGAGGATGTCGACGAAGCGGTAAGGCGCATGGATGGCGGGCCTGCCCGCCCACCTGTCAATGGTTACACGAGTCTATAGAACTTCCGCACCATCTATGCCATCACAGCCCTTCCCACCTCCCACAATCACCTATCCCACCCGCAGCTATCTCTCCCGCTTCCTGTCCTTACCTCGCGCTCAACGTCACGTTCCTTTCCTCCTCTCCTCCTCCCCTCCTAACGCGCCCTTTCTTTCCCCTTCCCCACGCATCTTTACCAACATGGTCTTGTTTCTTTTCTCCCCCCCCCATCATATATTTTTACCCCATCATATTGTATTCTTCTTGTCCCCGTCATCCTTCAACGCATGGTCTGACCCCTCTTTCTTCCCCGCCGCCAGGTCGCCAAGGCGCTCAGCGGTCTGCGGCTGGGTGAGCCCGAGGCTGACCCCGACCAGCCGCCCCCGCCGCTGCTGTCCGCTGCCACTCGCGGCGCCATGCGGGCCAAGCTGGCCGCGCAGATCAAGGAGCTGAAGCAGGGCGAGATGGCGGCAAAGCTGATGGCTGCCGACCCGCTTCTGGGAGCGTGAGCAGGGCGACGACCACCGTACGGGGAGGAAAAGAAGTGAGGCACTGTAATCCCAGCGCCTCGGGGAAGGTGCGGGAAAGATGAGAGCGATTAAGGGAGACTGGAGAGGGGGTGGTGAGCGGGAAGAGGTCGGAATTGGATGTGGGCAGTGAGGAAGACAAGGTGGAGCTGTGAAGGTTTTGTTGGGAGGCACGAGGTACGCTGTCCTTCGGGTGTTGCCTGGGGACTGACGGTCCCGACTCGCATGCAGGCTGCGTGCGCCACGTTTGGGGCGAAGACGGGAGGAGAGCGTACGGCACTTACCCGGTGTGTTAAAATGACTGGCCGCGAGGCGGAACTGTGCCTCTCCCCAGCAAGGATGCAATAGGCAAGGGGTCATGTGCTGCCGCTTGCAAGCGGCCGCAGAAGGGGAGGAGTCCTAGCTGGCAGCTAGGCAATCTGCATGCGCGGAGCGGGGCTACCTGCAATACCGCGAGCGCACTTCCGGTCAGAGGACGCACGTCCGTGTTGTTTAATAGCGCGCATGGGTGGCACTCGTGCGGTTGTTCAGGGCATGGAACCGAAAGGTGGGCAAGGGCAATGCGAGCAGAGCGCGGCGGTTTGCGAGCGTACGCGTTGCGGTGATTCGATGTGGCCTCTGGGTAAGAGGTGGTTTGACCGCGTGTTGGTAGGCAACTAAATTCCAGCCTGCGTAGGATGCCCTGTTAGAAGGATGGGGCTTACTGGACGAGCGAGGGACGTTTAGCCTCAGCTGTGCCACGGCGGGTTGCTACGAGCACTGGGGGCTTTGGGAAGAAGCACATCCAGAACGGGGCCCGGCCGTTGGATTCACGCGGCTGGGCGGTAAAGTGCTGAGATGCAGCAAAGGTCTGCTTACGGCCGCGCCGGCTTACGCCGGTGCATTTGAGCAGTGGTGGCGCCATATACTTAATGTGTACACGAGATGGTCCCCACTTGCGGCCAGTTCTCTTAGTAAACGAGGTAACCCACACGCGCCAGGATCCTTACACTAGAGGAGTCATCGAACGGCGCGACGATCCAGTGCCACGGTTCGCCTTAACCAGTGCATTGCCTAGGTCGACAAGGGGTGAAGAGTACTTCCACCTTGCATGCCTTTCTGCGTGCTGGAAAAGGCGTGCGCCTGAAGACACCTGGCAGCGATTCGGGTACTGCGAGTCGCAGCGAGAACCGCCGCAGCGAGAAGCGGCAACGCAGTAAAGCGAGCGTGGGTGTTTGCACGCATGGCCGTGACACCAACTGGCAACTCGCTCACCGGGTTCCAACTCCCTATCAAAGGCACCAAAGGGGCAGGTGGTAACCCCTTCGCTGGACCTCCTTACCACGCACTATTTCCGTCACGCAGGTGGATGGATGCTTGGCTAACGGATTTCCTTGAAGGGGGCTGGGATGTTCCCCACACGGTCCGTCTAGCGGGTGCATAGCAATGGCAGCACGCCTGCGGAATGTATTTCACCATGATAACGAATTCGAAATAGGCTGGCGTGAAAATCGCGGCCCAGGAATAAAAGAGGCCGCCTTCCGTACGGGTCTGGAGCGCTTGGTCGTAATGCCCTCGATCGACGGCAGCGTCATCGCGCATGGCAGCTATAGGTCTGCGGTGAGCCGTGAATAGGGCGACTATATATTAAACTAGGAATTTACGAGTAACCTACGCGAAATGCAGACTCTCTCAGCCCACCGTGTTGCGGTATGTTAATCAGGAGATTTGTAAACAATTAAGTAGCTGCTTTTGAGCTGGTGTTAAATGCTTCCTCGATGGCTTGCAGGGTGGCCGGCCGTTCACGGCTGTGCGGCCTCTGCCTGCAGCTAGGCCAATGCAGGTGTGTTGCTTATTAATCCCTGTAACCATGCTCCGCTTTTTTATGGACGTTGTTTTGCGGTGATCGTGGAACAGGTTGCAGCACCGCGCCGTGCTCCCTTGCAAATTATGAACCTGCGTGTCAACAACGTGGAGATTCCCAACAGCAAGCGCATCCAGTGCTCGCTGCAATACATTTTCGGCATTGGTAACACTACGGCCATAGCGATTCTGCGGGACGCGGTGCGTTTGGGACCGCGTAATTGGGGATGTGGTCTCTGGCACTGTAGGGTCGTCGCTTACGTCGCTGTCATCATCGCAGGGTATTGAGAACAAGAAGACGTATGAGCTGAATGAGGAGGAAATTAACAAGATTAGGCAGGAGGTGGAGAAGTACACGACCGAGGCTGACCTGGTGCGGTTGGAAAAGTTGCAAACAACGCAGCGCTTGCCTGTGTTTGGCGGTGGATGATAATACCCGTGGCGGTTCCCCCGTGCAGCGCCGCATTGTGGCCCAAAACATCAAGCGGTTGAAGGATATTGGCTCCTACCGTGGACGTCGCCACATTATGGTGAGATACAGCCGCTGGCCTTACCCGCCCTTTTCATCTGCTTACGCCCTTTACCCGGACCCCGCAACTCAATCTCCCCTGCCGCCAAACAGGGCCTGCCGGTGCGAGGCCAGCGGACAAAGACCAACGCCCGCACACGGAAGGGCAAGGCCAAGACGGTTGCGGGCAAGAAGAAGGTATGTCGGGGTAACGGGGTTGCAGCTACTACCGGTACAGTTAGATTATGCTAGCGGGTGGGGTATCTACCAAGAGGAAAATGGGGTTGCCCTTGCTGACGATGCCTGGGGTCATGTAAAGTCCCCATTCCCCTCCGTAAATAGGACCTAGTTTACTTGGCGGTGTGCTTGTAGTGGACACCGGATGGGGTTGCAGGATGGGGCTGCGAAGGTAAGTATACTGTTGACGACCCTACCGTTCCTTTTCCAATGCCCCACTTGTACCCCTCAGGCCGTCAAGTAAGCGGACGTGGGCTAGTAGCGGCCAGCCGTGGCTGTGCAGCGGCAGGTGGATAGCGCTCAGCTGGAGCTAGCGGCATGTCGGTCGGGCGCTTTCTTGTGACGCGTATGATCCTGGTAACCAGATGTTTGCCCCTAGAGGAGACGCTTACTTGGGCTTTAGGGATTGAGAATGGTTTTGATGAAGCGGTTTGGAGCGGGGTCTATCTTAGCATCGATAGTCGTGGGTTTGCCGGTGCAAGGCGAGAGATTCGTGCTTTTTGGGGCTGTGGTAGCACGCATTGAAGTCTGTATCATCAACTTTAACGGTTATGTCTGGCCAGACATTGTATGGTTATGTCGAACCAGGCATCTTATTCCTGTAACATTCGGGTGTGTGTTATCGTGTCTTGGCTGTGTTGCGCTGGGCCATAGCTGGATATTGCTGCTGAGTGCTGTCACAGTGCTAAGTTGCAGCTTATGAATCTCTATCCATATCTGGCCTTTTACATCCAGTCAGCCGGGCAGTGCCGGGATTCCGCAGCCAAGCACCGCAATGCGGTACAAAGGCCCTCAGCCCCGGACAGGGGCATAGCACATGGGCCTCAGAGCAACCACATGCACGGGACCAGCCCCCAAAACAAGCAAAAACGACGGCTCGTTCCCTCCTTAGTGATACCAGGGGGAGGGAGAATGTCCACCAGCAAGAGGTGTCACTCCGTGAGCAAGTCATCGATCATGTTGATGTGGGCAAAGTCCTCCAGGCCCGGGCTGTCCAGCTGGTTGGAAGCGGCCATGCGCTGTTGTGGGGGATGGGAACAGGAGCAGCACAGTTAGGAATGCTGTTGAAGTTTTGAGGTGTCCGAACAGGACAATGCTCCTTATGCCGGGTTCAAGAGAACCACGGCAGAACCAAATGCATGTAGCGGGGCTCACGTGGCGTCTAGCATGCAACGGACGCCTAGCAACCCACACCAACCCTGTTTCAGCTACATACCTTTGCTGCTGACGACACAGCTGGCGGCGTGCCGAACCCCAGTGACGTGCGCTGCGCCTGCTGCATCATGATGCGCGCGCTTGAGGCGTTGAACGCCCCCTCAGCAGCTGACGTGGCTACAGAGTGCCCCATGTGGCGGGCCGCCGCTGCCGCCTGCCCCTCGTCAACGCGTTTGTGGGCCCCGCCCGAGGTCTGCCCCGCCGGCGCACCAGGGTTCGCCGGGGCTAAGATGGGCGCGACTGCTGCCATGGACCCGGCTGCGGCCGCCGGTGCTGACGACGCCAACGAGTGCGACCCAGATCCCGCTGGCCCCGCGGATGCCAACACACCTGCCGCAGCGTTACGGTACGACAAGCCCTCCTGTGCCGTACTGGAATGGAGGATACCGTTGGCGGATGGGGCCACCGTGGGCGCTGTCGTACCCGCGGCTCCCGACGATGGCGGCATGTACGGCACCGGCTTGCTGCTTGTGGAGGAAGCCGTCGTCGCGCTGCTTGTTGAAGCGCTGTTGGTCGTCGCACCGGAGCTTGCTGGATCCAACTGCCGAGGTCGTCCGTTTGCCGCCGCCGCTGCCAGCTGGTGCTGTGCCAAGGGCGTGTACGGCACTGGTGCCGTCGTACTGCTACCGCCAGCCACCCCAGGCAGCGTGGCTGATGTGGAGCGCTGCATCATGACACCGGCAGGTGGTGCCGCCGCTAAGTGGGACTCTCCTGACGGCGTTGCTGCGGATGCCGTACCTGCAGGCTGCGGCTGCTGCGTCGAGGCTGACGTTGCTGCCGCAGCAGCCGCCTGCGGGTGGTGCGGCGCAATTGCCTCGCCCCCGCCTGCATGCAAGCCAGCGGACCGTGGCTGCCCCGAGGCCGCTACCGGCGGCATCGGCCGCGCCGACACCGCTGGCCCCGAGCTAGCTGACCGTGCTGGGATCACCCCTGGGTGAGAAAGGGGGCCGGCTGGGTCATGCCCCGACGCGGACGCCGATGTCGCGGCCAACGCCTGGATCCTACGCACCGCCGCGGCCGCAATTGCGGCCGCGGTGGACGTGGGTGAGGAGTGAGGCTGCGGCTGCTGATGCGAGTCCTTGACCCCGTTCGGAGTCGCTGGCTCGGCCTTTGCCGTCCGGTCCTTTTCTACTGACCGGCTGGTCTCCGGCCGTCCTGACCCCGAGCTGCTCTCAGCCGCTCCCGCCTCCCGCCCAACTGACCCGCTGGCCGCAGGCGCTGCTGCCGCCGCCTCAGCAGCACCCTCCACCGGTGTGCTGCTGCTAGTGCTGCATGTCGCGGCGCCACTGCAGCAGCTGCTGCTAGCACGAGCCGGCGCTCCTGACCCACCCGCAGCCGCAGCCGCTGCCCCAGCCTTGACCGTATCCGCAATCTCCGTCGGCTGCAGCTCCGCTAGCTGCGCCCGGAGCGCAAACAGCTCCGCGTCCCGTTCCGCGAGCTGCTTCTGCAGCTGCATCACCTGCGCCCGGAGGATGGTCACCTCCTCTTCAAGCGCTGCCCTGCTCTCGCTGTCACTCGCCCCATCGCTTTCCGACAGCGCAGCCGCTGCTCCGCCCGCTGCGCTGCTGCTGCCTGCGCCCGCCTCCACATCGTCCTCACCGCTCCCACTGCTCTCCGCCGCACCTGTCGCCTGGTTGACCGTCCCAACCTCCTCATCGCTGCCGGATTCGCTCGACGGCTCGTCGCGCCGGTCCGGTCGCTCGGCCTGGCAGGCGGCTGCGTCTGCAGCCGACTCCGCGACCGCAGCCGCAGCCAACGACGAAAGGGAGGGCAAGCTGCTGCCAGCTACTGCTGCGCACCGCTCGTTAGCCGCGTGCGTTGACGGCTGGGTCGTCGGCCCCGCTGGCAGCTGTTGCTGCTGGCTGGTACTCGCTGACAAGGCCTGCTTTACCTGCAGCGTCTGCTGTTGCTGCGACGGCGCTTGCAGGAGCGCCCGCTTGTCCTCGCGGGGCTTGGGCGCCTGCTTGCGTCCCTGCGGCTGCTGCTGCTGCTGGGTAGAGGGCTGCTGCTGGGCTTGGGCCTCCTCCAACCTGCACGACGCAAAAGCACCACATCGTATCTATAACCCATGAGCTGCAGCTCTCACACCTACTCGGTTTAGCTTTTGAGAATTAAGACTGGAAAAGCCCACCCGCCCTGCCCTGCAACTCACCGCCGCTTCTCCGCCTCCTTGGCTTTGCGCTCCACCTCCTGCCGGCGTGCCTCGTCCTCCCGCGCTCTCCGCTCCGCCTCCTCCGCCTCGCGCCTGAGCTTCTCCGCCTCCCGCTTCAGCTTGAGCTTCTCCTACAAGACAGGCAGAGGAAGTGCCAGCCTTCAATTCACTTCACACCCATATACCCAAAAGTGAAGCAGTCTACACGTGACACGCCTACCAACCTCGATGCCCAACACGTCACTCACGAACCCGCAGAAGAATAAAAACATCCACATTGGCGCTTCCCCCCACCTTCTTCTTTGCCTTTTTCTCCTTATCCGCCTGCGCCTTGGCCTGCGCCTTGCTCTCCTCCAGCCGCGCCATCTCAAACTCCTCCGCAATCAGCTGGTCCTGTCGCTTCAGCGCCTCCGCCTCACGGTACGCAACCTCCAGCTTCTCGCAAAAGATGTGCGCAATCACAAACATCTCAATGGTCTTCCGCCCCAGCTCCGCCAGCCGCTTCTCGTCCCGCTCGATCGAGTCGCGCCGGTAGTCGTCCCCGTCCTGGCCGCTGCGGAGCGTCAGGCCGTCGTTGGGCGGCAGCGCCTGTGGGCGCATGGCGCGCGGGTAACAGCAGGGTGCATGTCGGGTAACCAGTTAACAGGATAACGAAGCGGCATGAGGGGAAGACAATGAGCTGTTCGCAAGCCAACAAGCCGATCCCATGAAACCGTCGATTGCTGCGCGGGACCGCGGTTCGGGAACAATGTCAACCAACATTCGGCGCCCCAAGCCCCATGCCACCCTTTCTTAAAGTGGCACGCAGAAAGACCAAGCATCAAGGACCTGTCGTCCGCCAAGACCCCTGGCCGACCCGCACCTTGTTGTCGTCCTTGGCCGCCGGAATGTAGTCCTTCTGCACCCGCTCCACGATCTCCATGATGTCACCGCAGCACAGCGTGAAGGTGTTGCGCTCCGCCTTGATGAGCACCACCGGCGCGTTGTCGCCGCTGCACTTGCCCTGAAGGGGGGTGGGGTGATGCGGGATGCGGGACACGTTGGGCACATGAGGTGATGGGGGGGGGGGCACAAAGGGCTTCTAAAGCGGAGGGCAGGAGGGGGCTCGTGAACTCGAACGGGATGTGAGCAATGCTCTGGCATGCAAGGCACCGAACCAGCTTGAATGCTAGGGGTGTGAGGATGCGATAGTGATCGTAGCTGTCCACCCGGCTTTGAGACTGCACAGCGACACGTCCAAGCGCTGGCAGCTGTACCCCGGGCGGTATGTGTCCGCTATCGCACAGTTGTATGACTCGAAGCGCTCCACTGAGAGGCCGACAGGCACCCGATCTCAGCGCTGGCCTCAGCCCGTGCGTGGTGCCAGCAGCAAAACGCGAGCTGGCAGGTCACTGCCGTGGTGCGTCAGCTCACATGCGAATGTCCACCGGGCTTTGAGACTATCCAGCGATACCAGTGCGTGCTGGCAGCTGTACCCCAGGCGGCTCATTGCTATACCACAGATTTGACTCCAGACGCCGCAATTCGGTGCCGGAGACACCTCGGCAGCGCTGATTTCAGCCTGTGGAAGGACATGCTCGTAAAAAGCTACCGCTTCTGCTGCTACAGCACCCGCTGCCATTGAAGATGTCCATGGGGCTTCGAGACTATCCAGCGATACAGTAGACGCTGGCAGCTGTACCCCAGACAGTTTACGGCCCCGTCGCACAGTTCTGACTCCAGGCGCCTAAATTTAGGGGCCATCGTTGCAGCCCATTTCAGCGCTGGTCTCAGCCTGTGCGTTGCAATGCCCAAAGGCGGCCCTAGCTACCGGTGCTAGCCTGCTGCCGCGAATCAGCTCCCATGAGAGTGTGTCCGCCCGGCTTTGAGACTAGCCAGCTATAACGTTGCGAGCTGGCAGCTGTACCCCGGGAGGTAAGATGTGTCCGCTATCGCACAGCTATATGACTCCAGCACCCCACCGGGCGCTAGTGCACCCCAGAAGCGCTGTCCTCAGCCTGTGCTTTCCTTGCATGCCTAGGTTCCATGCATGGCCATGGCCCACAACCCAGGCTGCCCCTCTTGCCCCCAACAGCGCCCCAATCCCAGCCCAATGCCCAGGTAGGGGTGGGACTCCGGCCCCATGCGCTGCTGCCCACCTACCTCCAGCCACGCCCTGCTGTGCTCCTCGATTTGCTTGCAGCCACTGTACAGCGCGTCCATGACCAGCGTGGAGGTCACCTCCTTTTCGTTGAAGAACTGCTTCACGACAGCCTGCATGCAGCAGTGGGCGAGGTGGCACGGGGGAGATGACCGCGGGAATCTATGTAACGCGCATGATCTCGGTTGCTGTGCTTGGAATGCGTTTAACCTCGCCATTACATCACGACTACACAAACCCCGGAGGTCCCTTCCCACTCTAGACCGAGCACCTTCCATTTTAACCCTGTTCTGAGTACCAGCATCCAGACGACACATCCGCAACACACCCACCTTCAGGATCGCCTCCCCCTTGTCCGTCAGGTACTTCCGCTGCTGCTCCGGGCTGAGGGAGCCCCAGAAGTGCCAGAACGACGCCGCCTCCTCGCGCGCCCACCCCAGCCGCGCCTTCTTGTCCTCGCAGAAGCGCCTGCAGATGCCCTCCACGTTGGTCAGGTACACACGCACCAGCTCCCGCCGGTATTGTGGGTCAAGGCAGCGGAAGGGCTTGCTGGGCTTGTCCCTGTTGTTGGGGAGGGAGGTTTGAGGGAGGCGGGCGCCGACATGATGCCGTTTAGGCAACGTGCTTGTGTGGTTGGGGAGCGGCGGGGCCACGGCGATGAATCGCCGCAACGGTCTGCGTTTCCTCGTGGCGGCTTAGTTACCGGTACCCTAATCCCCTGCCCCCGATGCATGCATGCAACGACTCACAGGATGACCTGCACCTGCGCCTTGATCACCAGCGTGTCCGCCACCGTGAAGCCGTCCAGCACCTTTGACAGCTCCATGAACTTCTTCCACCCCCAGTCATGCTCCTTTTTGCAGAAGCGGTGCAGCGTGTCTGTGGACACGGACACAGGCAGGGGTGGGGTTCGTCTCTGTCTATAACAGGGTCCGTCCAGCGGGCAAGAGAGAGAGACGGCCCCCTCCTTACCAGAGTATTTGGACTTCTTGGGGTCCTTGTTCACGACGGCTATCGTGAACTGGGCGAAGTGGCTCCACCCTGCGCAGCATCAAGTTGCGACACGGTCGCGTCCAATCCCCGGCCATAATGCCAAGCCCCGCGCCTTACATACCCGGCAGCAGCTTGTCGTAGTCAGCGACGCAGAGGAACAAGGACAAGTGGTTGCAAACGTCGCATCCCTGGGGATATACCAGGATGTACCTGTGCGAGGAGCAGCGCTACGCGTGTTTAGAAGCCCTAACAGCGCGGGTGTCCCTGTCGTTTCCTACCATTTGTAACTGCCCACGTCAAAGACGTTGCTGCGCAACTCCCGCTTGCTAATTTCCGAGAAGTTTTCAATCTTCCAGGTAAATTTTCCGTAGAGTTCATGCGGCTTGGGACCTGCAAGCAAGCTTAGTCTATTGGCGGGCAGTTCAACTAGCACCATCCCTGGTAGCAATCAAATTGGACTCCATCTAGCACCAAGCCCAATCCACTGCAAATACGAAAGCGCACCATCGTCCTCGTCGTCCAAAAACGTGGACGATGTCTCCGCCACGTCCAGAGCTGACCGGCTGCGCCATTCCAGCATTTCCGGGGTATCCGGTGTCACCGAGAGGATACCTGGCGAGCGCAGAAGAGTCGTCGTGTTAACCGCAGCGCTCTAGCAAGTGGGATTCGGACCGCTATGCTGCGCTGACCGTCGGCGACAGGCGGCCCTTTCTCCTTGACATTTGTCCCAGCAGTCAGGGCCTCCCTAATGCGGGATTGGTTGACCTTCGTCATGCCTGGCCGATTCTACAAGTTCATTTAAGTACAGATCGAGAGCAGGGTATGGCGCGTGAACCTTAGTTGACTCTCCGTATGTATGTACCAGGTCTATGGAACTTCATAACAGGGGTATAGTTAATCCCCAGTCCTCTGCTTGGCGGCTTGAGTTGCAGGTCGTACACCTTATTTACTAGCTTTGCAGTAACTTGACCGTTGCCACTTATGTGTTGTGTCCACAGAACATATATCTGTTATACATTGAACTTTCAAATTTACAGAGTCCTAATACTTGCAAAACAGTACTGCCAAGTTTTCAGCAATTTGGTTACATCCAAGGAGTGGGCGGTGTGACAGTTGTGAGCTTGCTGCTTGTTTCCTTGCAGGGGGCTTTCGAGGGGCAGCATTTACACGTTGCCTAGCTTTGAAAATCTGTTACCCATAGGCCTGATCTGTTACCCAAGTGGCAGGCCTATGGGAGTGCAACACCGTTCTGACATTTGAGCCTCCACGCATTCTATGCAGGCTGGGTTAGCAGCACGGGTCGCTGCTATGCAGAGACAAGACATATGTATTCTACGTCACGTCTCCTGTGTATGGGAGTCACGGCACTCTCGTACATAACCCTGTTAATGATAGCCGTTCACACCGGTGCAAAGCACACAAGAGGCTCAAACGCTGGCACGTTGGCATTTTGTTTCTGCTGAATACACATGCAATCTTAATTGGCTGATACCGTACCGTACGCACTGTGAACGTCAAAACCCTCCTTAGCTGTGATGCTGCCGTTTCCCTGAGAGCAACCACCTGCTGTAGTTGTTCAGGAGCACAAGGGTACAAAGGATGTTCCCCTTGGCTAATGCTGTTTACCCGAAACCTAAACGCAAACCCCCAATGCTAATCCCAAGCTAATGGCGAGCTGACTGCTTAGGTGGCGACCCAGGGGTCCGACAGGGGGCTACAGAGGAAGGGGTCAACCTATAGATAAGTTTTTCCGTCTGTAACGTCTGAGATAAGTGATGTTTGGTAAGAGGTATAGACTGTCACCGGCTAGAAGTCAGGCTGGACATGGTGTTAGCATCTGCATGCTCCAATTAACAACCCGCTACACCAAGCATCAGCCTCGCCTGCATTCTTCCATTCTCCACGCGCTGCTGCTTTAGCGATCACTGCTTAGCCACGCTTAGCGCCTGTGCTGCTGCTTTGAATGGCGGCTGCGCCCTGCTGCAGCCATCGCCAATCATGCTCTCCCGCCCATTGGTATGCACTGCTGGTCCAAAAGCGCTGCACCATTTGCTGCTGCTTGTGGGGATAATGAGGGGAAAGAGAGAGGGATTGGGCTCTTACTGCGCCGTTACACACGCTGCGAGAAATTTAGTCCTTCACCAGCAGGCCCTTCTCCGACACGTAGATGCCGTCCAGGAACTTGCGGATATCCAGGACGCGGACGCGGCAGGACTGGCTGACCAGGGCGGCGGAGCGCGACACGTTCTCCAAGTCGTTGCCGGAGAGGACCAGCTCATCCTTCACGCCCTCCGAGCGCGCAATCTTAACGCCGTCCAGCATGTTGACAACGCGCACGCGCTTCTCGCCCAGGAAGTTGCGAATCTCCACCTTCTTGCCCTGGTTCTCGATGTTGATGTTAATGGGAAAGTGGGCGTACACCAGGCGCATCTTGTACTCGAATCCCTTGGTGACTCCCGTGAACATGTTCTTCACATGCGAGCAAACGGTGCGAATAGAAGCAAGCCGCTTCTTCTTGCCGAAGTGGCAGTCGACCTGCAGCACCTTGGCCCCGTCCTGCTCCGTGAGGAACATATCAACAGCCAGGTGCTTGAAGTCGCGCGTGAGGGTGCCGCGAGGCCCCTGCAACAAAAAGGGGGGTCACCAAATCCATTAGAGCCGGCGGCAAGAAGCGGTGAGGGCGCCGACGAGCCAAAAGCGCAGAGCATTGCGTTGCCGCCAGCGCCGCCGTACCTTCACGCGGACCGCCCGGCCCTTGACCTCGATTTTAATCCCATCAGGGACCGGGAGGGTCCGGCTGGCCAGAAGCAGCTTCATTTTTTAGCTCCGGCGAAGAAAGAGAGCGACTTGGGGAAACCGGGGTGCTTTATGGAGTGGGCCCTCCCTCGACTGCATGGGCCAGGACACCCCCATTCCATGCTGTTTCATCAACTTCATACTTTAACACCCCGCTATTTTCTTAATACTTGTTTGGCAAAAAAATATTACAGGAGTAGCATTTTACCTTTTCCCCAATCTACATTGTTCATACGTTTGGTAACCCAGTGAACACCGAAAAGAGCAACAGCGTGCCCGTCGTTCGTTGCCGGGCTGGCCACAGCGCCTTTAGCCATGGCGGACGACGAGCAGCGGACAAAGGGCGTGCCCTTGACGGGCGTAGTCTACGATCAGGACCTTTATGGCGGGGCTGACCGTGCAGCATATCGCAGCGAGCTTGTGGAGGAAGAGGAGGATGATCAGGACATGGGGTAAGTGCAACGTTGCTGAACTGCTTGTCCGCGTGGCTGGAACTTCATTTCTTGTGCCCAGGCCGACCTGTAGTGCGCTTTTGCATGCGATTATGCTTTATGAGGGCATCTATTTAAGCTCGTGCCTTGCTCCTTTGCTTATAGCCGTGGCCGCGCGTTCGGCTCAGCGGCGGCCCAGGCGCTATCTAACATTCCTGACGCGGAAGCTGAGGAAGGGGCAAGCGGTCTTGGGTTTCAGCAGCCCAAAAGCATCTACGAGCGTGAGGATGATTACAGACGCAGGCGTCTTAACCGCATTATTTCGCCAGACCGCAACGACGCGTTTGCCATGGGCGACAAAACGCCGGACGCACGCGTCCGCACCTACGCTGACATCATGCGGGAGCAGCAGCTGCAGCGGGAGATGGATAACACCATGGTGAACATTGCAAAGAAGACGAAGGAGGAGGCGGAGGCTCTAGCAGCAGCGCAGGCGTCAGGGCAGCCAGCGACCTCCGGGGCAGCAGCTCCATCCGCGTCAGCTGGCTCGATGCCCGCGCCGCCGGTTTCTGCTGGCGACGCGGCAGCTGGGGCGAAGCGGCGCAACCGATGGGATCAAGCGGAGCCGTGAGTGGGGAGGCGGGGGAACGGGAAGGGCAAAGGGGTTTACTTGGACGCCAACGTTGAGGTTGGGGTGTACGATGGATTTCGTTCGCGGTGCGTTCGGGGGGTATGGGAGTACGCTCAAAACATTCTGGGGGGATGTGGGTGCTGAGGGGTGCATGTAGGGTATTGGAGGGGGCAGCTATACAAGGAACGGGTTCGTCTCCGCACTCTCGACCGTGCGTCTACTGCATTCCCCCCTCAGGCTAATGCTTGCAGCCGGTACCTCTCTTACGTCTCCCGCATCAAGCATCAGCAGGCACTCCCATGTCCTCCCCACTTGAGTTGTATCCTGCAGTATCGCTTGGTTTGGGTTTCTCCCTGACCCCACCTCCCTCCCCTCCCAACCCCAACCCCAGTGCCAAGAAGGCACGGTCGGAGTGGGACACGGATGGCGTGGAGGCCACCCCGGGCCTGGGCAACCGCTGGGACGCCACCCCTGGAGTCGGCCTCACCGAGGCGACCCCGGCAGCCAACCGCTGGGATGCCACCCCTGGACTGGGAGGTGCGGACGCGACGCCAGCAGCGGGGAGATGGGATGACGCCACGCCGGGGGCCGGCAAGGCGGGGCCCACGCCGCGACGCAACCGATGGGACGACCCGACACCCGCAAGGGTAAGCGGGCGATATGAGGTTCGTTGTAAAGTGCCTTGTTAGGTCTCAGCTTGGTACGTCTGTCGGCCCATACTGCCCTACCTCTTGCTCTTCGCAGCTTCGTGAGAGGTTGTTTGCCTGCTAACCGCTTCCTCCTATCCAACCCCTGCCCGCGCACGCAGCCCGGCGAAACGCCTGCGGGCAGCTGGGGTGGCGAAACCCCCGCCGCCGGCGCAGCCGCCAAGCGCTCCCGCTGGGACCAAACCCCTGCCCTGGGCGCCGGCGCTACACCCGCCCTCGCCCCGGGTGTCACCCCCTCTTTCTTCTCCGCACCCACACCCGCCATCGGCGCCGCCGGCGCCACCCCCATGCTCGGCATGGAGACCCCCTCCCTCTCCGCTCTCGGCGGCGCAGCCGCGGGCGGGGTGCCGCTGACGCCGGAGGCCTACCAGGAGATGCGGCTGCAGCGGGAGATGTGGGAGCGCAACCGCCCCCTGTCCGATGAGGAGCTGGACGCCATGCTGCCGGGGGAGAAGGACGGGTACAAGGTGCTGGCGCCGCCGCCCGGGTACAAGCCGGTGATTGACCCCGCCCGGAAGCTCATGGCGACGCCGACACCGATGGTGGGCGGCACACCGCTGTACGCGATGCCGGAGGTGAGGAAGCGGGGGGTGGATAAGTGGGTTGCGGAGGGTCAGGAAAGCGTGGACGGTAGTGCAGCTTCAGAGGGGTCCACTGGGTTGGGGAGGCCTTGTTGTTGACCTGTATACTATCCCTACAGCTTCCCAAGAATGAACCGATTCTTTCCCCCCTTGCACCTTCACCGTGTTCTCCCTTGGGCTGGTTACTCAAACTCCCTTTTCCCTGTCGTGACCCTATACCTGATCGCCCGCCCGCCCGCACCCCCCCTCTCCCCAGGAGAACCTCGCGCTGAAGGCCGACCTGCCGGTGGCTCCCGAGGGGCTGCCGGAGATGAAGCCCGAGGACATGGCCATGTTTGGGAAGCTGCTGCAGGTGGGGAGTGGGGCGGGTGGAGAGGGGGGGCAAAGAGGAAAACTCACGGGGTCGGAAGGCTGGGTTGTGGAGGACGGCAAGGGGCGAAGACGAGGGGTTGGCATGGGGAGGCGTGTGTAGAGGGGAAACCGTTGAGGGAAGGCGGGTGGGGACGGCACCAAAGGAAACACGTAGCACATAGCCCGCCTAGCTCGCATTTCGCTGAGCGCACTTCTGCCGGCCCTGTCCCTCATGCTCACTCAATACATTGGGTGATCTTCTTTCCCCCTCCGCCCCAGGACGTTGACGAGGCGGAGTTGTCCGCTGAGGAGGCCAAGGAGCGCAAGATCATGAAGCTGCTGCTCAAGGTTAAGAACGGCACGCCGCCGCAGAGGAAGAGCGCGCTGAGGTGAGGAGGCTGGGGCGGGGTATTGAGGAGCGGTGGGGATGCTTTGCTGATGCAGGGTGGGGAAGGTAGTGAGGCTGGGGGTGGCGGGGGGATGGGGAATGCGGGGGGGGGTGCATGAAACACACATGCGCAGTGGAGGCGAGAAAGAGGGAGAGCATGAGTGATGCAGCGCTCCCTCGCCAGCTGTGCTGTCCTGTGTTTGTGTTGTCGAGTGGTCGGGGAGATCCGCGTGAGCGACATCGGGCTTTACTTCGTGCGTCCCCTTCCCTCCCCTCTCTCCCCTCCCCCCCGCTAACCCTCACTTTGTCTGGTGGCTCTGATTTGGTCTCTGACCCCCTCCTCCCTGACGCTCCCCCCTCCCCCGCAGGACCCTTACCGACAAGGCTCGCGAGCTGGGCGCGGGTCCGCTGTTCAACGCCATCCTGCCGCTGCTGATGCAGAGCCACCTGGAGGACCAGGAGCGGCACCTGCTGGTCAAGGTGATCGACAGGTGAGGGGGGTTGAGAGGAGGGAGAAACCGTGCTTTGGGTGGGTAAAGAGGAAACAACTAACTGACTGAGGGATAAGGCGTCAACATGGGTTGCTTTGGGTGGGTTGAAGGGGGTGGGGTGTAACTTAGGGGCACCGTGAATGTGACCATGAGGATCGGAGTTGTTGACCCCTTGCTGGGGGGTGGGGGTGAAATGGAGCCTCCTCAAGTTACAACCCTTGTGATCGGGGGCTGGGCTGGGGGTGGGGGTGTTGGTAGCTATGCTGCTGCTGCGGTGAAGACACACAGCACCGTGAGGTGACATACAGGGACCGGGAGTGACACGCGGATTGACGAGCTGGACCTCCCTTCTTCCTCCCTCTCCTCCTTCTTTACCCCATTCGACTCCCTCTCTCCCCCCCCCTCCCCTCCTCCCCCCCAGGATCCTGTACAAGCTGGACGAGCTGGTGCGGCCCTACGTGCACAAGATCCTGGTGGTCATCGAGCCGCTGCTGATCGACGAGGACTACTACGCGCGCGTGGAGGGGCGCGAGATCATCGCCAACCTCTCCAAGGCCGCGGGGCTGGCGCAGATGATTGCCGCCATGCGACCCGACATTGACAACATCGACGAGTACGTGCGCAACACCACGGCGCGCGCGTTCAGTGTGGTGGCGTCGGCGCTGGGCATCCCGGCGCTGCTGCCCTTCCTCAAGGTGTGTGGAGGAGGGGGTGGCATGAGTGAGATGTGAAGCAAATGGAGTCATGCATCCCGGTTGGGGAGGGGTACATAATCAGGGCCGGGGGGGGGGAGCGGGTACAGAGCGGCGCTGCTAGGCCTACCACCCTGTACGTATCAGGCAGGGACAAGGGTTGCTGAACGCGTGAGCGCAGGGTGTTTGGGTTGAACGGCGAGGGGCTGCTGAGGTATGAAACCTTCACAGCGTGGCATGCTGCATAGTTTGCCCTGCACCGAGGCGGCGGCGCCACCGTGCATGCTCCTATATAGGATCCCTGTGTGTGTGGATCCCTGGCTGCTGCCTGACTGCCCCTCCCTCCCTCCCTCCCCACTTATCACACCACACTTTGGAATTTCTTTTTCCCTCCCCGCCCCGCCCCGCCCCTCACAGGCCGTGTGTCTGAGCAAGAAGAGCTGGCAGGCGCGGCACACGGGCATCAAGATCGTGCAGCAGGTGGGGGTCCGGGCAGGGGGGAGCGGAGGTGCAGCAGGTGGGGCTGCCGTACTCGCACGCTTGCTTGGAGAAAGTGAGACGCGCACTGCTCCTGTCTACCAATCCTCTCATATTCCTGTCATATCCTACAATGCTGCCATTTCCTACGTCATGCGGCGTGTCTGTGTTTGCTGAAACATCTAGCCCTCACCCCTACACCCCTCCCTCTCTTCCCCCCCCTCCCCCCTTATCCAGATCGCCATCCTGATGGGCTGTGCGGTGCTACCCCACCTGCGCTCCATGGTGGACATCGTCAAGCACGGACTCAAGGTGGGGGGAAGGAGGGCGGGGAGGGATGGGGATTGGGAGGAGAGGGGAACGGGAGGAGGGTGGAGGAGGGGATGATGCCTGATGCCTGGTGAGGAAGGCAATTGTGTATGAGAGTTGGAAGAATGGTTGGCAAGGGGCTGATGAACGTTCAGGTGGAGTGTACATCCAGTATTGGGAGTATCAGGGGTGCAGAGTAAGGAAAAGTAAGGAAACGCACTTTTCACCTCTCTTATCGGACCTCCCTAACGCCTCCCCCCCCCTTCCTCGTCAGTTGCTTCGTCAGTGTCTCATTATGTTTTTACCCCCTCCTCGGCCCCCTCCCTCTTCCTCCAGGACGAGAACCAGAAGGTGAAGACCATTACCGCCCTCTGCCTGGCGGCCCTGGCGGAGGCCTCCACGCCGTACGGCATCGAGTCCTTCGATGATGTGCTGGAGCCGCTGTGGAGGGGCATCCGCTCGCTGAGGGGCAAGGTAGGGGTAGGGGGAGGATTGGACATACTGAGCAAACCATAGGGGGGGGCCAGGGAAAGGAAAGGAGAGAGGCACTAACACTGTGACATGTAGGCTCCTCCACGATGTAGCATGTGTGCGTGGGGCGGTTTGCGTTTGTCGCTGTTCCTGTTGCTGTTGCTGCTTTGTATATACAACCAGACCGCTTATCCCTTCCTTCCCCTCCCCCCCCAGGTCCTGGCCGCCTTCCTGAAGGCCATCGGCCACATCATCCCCCTCATGGACGCGGAGCACGCCTTCTACTACACGCGCGAGGTGATGGTGGTGCTGCGCCGCGAGTTCAACACGCCCGACGAGGAGATGAAGAAGATCGTGCTCAAGGTGGTGAAGCAGTGTGTGGGCACGGAGGGCGTGGAGCCCGACTACATCCGTTCCGAGATCCTGCCCGACTTCTTCAAGGCCTTTTGGAACCGGCGCATGGCGCTGGACCGGCGGAACTACAAGGCGCTGGTGGAGACCACGGTGGCGCTGGCGAACAAGGTAGGACGATAGGACAGGGGGCGGGGGGTGTACGGAAGAGGTAGGGAAGCGCCCTGCAAGAGGGTGAGGCTGTTAGAGCTGGCGGGGGGGGAATTTCGGCATGGAGATTTTGGCCTGCTTTTTCCAGGCGGCGAAAAAACCTGATGAACAGCCACGAAAAGGACAAGGAGCTTGGGTCATCATTCCCAAGGGGAAAGCCCCATTCCCTTCTCGAAGCATGATAGGAAAAGACCATACCTAGCCCCCTCCCTCACCCCTCCTCCCTCACCCCTCCTCCCACACCCCTAGGTTGGCTGCTCCGACATCGTGTCCCGCGTGGTGGAGGACCTGAAGGACGAGAGCGAGCCGTACCGCCGCATGGTGATGGAGACCATCGACAAGGTGATCAGCGAGCTGGGCGCGGCGGACATTGACGCGCGGCTGGAGGAGCTGCTCATCGACGGCATCCTGTACGCCTTCCAGGAGCAGGTGGGGAGAGGGAGAAGGGGTGGGAGGAGGGAGGAGGGTCTGGTTAGCCTGGCTTTCCCATAACCCCCTCCTCCATTAGGGGAGGGGCGAAGCCAACTAGCCTGCCGAATCCAAATAAAGAGTTATTCAAGCCAAGACGGGGGAAGGAAAGGGCTGGGGTTGGCGGGTCGGGAAGCGGTTCGGATGGTTGGACGCTTGCAACAACTCGTCATCGTTTTATTCCCGACCCTTCATTCCTCGCCCCCCCCCCCCCACCCCTCCTCCACCTCCCCTCAGGTTGCCGACGACTCCCCCGTCATGCTCAACGGCTTCGGCACGGCGGTGAACGGGCTGGGCAAGCGCGCGCGGCCCTACCTGCCGCAGATCTGCGGCACCATCAAGTGGCGCCTCAACAACAAGAGCGCCAAGATCCGGCAGCAGGCGGCCGACCTGATTGCGCGCATCGCACCCGTCATGAAGCAGTGCGACGAGGAGGGGCTGCTGGGACACCTGGGTGGGTGCGGGGGGGGGGAGGGGGGGGCTGGGGCTGGATAGGGGAGGAGGGTGGGGCTGGATAGGGGAGGAGGATGGGGGAAGGTTGGTGGGTTTTGCCTGCCGGACTTGAATGGGAAGGCGAACTAGGATGTGTGTTTTTATCCGGCAACAAGGCGGTTGAAAACGGTTAAAGGACGACATGTTTCTTAACACTATCAACCTAACCTCCTCCCCTCCTCCGCGGCCCCCTCCGCTGCCCCCCCCAGGTGTGGTGCTGTACGAGTACCTGGGTGAGGAGTACCCCGAGGTGTTGGGCTCCATCCTGGGCGCCCTGAAGGCCATCGTCAACGTGATCGGCATGACGCGCATGACGCCGCCCATCAAGGAGCTGCTTCCCCGCCTCACGCCCGTGCTCAAGAACCGGCACGAGAAGGTGCAGGAGAACGTGATCGACCTGGTGGGGCGCATCGCGGACCGAGGACACGAGTACGTGCCGGCTCGCGAGTGGATGCGCATCTGCTTTGAGCTGCTGGACATGCTCAAGGCGCACAAGAAGGCGATTCGGCGAGCCACGGTCAACACGTTTGGCTACATCGCCAAGGCCATCGGACCGCAGGTGGGTACGGGAGGTTGAAGGAGAGGGGAGGGCGCGGGGATGCCATGGTGCTGTGGTGTGGACTGTGGTGTGGAAAATGGAACGCCTTCCTAACTTCCTTCCATCCTTTGGGGGGAAGAGGGCGTGTGAAAGCCCTTATGGCGGAAGGAGTCAACACTTCCCACCCCCAACGCCTCTCTCCTCCCCTCCCTCCCCCCAGGACGTGTTGGTGACGCTGCTGAACAACCTGAAGGTGCAGGAGCGCCAGAACCGCGTGTGCACCACCGTCGCCATCGCCATCGTGGCGGAGTCCTGCCAGCCCTTCACCGTGCTGCCGGCGCTCATGAACGAGTACCGCACACCCGAGCTCAACGTGCAGAACGGAGTGCTCAAGGTGCGGCGGGAAGGGAGGGGGGGGGGAGGGAAGGAATTGGGGGGAGGAGGGGCAGTGGTGAAGGGGCAACAGGCACACAGGCAGTGCGCGGGAGCCGCATGCATGCATGCTTGGGAGTGCATGACCCTAACCGGGCCGCCTGCAGCGTATCGCTGTTCTGTTCTGGGGTCGAAAACACAAGGAATACCGCTAGAGAAGCCAACCATGAGCAGTTCAGCACCCCTCAACATCCCTTATCAACCCCTAATCTGCCCTAACCCGCCCCACCCGCCCCCACCCCCAGGCCCTGTCTTTCATGTTTGAGTACATTGGCGAGATGGGCAAGGACTACATCAACGCCGTGACGCCGCTGCTTGAGGACGCGCTGATGGACCGCGACCTGGTGCACCGGCAGACGGCCGCCAGCGTGGTGGGGCACATGAGCCTGGGGGTGGCGGGGCTGGGCTGCGAGGCGCCGCTGGTGCACCTGCTCAACTACGTGTGGCCCAACATATTCGAGGTGTCGCCGCATGTGGTGCAGGTGAGCGGGAGGTTGGGGTGAGGTGGGTTGAGGTGGGATGGGGTGCGTTGGTGTTGAGAAAGGGGGGGTGCGTTGGGTGGTGCTGGGGCCAGGGGATGCGTTGAAGCCGTGTGGTGGCTGGTTCAAACAGTTGGACAACGGCAGTCGTGTCTGTTCGCAACTGCTGATGGTTACGTGATGCAGGTGTGATGCGCTGTAGTGCCTGATGCCAAGCCGTTGCAAGCTTACAACACAATTCACCGTTGCCTTGTCCCTCCCACCTCTCCCCCCATCCCTCCTCAGGCTGTGGGTTTTGCGATCGACGGCTGCCGCGTGGCTCTGGGTCCCTGCCTGGTGCTGCACTACGTGCTGCAGGGGCTGTGGCACCCGGCTCGCAAGGTACGGCAGGTGTACTGGAAGCTGTACAACAACCTGTACATCGGCGCGCAGGATGCGCTGGTGGCCTGCTTCCCAGACATGCCGGACGAGGAGAACGGCGGGGGCGGCGCGGGAGGCGGCAACACCTATGCACGACACGAGCTGGATATGATGATTTAGAGGTCCATGTGGGAGGTGGGGATGTAGTGTGTGTTGGCTGTTGTAGCGGTGCGTGACCGTGTGCTCGTGTATGGAGAAGTGTTGTTGTGGGTGTGTTGCCGTGTGTTGCTACCACGGTGTTAGGTGGTGCGTTGCAGAGCGTGTAGGTCGAGGAGTAAGGCTGCTTTGCGTAGCTGTGCGTGTAGCCTTTCTGCATAGGGTATAATTCCGTTTAGCGTGTCGTCGGCATGCGTGCGTGTGTTCGCAGGAATGCAAACCAGCCCGTATCCAGTAGGACGGGGGATGTTGATGAGTAGCGGGCCAGTATTAGCGTACCGCACAACGACGCTGGACATTGTGATGCGTTCGGACGCTAGGAGGATTCTTAGTGGCGGACAGCCAGGACGAGGAACGCAGCTTGGTTGCGGAAATGTGTGCCGGACGTCGTCATGGGCTTGTATTCGGGTGTGTATAGCTGGTAATGAACGATGCTGTTACATTAACGAACGATGCTGCATGGGTTGCATTTTGCATGAGAATCTCAGTGGGGTGGATAACAGGGTGTGCGCCGGGTTGGTTGCTGCCGAGTACCGTATCTGGGTTAGTTGCTGAGAGCGATGTAGTAGTACCGGTACTGCGTGTCGCGGCTCGGGAGTCAGGACACACCAAGCGGGTGGTCGTAGTGGTGGCGGTGTTGGGACCGCAGTACCAGGCCAGGCCACGCAGGCGTGCAGTTTTCGACATGCTATGGCTCTCCCACGTGGAGGGCTGCGGCGCTCTCAAGCAATCATGGCTGCTGTTGTTAATCAACGTCTCGCCTTTACTCCAACGCCCCTACACCTGACGGCAGGTCCCCAATCACACCACCTAATAGCACAAGGCCCAGCAACATTGCCCGCTGGTGTCCCATCCACCCACAATTCCATTCCATTCCCCTAACGTGCGGTTTCAGCTACAGTACACCGACGCATGTGTGAGCCAGGCTCGCACATCACTCCCATTGCACCAGCTCCGGCCACTGCCCACTGGCCGCCGCCTCCAGCGCCCATTCATGTTCCTGGTACGCCGCCGCCATCACCGCCAAGGCCGCATCATCCACCGCCACCGCCGTACCTCCCGCAGCTGACTCCACACCCGCCACGCCACCCCCAGCAGTGCGGGCTGCAAAGGCAGAGGGTACCTTCACAACCCGGGTGCCTGGGGGCCTCCTACTGGGCCGCTGCAAATGAGCTGATCCAGCCGGCAACCATATCAACCGCCGCCATCCCAACGGCTCACCATGACCCAGCAACTCCTGCTCTACCCCGCCCTGTGCCGTACCCTGTGCCGTGCCAGCACTCTTATCCCCCACTTGGACGGCGATGACAGCGCTCTTCTCCTGCTTGTTAACAACAGGGCCGCAACGGCTCTCCGCGCTGTGCGTGCTGACCTCTGCACCCACAGGTGTGGCCACGCATACCGCCAGACCCAGCAGAGGTGGTGGCGGCGGCGGCCAGCGGCCACCCCATTCATCTCCGCCCCCGCCTGTAACTGCGCCTGTACTGGTGCCAGCGCCGCTATTGCCCCTTTGTAATGACGGAGGCGGGTACGGCAAGCCAGGCGTGTACGGCTCTTCCAGGAGGTCTTCTGTCATACCTTGCCGGAACAGCGCTGCATGCAGGGAGGGCCAGCTGGGTAGACGGCTTCTGCTGGGTGGCGGACCTGCCCCAAATCCCAAAGGTGCTGCTGCTGCTGACAAGAGTGATGGAAATGGTGGTGGTGACAGTGTCGGCGAACCTGGCGCTGATGTGAGAAGAGCCCGCACCAGTGCGGCAGCTAAGCGCCTGTCTCCCAGCCGCCATGGGGGCCCTAGAGCCGCTGCTGCTGCTGCAGCTGCTGCCACAGTCATTGTCGTTGTATTGTACGGCAAGCCTGTACGATGCACGGCAACCGCTCCCGTACGGTTTTTGATCCCGGATCCTATTCCTGCACGTTCGGCCGCACGGCTCATTGCCTCTCGTAGTGCAGGCGCACAAGCTGCATGCAGGGCTGCTGCTGCAGTGCTGCGGGCGGTTGGGAGCCCCCCGGTGAAGGCGCCTCCAAGGAGCTGGCTGTAGCTCCAGGGGCTGCATCCCGGGGGCTGCAGCCACCTCCTCAGTACGGAGCCGTACGGAGGAGCTGCTGCTGCTGTGGGTGGAGATGCTGAGGCGGCAAGTGTGGAGGCGGTGAGTACCGGATCAGAGTTGGGCAGCGCAGCAGTGACAGCAGCAACGCAGGCGGGGTGAGGTACCAGACGTAGGGCGCTCTTAGGGACCACGTGCTCCCACCACACGCCCTGTGCAGCACATAACGGTACAGGTAATAGGCGGCGGGGCAGCAGTAAAGGACAGCGAGTTGAGCCTACACATCTTTGCTGGCAATACTCAATACGGTAACCGGTTGTTCGTGTGCGGTTGCCTGGCAGCGCTACAGTGTTTGGGGCAGCTTCAGAGCCCAGCAGCCTAGCCCCAACACCCTGCCCCCGGTCGCCTTAACCCCGACACCCTGAAACCGGACACGCCCTTACCCGGCTAAGGAAACCTCCCCCTCCTGCTCCTTACCTTCGTGGGGCCCCTGCTGTCATGCGCCAGGTAGTACTCACACCAGCTGATGTATGGGGGCACGGGAGGGAGGGAGGGCGTGCTGAAAGGAAAGCATGATGTACGGGGTAGGGGCGCCGCTTTATTTACTACAATCCCACCCATGGAGTCCTAGCAAACGGGCCCTTAAAACACACCTCCGTCACACAGACACCTCTTTCTCTCACAGCTCATCTGGGTCATCTCATATCTCACCGGGTGGGTAGCGGCCCCGTCAGCACCTGCAGCGGCCAACCTCGCTCCGCTGCTGCCACTGCCGCCCGGCGGCCCTCCATCCCACCCGCCACTGCGGCAGCAGCAACAGCAGCAGAAGCCAGCTGCAAGGGAGGGCCTCCCCCTGCTGCTGCTGCTGTTGTTGCTGCTTCGGGAGTTGCTGCTGCTGTTGGAGGGGTTGCTGCTGCTGTTGCTGCTGCCGCTGCTGGGGTTGCTGCGACTGTTCGCGATAGCTTCAGCGGGGCCCACTTGTTCATGGTTCGGTGCAGCAGCAGCGGCTGACCGGTGGTGGGATGGTGCTGTGTGAATCCCACTAGCTGCCAGCCGTGAGTGGGGGACGGAGGAGGGGCGAATGCAGGAGGAGGAGGAGCAGGTGCAGGAGGAGAGGATGCAGCAGCAGCAGCAGCAGGAGGCGGTGCAGGGGCAGGCAGCGGGGCCTTCACCTCCAGCGCGTTCCGACCCCATTGGAAGGCTCCCCCTGTGGGCCGGGTACCGTGTGGCGACCGCGGGTACCGGTATCGGTATCACGGGTAAGTCGCGGGGAGCTCGGGACCTTCGGACTGCAGCACGCAGCACAAAGAGTAGCCTAACACAAGAATAGCCTAACCAAGGGGAACCCTGGGCATGCTTGTCATGCAGCGAGTGCGCAAATACGGTACAAAGAGGGCAGCTCCTCCTCCTATCTACCGGTATGTCCTATGTCCTATCTCACCCCCCTTCTCCCTCCTGTCACCCCCACGCACGCTCAACCCCAGCCCCCCTCGTACCGGGCGGTGTGGCAACCTGCCAGTAGCAGTGCGCCTTCCCCGCCACCGCGAATGCGGCCGCGAAGGTGTCCTTGTCGCCGTGCAGCAGCCGGTGGTACAGGCGGTCGCCGAAGGAGTTTATCCACCTGGGGTCGTGCGCGAGGGTCGGGGAAGGGTTGGTTGGGAAGCTTACAGGTTAGGAAAGCCGCCCCCGCTGTCATCCCACCGGCATCCTGCTCCCATCCCCCCACTCACGAAAGGGGTAGTAACCCTGCCCCCCAATCACCCCCACCAGAGGTACTCCAGCACATCTGCATGCGCTGCCCGGTCGATCAGTACGGCACCGCTCTCCGCATCCCGTCGAGGCCAGCGAAACCCGCTGCGTCCAGGAGTGGCACCATCATCGCCTCCAGCTGTAGCGTCATCTTTCCTGCTGCCGCCACTGCCACCATCGCTGCCTGGATAGCCACCGACTGCTGCCGCTGCTGCCTCCGCGGTTGCGGGGCTCGGAAGCAGGTTGAGGGCGGCCTGTGCAGCAGGCCATGCGCGTGTGTATACGACTTTCATGAGTGATTTAGAAGGTAAGTATTGAATTACGGTAAGCTCTTCCCTTGACACCGTCATCCCCATCATAGGGCTAGCAGCATGACACGGATGACACCCTCTCCCCAACCACCCAACCAACCAACCAAACCAACCAAACCAACCAAACCAACCGCCCAATCGACTACCCAACCGCCCACCCACCCAAACCCCTTACCCGAGCTGCCCGCGGGTCCAATCCCAGTTCCCGGTAGGCTCCCTCGCCCGCCCAGCCCCGCCAAGCATCCGGCCACACCACCACTCCACGCACGTGCCGCCCCACTGCCGCCGCACCACTGCTGCTGCTGCTCCTGCTGCTGCCATTGCTGCTTAGGCCCTGAGATTGTTCATGCTCCCCAATTGGTTGCATGGGGTTTGCATGCTCGTCTCCCCCCTGCTGCTGGAGCTCCAGGGGCCTCTGCAGCAGCAGCGGCAGCAGGGTGACCCGCGGGTCGGCCAGCGGCAGGATGTCCGCATCCAGCAGCAGCACTCGGCGGAACCGTGAGGAGGCGAGCAGCGCAAATACCTTGGCGCCCCAGTGAGTGATTTTGGGAGGTCTGCGGTGGTGTTCCGGGTACGGCATTCGACTGAGATCCAATCCGTACACAGGTCCTAAGCCTGCTGCGCGAAGTTTGGAAATGAAGGGCTGCTGCTCCTTTTCCTCTTCCTCTGCCCCTGCATCCCCATCATCATCCTTGGAGGCGGCGTCACTGCTGTTACCGCTACTGCCTGAGAGGGTACTGCTGTTACTGCTGTCCCTGCTGCCAGTGTTGCCGCTACCGCCCCCCAGCTCCTCCGGTCCCGCCCAGGCCACCTCCACTGGCAGCGTGCAGTTGAGGTGGTGCCTGAGGACCTGCGCGGGGCTCATGGGGGTTATAGATTAACTGAGCTGTGGAAACACTGACCCAGACCGTAGCTCATGGGAGGCCAAAAAGGAGTTGGAATCGGGTATCTGATGGGAAAGCGGTGTCCAATTTGAGCGATGCAGCTACATCGTGCATCTCCCAAACACACGCTACACACACCCTAGACCCCCCTCCCTCCCTGCTCTCCCTCCTCCTTGGCATTTTACCCATAGCCTACCGTACCCCTGCCGTACACACCCGCAGCAGTACCACCAGATTCGTCAGCAGCCGGGGCCCCCCGGCGCTGATGAGGATGCCCTCGGGGGCACAACCCGCCTCGACAGCCCCACCACCGCCGTCACGGCCGCCGTCACTGCCACCGCCGGTGCTGGTGCTAGCATCAGTTCTGCGCGCCGTACATCTGTCAAGCGCTTGCAGCTGCCGTATGCGCGCGCGGAAAGCGGGCGAGGCCAAGTAGCCCTCCACTCGGCGCCTGCAAGACAGGGTGATACCGGTACCGCGAACCGCATACCAACGCGTCAAGAAAACTGGCCGCAAGTAGGAGAGTCTACTGGACTGTGCGTGTATGTGTGTGTGTGTTTGGCGGAGGTGTGTTACACAGCAAGCACGATACCCACCCTGGAGGCCCAGATCCAGTCGCTCCTGAATTCACGGCCCCAACCGCCATTCCCCAGCCCCGTCCTTCCCCACCCCTAAACGCACTCATCACCTGTACAGAGCCATCTCTGGGTCCGGTACGGGACGCAAGTACGGATGTTCCGACGATCCCTCGGGCCGTACGGGTACACCGTACAACGGTTCCTCACAGGACGGCAGTGTATTAGTGGTGCGTGACGACGTAACGCTCACGCCGCGACGGGCGACGACCTCCTCCCTGCCTTCTTCCTTCTGCTCATTGCTGATAGAGATCCCGGCAGCGACCCGACTGCTATCACCCTTGTCCACTCTGGCATTCCCAAGGACTCCTTCTCCTCCTACACGTCCTTCTCCGCTGTCATTGAACCCGCCACCTCCGCTTCCGCTACTGCTGCCGTTGTCGCTGCTGATTGTAAACGATTGCCGTACGACCATGTCCGGTACGGCACCTTCCTGCCCGCCGTTATTTGAAAGCCTTGCTGTTGCAGCGGCCTCAGCTGGCCGTACGCGGTGTGGTTTCCTATCGTACGCAGTCTGTTGGGTCCAGTTTGGGGCTGCAAGTACGGAGAAGAGCACAAGGACCTGCGCGGATAAAGCCGGCACGTTAAATTCTACATGGACAGGATGGGCTCCTCTCGGTCTTGAGACTGGTTACTCTCAGAGCGCACTCATACCGTACTACCATGCGTTGGTGAACACTGCAGGCGTTCTTTAACGGAACCGAAACGGAAGTAACGTGGGTCACCAGCTCTCAGCCGTCGGGAGCTAAGGGACCGCCTGCGTCACCTTTCTCGCTTCATGCAAGATGCAACCTACCACACCTACCGCACATGTTCCGAGCGCTAGCACTGCTCTCCACTGCCACCCACTGCACCGGGCAGCCCTAGGAACCCCCGCCGCTGCCACCGCCGCAGGAGCACTAGGCAGCTGGCTGCTGAAAACACACGAGCGCTTCTCCAGGAAGCGCCCGCAGCTAGTCAACATGAGACGGAACGCACAGCTGACGCAGCTGGCGCAACCACCGCAGCAGCAGTAGCGGGAGCGGCATGCGTTGTGGCCCCTTCTCGGCTCTTCTCTGCCGGCCATGCGTATGGGGAGTCGTATGCCCCGGGTGCGCCGGCTGCTCTCTGGTCCGCTACGGTGCGATGTACCAATGTGCCCACTTAGCTCCCACTGGTTAAGGTATCAAGGCTTCACAGGATGAGATTGATGTCCCGCCGCAACGCTGTTGGGCTAATAATGCCTGCGTCAGGAAATGCACAAAATGGCATTGCTGCTGCTTCCGGTATACAGCGACAGCTCTCATACACAATGCACGTTGGGAAATGCTTGAATTAGCAGTAGGCTTGGTTCATATGTTGCGTTGAGCTATGGAGCAAATGGCGAGGCGTGCAAGCAAGCAATGATAACGAAGCGTTGGGCGCAGGGGAGGAGGGTTTAGAGCAGCGCTGCTTTCTTCTGTAAAGTATTGGTAGCGGATTCAAATTGGAAGAACACATGAGAGGCGAGTAAACTGTGAGATCATGCAAGCGGTTGGCTGAGGCGTCCCTCGGGACACTGCGTCGCGACCATGTTGGAAAACGCTTAATAATACCGTTTCATACAAATACAGTTCAACTACATTTTGCTTTTCCACTGCAGGCCAGCGACTTTATAGGTTATTATGGCGAAGTTTTGGAGCGTGCGTTAGGCAAGCCCTGGCTCGGCACTATGAGCTAAGCCATAGGCTGTTTAACAACACCATGGCGCTCCCATGTTCGCTGAGCAACCATATGCGCATGAAAGCGTCTTGTCGCAAAGATACCCCCCGGTTTTGCACGTCGTTATTAAAGCAAGCGAAGCCCAACACGCGATTTCGTTCTGCACTAGTACTCTTGATTGCCTAACAAGAACTATTACCACAATTCATCAAACAGAGTTGCAGCAAAGACAGCTGCGAAAGACGGAGCCATGGGTGCTGCTGGCGACCAGCTTGAGCTTGTCTACGAAGACGAGCTGGATGACAGCTTTACGGGGCTTGCGGTGAGTGCATACGGCTGCTCCTTGGCGCGGGGGTCGGCATCACTTCAATGGTTACGCTCTTCCAACCGACCGCCCCTCACAACATGGCTGCTGCCTGCTCCCGAAGTTTACACCCCAAGCGCCTACCACATGCGTGCAGAGCGAAGACGGGCCGATGACTGTTGCCGGGTTCGGCAGCTTGCTTTCTGGTAAGGTGCTTTTAACACGGACGTTCCTCCTTCCCAACGACCCTGATACCAAGCCAACATCTCCATCGCCCCCTCCTCCTACCACATGCTTACCATGCCACCATCAACACCAGAGCGAAGCGCTCGCTACACCTTCCCCAACCTCACGGACTTTCGACTGGGCAAGGTAGGCATGTGCGGGGTTGAAGGGCCTGTGCGGGGCTACAGCATGGGACGGATGGGATGGATTGCAATGGGGTTATGTACGCATGGCTTGACGTGACTGCAAGCCAATTCTGGTGACGTCACCATCCCCACCTCGCAGGTTAACGCAGTGCTCGCCTCTCGCTCCTCCCCACCTTCCCTCCTCCTCACCCAGCCTCCCTCTTCCCCACACACGCCCCCCCTCCCCCCAGGTCCACGGCTGGCGCCGTGTGTTTGCGCATACAGCCGACGTGTTCTTCGCACGTGGCATTGCGAGACCAGACACGGTGTGTATGGGATGCGTGACACCACCCCTACTTGGTGCTGGCGACGGTGCTGGCGCATAGGGGCCTGGGAGCCCTTCGTTAGGCATTGCATGCGCCCCCCCTCTCGGCCCCTCTGCCCCCCCCCCACCACCGCACGGGGGCCGCTGCTTGCAGGCCGAGATAGCGAGCCTGAGCCTGGAGCGATGCGAACCCACATCGCAACAACCCCAATGGGGCGTGTTGGTTGCGCAAGCCACAGCGGGGGCTCCGGAGGGACTGCCTGCGCCGGTGGCGGCAGCGGAGGCGGCCACACCAGCGGTAGCAGCAGCAACTCCTGCGGCCGTGGTTGTCTCGCTGTTCGAGGTACCTGCCACCCCCGCCAGCGTGGCGGCATTCATAGCACGGGAACACGAGTTCCGGTTTGTGGCGGTTGAGCCGACTGACATGGAAGGGAGACCCGTGGGACGCAAAGCGGTGAGTGAGTCAAGGATTGCTCGGGGTTAAAGGTGTTGACGCAACAGCCACTTTCCGTAGGACAGTGGATAGGGATAGTGGGTAGGGATGGTGGATGCTTTCCGCCTCCTTCTCCACCACCTCACAGTAACCGGTAGGCCCCCCTCCTCACCCCTTAACCTCGTCTCCCCAAAGGTTATCTGCGCGCGGAATACGGACGCCGACTACCGCCGGCTGCGCTGCCCGCCCGACGAGTGGGCTCGACGCTGGTCGCCGTACGGCATAACCCGCGTATGGCGGGATGATGTACTGCCCTGCCGTACTTACCTGCGTCACTGTGTGCTGGCGGCCCGGGCGCTGGGGCCGCAGGCGGAGGAGGCTTTCCTGCAGGGGACCTTCCTAGCGGACAGGTGAGTGTTGGGAGGGTGGGGCTGACGGTGGGAGGGTGGGGCTGACGGTGGGAGGGTACAGGTGGGTGCGGTGTTGCAGGTGGGTGAGAGGAGCAGCGGGCCGGTCGGGACTGGCTGGCAGGTACACCATGTGCGAGGATTACAGTCCTCAGGATGCGCAGCTGACCCACGGGGCGTTAACCCCGTGCGTTTTCATACCTTTAACACAGGAGGACGACGATCGCGGAGCACCTGGCTCGCAATCCGGACATCATGGAGGAGCGGCCGCCTCCAGAGCTGTCGGAACGGTACAACGGTTAGGAGATACCGGTAATGCCGCTGTTGTGCCGTTCCAACGACTGTTGTACGGCAACAGTTGTTTCGTGGAACGGGGCTTTACGCAAGTGAGAATCGTCTCTATTCAATGGCATAAATGGCAGTTGCTGCCACGGTAAGCCACCTGGGTGGAAGGTTGCACAGGAAGTGATGTTGGACGCCGGGATTGATAATACCGGTGCGCGTAAGTTGGCAAGAAGCTCGTCATGATTTGGACGAGCTATCCGCGCTGATCCCGGATCTGGGTAAAGTCAGCTTTGTATTTAGCAGGTTATGCGTGCTGTATGGGTTCAACCGTGAACCACACCCCTTTCGCGCGCGATCCGGAGAAGATACCCTAATCAGCACAGGCTTGGAACCCAGCTTCGTGGGTGTCCATGGCCCAGATTAGGCCATTTAAAGCAAGTTGCTAATACGGCAGCTTTCGTACGTCAGGTAAAGATGCACGCAAGCCTTTATATGAATGGATGGTGTTCCCTTGTTGTTGCTGCTACTGTTCCCTTGCGTGTGCCTCCTGGACAACATGAAGATCGATGTATAACCCACATCAGCCCCGAATACCCCTTGCGCGCTTGCAAAGACATGCACACGTCAGCATACATTACATTGACATGTACCATGTCAGTTTACGCGCCAGGTAGTTAGTTGTCTGTACAGCGGTGTCGTGGATTGTTATCGCCGGTCGTAGCAAGCACGCGCTCTCCCCACTCGCAGGCATGTACATACATAGGGCGCGCCACGTCTCAGATCCACCCAAGGTCACACGAGAAAACAGATACATGGTTGTGAAGGGGTAAAAACGACGCCAGTCTTTGTTATAAGTTTAGACGTGTCACGTCAGCATGCACGGTCATTATGTTGTTGCTAGCCAGACATGCCGGTAGTATCACCACAACCAGCACCTCTAATCGGTAAACCACCGCATCCCCCAAGCCCATGCAAAGACAGCCTTGGGCGTCATCCAGCCTCCCCATCTTCAGAGAAAAAGGGAGCATCAACGCCCCTTCTTCCTATGGCTCACATATCCTCCCTGTACCCCACCTCCTGCACCCCAAAATGCGCCCGGTTCTGCCACACCCCACACCCTTTTCCGTCCCGTCCTTTTCTTCCTCCACCTACTCCGCCTCCAGCACACCGCCTCCCCGCCGTGTTGCCCACTCCCTCCTCCGCTCCACTCCACAGCGCACAGCACGACAGCGCGGCTCCCCGCACACTCCCCGACAGGAACCAGCAGTCGGCAGCCACTCCAGCCCCTCTCCTCCTTACGTGGCGGTGGCCGGGGCGCCCGGCGCTCCCTTCTTGGCGGGCACCAGGAAGGTCTCCAGCTGCTGCTTGAGCTGCTTCGCGTAGTTCTCCAGGTAGGCCACCTCGTCCTTGTGCTTCTTGGCGTCCACCTCGCGCCGCTCGCTCTCGCGCTTCTCAATGGCCTCGCACTTGAACTTCCACTCCTGGACCTGTGGGGGGCGGAGGGAAGGTTGGGGAAAGGGAGTTGGGGTGGGAGCATGGGCTTGGTTGGGGGATAGGCGGCAGCTGCAGCTATACGCCTAGGGAAGGCAGCGACGGCTTTGGGTGCTGTCGGACCGGATGCGTGCGCATGCAGCGTTGGTCGCGCTAGCGGTCGATGTAGGTGCAGTTAACCTAAGCCCCGGTACTGGTGAAGCGGCCATGGGCAATCCACTGTGCTGCGCCGAGTGGTGTGACACACGGAGGCGGCATGCGAGCCAGTGCTCCTGCTCCCACTCGGAACAGCGCGGCACACTAATCCACATGGGAACCCACACAGCCCCCATCGCTAGCCTGCCTACCCTAGCAAAGCATACATACCGTACTCCCCCAGCTCCAGTAACCGCATCCAAAAGCTCCAACCCAGATCGCCCGTCTCTGGCTATATACAGGCTACGCCCCATGCGGGTAAGTGGGCCGCACCACACACGCCGTGCTGCCCCCACTGCCTCGCCCTACATCTAGCTTTCATTCCATCTTCGTATTTGGTGGTAGGCACCTAACTAACCCCTATAAAACCCCAGTCGCATGGCCCACCGTACCTGGCGCTCCAGGTCCTTCACGTCCGCCTCCAGCTGCGTGATCCGCGACTCCATCTCGCTCTTGCCCTGCTCCGTCTGCAGCGCTTTCCGGATGCCGAACGCCACAGCGCTCTCGTACAGGGTCTACAAAGGGATAATGAGAGGTGCGAGGCCGAGAGTGAGGACGGCTCATGACGGCTGCACAACAGAGCAGGTGGCCGTGCGCTATCCAACCGGCTAGGCGACAGGCGCCTCGGGGATATCCGTTAGCCTTTGGGAAGCCCAGAAGACAGTGGGTGCTTGTCACGCGGTTAGTTACGGCAAGTTCCTGGGTAGACAACGCAGCTCCACCTGGGTGACCCCTCTATCGCGGTGACCCCTGGCACACATACCTGGTATGCTGCAATCGTCATGCGCATTTCATCACGCACACGCAGTAGGAGGAGACCGCGCTCGGCGCAGTTGATGGTGACTTGCCGGATAAGCTCATCGAACGTCTGTGCGTACAGCTCCTCGCGGATGGGGCAAATGCCCGTTTCACGTGCCTGCGGTTTTCCTCATGTGACTATCTCTGTATTTGTAGGTATCGTCAAAGCGTATAGAACCGCACCTGTCGCTGCTGCAGCTGTTGGTCTAGCTTCTCCTGCAAATTTATGACATCCAAGCGCGTCGCAGGAGTGCTGGAAACGTATTGAACCCAGAGCTGGCCATCCTCCGTCCATTCCCTGTAAAATCGTGGGATATTGGCTCAGGCGAAGCCATAAGAGCAGCGTACATGGCGCGGCTTCGCACCTAGGCGGTAGGATAGAGTTGAGGATATCCTCTGTTTGTGTCAATCCAGGCTTTTGTTCCACTGGTGGCAAAGCACCCTGTCGTCCGGGAAAACCGAAGTCAGCGGTTGCACAAGGGTCCTCGAAGACCTTGGCATGCGAACCTTCTTTCCAGGCGTCCCCTTCGCGCCCTTTCCCTTGTCCTTGCTAGTGCTAACTAAGACAGGGTTATCATATCTAACAAGGGATGAAAGAGGTGGAATCATGGCTGGCAGCGCGGCCGGGGCAGTCCCGGCGCAGCTCGTAAAAGAGTCAACTGTAAAAGCTTAAGCCTATCGTTAATAACTTGTGAAGGTAGGGTGCTTTTACAAGTGCGACTATAAGGAACGCTATGCTTTGCTATGGATTGCCAGTTAATTCTCACAACATGCCGTACTATTGTGCTGTGGATACGTGAAAGGAAGCCTTCTTTGCGGTATGTACAGCCTAAATAAGGGGAAGCGCTGTCAACCTTCAGCTTAAATGTTGCAATGGCAGATGGGAGGTTTGTCCGTTAGTTGACGGTAGCCCGGGCTAAGTTGGTGAGCATTCGACAGATGGTACACGCCACCCTGCGAGCCACCAACGACCGTGCGCTCTGTGAGTGTGGACGCTTCTATGGCAGCGGTTACAGTCTGGGTGCCACATGGGCACGTAAACCTACCCCTGCTCTCGTACGGATGTTTTATCCCTCAACCCTACCCCACAGCCGACCCACATCCAGCGATCCAGGTATGCCAAGGACTTAAACGAAACCAACATGCACATGTATCAGCAGTATTCGCCCATATATCACGTACTGACTACCTCAACGTCCTCCAAATTCATCAAGCCCCGTGTTGTGCCTCGGCACGGCACTTCCCCACATCACAGGGCCAGACGCTCCATAGCACGAACATGGACGCCCCTTGCCTTCAAAGCGTCTGTATATCCAAAGATCCATAAAACTGATCACGTGAGAACGCACGCCATCCCTCACAGTTCGAGCGGCCCCGGCAAGGATGCTCCCCTGACCGGGATTCATATATGACGCTCCTTTTCAGCTGCAGCGCCGTCTGCTTCGCCCTTCCCTCCAGGGCCTCGTCCCTTATCCACCGGTTGGCCTCCCCTGCCCCAACCGCACCCGTCTGGCCCAATCCGCTTGCTAGCCCGGTCCTAGTCCTAGCATGGAAAGCCCGTGGTCAACGGTCAAACGACAACGCCGGCCATGATGTTTCATTAACACGAGCCACACTCCAGCTTCGAATGCCTATTTCCACATGCCACGTACCGCAGTTGCTGTCGTGTACGACACATCAACGTGTACGGCGCGCATCATTTAATCGTCGTACACGCGGCACTCATCAGCGTCCGGCGAGTCCTTGCAGAACTGCTCCAGGGGGTCCTTGCTGGCCACCGCGGCGTCCAGCGCGGTGGCGATTGCCTCAAAAACCTCCGCCATGGACTGGGTGCCGTCGATCTGTGGGGGTGTAGGGAGGGGCCATGGCAGGGCACGGGGCAGGCATGGGGTAGGACGTTAAAAGTAGGGAAGGAAGCAGCATGGGGCGTGGGGGGAAGGGCAGGGTTGGTGCGTCGGCAGTATAACTCGTGTGGGTCAAGGGTACGGAGCGCAGCACGCTTGCAGCTGTTCAAGCATCTGGGACGCCCCCATGCGACCCAGATGCTTGAAGTACAACAGACAAGGCAACAAGTGCGCAACTTGGAGCCTCAACTGGCGGCCGGCCTCCTTCTTTCGCCACCCCGCCCACCTTGCCCTGCTGCTGCCACATCATGCCTTCTCCCAAGCCCCGCGCACCGCCTGGCCATCCTAGCCCGTCCCAAATGGCACCCTTCTGCCCCTTTGCCGGGCATGGGCATCCCCTGTCCCCGCGTCCCGGGCGCGGCCCTCCCATCATCCTCCCTTCCCGACCCGCGGGTCACTTACGTCGACCTTGCAGTCCGTGTAGTAGCCCACCACGGCATCCACGTTGGCGTTGTGGGTGGCCACACGCACGCGGCACTGCGAGCGGGAAGGAGGAAGGGGGGGAGGGAGGGAGGGTTGGCGAGCAGCAGGTGGGTAGGCAGCCGGGGGCCAGGTGAGGCCAGAGGGTGGTGTTGGTAGAGGCTACCGTACTCCTTGCTGCTGATTCCTGCTGATCTGTCGCCCTTGCGCGGCATGCCAACCGTGCGACTCCTCCTCCGGCCACCCGCCATCCAGGGCCCTGAGAGCCCCATGTGGTCGCTGCAGGTGGGTCGCTGCAGAACACACAGCTGTCTCCACGGCTGGCCCGACTCAACTCCAGCTGGCTCCACTCCAGCTGACCCCGGCTGGCTCCACTGCAGAAGCCGCCCCGGAGTCGTCCTCGGGTGCTGCTCCACTCCTCCCTGCTGCCTGAATGCGCTCGCGGCGGACCACGTACCGTCCGCATCCCCAGCCCCGTGCCCCAGCCGGGATCTCCCTTGCCTCTCTGACCCAGATCACAAATGAAGTTTAGTGACCCAGATCGATTGCCTATGCTCTAGCCTGCAGCCTTAGCCGTGTCGGAAAGCGCAGCTCGAGTTTGCGACCCCTGCCCCAGACAGCTGGCTGGCTAATGCCCATCTCCCCTCGCTACCTCCGTCCCTCCCTCGCTTCTTCCTTCCCTTACTCCTTTTCCCCTCTCTCCTTTTCCCTTCACCACCCTCACCCAAATGACTAGCTTTCTTTGCTACCCCCCTTCGTCCCCACCTTCTCCTCGGTGTCGTCGCTGCGCTGCACCAGGCGGCCCACGATGTCGGCCGGGGGCGGGTTGTACTTGAGGTGGTAGATGGCGCCGGTGACGGGGTCCAACCGCCGACCCACCACCCGCTCCACAAGCAGCTCGTCGGGGACCTGGGGTGGGGGAGGGTTGGAGGTGAGCAGGCGGGGAGAGAGGAGGAGGAAGTGAGCAGGCGGACGAGGAGGGCAGGCAGGATGGCAGCTGCTTTTGTTATGTTCGCTTTTCTGTAGCCAGTAAGAAGAAGAGCTTCTTTCCTTGCTCATAGACCTCCGCTCCATGCATGCAGTTCCGTGCGCAGGCTCTGGGTGATGCTGATCCCCCGAGCCCTCCGCCTCCGCCCCGTACCTGGATGAGCAGGAAGATGTCCGGGCGGATGCCCTCCTTCTCGATGGCCTCCGCCTGCGAAGCGCTGCGAGGGTAGCCGTCCAGCAGCCAGCCGTTTTGCTTCACGTCGTCCTGGGCCAGGCGCGACTTAACCATCTCCACCACGACCTCATCGGGCACCAGCACACCGCGGTCCATGAAGTCCTTAGCCTTCTTGCCAGCGGCAGTTCCGTTCTTGACCTCATCACGCAGGATATCGCCAACCGAGATGTGGACAAGTCCGTACTGCAGTAGGTGAGAGGGATTGCTTTAGACAAAACTGTGCACACATGCGATCGTATGCGTTACTTAGGGTACGGTCGCAGGCGTTAAAAGCCGCTTACCTTTTCGATGATCTTGGCGCACTGCGTGCCCTTGCCGGCAGCTGGCGCACCGCTAATCATGACCTTGAGGGTCGCGCGAGCCTGAGAGAAAAGAGGACGATAGGACCGGTGGCCCTATGAAATGCCATTCCACCGCAGCGCTGCCTAATGCTGCATAACTATATTGAAAGCTTACCTTCACGGCAGTCCGCCGCACCGGTCGCGCGTATACCTTGCCTGCATGCGTGCAAGCACAGCCGTCATAGTGCCACGTGTATCCACATATTTACCGCGATAGAGCTACGCAGAAGCTATCGATTTTCAAGAATCTAATAACCCCACCCGCACGGAAGGCGGCAGGTTGCCGAGCGGCGCCTAGGCGTTGTTGAGCGAGCATCTTGGTGAACTATGGTAAGCCGAAGGAAACGTTGTTCACGAACGCGGGCAAAAAGCCACGTTTTATAGGTGCGCAAGTAAGAAATGTACGCGGCGTATACCCACGTATTTCCCAGGATGAAGATGGTGCCGTGCTTGGCCACCCCCATGCACCCCTTTGGCAAGTCGCCTTCTCCATTTACAGCCGTAGACGTTATAATTATTTGGCCTTTCTGTTATCTTTTACACAAGAACCAAAAGCTTAAAAGACTTGACCGTAACAATCCGACAGTTCCGCTTGACTGTTCCGTTGGCTCTGTAGCCCTTTCTCCCGTTTCTTATCTCTGATCTACAACCTGCAATTGACGCTGGATACTATTTCGGGGCGCACCGGCGCCTAGGCGCCGACTACCCCTAGGCGGGGACATAGGAGATTAGTGCACAGTGCCAGTGGCACCGCAGCACTGGCCGCACTCAATCCACCGGGGACCGCTACTGGCTGACGCTATGGCGGGGCAGTCAGAGCTGGACCGGTGGATTGAGCAGCTGAAGAAGTGCGAGCCACTGAAGGAGTCGGATGTGAAGACTCTTTGCCAGAAGGCGCTAGAAATTCTTGTAGAGGAGAGCAACGTGCAGCGCGTCGACGCACCTGTGACCGTGTGTGAGTAGCGCGGCATGTAGTTACTTCCCGCGCAAGACAGGGTGCTCGCACACAGGGCAGCTTTCCCGATTGTTAACCAATGCCGGGCAAATACACGGACATTAAGGTCGCAGTATTTGTGTTGGGGCTCTTGTTTTGGCGTATAGCCTTGTCGAAGCGTCGCATTCCTTGCCCGCATGCTTGCAGGCGGCGACATACATGGCCAGTTCTACGACCTCATGGAGCTCTTCCAAGTGGGAGGCGACTGCCCCATGACGTAAGCCTGGGCGGTTACGCACTGGTTGGCCCAAGCACAATGACCAGCAGCTGCACAAAGGCTTTAGCCCTGCTGCTGAGGTCCAGTTTGTGGAACATAAGCAAGGCAGCTAGATGGAGGCTGTGCGTTTCATACTGGTCATCCTCGGAACCCTGTCCAAATGGTCCACCTCCCTGCATCCCTCCCTCTCAGCTGTTCATCCCTCTCCCCCCGTCCCTCCTCCCTGCTCCCCCCCCAGCAACTACCTGTTCATGGGCGACTTTGTGGATCGCGGCTTCTACAGCGTGGAGACCTTCCTGCTGCTGCTGGCGCTCAAGGTACGGGGTGGGGGGCTGAGGGAGGGAGTCAGGGCGGGGGCGGAGGGCTAGTTAGAGAGGACGCAGGTGGTTGGGGCGTTGGTGAAGACAACGGCTCTAGCGGGGGCGGCAAACACCAAGCAGGTTACGGCGGGGTGGGTTGCCGGCGGGGTGTGGCCTTTCCCCGGTTCCCCTCGTCTGTGTTCCAGCTGCGAATCCCGGCTGCGATTTAACGGTAGCAGCAGCCAGGCAGCAATCCAACATGATAGCTGCGGCAGCTAGGCAGCAGTGGCGGCTCTTCCGCCGAAATGGCACAGTGGGCCACGAGCTTGTATGGCCCTTCCTAGCAGCCGGCTGGCCCGGGCCCCCTGCCGCCCTTGTCACCTGCTCTTGCTTCCGGAGCAATCGGGCAGCTGCAGCAGCGGAGGCTATATGTTGGAAGGAGGAGGAGCAAAGGCACAAAGCAGCGACGTGGGCGTGTGGGACATGTGTCCATGTTCCCGCGGGTGGCAAGCAGGCTGCAGCGCGGGTTGGCGACAGCGGCGCGTGCTAGCAGCCGTTTCAGCAGTCAGCTCAACCGCAGCGGTGTCCTCAGCCTCAGGTGCCTGCATGCGGCTGTCTCCGGAGTCCGCCAGTGGCACCACTGGATACAGCCTCCCCGGGGCGGCAGCAGGCCCCCTGCAGCAGCAGCTACAGCAGCAGACGCTCCCGACACAGCCGCATGCAGGCGCAGTCCGCAGCTGTACCCCCCTTGCATGGGCCGCCGCCGCGGAGTGGTCCGACCCGCGGGTCAGGAGCCGTTAGCCTCAACAGCCATCAGCTGGCTTGCACCGCCAGCCCCCCGGTTGGCTTGCTGCCTGCATGGGTAGCCGGCCGGCTGCATGGTTGGACGACCCATGGCTGGCGGATAGGCAGTCAGGCGTAACGGCGGGTTGTTAGGAAGCAGAAGCCACGCGCACCTAGGTCTGGCGTACCCGCTCAGCCGGCAAGGGGCTACGTCCGGGGCCTTGGGCGCCGACTCCTTCCCAGGCCTTCCCCCTGGCCTCATCCCGTATCCCTCCTCTTCCTGCCCCTCCCCCCGCCCCGCTGCAGGTCCGCTACCCGGACCGCATCACACTCATACGCGGCAACCATGAGAGCAGGCAGATCACCCAGGTGGGGGTGGGTGGGGGTCAAGGAAGACCAAGTGGGTGGGGTCTTAAATACGACCAAACCGTAGGAAACCACGGATTAGGCCAAGCGAAACAATGGGGGACCGGGGCTGTTTTGGGTCGGGGGAGGGGAGGGCCACAGTGAGCTGGGGGAGGGGATTCCAGGGAATGCAAGGAATGGGATGCGGGGCTGCTGCTTGGTACGGGGCTGAAGAGGACAGCGGGCCACATGGCACGGCCTAATGGAGGGGTCGGGTAGGCAAGGCACTTTGGGAACAGCGCTGGTGGGATTGGTAGGCAGCTGCGGTGATGCAGTGGCGTTGGGAGCGCTCGAGGGGTACTGATGTTGGGGCCCAGGCTGCTAGGATTGTAAGGGTGGGCTGTGGGGATGGGGAGCGTAGGGAACATAGGGAACAGGGAACGTACTCGTACCCGGTGACGTCACGCCAGCGTCCAGTTGTCCCCACTCGCTTTCCACATCTCCCTTCTTGCCGCCTACTCTCCCTGCCCTGCGTGCTGCCCTGCATGCTGCCGTACCGCCATGCATTCACGCGCACAGGTGTACGGCTTCTACGACGAGTGCCTTCGGAAGTACGGCTCGGTCAACGTGTGGCGGTACTGCACCGACGTGTTCGACTACCTCAGCCTCTCCGCCGTGATCGACAACTCCATATTCGCGGTGCACGGGGGCCTGTCGCCCACCATCTCCACCCTGGACCAGGTAGGGAAGGGGGTGGGCCGCAGCGCCGGCGTGCTGCATGAGGGCTGTGCATGCGACACCCGGAGCACCAATCTTGGTCTTCCGCTATCTTCGGGCTATCACCTCCCATCCCTTGCGATTAGCCCGTCATTTCAATAAACCTTATCCTTCCTCCCTCCCCCATTGGCTTACGTCGCCAGTCCGGCTCGGCTCACTCTTTCTTCCCCCAGGGCTTGTCACCTAGTTCACCCTTTTCAAACAACACTTTGGGTATTCATGGGTGTCCTTCTTTCCCCTCCCTTCCCCCCCTTCCAACCCAGCCTAATGCGGATCCTGTTTCCAAATTAATCCCCCCTCCCCCCCCCCCAGATCCGCACCATCGACCGCAAGCAGGAGGTACCGCACGACGGCGCCATGTGCGACCTGCTCTGGTCCGACCCGGAGGACATCGAGGGCTGGGGGCTGTCCCCGCGCGGCGCCGGCTTCCTGTTCGGTGCCGACGTGTGCCGCGCCTTCACGGACGCCAACAAGATCGACCTCATCTGCCGCGCGCACCAGCTGGTGATGGACGGCTACAAGACCATGTTCGGGGACAAGCTTGTGACGGTGTGGAGCGCGCCCAACTACTGCTACCGCTGCGGCAACGTGGCGGCGATCATGGAGGTGGACGAGCACCTGGCCAAGAACTACAAGGTAGGGGGGGAGGTGGGAGGGGATGGGAGGGTAAAGAGGAAACAACTAACTGACTGAGGGATAAGGCGTCAACATGGGAGGGGGTGGCATGGTGGAGGGTAGGAAGTGGGGGTGGCAAAGAGGGTAGGTGGGCATAGAAAGGTTAGGAGGGGGACAGGGAAAGGGGAGGAAGGGGGATATAGCGGTAGCAAAGGCTTCCAAGGTTGGGGCCCTTCCTTGTCAACTAGTCGATTTCTCTTTCTTTACTGCCCACCCCGCACCCACCCCTGCCCTGCCCCGCCCCAGGTGTTCGAGGCGGCCCCCCAGGAGGTGCGGGGCATCCAATCCAAGCGCGCAGCACCCGACTACTTCTTGTAGTGGGGTGTCAGGGTGACATGGTGTTGTGGTGTTGTGGTGGTGGGGTGTCAGGGTGACATGGCGGTGGTGGTGGTAGTGGCCCTATGAGGGGTGCTGTGTCGCAGACCACTGTTTCCTGTAGTGGTGGTACCGGTGGTGGTGGTGGTGCGGGGTCGCAACAGCGTTAACGCAGCAGGCGCATGGCACGCAACAGGAGTAGCAGCGGTCGCTAGCAACGTCTAATTGCGTTTCCTGGTTGCGTTTCCTGGTTGCGTTTCCTGGAGCTCCGTGCTTTCCAGAGATCCCTCTCCGCAATAGCGCTGGGTGGCCTCATGCCGGGTGGTCGCGCATGTCGGGTGAGGACTCGGCTCCTTGCAATCAGTCGTCAAACTCGTACATAGGAATCTGGTAGAGAGTCGTTGGACGAGCTGGGAGTGGTACGGGCGTGGTGGTGTGTGACCCGGGGAGAGGAGGAGGAGGGTTACGTTTCTACCATGGAAGAGAAAAGCAGGAGGACTAACTCTACGTAGGGCGCACGTGGGGGTGGGAGTGCTGCGGGGCGGGTCTCTTCAAGGCGGGACGAGGAAAACAGGTACCGGTAGTTGAGGGAGCTCAGGATGTGGAGGAGTGAGTCTGGGTGGTGATGGTGGTGGTGCGTTCGTTCGTTGTGGGGGACCGGTGGAGTGTAGAGTACTTGGATGCTGCTGGTCACGTATACTCTCATATTGCCGTACCGGTAATGTGAGTGGGCTTGCGTGGGATTCAAGCTGACCTTGAGGGCGTTGACTTTTGTGTTCCCGGCTTCCTTGATTGGCGGTGTGCAGGTGGACAAGGGATGCAGTTACCTCTTTAGACTGACGGAGTCTCACTGCTGAGGACAGGAATGCATGATGAGCACTGGATGAAGGAGGCACGCCCTGTGTGTACCTGTGAGGTGGCAACCCATGGCAGTCGCTGAGCTGACACCCCTTGTTGAGAAGCTACGTCTTGCAAGCTAGCACCACTTGTTTGGAAAAACTGGTACCCCTTGCCTGGGAAGGTAACATCCCTTGTCCTGGTTGGTGATACCGTATCCCTTGTTGGAAGCAGCTAGTGTGGTTAAGTGCATGCCAACCCCTTGTGCAGTCGAGGTTGACAGGCAAGTCACATAAACGCCGACATGTGTCGCGTACATCGTGAGAGGGCTTATCGACTAGGCGTACGCTATCAGTAAGATTATCATGCACCGTTATTCAAAGGGTGAATGTGCGGAACGGAGCGGTGGCCGACCATCTCAAAGTCCCTTCGTAAGTATGATTGGTTGCAATGGGACGGCTTTATGGATGGTGCGTCCTTGTGCTGGGCATGTCGCCAAGGACAAGGGCACGAACGGCTGGTGACGGCGTAAGCCTCACAAGGGCTCGCTAGTTGTCGCACTGGGTTGCATGGTGTTGGGTGGCTTCAAGGTTGTAACTTTGCTCAAGGTCTATGCTTAACTGGTGGTAAGGTCGCCGAATGGAATCGCCAAGTCCTCACCGGTCGTGACACTAACTAGCTTAAGGACAATGTGTGCCCGCATACATATAAGCAGAAACGTTGGGGTACTGATTCCGAAATGCGCGCATACTCGTTATGATGCATTGGAAGCCATCGGTACTTATCCTTCCAGGTAAACCAAGTGGCCTTCCTGTGCCTGCCGTTCGCCACCGTTATGCACACTTTTGCATCGGTCATCACCCCATTTCCGTAACCTTCTATTAGGCCTCCCGGTTTAGGGCCTACGGCGCTACTGGGGATACGGCAACAAAAGTCCGGTCATAAGTACTCGAGGTGCCATGCTCTATCTATCGCACTACCTCTACTACCCCAAAGTCAATTCGCTTATACCACTTGCCATTATGGCTTGTATCCAAGGCGTTTCAAGGATGTGAAAGCAGTGACAGTCTCTAACGCTCCGACATGAAGCGAGCGCCAGGTGTTAAGGCAAGTTCCATATAAGCTACTGCAAGGTTCATGCTGACACCATCTGCAACTCGGTATTTACCACCGTTTTGTAGGGTTGGGGCTTTGGCCGCTACGAAGCATACTTGCCGAGTCTCTTCACAATCCAAGGATCTGCCTGCAATCGTGTACGCTTTCTGAAGAGAGCAAGTTAACACAATAAATAGTTAGGACGGGTTCAGAGACACTCATCGACCGCAGTTTTAACCCTCAACCATGACGCTTTTTTACACTACACTTACTAGATGCATCTATAGGATACGGCTGTATATATCTATAAGTGCAGCTTTAACCTTTTCAGCGGTGCGTCGGGCACCTGCCGAATGACATTCTAGTGACTTCAGTGCGTTGCCCCCGATTAAGCTTCGCAGCTTTACCTCTACACTTTTATTATGGGGACACCGCTATAAATGTGCCTGAAATACCCCCCCACCCTGTGCCACAGGCTTGTTACACCATTTGGGACACATGGCACAATGCCGTCGTGCGTGTAACACGCCTAGGCATCTCAAGACCGCAGCTTCACGTTCCAACCAAGGAGACCAAGGCATGCAAATGAGTCAACAGGTGGAGGTGGATCCCAACCGACGTGCATGATAGAGCGTGCCGCGTTCCAAGGGCCCTGTAAGGGTAAGTCGCATTGGTCGTTGCTCTTGTACGGTATCCGCATGTGGGCTGTTCGCGCCCTTTGAACTACGGCATTAGCACGGCCGGGGTTCCGCAAGCCCGACGTATTGCGGACTTACCTAGAGTTGGGGGCAGGATGGGAGCTTGGGCATACTAATGAAAGCCCGACCCTGCGCTGCATAGCTAGGACTAGACAGGAAGTGCACGCACGGCAAGGGCTGTGTGCAAGACATAGGTGCCGTTACCCGTGGGGGCTTTGCGGAAAGGTCATGTTGTGTTAATGTCCACTGCATACTACCCCTCCTCACCATTACCCCTCCCTTTCTCCCTCTCCCTTCGCATGCCATGGGTCGAGGCCCCTCCGCCTCCGCCGCAGCTTTCATGGACCTGGCGTACTTGGGGGCGGATGACCTAACGGCACCCCCGCCTTAAGTAAACGTCACACCAAGCCCGCCTCCACTACCGTTGCCGCCGGCGCCTCAAGACTGACGTCGCTTACGTCACAAGCCCGCCTCCGCCGCCTAACCGCCATAACTCGCCACACGTCAGTTGTCACTCTACATCTGTGGCAAGCTCGGGGCCTGTTGTGAACGCTTCCGTGCGATTTACGGTCGTTGGGTAGTGGATGCGCCAGTGTTGTACCTAGCTGCGCTGTCTGGTTGGCGGTGTAATTGGGGTAGGTGACGCAGCGGTCACCAACGTCGCTTCTGTGCTTGTCTTGCTGCATGCTGCTGGGTTGTTGTTGGGTTGACGACATTTGCGTTTGGCGTTTGGGTGTCTCTGGTGCGGACAAGCGGAGCAGTAACGACTTGAATTGAGAACACTAAGCTGTTGGGAGGTTTGAGTCATAAGCATGCGTAGTTAGCACTGCGAGACGTTTAGGGAGCCGAAGGGCTGCAGGAGAGACTGCTGAGGAGACGTGAGGTGGGGGGATGCGGGCGTTGCAGGCATTGCAGACGTGTATGGTGGTGTCGTACCGCTTGCCATGCTGCGTAGCGGGTAGTCTTTTGGCGGTCGCACCGCTCATAGGGTTTCATGGATATGCTGTGGGCTTGCTGTGATGTCAGCTTGACAGGCGGCGAGTTATGTTGGTAGATTGCCACCAAGGAAGGCAGACCCCTCTGCAGCGCCCAGCAGCTCCCAGCTAGCTCGCTCGCAGCCCAGCACCTGATGTACAACACGGCTTGGGGGCGGACGGGGTGGGTCGGCCACATGCGCCTCAGCGACCCACCCCAGTCAGGCCAGATGTCTCCCTACCTCCTCGTAGTGCCTACACAGCACAGCACGCTTAGCTACAGCCACAGAACGCAATGACCCCCTCACCAGCAGCCACTACGCAGATGTTGTTAGCGGCAGCCAACTTGTACGGTGGCAACCTTACCGGCAGCCCTTAGTAACAATGAAGCCCTATAACAAGACATCAGATATATATAGCCCTTTTAACGTGTCCTGTGCTATCCATAAGGGGGTAACTACCATAGCAAGATACGGAAGAAGGGGCTGGAAAGCCATAGGAAAAGATGCGTGGGGGATACAAAAGAGTGTGGGGTAGGTGGGGGCGGGATGGGTAGGTGGGGCGGGTGTGGGGAGGGGTAGATGGGGGGGAGGGGTAGGCGGGGTGGGGGCGGGTGTGGGAGGGTGGGGTGGGAGGGGCGCGTGTGGGAAGGAGGGGTAGGTGGGGGGGAGGGGTAGGTGGGGGCGGGTGTGGGAGGGAGAGGTGGGGGCGGGAGGGGTAGGTGGGGTGGGGGCGGGTGTGGGAGGGTGGGGGAGGTGGGGCGGGTGCGGGAGGGAGGGGGCGGGTGCGGGAGGGTGGGGGCGGTGAGGGAGGGTGGGGGCGGGTGTGGGAGGGAGGGGTAGGTGGGGCGGGTGCGGGAGGGGTAGGTGGGGGGGAGGGGTAGGTGGGGGCGGGTGTGGGAGGGAGGTGTAGGTGGTGGGGGGGAGGGGTAGGTGGGGGCGGGTGTGGGAGGGAGAGGTGGGGGCGGGAGGGGTAGGTGGGGTGGGGGCGGGTGTGGGAGGGTGGGGGAGGTGGGGCGGGTGCGGGAGGGAGGGGGCGGGTGCGGGAGGGTGGGGGCGGTGAGGGAGGGTGGGGGCGGGTGTGGGAGGGAGGGGTAGGTGGGGCGGGTGCGGGAGGGGTAGGTGGGGGGGAGGGGTAGGTGGGGGCGGGTGTGGGAGGGAGGTGTAGGTGGTGGGGGGGAGGGGTGGGTGGGGCGGGTGTGGGAGGGAGGGGTAGGTGGGGCGGGTGTGGGAGGGTGGGGGCGGTGGGAGGGTGGGGTAGGTGGGGGCGGGTGTGGGAGGGTGGGGGCGGTGGGAGGGTGGGGTAGGTGGGGGCGGGTGTGGGAGGGAGGGGTAGGTGGGGGCGGTGGGGGTAGGTGGGAGGGAGGGGTAGGTGGGGCGGGTGTGGGAGGGTGGGGTAGGTGGGGGTTAGGGGTAGGTGGGGGCGGGTGTGGGAGGGTGGGGTAGGTGGGGGCGGGTGTGGGAGGGAGGGGTAGGTGGGGGCGGGTGTGGGGTAGGTGGGGGCGGTGGGGGTAGGTGGGGGGGAGGAGTAGGTGGGGGCGGGTGCGGGAGGGTGGGGGCGGGTGTGGGAGGGTGGGGTAGGTGGGGGCGGGTGTGGGGTAGGTGGGGGCGGTGGGGGTAGGTGGGGGGGAGGGGTAGGTGGGGGCGGGTGTGGGAGGGAGGGGTAGGTGGGGCGGGTGCGGGAGGGGTAGGTGGGGGGGAGGGGTAGGTGGGGGCGGGTGTGGGAGGGAGGTGTAGGTGGTGGGGGGGAGGGGTGGGTGGGGCGGGTGTGGGAGGGAGGGGTAGGTGGGGCGGGTGTGGGAGGGTGGGGGCGGTGGGAGGGTGGGGTAGGTGGGGGCGGGTGTGGGAGGGTGGGGGCGGTGGGAGGGTGGGGTAGGTGGGGGCGGGTGTGGGAGGGAGGGGTAGGTGGGGGCGGTGGGGGTAGGTGGGAGGGAGGGGTAGGTGGGGCGGGTGTGGGAGGGTGGGGTAGGTGGGGGTTAGGGGTAGGTGGGGGCGGGTGTGGGAGGGTGGGGTAGGTGGGGGCGGGTGTGGGAGGGAGGGGTAGGTGGGGGCGGGTGTGGGGTAGGTGGGGGCGGTGGGGGTAGGTGGGGGGGAGGAGTAGGTGGGGGCGGGTGCGGGAGGGTGGGGGCGGGTGTGGGAGGGTGGGGTAGGTGGGGGCGGGTGTGGGGTAGGTGGGGGCGGTGGGGGTAGGTGGGGGGGAGGGGTAGGTGGGGGCGGGTGTGGGAGGGAGGGGTAGGTGGGGCGGGTGCGGGAGGGGTAGGTGGGGGGGAGGGGTAGGTGGGGGCGGGTGTGGGAGGGAGGTGTAGGTGGTGGGGGGGAGGGGTGGGTGGGGCGGGTGTGGGAGGGAGGGGTAGGTGGGGCGGGTGTGGGAGGGTGGGGGCGGTGGGAGGGTGGGGTAGGTGGGGCGGGTGTGGGAGGGTGGGGGCGGTGGGAGGGTGGGGTAGGTGGGGGCGGGTGTGGGGGGGGCGGGTGTGGGGTAGGTGGGGGCGGGTGTGGGAGGGTGGGGGCGGTGGGAGGGTGGGGTAGGTGGGGGCGGGTGTGGGAGGGAGGGGTAGGTGGGGGCGGTGGGGGTAGGTGGGGCGGGTGTGGGAGGGTGGGGTAGGTGGGGGTTAGGGGTAGGTGGGGGCGGGTGTGGGAGGGTGGGGTAGGTGGGGGCGGGTGTGGGAGGGAGGGGTATGTGGGGGCGGGTGTGGGGTAGGTGGGGGCGGGTGTGGGAGGGAGGGGTAGGTGGGGGGGAGGGGTAGGTCGGGGCGGGTGTGGGAGGGAGGGGTAGGTGGGGGCGGGTGTGGGGTAGGTGGGGGCGGGTGTGGGAGGGAGGGGTAGGTGGGGCGGGTGTGGGAGGGAGGGGTAGGTGGGGGGGAGGGGTAGGTCGGGGCGGGTGTGGGAGGGAGGGGTAGGTGGGGCGGGTGTGGGAGGGTGGGGGCGGTGGGAGGGTGGGGTAGGTGGGGGCGGGTGTGGGAGGGAGGGGTAGGTGGGGCGGGTGTGGGAGGGTGGGGGCGGTGGGAGGGTGGGGTAGGTGGGGGCGGGTGTGGGAGGGTGGGGGCGGTGGGAGGGTGGGGTAGGTGGGGGCGGGTGTGGGAGGGAGGGGTGGGTGGGGCGGGTGTGGGAGGGTGGGGTAGGTGGGGCGGGTGTGGGAGGGAGGGGTAGGTGGGGGCGGGTGGGGGGGAGGGGTAGGTGGGGGCGGGTGCGGGAGGGTGGGGTAGGTGGGGGTTAGGGGTAGGTGGGGGCGGGTGTGGGAGGGTGGGGTAGGTGGGGGCGGGTGTGGGGTAGGTGGGGGCGGTGGGGGTAGGTGGGGGGGAGGGGTAGGTGGGGGCGGGTGTGGGAGGGTGGGGGCGGGTGGGGGCGGGTGTGGGAGGGAGGGGTAGGTGGGGGGGAGGGGTAGGTCGGGGCGGGTGTGGGAGGGAGGGGTAGGTGGGGCGGGTGTGGGAGGGTGGGGGCGGTGGGAGGGTGGGGTAGGTGGGGGCGGGTGTGGGAGGGAGGGGTGGGTGGGGCGGGTGTGGGAGGGTGGGGTAGGTGGGGCGGGTGTGGGAGGGAGGGGTAGGTGGGGGCGGGTGGGGGGGAGGGGTAGGTGGGGGCGGGTGCGGGAGGGTGGGGTAGGTGGGGGTTAGGGGTAGGTGGGGGCGGGTGTGGGAGGGTGGGGTAGGTGGGGGCGGGTGTGGGGTAGGTGGGGGCGGTGGGGGTAGGTGGGGGGGAGGGGTAGGTGGGGGCGGGTGTGGGAGGGTGGGGGCGGGTGGGGGCGGGTGTGGGAGGGAGGGGTAGGTGGGGGCGGTGGGGGTAGGTGGGGGGGAGGGGTAGGTCGGGGCGGGTGTGGGAGGGTGGGGGCGGTGGGAGGGTGGGGTAGGTGGGGGTTAGGGGTAGGTGGGGGCGGGTGTGGGAGGGTGGGGTAGGTGGGGGCGGGTGTGGGAGGGTGGGGTAGGTGGGGGGGAGGGGTAGGTGGGGGCGGGTGCGGGAGGGTGGGGGCGGGTGTGGGAGGGTGGGGTAGGTGGGGGCGGGTGTGGGGTAGGTGGGGGCGGTGGGGGTAGGTGGGGGGGAGGGGTAGGTGGGGGCGGGTGTGGGAGGGTGGGGGCGGGTGGGGGCGGGTGTGGGAGGGAGGGGTAGGTGGGGGCGGTGGGGGTAGGTGGGGGGGAGGGGTAGGTCGGGGCGGGTGTGGGAGGGTGGGGGCGGTGGGAGGGTGGGGTAGGTGGGGGTTAGGGGTAGGTGGGGGCGGGTGTGGGAGGGTGGGGTAGGTGGGGGCGGGTGTGGGAGGGTGGGGTAGGTGGGGGGGAGGGGTAGGTGGGGGCGGGTGCGGGAGGGTGGGGGCGGGTGTGGGAGGGTGGGGTAGGTGGGGGCGGGTGTGGGGTAGGTGGGGGCGGTGGGGGTAGGTGGGGGGGAGGGGTAGGTGGGGGCGGGTGTGGGAGGGTGGGGGCGGGTGGGGGCGGGTGTGGGAGGGAGGGGTAGGTGGGGGCGGTGGGGGTAGGTGGGGGGGAGGGGTAGGTCGGGGCGGGTGTGGGAGGGTGGGGGCGGTGGGAGGGTGGGGTAGGTGGGGGTTAGGGGTAGGTGGGGGCGGGTGTGGGAGGGTGGGGTAGGTGGGGGCGGGTGTGGGAGGGTGGGGTAGGTGGGGGGGAGGGGTAGGTGGGGGCGGGTGCGGGAGGGTGGGGGCGGGTGTGGGAGGGTGGGGTAGGTGGGGCGGGTGTGGGAGGGAGGGGTAGGTGGGGGCGGGTGTGGGGTAGGTGGGGGCGGTGGGGGTAGGTGGGGGGGAGGAGTAGGTGGGGGCGGGTGTGGGAGGGTGGGGGCGGGTGTGGGAGGGAGGGGTAGGTGGGGGCGGGTGTGGGAGGGTGGGGTAGGTGGGGGCGGGTGTGGGGTAGGTGGGGGCGGTGGGGGTAGGTGGGGGGGAGGAGTAGGTGGGGGCGGGTGTGGGAGGGTGGGGGCGGGCGTGGGAGGGTGGGGTAGGTGGGGGCGGGTGTGGGGTAGGTGGGGGCGGTGGGGGTAGGTGGGGGGGAGGGGTAGGTGGGGGCGGGTGTGGGAGGGTGGGGGCGGGTGGGGGCGGGTGTGGGAGGGAGGGGTAGGTGGGGGCGGTGGGGGTAGGTGGGGGGGAGGGGTAGGTCGGGGCGGGTGTGGGAGGGTGGGGGCGGTGGGAGGGTGGGGTAGGTGGGGGTTAGGGGTAGGTGGGGGCGGGTGTGGGAGGGTGGGGTAGGTGGGGGCGGGTGTGGGAGGGTGGGGTAGGTGGGGGGGAGGGGTAGGTGGGGGCGGGTGCGGGAGGGTGGGGGCGGGTGTGGGAGGGTGGGGTAGGTGGGGGCGGGTGTGGGGTAGGTGGGGGCGGTGGGGGTAGGTGGGGGGGAGGGGTAGGTGGGGGCGGGTGTGGGAGGGTGGGGGCGGGTGGGGGCGGGTGTGGGAGGGAGGGGTAGGTGGGGGCGGTGGGGGTAGGTGGGGGGGAGGGGTAGGTCGGGGCGGGTGTGGGAGGGTGGGGGCGGTGGGAGGGTGGGGTAGGTGGGGGTTAGGGGTAGGTGGGGGCGGGTGTGGGAGGGTGGGGTAGGTGGGGGCGGGTGTGGGAGGGTGGGGTAGGTGGGGGGGAGGGGTAGGTGGGGGCGGGTGCGGGAGGGTGGGGGCGGGTGTGGGAGGGTGGGGTAGGTGGGGCGGGTGTGGGAGGGAGGGGTAGGTGGGGGCGGGTGTGGGGTAGGTGGGGGCGGTGGGGGTAGGTGGGGGGGAGGAGTAGGTGGGGGCGGGTGTGGGAGGGTGGGGGCGGGTGTGGGAGGGAGGGGTAGGTGGGGGCGGGTGTGGGAGGGTGGGGTAGGTGGGGGCGGGTGTGGGGTAGGTGGGGGCGGTGGGGGTAGGTGGGGGGGAGGAGTAGGTGGGGGCGGGTGTGGGAGGGTGGGGGCGGGCGTGGGAGGGTGGGGTAGGTGGGGGCGGGTGCGGGAGGGTGGGGGCGGGTGTGGGAGGGTGGGGTAGGTGGGGCGGGTGCGGGAGGGAGGGGGCGGGTGGAAGGGAGGGAGTGTGCGGATAGGCCAGCATCAGCAGCAACCAGCGGCGGTTCCACATTGGAGAAACAGATGCGGAAGGACAAAACGGGGGCAGAAAGGAGGCGTGGAGACGGAGGTGGGTGTGGGAAGAGGGCGGAGGGTAGCAGCGCGGCAGGACAGGACGCGTGGAGGGAGATGGGCGGCGGTAAACCGTAGGGCGGTGGTCATGGGTTGATCAGTAACTGTGCGTTTTGTGATGGGTTGGCGGCGTGATAAAGATGTTGCGACGTGTATCCCCGGCATGATTCACTCAGTATGGAGACAGCTGCGTCCCCCGGTTGCCAACGGAACAAAAAGGTCCACAACACGCCAGCAAACACATAATCCCGAGGTCTCAGTAAGAGCAAGGTGTTATGAGCCATTGCCAGCATTTCCGGTACCCAACAGCCACTGGGTCTGGCATGCGGCTTCCCCGGTCCAACGATAACTACCGGTATGTGGTTATGAGTTATGATTTGCAGTACCACCAATCCAGTGCCTGTACAACACACGCTCGCCGTGACCTGTCGTTTTCCTTTAATCACAAACACAGCAACCGTCACTGTGCATCTCCCTCGGTCGACAGCTATGTCCAAGAGTGTTGTCTAGCATGGGCCAGTGAACTTAATCCCCAACTACCTCTCAGCACCTCCTCCATCACTCTGCGCTGCCCCCCCAACCGCACCCCACAACGCATGTACACCAGGAGAAGGCAGGAGAACACGTGCCTCGCGACCCCCAGCAATTACCCCGCATATAGCTCGCTCTAGCAGGCAACCTCCCCCGCGCGCGCCTCCTTCAATCTCTTCCTCTCACGCTATCTCCTGCCTCCAAGTCATCATCGCCATCGCGGGCAGCGGCTATCCTCCGAGGCTGCGGTAGCTCCTGCCGGCGCGACTCCGGGGGCTGTTGCTGCTGCTGCTGCAGTGGCGGTCGCGACTGCTGCAGGGGGGGCAGCTGCTGTTGCTGAGCCAGCTGTTGGAGAGGGGGCTGGGGGCGAGCAGGACCTGCTGCACGACGGGGGGAACAGGAGGGGCAGGCGAGGGGCAGGTAAGCGGAGTTGATGAGGGGAGGAGGCCCGGCCGTTAAGTGACAGACTGGTGCATGTACAATGGCCAATGCCTTGACCCTCAAGACGTACGACCTACCGGCACATGCTGAGGAAACAGCAGCGGCACCGTCACAGCAGCGACACGCAGGCAGGCAGGCAGGCAGGCAGGCAGGCAGATCAACCGACAGACCCACAGGAAGGCAAGAGAGCAGCCCCTCCCCTCTTCCCCCGCAGCTCACCTGCTGTCGCCCCAGCAGCAGCAGCAGTGCCAGCAGCACCAGCGGCTCCCGAGGTCCACCTCTCCAGCGGCTCCACCGCCCCAACATCCGCCCCATCGCCACCATCCGCCTCAACCTCTCCGTCTCGGGACACCGCCGCTGGATCCCTGCCGCCACCCCCACTACCTCCACTGCCTCCACTACCGGTAGGAGGAGGTGCAGCAGCAGCACCTGACATGGAGGGCTGGGAAGAGGGAGCCGTGGAGGCGGCGGTGAGGGAGCCGCCACCTCCGCCCCCTTCCGAACCACCGCCACCACCACTCCCGCCACCACCACCACCACCACCAGCAGCAGCAGTCCCCGCATCCAGACGAGCCAAACGGGACATCCGACTACCACCCCCCAGGGCCCTGCCCCCGCCCCCGCCGCCGCTGGTGCTGCTGCCGGGGGAAAGAGGACCACCGCCACCGCCAAGACGGGTGGCTGAGCGACGAAGCCTGCTGCCGCCGCCTACACCGCCCTGCATGGTTGGGAAGGCATGTGCAGTCATGCAAACACACATGCGCATGAGGTCAATGAGAAGTTACAGTACGGATGGAGAGGTACTTGCGCTTCACGCGCGAGTGTTACAATCCCTAGTTCCTTACACTACGAGCGTTTGAACCAACTGCACAGATTTCCTTCCCTGCCCCTTCCAGCCTAGCCCACATCAGCACCCCCGTGTGTTAAGACAACACTGAGCCACATCACCCTTCCCCGCCCCCCCCCTCCGCCCCCCTACCTCTCCCGCCTTCCCCCCTCCGCCCCCCGCACCCCCCCCTCTCCGCCCCCTACCTCTCCCGCCTCCCCGCCTGCCGCCAGCGCCGCCCTGCTGACCCGCGCCGCCCGCTTGACGGTGAGGGTCGCCTTGGTCGAGTTGACGGACCCGTCCTTGTTGGAGACCTGGCAGTAGTAGGCGCCCTCGCTGTCCAGGGACACCTGGGCGGGGGGGAAGGGGGGGGAGGGGGGGAGGGGAGGGGAATAACCGTGTTATAGGGGCCATTCACTGCCCATCATGGGTTGCAAACATCATGGGTTGCAAACATCATGGGTTGCAAACATCATGGATTGCAAACATCATGGGTTGTAAACATCATGGGTTGCAAACATCATGGGTTGCAAACATCACGGGTTGCAAACATCACGGGTTGCAAACATCATGCCAGACAGCTCCTCATCCCTCTCACCCCCTCCCTCCCCGCTCATCAGTGTCCTCCTCCTTACCACCACCCCCCTTCTTACCCCCCCTCTACCTGCACCAGAATGAGCTCCTGTTGGTCCGCAGTGGCCACCAGCAGCCGCCGGTCGTCCTTGAACCACTCGAACTTGAGGGGGGAGAAGCCCTGCCGGGGGGGGGGGGTCAAAGACCATACCGAACCATAGGAAGCCGCAGGTTGGGGGTAAATTAGCGCGTTACACCACTATAGTTATGGGTTTATTGTAGTTATTGACATGGTTGGGCTGGGTTGGGTGCAAACAGAAGAGAAAGAGGCTTTGCGGGAAACGCAGCAGCAACACCGTAGCGGCGGCATACAGTCGACGTCAAAGGAAGGGACCCTTCTCTCCGGCTGCCCCAGGCCAAGACCCAGCTCCCCTCCTCCACCCCCCCACCCACCCCCCCACCCACCCGAGCCACTACTCGGAAGCGCACCGTGCCGTCCTCCGCAGCCACCGCATCCTGGGGTTGTGAGGGTGACGGGAGGGGGAGGAAGGGAGGAGGGGGGCAGTAGGGGATGGTGGTGGTTAGGGGCAGGGTAGGCATTGCGAATTAGGGGGGGTATAAAACTCCCTGTTCTGCTTCGGTATGGGTTTTTCCTTGCACCCCGCCCCGCATCCCCACCCCCCCACCCCTCCTCCCCTCCCACCCACCCCTCTGCCCACCACCAACCCACCTGCGGCTGCTCCAGTATGGTCGGCGCCTCCGCCACCACCCCCGGCCGCAACCCCACCTCCCCTCCCCCTCCCCCTGCTGCTGCTGCCCCCTCCTTGGCCTTCCAGGCCTCATCCAACCGCCGCTGCGCCCTCTCCACCACCACCTGAGGAGGGGGGGGGGCGGGGGGAGGAGGACAGGGGGAGGTGGCGAGAAAAGGATTAGGAGGAGGGAAGGAGAAAGGACTGAATCCTTGAACGTTAAGGGAGGAGGAGGAGACGAAGAAGCAAGTTGATTGGTCTGTCTCTTCGGGATACCGGTACCTGCTTCAGAGAAACCACCACACATGCATACGGTACACCTTTGTTTCATTGCCCACGCCTCCCTCGACCCCCTCCCTCCCTCCCTCCCTCCCTCCTCCCCACCTTGAGACTGGGGTCCTTCTTGTTCCGCTTGGCAGCAGCCGCCCCTCCCGCCCCCAGCAGAGCCCGTGCAGAGGGCAGCGGCGACCCGCCCCCTCCCCCCAGCCCCCCTCCCGACCGCCGCAGTGCCCCCCCTGCCCCTGCCCCCGCCCCCGCCGCCTCCGCATCCGGGTCGAAGCGCTGCGTGACCGTGTTGAGCCGGACCTGGGGAGGAGGGGGTGGGGAGGGAGGGGGGGAGGGAGGGAGGGAGGGAGGGGAGGAAGGAGAGGGAGGGTGTAAGCGGGGGGAAGGGGCAGCGACACCCGAACTCACGACCACACTAGGAGGTGGTGTCACATTACCCCCACGGTCCGTACACCACCTCCTAACCACCCCTGCCGCAGCCCCCTTCCCCTTGCCTACATCGCCCCACCCAGCCCGCCCCCCCTCCCCCTTGCCTTGATCGCGCCGCCGGATTCCGTTTTGAATCCGTACTTGTTCAGGATGCGTCCGTTGAAGCCCGCGGGGGTGGTGAGGTAGGCCAGGTCGGCCAGCTCGGGGGAGCCGCCGATGAAGAACTGGGCTAGGCCCTCTCGTATGGTGCCTGAGGGGGAGGGGGCGGGCGAGAGAGGTGGGGAAGAGACGGTAGGGAGGAAAGATTAAGAGTAAGGGCAACAGGAGTCTCCATCCCAAGGGGGACAGGGGCGGGCGGGTCATGTGTTTTAGGTTGCTGTACACCCCCCTCTCCCCTCCCCCCCCCCTCACCCAACGGCCTCCAAGTGCGCACCACGTGGCTCCCGCTCCCCGGCACGCGCCCCTCCAGCCCCAGCCACCCGTAGCCCTGGCTGGCGTAGCGGTTGAGCGAGTCCAGAGAGCAAACCTAAGGGGGGGGAGAGGGAGGGGGTTGGGGGGAGGGGTGGAGGGGGGAAGTGGTGAGGTGTGATGACAGGAGAGGGTGCAGGAGGGGGGTTCGTGCGAGGGACACAAGCGCTGAACAACAGCAAGCAAGCAAGCAGTCCTGTCGTGGGGCATACACACCGAAAATGTACGAGCGCGGGGATCCGCCGTACGGGTACGGGAAGGCATCGCTCACTCGCCACTCGGGTTCTGCCGGCCCCGGACTCTTCTTACAACCTTCTCCCCCTCACTCCCTCCCCCTCCCTACGCACGATCAGGGAGCTTCCCCTCCCTCCTCCCCCCCTCACCCCCTCCCCCCCCTCCCCCCTCACCCCCTCACCCCCCCACACACACCTGGAAGAACAGCACGGGGTACTTGTTCTCCGCCGGCCCCCCCCCTCTCCCCCCTCCTGCCCCCCCTCTGCTGACCCACTCCAGCTCCAGGGGGTGGGCCAGGTGCGCCACCTCCCTGGCCGGGGTGTCGGAGGCGGGGCAGGCGGGGTAGGTGGTGGTGCGGCAGATGTGCGTCACTCCCTGAGGGGGGCGATAAGGGGTGCAGGGGGGAGGCAAGGGGGAGCAGAGGGGGGAGGGGGTGAGGAGGAGGAGGATAGCAGCGGGGCAGGGACGAGTCTGGAAGGGTGGGAGAGGTAGAGTAGAGGGTGCAGAGAAGCGCCTCGTACCTAGGTAAGGCCAGAGGAAAAACCCTTCTCGCATTACCAGGTTCCAACCCACCTTAACCCTAACTCTCCCCCCCTGTTTTGCCCCCCACTTCTCACCTGCACCACCCCCTCCTCCCGCTGCTCCACCCCCTGCCCCCCCGCCAGCTCCCACACCCCCGGGTCCCAGCGCGCCGCCCACTCCACGTACAGCCGGTCCAGCGGGAAGTCAGCGGCCGCCTGGATCTCACCCAGCAGCAGCAGCCGGGTGGCGCCCGAGGCTGGGGAGGGAGGGGGGGGGGTGGGGAGGGTGTTCGTACGACATTGTGAGGTCATAATGGTGTGTACGGCAATGGCTGTATTCAGTTCTGGCCAATCGCAAGTGAGTCTCCCCCAGAAGCAGTAACCGTAACCGCAGTTGCAACCCCACCCCAACCCATCCTCCGCCCTCCCTACCACCCCTCCCTTCCTCCCGCCCTCCTCCTCCCCCCCCACCCCACCAGGCGGCTTCTCAAAGTCCGTCTTCAAAGCCGCCCTCCTCAGCTCCTCCGCCCTCGCCACCACCGCCCTCTCAAGCTTGGCCGCCCGCCGCTCCAGCGCCCCGCCACCCCCCACCCCTCCCCCGCCCAGCTCGTGTTGGGAGGCGGGGCTGGCGGACTGTACGACGTATTCGTAGATGGCGCCGTGGCGGTCTTCGAAGCGGTAGCGGTGACCCGTGGGTCGCGAGAAGGCGGGGCACATGTCGAAGGAACCGTCGGGGTAGGCGCGGATGGAAACGAGGACCTGGGGGGTGGGGGGTGAGAGGAGGGATGGAGGTGGGAGAAGGAGGGGAGTAGATAGAAATGAAACGCCTGTAGAGCCCGTTCCTGAGGAAGCTGAGGACAAGAAAGGACTGGAGAACCCCGGGAGAACTGGAAATAACACAGGGCACTAAGAGGGCGGACTCTTTGCTCGCTGCTACCGTAATCCCGAACTCCATCTACTGGCCTCACCTCCCCCCTCACCTTGTCGTTGGCCCCCGCCGGCTCCCCCTCCCCCCCCAGGTCCGCCACGATGTACATGGAGCGGAAGGAAAGCACCTGAGCAGGGGGGGCAGGGGAGGGGAGGGGTGGGGTGGGAGGTGAGTGTGTTGGGGGTGTCGGAGGTAAACTAGGGGTGAGAAAACATGGACAACTACATTAACAGACCTGCAATACCCACCCACCTGCTATCACCTGCCTCCCCCCAACCGAACCCACCGCATCAGATACCTCATTGTCCCCCCCACCCCCCACCTGCTGCCGGCCCTTCCCACCCCCCACCTGCTGCCGGCCCTTCCCACCCCCCACCTGCTGCCGGCCCTTCCCACCCCCCACCTGCTGCCGGCCCTTCCCACCCCCCACCTGCTGCCGGCCCTTCCCACCCCCCACCTGCTGCCGGCCCTTGGCGTTACCCAGCAGCTTGGTGACCTGTTGGTGAGGGGGGCAGGGAGGGAGGGAGGGAAGGGGCGGGAAGGGACAGGGAGGGAGGGGGCGCGAAGGGGCAGGGATGCGGTTACACGCCAGTTAGTCAATTCGAAGTTGTGGTCTTCCGAATACCCTCCCTGCCTTCCTGCTTTCCTCTATCCCCATTGCTTCGCCCTACCCTGTGGTTTTGGTACATGTCCGACCCCCCCTCCCCCCCGCCCCCTACCAACACATTCTCTCCCTCGTATCCGCTGGTGGTCACGGTGCGCCCTAGCTCCTGCGCGTCGCAGAACTCGTCCGTCTGCACGTAGCTGAACAGCAGCGAGCCGGGCGTGCGGGGGTCCTGGGGGGGGAGGGGAAAGAGGGAGGGGGGAGGCGGAGGGGCAACACTAGGTGAGGAATAGGTAAACTGAGCCGCAAGGGAGGAGGGAGGAGGGAGGCGGAGAGGGAGGTGGTCACGAGGACAGCGAGGCGGGAAGAGGACCAAGTACGGCATACCCAAGCAATACGCATGCACACGGCAGGAGGCCGTAAGCCGGACCCCCCCACCCACCCTAAACCCCTCACCCCCCCACACCCCACACCTGCTCCTCAGTGCTCTCACCGCGCACCCACCCGCTACCTGCCGCCCCCCCACCCTCTCCCCCAGCCCCCCCAGCCCCTCACCAGGTGTTTGTTGTACAGTGCGCTCTGCGACCCCAGCGCCCGCAGCCGCCGGGAGGGAGCCGCAGTAGCACCTGCATCCCCTCCTCCGCCCGGCGGCACCATGGGGGGGGAGAGGGTGGCGCCCGCTGCTAGCGCCGCTGCCGCCTGGGGTGGGGGTTGGGATACGGTAGATAGGAGAGGGAGAGGGAGGGAGCAGGTGGAGCAGGTGGATGGGTACAGAGGTCAGCGGGATGAGGAGCAGCAGCGGCTGCCGCAGCAGGCGAGGGACGCAGTTTGGGCGTGGTGGCGGCCGCTTGCACCCGTGCGCTGCCCAGCCCCAGCCCCCCCCCCTGCTCCTCCCCTCCCTGCCCCCCTCCCCCACCTGCGCTGCCGCCACCTCCCCCCGGCTGTACACCTTCTCCTGCCACCCGAACACACGACTGGTGCTGAACTTCTCGGGGACTGGGGGGAGGAGGGAAGGGGGAGGGGTGGGGGGACGTGTGGAGGGCCGGCAGAGGCAGAAGAACAGGGTAAGCAGGAAGTTGGCAGGCAGGCAGCCCCTTACCCGCCCCTGGCCACCCTTCTCCTCACCCCTCCATCCCGCTACCCTCCTTCGCCCCTTACCATCCCCCGGCTACAGTACCCTCCAACCCTCTGCCCTCCCCCTCCCGCCCCTCCTCCCTTCTAAACACAGCCCCCCGCCACACTCACGCAGGTGGTGCGGGGTGGTGGGCAGCACCACCGGCAGCTGCCCCCCCGGCCCCATGTGGCTCCCCGGACCCAGACTGCCGTACGGCACGTAGCTGCCCACCGGCTGGGGCGGGATCAGCAACTGAGGTTGCTGGGGCTGGGGGGTTTGCAGCTGCTGTTGCTGGTGACCCATGGGTCCGTCGCCCCCTGCCGGCTGCTGCTGCTCAGGCCCAGCAGCAGCAGCAGCACCCGCGGCTCCTCCTCCACCTCCTCCCGCTCCCTCCTGTTGTTCCTGCTCCGGGTGTGCAGGCGGCTGCATCAGCAGCTGACCGCCTCTCCGCCTCCGGGGCGCCCTGCCCCCTCCGCCCGCTGCTGCTGCTCCTCTCCCGGCCTCCTCCGGCTCGAGGTCATCTCCACCCCCACCACCTGCACCACCTGCTCCCGCTGCTGCTGCTGCAGGTGCTCCGTACCCCTCTGGGCCGCCACCGTAGCCACCCCCTGGGTGCTCCACAGCTAGCATGAGTGGGTGGGTGGGCGGGGTGTGAGGGAGGGAGGGAGGGGGCGGTTGGAACAAGCGGTTGGGCAGAGGGTGCGAGGGTGGAGATGGGCCACGTGCATGCAGTGAAGGTGGGGGGGACTGTCTTTTGGCTTATTGTGGGGGTGCTGGCGTCATAGCCTGGTATGCAGGTAACCCGAGTAGGGCCACCGATGGGGTACCATAGTTTCCATGGACATGGAGGGCCATGTGACCCTGAATGTGTCAACAACCGCAGACGCCTTGCTTACCTTCCCCCAGCGGCTGACCCATGGGTCGTCCACCGCCTCCACCACCACCATAGCCACCACTGCTGACCCAGGCAAACGGATCCGCGACTGCTGCTGGCGCCCCGGCTGTTCCTGTTGCAGCTGCTGCAGGGTGCTGCTGAAGACGAGGATGAGGATTCCATGTGTGCGATTGGTATCCCTGCCCTTTCTGATGCTGCTGCACGCCGCTCGCTGCTGTTGCTGCTGTGACAGCGCTAGCAACCTGCCCCGGCCCCATCCTCTGGCGCTGAGAAGAAGATGAGCTCCTGCCAAACCCGGCAGCAGCAGCAGCCGCAGCAGGCGGATGAGGAGGTTGAGGAGGAGCAGCCGCGGCAGCAGCGGTGGCAGCAGCAAAGGGAGCGGGAAGAAGAGGCGGCGTTAGGTGGTCGTTGTAGGATTCGGCCACTGCTTGGCCGGCCTGGGGGGGAGGCGGAGGATGTGCTCCCGGGGCCCGGGGCTGCTGCTGCTGCCACTGCGGGTTGCTGATGTAAGCCGCCTGCTGCTGCTGCTGTTGTTGTTGCATCAGCATTTGTTGCTGCTGCTGTTGTTGTTGGAACAACATTTGTTGCTGGTATTGCTGCTGCTGCTGTTGCAGCATCAACTGCTGCTGTTGTTGTTGCATGGCTGCTGCAGCCGCTTGTTGTTGATCGGCCGCGGCACCGGTGCTGCCTCCCGCAACTGCTGAGGCTGCGGCGGAGGCAGCAGCTGCTGCTGCCGCAGCTGCCGCAATGCCCGCAGGTGTCTGGGGATCAGGGGCTTGGCCGGTGGATGTGACACCGCCTGATAGCGGTCCCAGGGCGGCATTGTACGGCTGCTGGGGAGGCTGAGGTTGGGGTTGGGGCTGTGGAAAGGGTTGTTGTTGGAGTTGCTGCTGCAGGGATGACTGGACATGTGCTTCGGTTTGAGCTTGGATTTGGGCTTGAGCCTATGGGCGGGAAAGAATGGATAGAAAAGGAGGGCATGGAGGGGCGTATGGAAGGGAGGCGGGAACTGGTGAGGGGAGACAGGAGGGGATTCAATTGCGAAGTTAGGCATCTGGGCGAGAACCTACCGAGTTCGCGACCGCAGCGTTGTTGAGAGTGACTTGGGGCCTCTGAACACTCAAACGCCACAAGGTAACTTGGATCTTGAGGTTTTGGATGGGGTCTTTGGAGACATAGCGGACGGACTTCGCGTCCTCCATGGCTCCCGGCTATCGCGCTTGAGTGCAAAGCGCCACCCGCGGCGTTTACTATATTGCTCTAGACGATAGTTTTGTCATAATAGTCCGCGACAAAACGTCGCTATGTCGTCGTCCTCGCGCGCTTATGAATTGTCGCCAGCGGACCATAGCTATACATTACTATTGCAGCATTTGCTAGTCTTACACAAAGAACATACAAAGCGCTTACATTGAAATGCAGCCATGTCGGTGGGAGGCTCGAGGTTGCCAACAGCTTCTGCAGTTCCGTTTCCTTCAAACGCTATTCGTACGACACGTCCATCCTAGCTGCGCAACGCATGCCGTTTTTTACTAAAAGCAGCTCTGCGTTTGTTCGAATTTCCAGATAAAGCCACTTACAAGCCTGCAAGCAAACTTTCGCCGCCATCATGCTCGCGCCGGGTCTTCGCCCCGGCATCAACACCGCTCGGGGCAATGTCATTCCATCGGCGACTGCAGCCCCAGCCGGAAGCACCGGAATCATGGGCGCGGTTCGTTTTCGGCCCTGCATCGACATCCATAAGGTTCGCCCACATGCCCGATTCCTGAACTCGTGTGCGCTGCACTTCCCAAGCGGGCTGGCTCAAGGTCACACATCATACATGCGTTGCAGGGGAAGGTGAAGCAGATTGTGGGTTCCACGCTCAAGGACCTGCCAGACACCCCGGGGTAAGATGGGCAACCATCCCAGTGGCTGACGTCACCTTACTCCTTCGCCCCCTCAACGCATCCTGCACATCCAATCACTCAGCCTAACTAACTTTCAAACGCATGCAGGTCCTCCTCTGCAACAGCGGAGCTCAAGACCAACTTTGTTTCTGACAAACCTGCTTCCTGGTTCAGCGAGCTCTACCGGCGGGATGGGCTGACGGGCGGCCACGTCATTATGCTGGGGGCGGACTCGGACAGCAAGTACGGCTCTAGTTATGCCGTACAGCTACCAAGCAACGAGAATGCCGTACTTTTCACCGCACCACACGCCCAGAATGCCGTACCAATGCACATGAACATGTACACATGTCACAATGACGCGCCGCTCAACCACCACCCTGACCACCCATCTCCTCACATGCGTCCCTCCTCCCCACCACCCCACCCCTACCACCCCCTCTCCCCACTCCACTCCACCCCCCCTGCAAGCACAGGCGCACCGCCCTGGAGGCTCTGCGCGCCTGGCCGGGCGGCTTGCAGCTGGGCGGCGGGGTGACTGCTGACAACGCGGCGGAGTGGCTGGACGCGGGGGCGAGCCACGTGATCGTCACGTCGTACGTGTTCAGGGAGGGGCGGCTGGAGGAGGAACGGCTGAAGCAGCTGGTGGGAGGGGGGTGTGTGGAGGGGGTCTGCTGGGAAGGGTGGGGGGTGGGTGGGTGGCGTGGGAAGTGGCGTGGGAAGAGGGAGGCGGGAAGAGGAGCGGCTGAAGCAGCTGGTGGTGGGGTGTGTGTGTGGGAGGGTAGTGTGCTTAGCAGGGAGGGAGTGGAGTGAATGGGACCCTGTTGGCCCCCTGACCCCGCCTCATTCACTCACATTCACTCACTGGTTGGTTGGTTGCCAACATCGTAACCCCCCCCACCTCCTACCTCCCTCCCTCCATCCTTTGGTTTGGTCTACCTTTGATCCCCCGCCCCGCCCCTCCCTGTCCCTGCCCCTGCCTTATTCAACACATTGGGTATCCTTCTTCCGCCCTCCCCCCCTGCCCCAGGTGAAGCTGGTGGGCAAGCAGCGGCTAGTGCTGGACCTCAGCTGCCGCAAGCGGGAGGGGCAGTACTGGGTGGTGACGGACAGGTGGGGGGAAGGAGGTAGGGGGTAGGGGAAGGAGGAAGGGGGGAGGGGAAGGGGGGAAAAGGAGGGGAGGGGGAGCGGCATCTGCATTCCTTCGGCAGGCAGCCTGGTCCTCAAACACCACAGTCCAAGCAGCGTGTCACGGTCTTACATTGCGCAGCGCAACCCTCAATCGCCACACACCGCCGCCCCCCACATGTCAGTGCTGTGCCTGCTGTCGGAGCCTGACGCTTCCCTAGTGCCTTCAACCAAGCATTCCTCCCTCCCTCCCTCCCTCCCTCCCTCCCGCATGTGGGTCAGTTTATCTAATCACAGCACCCGCTGCTCTCCCCCCGCCCCCGTCTGTCCCCCTCCTCTCCTCCGGCCCCCCTTCCCTAACTTGTGGTCTCCTATGGTTTGGTATGGTCTTTGACCCCCTCCCTGCTGCCCCCAGGTGGCAGCGCTTCTCCTCGCTGTGCCTCTCCCCTGCCACCCTCTCCTCCCTTGCCGCCAGCTGCGACGAGTTCCTGGTACACGGGGTGGATGTGGAGGGCATGCAGCTGGGGATCGATGAGGAGCTGGTGGGGGCGCTGGGGGCGTGGGCGCCGCTGCCTGTGACGTATGCGGGGGGCGCCAGGACGCTGGTGGGTGGGGAGGGGAGGGAGGGGAGGGGAGGGGAGGGGAGGGGAGGGGAGGGGAGGGGAGGGGAGGGGAGGGAGGGGAGGGGAGGGGAGGGGCTGAAAGGAAAGGGCAGGGGTATTCTCAAAGGCCCAGATGGGAAGGAGTGGAGAGGGAAGGAGTGGAGAGGGTGGCTGAGACCTGAGAGGAAGGAGGAAGGGTTGAAAGCATGGAGGCATGGGAACCGCACCTGGTTACGACACGAATCATCCGGTCGGTGCCACCTGTAACCCCCCTCCCCCTCCCTCCCTTCCCCCTCCCTCCCTTCCCCCTCCCTCCCTTCCCCCTCCCCCCTCCTGCCGCAGGAGGACCTGGAGCGGGTTCGTGTGGCGGGCAGCGGGCGGGTGGACATCACGGTGGGATCAGCGCTGGACATTTTCGGGGGGAAGCTGCCGTACGAGCAAGTAGTGGCCTGGCACCAGGGGCAGCAGCAGCAGGGGGGGCAGCAGGGGCAGGGGCGACAATAGGATGGGCCAGTAGAAGGGGCAGGGGCAGTAATATCAATCGTTGTCTGTGGCACCAGCAGCAGCAGGGAGGGGGGGGGGCCAGGGGCAGGGGCAGTAGAAAGGGATGTGGCAGTAGGTAGTAGAAGGGGCAGGGGCAGGGGCATTAGCAAGCGCCTGTGGAGAGTAACAGGTGGACTTGTGTGGAACTGCATATCAGCATAATGGTGGAAAGAAATAACTAGCTGGAAAGAGCCAGCATGCCGACAAAGTAATGCATACGGTGGGGATGAAGGTGTCGGGATAGTCGCGCGGTGGGATTTTACTCGTAATGTACCAGACGTGATTTTGCAAAGCTTGGTACGACCGGATCCAAGATAGAAGGCAGGGGTTGTAGCAAGTACGGCGGTGGCGGTGGGATCTTGGGGTCTAGTTGGGGTAGGCGAGCGGATGTAGATGGTGTGGGGGGAATGGCTAGGATGAGGAGAGGTGGTGAGGGAGAGGGGAGGCGGCGTCTTGGTATTTCATGTGGTAGGGATCGGTCCACAAGCGGGGCAGGCAGGCAGTTGCGCTCGTGAGGCGGCTTGTTGTAGGTGTAGGTACCGTGGTGGTATCAAAAGGTAGGATCACTCTTTCCTGTGTGATGTAGGTACCGTGGTGGTCACTCTTTCCTGTGCCGCAGCTCCTGTGTGCCGCCAGTGCGCGGTAGGGGACTTGCGTGGGTGCTTGGCATAAGTGACTCCAGGAGAGGGCCTTGTCACAGCCGTTGGTCACAACCGGCCCAACCGGTCACAACCTGCTGTACACCCCGCTGCTGCGAGCTCCTCCTCCTCCTCCTCCCCTCTACTGCCCTATCTAGATGTGCCCCGACGCCAGGCTGTACAACGCATCCGTGAAGGGACTCAACCGCATCCACGCAACCGTAGCCGCACCACCACCACCCTTCCCTCCTCCTGCCTCCCCTCCCGCCCCTGCCCCCTCCCCTCCTCTCCCTGCCCCGCCCCCTCCCGCTGCCGCCCTAGCCGCCCCCGCTGCGGCCGCCTCCGACAGGCTGGTCGCCACCAGCGGCAACACACCGCCGTACCGCTCGGCGAAGAAGCTCAGGCAGCCGGATCGGATCTGCGGGAGGAAAGGGGGGAGGAAGGAAAGGGGGGCAAAGAAGGGCCAAACCACAAGCCAGGGCGTGAGGAGGGAGCACCAGGGTGTGGGACGGGAGGCGTGCAGGGGGTTGGTTGGGTGGGCGCGTGGGTGGGCGGTGTGACATGGTTCCCATCCCCGCATGTAACACCCCAACCAGGTTACTCCCTCCCCCTTTTCTCCCTCTCCCTTCCCCATTTCACCCCTACCAACTCACATCTCCCACCCCCCGCGTCAACTCACATCTCCATGTTTCTTGCCCGAACTGATCCCCTTGACCTTCAGCAGCCCCTTCCCCAAGTCCACCACTCGAGGGGAGTGTAGGAAGGCGGGCGGTCGCGCAGTAGCAGAGGCAACCAACAACGACATGGCCAGATCTTCACAGTTGTGTACGGCATCCACGTGTTGTCGTACGGCGGGATCCATGTGGTTGGTGTAGTACTCCAGGTAGTCTGGTGGCGGTTGGTTGGGCGGTTGGAGGTTGGGGGAGGTCGGCGGTTGGTGGCGAGTGTTCGTGAGGGAGTCGTTGATTGGTGGCTTCAACGTGGATGTCCCCTCCCCGCCCAGCCCGGCCCTCACCTCACCTAATCCAGCCTAGCGCGGAAGTAACCACCCCCCTTCACCTCCAGCCCTCCCCCCCAGCCCCCCCACCCGTGCCCCCCACCTCGGTGCAGCATGGCCGCCTTGGTGAGCACCAGGCTGTAGGCGCCGTGCCACGTCAGCGTGCCGAAACCCTGGAGATAGCGGTACCTGGGGGGGGAGGAAGATTTCCCCCGGCGGGGTCCGCGGGGAGAAGAGGGGCGGGAGGGGAGGGCTCAGCACCTCTGCTGAGGAGAAAGGCCTGCGTCACACCTCCCACACGTCCCATCATCAGCCGTTCATTCACTCGTGTCGCACCGCGCACGTGTCTGTTGTCAACTGTCAACAAACACCTGCCTCCCATGCAACCCACCCATGCCGCCTGCATGGGCCCAATGGCCCCATGTCTGCCACCCACCGTGCCCCCCCAACATGCCCCCACACCTGCACTGCTTGTCTAGCACGTGTAGTCGGGGGTAGAAGCCGGCCATGTTATGCGGGTCACGTCGCCAGAGCTTTGGAAGGGGGGGATGAGAGGGGGGGAAAGGGCAATGAGGCAATGAGGAAGGCGAGGAGGAGAGGGTGAGCAGGAGGACGGCTGGTGTGCGTCAGAGGCAGGCGACATGTGTACACGATTCCCCCATCCTGTTGTTCCCATCGTTCCTCCCCATCCCCTCCTCCTTCCCTTTGAAATCGCCCCCCCATTAGCCATGCCCCCCTCATTAGTCATGCCACACCAGGGGCCCCCCATGTGTCGTACCGCAAACAGCTCGTCCAGCACCTCACAGGGCGCTAGGATGTCGTCATCCAGGCTCAAAACCGCTTCCGTACGGAGACCTGAGTACGACATACACACACGTACGGGTCGGGTACGGGTAGGGGAGGAGGGTAACCGCCAACAACCGTACAATGTTTGCAACAGCGAGTGATCTGATATGTGAGTATGTTTTACATCTCAGGAGGCGGAATTATTAGGCGGAACATGGCGTCGAAGCCTCGCGGGTCTCCTAGCACCATTCGATAACGCAAGCACAAGGGCTTCTTGGAGCCACTATATCCCCGTAAGCCCTCTTTAGCTGCCTTGCCCAAGCCCTGCCCTGCTGGCTGCCCTTCCTTCTCCGCGTTTACCTTCCAACGGCCAGAAGCGGTTGTTGAGTGAGGAGTTACTCACGATGTCGTACCGCACCTCCTTGACGTCAGAGTAGTACTGCGGCGCCTCCGCGCGTGTGGGTGGCAACCCGCCCTCACACCATATCTGCGGGGGCCCGGCGTGTGTTAAAATAACTGGCCGCGGCGGCGTGTGTGGGTGGGTGCGTGGGTGTTTCATCCTCTCGCTCTTCAGCACGCGACTAGCTGGGTATCAGGAAAGAAGCAACACCCCGAGCAGAGGAACAGGAGGAAGGGCCCCCTCATGCAACTCCCCATGGTGAAGCATGTCGTGCGATTGGTTTCTTACTCTGACCCCCTCCCCTGCCTGCCTCCCCTCCCCTGCCTGCCTCCCCTCCCCTCCCCTGCCTGCCTCCCCTCCCCTCCCGCCCCCCGCCGCTCACCACCCTGACTGCATCCACGCTCCTGCACTGCGCGTAGTGCGCCACCGCGCGCTGCAGCAGCTGCGGCCGCCGGAAGGAGTTGAGCACCAGCGTGAAGCGATCGGGGAACTCAACTGGGAGGGAAGGGTGGGGCGGGGAGGGGCGTGTGTGTATGTGTGCGTGTGTGTGTCGGGGGGAGGAGGGACGAGGAGGGGAGGAGGAGGGTATGAAGAGTAGAAAGGTGTAGGAAAGGAAAGGGAAGCCCCTTTTCGGCAGCAGACGTTTCCAGGTGTTGGGTGTGTGCCGAGGAAGTTGGTTTGCTTGGGCCCCGGTAGTGAATGGCTGCGAAGTGAGGCCGGAATCGCGCACCTGCGGGTCCATGGTAGGTAGGAACCAGCTTGGCCTCGACCGGTCGCACAGGCTCCGGCACAGGGCAATGCGATGGTACAGGAGACCACTCATATAGCATAAGCGGTGTGAGGGTTGCTCCTAAAAGTAAAAGTGCTAATAGTGCTACGACACCGCGGCGTAATTGCGACTTGAACATGGAGCTTGGTTCACAGACAGAACCCTCTACGACACCCGTTTCTTCACATGTGTAATCATCACTTTTCTTGCGTCCACTACGCCGCAACCTAAAGCCGAACATGTTGGATGGAGCCAGTGCACAAGCAAGGATAATACGCAGCTACTGTTGAACAGAGTTTGTTATCTGGTGCTTCTTTCATGAGCAAGTCGTAATGGCTAAAGCGCCTGTGTTATCAGGAAAGCGCGCGAAAAGGCCTGCGTGCGCCGGAACCAAAAGAAACCATGCAAGCTCGCCGCTGGCGAGTCGCCAGGATAACCACTTAACCAGCTAGCCGTTTTCCGAAATGCTACTAACCAGCATCAAGCAATACGTAGCACTTGCAGTATCCTACATGGTGCTTAGGTCCCTATTTGGAGTGAATAGAGGTATATGAGCTTGCACTTGTCTGCTAGCATAGCAATAGATTAGGGTATGTTATAGAATGCGGACCCGAAGGTGTTTCGCTAGGTGGAGTGGAGCAGTGGACAGATGCGTGGGTGTTGCAACGAGGCTCCCGGTCGACCGCACGGAAGGCACAAATTATGCCGTTATGCGTGACATGCAATCATAGCTAGCTGGTGTCAGCCTCTTGTGTCACAATAGTATAGTCTCTAAACACACGTGCGAGTCAGCTGTTGTTGTAACCCATATGCCATGAACAGCGACGGCAATCAAGGAGTGATGTAAGCAAATGCCTCGGCACAAAACCTGATAAGTTGCGACCATAGTCCTACTAGTTGTTTTCCAGACTGGCTGTGCAGGCCAAGCAGAACAATTCGAAGGCCGAAGCGGGAATAATTCACAAACCAGTATGTACATCAAAGTTACTGTTCTATCGTCAGCACAGCTTTGCTCTAACGTGTGACAAACTTTCCACTTTACAAACAAGCTGTATAGGGCCCACAATCTCAGCCGTACAGTCGATGAAGGCAGATGTATAGCTTGACTTTCTATGCTTGCTCGTGTTCGACCGGGAACTGTCGCAACAACCAACAAAAATGGCCACCATGATGATGCGCTCTCGCGTTGCCGCCGGTGTGCGCCCGGCGCGCGCCACCGTCCGTGTGAGCGCCTCTGCTCGCCCTATGTGGTACCCTGGCGCCACCGCCCCTAAGCATCTGGATGGCACCATGCTGGGTGAGTACGGGTGAGCTAGCTTGATTTCAGGCCTGGCGCGAGTAAAGAGCAGCATCAGCGGCCTTGCATGCGGAAATAAAAAGACACAAACTTCTAGCTAGCGAAAAGAGACGCTAAGTATATATTTATTTTTCGACAAGTATGATCAGCAATCGCGTTGGTATTTTTGCGCAGCTTCGACCCTCTCCGCCTGGGCACCAACCCCGAGCAGCTGAAGTGGTTCCGCGAGGCTGAGCTGACCAACGGCCGCTGGGCTATGGCCGCTGTTGCTGGTAAGCAGCGCTTTTCATAAATTATGTCAGCGAGCGTGTTGGTTGACCTAAAATTAGTCGCTGCTTGCAGGCATCCTGTTCACGGATGCTGTTGGCCTGCCCAAGTTCTGGCTGGCTGGCGCTGAGGTGCGTTTGTCCAGCGGGGTAGAACACAGCAGTTGCGCATCATGTAGCAGTTCAGCTACAACTGGGCTTGCTGCACAAAGGAACAGTCAGCTGCTACACCCGGGGTTGGCGATTGGCTGATGTGAGGGTGTTCTCAGCGGATCTCAGCAGAAGCCGGATGCCACACCACAGCGGCTAAGGCCTCTTGGCTTCGTTTCGTCCATTCCTGGCCATGGCACAGCAAGGCCGGGCCTTCCTCCAGCTGCCGTATCCTATCCATGAAAATCGTCACACGGGTTTCATGACAGTTTAAGGACACCGAGGTAGAAGTAGCTGCTAGGCGTCAGAGCAGCTCCTCAGCAAGGCCAGCAGCGGCTTAAGCATCACCAGCAGCAGCCCGGTTACCTCCCGCCCTCGGCTGCGGCTATCGCCAGCGTCCTTGCTGCCTGCTCCCCCTCTTCTCCCCACGTCCTGCTTCCTTACATGCCCCCCTCCCTCCCCTCTTCCCGCCAGCAATACGCGCTGGACACCCCCACCCTGGCGCTGATCGAGCTGGCGGTGTTTGCGGTGCTGGAGGCCAAGCGGTACGACATCTACAAGAAGACCGGAGAGGTGGGAGCGGGGGCGGCGGGGGCGGGATGGGGGCTGGGGCTTGAGGGGATCTGGGGCTGGGGCCGTGGCTGCGATTCAGGAGCAGGTGATGCATCCTGAAAAGGCTAGCGGTTATGGAGCGTGTGTGCTAGTGTGGTGGTTGGAGGATGCATGACAGATGCTGGAGGAGGGAGAGAAGAGGGGGAAACGGCGCAGGCGCAGGTCCCCCGGGTACTCAGTGACCCGTGGGTCTTTACCGCTCGTTGCTCCTGTATCTTCTCCACGCGTTCCCAACACATGCTCGCGCCATGCATGTGCGTCGCCCCACTCTCCCTCTCCCCCCTCTTCCCCTCCCCTCCTTCCCCCGCAGTGCGGCCTGCTGTCGTTCGCCCCCTTCGACCCGCTGGGCATGCGCAGCCCCGAGATGAAGCTGCGGGAGCTGAAGAACGGCCGCCTGGTGCGTGGGGGGGCTGGTGGGGTGGGATTGCCCTTGGGGGGACTGTTTGGGTAAGCGGTCCGTGGTATGCAATTAAGGCCCGCGAGGGCATAAAACGTGGGACGACGGGACTGCTGGAGGGGAGGGGTCAGCAGCTGGGGAGGTGTGGTGGCAGCAGCAGCAGAGGAGGAGCAGCTGGGGACGCCCCGGCCCACGAAGGCCCCTGCTGCTTTCGTACCGGTATCAATCAGGGAACAACCGCCACCTGCAGGGTGCACCTCAGGGCGCTGGGGTGACAAGCAAAGGCGGCGGCTGTGCAGCCAGCATACCCCTCCCTCAGCAACCGCTGCAGCAGCTGCTGCTGAGCAACCCTCAGCGCAACACATTCGATCAGCCCCTACTCCCAGCACACCCATCATGACCCAGCCGCCTTGCGGTTTCCTTCAAGACGATTGGTTTCTCACAAACCCCGTCCCCGTCCCCCCGCCCTTCCATGCATGTACACCCCTCTCCCCCCTCTTACCTCCGCACAGGCCATGCTGGCGTTCGTGGGCTTCTGCTCCCAGGCCGCGGTGACCGGCAAGGGCCCCATCGACTGCCTGACCACCCACCTGGCTGACCCCGGCCACAACAACAGTGAGTTTATATTCCCTGTACTTCTGCCGAGGGGATAGTATTTATAAATCCCTTTGGTAACGCCGCTTGTGGTGGTGACCCATGGGTCGATAACACCTTTTCCTTGGATCCACGCGTGGGGTGCGGTCTACAGCAATCGTAAGAAACGTATTTAGCTGGCATCAACACTCCTTTCTCCTCCCATTGCAAATGTTCCCTGCCTGCGCCCCGCTCCCCTTCCTCCCCCCTAGTCTACACCTCCTCCGTGGGTCCCGAGACCTGCGTCACCGTGGCTGTGCTGTGCGTGCTGCCCATGATCATTGAGGCCACCAAGACCCTCAACCCGGGCAAGGAGTCCGTGCCGTACTTCCCCTGGAACGAGCCCTGGTCCAAGGTGTAAGTGACTGCGGTGACTACAGCACCAGCAACACACGGGGGCAGTAGGATCGGCAACAGCAGCAGGAGCGGCAGTTGTGTTGTGTTGTCGCATGCATGGGCAGCTGCATGGATGGATGCTGGGCGCCCCCCGCTAGGCAGTGGTGGTGTGCAAGCCCTATGGGGGTTGTCCCACAGGGAAGGGCCGGCCGTGCCGTTTTCTGCCTGCAGCTGGGCAGCTGTAGCATGGGCAGGGAGGCCAGTTGGCTTTGGACTGTCTTTGGGAGTGGAGTGTAGAAGGAGAGCTTGTTTTGGGTTTAGGAAGAGACGGGTGTGGAGCGGTGTTCACAGCCACAACGTGTTTCGGCGGGTTCGTTGCGGGCATGAAGGGTGTGCGCATCGTCGCCGACGTGAAGAAGAAAGAGTCGTGCATCCCCAATTTTGAAAGAGAAGAGAAGACCAATACTCGTCCGTAGTACGGTTGTACTGCCGTACAAATCCCGTACGGTGCTTAGCCATGATGTACAACAACCTTTGATGTACAGAAAAGTATGCAACACATGGGCTATAGGACACAATCAAAAGCATCAGGAAGTTACGGCAATAACCTCGCGTTCTATGGAATGCGTAATCATGACACCACATATTCGGCTGGCGCAGCGACACAAGGTGTACCCCATGCACGCATGCATGCCACCAGCCCTCATCGCGTCGACCCACGAACGCCCGCGTATCATCCGCCCCCATCACACGAAGGCCCGGGAGCGGTGGTTGATGTGCGCCCGGCACAGCGGGCACAGCTCTAACCGCTCCGCGCAGTCCTGGCAGATGATGTGTCCTGTGGCGGGGTCGGAGCGAGTTCGACGGGCATGTGATACGGTAATCTGACAATGGATGCATGGTCGCGTTACTGTGGTTCCCAGCAGACACGTATTGTTTGGCAGGCATGTATTATCGGCCGTCAGGTGGCCACATCATAACCTTGCCGTCATGCATGTAGCAGCGAGGTGCACGACTGCAAGAGGTGCCGAGACGGCCATGCATAATTGCATGGCTGTCTCGTTACGCGGGCCCCCGGGGTCCCGAGGCCATGCCCTGCTGGAAGATTGGTGGGCTGCATGGGTGGATGGACCGATTGGGGGCTAAAGCAGGCGACCAGGCTGAGCTGAGCGCGGGACCGGACGGCCGGTTGTCGCTTCGGCTGATACGCGCGCAGACGGCTGTGGCAAATCAAGCGGGCATGGCAGCAGCAGCGGCGACAGGGCTGCCTGCGGCGGACCCTGCAGGCGACGCTGGGGCAGTAGCTGCAGCGGCGGCGGCAACGGCTGGTGAGGCTGTAGCCGCCGGTGATGCGGGTTTGCAGAGCTCGGCTGCCGCCGCTGTGAATGGCAATGGTGCCGTTCCTGCTGGCGAAACAGCATCTGCTGCTGCAGCCGTTGCGGGCGCTGCGATTGACGCTGGAGGTAACCCAGCTGGGGGCTTGCCCCTTCCCTCCGCCGGCTCAGGCTCCTTAGGGGGGGTTGTCCAGCCTGGCCCGGTGCCCATCCCCGCCTCGGCCCTGACTCCCAGCAGTAACATGGGCCTAGCCGTTGAGCTAAACGACCGGTCTGTGACCGACGGCTCCATACGACTCCCGGTGCTTCTGTGTCGGAGCCTTTTTTCGGGCCTTACGGCGACCAATGGGTCGGGCTCGGACATTGTGGTACGAATGGTGGACGATACCGATGGGCAGGTGTTCCAAACGCACCTGCATGGCTACGCAAACCAGCGCGCCTACGTGACATGGGTGCTGAAGCGCTTAAGCGCTTAAGCGCTGTCCGAGCCCGACCCATTGGTCGCCGTAAGGCCCGAAAAAAGGCTCCGACACAGAAGCACCGGGAGTCGTATGGAGCCGTCGGTCACAGACCGGTCGTTTAGCTCAACGGCTAGGCCCATGTTACTGCTGGGAGTCAGGGCCGAGGCGGGGATGGGCACCGGGCCAGGCTGGACAACCCCCCCTAAGGAGCCTGAGCCGGCGGAGGGAAGGGGCAAGCCCCCAGCTGGGTTACCTCCAGCGTCAATCGCAGCGCCCGCAACGGCTGCAGCAGCAGATGCTGTTTCGCCAGCAGGAACGGCACCATTGCCATTCACAGCGGCGGCAGCCGAGCTCTGCAAACCCGCATCACCGGCGGCTACAGCCTCACCAGCCGTTGCCGCCGCCGCTGCAGCTACTGCCCCAGCGTCGCCTGCAGGGTCCGCCGCAGGCAGCCCTGTCGCCGCTGCTGCTGCCATGCCCGCTTGATTTGCCACAGCCGTCTGCGCGCGTATCAGCCGAAGCGACAACCGGCCGTCCGGTCCCGCGCTCAGCTCAGCCTGGTCGCCTGCTTTAGCCCCCAATCGGTCCATCCACCCATGCAGCCCACCAATCTTCCAGCAGGGCATGGCCTCGGGACCCCGGGGGCCCGCGTAACGAGACAGCCATGCAATTGGACTCGCAGCGATTGCAACCACAGGCGCAGGTGTGCCGCCCCCCTCCACAGTCTTCACACACCGCAATTCAGGAAGGTGTCTCGCCGCGCCGCCAGGCACACCGCACACGTCGCCGCCTCCACCGCCTCCGCTGCCTCCGACCGCGCCGCTGCCACCCTGGCCGCCACGATGGCATGTCGTAAGCGAGGCAGCGCCGCCTCCGCCTGCTGCGCGAGTGCCTCCAGGGTGTCCAGGGATTGGGCGGCTAGAGCCTCCTCCTGCATGGGGTGGGGTGGGGTGCAGCGAGGAGGGGGGGGTCCAAAGACCATATCGGAACCATAGGAAACCACAAGTTAGGAGGGGGAGGTACCGGTAAAAGTCTGGAAACTGACGAGGCAGGGTTAGGTGGGTGGAGCAGCCCTGCACGCCCATCTGTCCCACCTGTCCACTCATGCACGCGATACGTCGCTGCAGCTGCACGCCGCGATTCACCGCCGCCTCCAACTCTCCCTGCATCCCCTCCAGCTGCCCTTCTGCCGCCTCCAGCCGCCCTTGCAGCCTCGACAGCTGCCCATGCAGCGCCTCTGACGCCGCTCGGGCTGCCTGGGTCTGGTGCTGAAGGCGGGTCGTCTCGTCAGCAGCCTGTGGCAGGCGGGAGGAGAGGGCGGGGGAGATGAGAGGCAAGCGGGGGTGGTGAGTCGCCAGGAGGTGATGTATGCTATGCAATGCGAGGCGGCGGTGCTATGCATGCAGGGAAGCATGCAGCAACTCCGGCAATGTGCTCCATGCAAGGCAATGCGCACCAGCGCCAACACCAGTTGTACACACCTCCACAAGCTTGGCTCCCAGCGACTCAATCTCCTCTCGCAACGCCTCCTCCCGCGCCGTCACCGCCGCCACCGCCGCTTCCAGCTCCGCTGCCCGCGCCGTCACCGCCGCCTGCGCCGCCGCCTCTGCCGCCAGCTGTTCCTGCGCCGCCGCCGCCGCCATTCCCGCCCGCGCCGCCTCTCGTTGCAGTTCCGCTGCCAATTCCTGCTTAGCCGCCAGCTCCTCGCGTGCCTCCGTAAGAGCCGCCGCCAGTGTCGCATTACAGGAGCGTGCGGAGGATAGTTGGTGGGTGAGCTGCTCCTGGGCAGGTGGGGTCGGGGTCGGGGTTGGGAATGGCATGCAGCTAGGGGATGCTGTCTCCAATTGTTGTAGGTTGGAGGAGTAGAGGGATAAGGTCCCGGATACCAACCCACGAACCCAATCCCATGTCGTATACATGCCGTACACGCCATGTGGGTTCTCTCTTACCAGCTGACTTCGCTGCTCATTCGCCTCCGTACGTTGCCGAACCGCCTCCGCCTCCGCCGCCTCCGCCCGTGACCTCGCCTCCGCCGCCGTACACTCCGCAGCCGCACGGTCCACCTCCGCCGCCTCCGCACGCCGTACAGCCGCTTCCGCCGCCGCCGCCTGAGACCTCGCCTCCGCCGCCATACCCTCCGCAGCTGCCTCCGCCGCCTCAGCACGCCGTACGGCGGCCTCCGCCGCCGCCGCCTGCGCCGCCGCCGCGCGTTCGTGCTCCTGTCGAGTGCTTTCGAGATCCGATTGCAGCTGTCGTACATCCTCAGCCGCCTGGGATGCGCGCGCCTCCGCCGCCGTGACGACGGCGGTTAGGCGCGTGACTGCCGCCTCCGCCGCCTACATTGGGTCATGGCGGCGAAAAGCGAAGGAAGGACTAGGGCCAAGAGCAGCCAAAAACACACACACCGCGGTGGGCAGCTCGTCACAGCTTCACACACCTGCACGTTTGCCTCCACAACAGCGGCCACCCGCCGTGCCGTCTCCACTGCCGCCCGCGCCTCCACCTCCGTCGCCTCCACTGTCCTTTGGAGCTCCGCCGCCGCCCGCTCCCGCTGCTCGCATTGCGCCTGTACAGGGGCAAGCGACACAGAAGGCGAGAATATAGGTACATAGGCAACGAACCCCATCCATCCTCACCAAGAATGAACACAACCCTCCTCCGCATTACCATTCGTAGCTGGACCCAGCAGCCGTCAGCCCTGCCTGTCTGCCCGCTCATGCGCAGCCCGCAACCCCCTCTTCCCGAGTTCCTCCTCCCGGACCCTTCCTGCTCCTCCCAAGGACTCCAAACCCTCCAAACACAGCACAGACCATACACCTGCGCCTGCTCGGCCCGCTGCTCCGCCTCCCGCGCCTCCGCCTCCGCCCTGTCCGCGCGCTCCCTCTCAGCAGCTAGAGCACCTGCCGAGGGCGGGGCACCCATGTTAGACATGCGGTCCTTGTACTGGTCCTTGCAGGGTCCTTGCAGAGCTATCCCTCCGGACAGCAACCTTCCTGCCACCACCATACGCAGCCAACACGAGATGGGCAGCACCTTCGCCTGCCCTACCGCCTTCCCACCTCCCCCTCCCAAGCAAACTGCCCCTCCTAAAGCCTTGCTGCTGTGTTAGTTACCCGTACTCGCCTTCCGCCTCCTCCCGCCTCCGCTCCGCTGCCTCCGCTCGTGCCACTGCGGCGCCCCGCTCCTCCTCCCTGGCCTGCAGTGCCCTCTCTTGCTCAGCTGCACGCCACCGGGCTAGACGAACCTGATAGGAGTCCCAGGAGGCGTGGGCGGTGCATGCATGCGCGCAAGGCCGGCAGGCAGGCGAGGAGGTGGCGTATCAGTACCGGCATGCGGGAAGAGGCGGGGCGCGCGGGTTCACCTCACGTTGCTCACATCCTCGCCCCAGGGTCCCCCCCCACCCGTCGCTCCCCGTCCCACCCTTTTTTCCGCTCCCTGCAGTGCCAACCCCCGCCCCCCCAGCCCCCACGCTACCTGCAGGTCCAGCTCCTCCATCGCCGCCTCCGCCGCCGCACACCGCTCCCGCCAGCCACTGATCCACCGCCCAGCCATAGCTAGCAGCTCCGCGCCCTGACTTCGAGCAGCCGCCGCCACATCGCCGAAGCCACTACCGCTTCCACTGCCTCCCGCCCCATCCCTGCCGCCTGCACCGCAGTCGCCGTTGTCGTCGCTGGGGAGAGTGCACGCATTGCCGTACATGCCGTACGGCGTGCCGCTGCCACCGCGGGTATCGGCGGAACTGTTCCCGTACACGCTGCAGCAACCAGCACTGCCGTACATGCCGTACATGTTGGGGCCCCCAGGATAGCCCCGGGCAGCAGCCGCAGCAGCAGCGCCGTTCGGGGCGGCTGCAGGAGCGTCATGTGTCGGGTCCAACCCCGGGCCTGGTCTTGCATGGAGGCTGGCGCTACCTTGCATGTTGAGGTATGCAAAGAGGGGCTGTTGTTGCTGCTGCTGCTGCTGATGGCGGTGGTGGTTGCGCGCATGGGGATGTGGGTCAGGGTGGCCGTCAACCTCAATGTGTCGTTCGTTGTATTGCGGCGGCGGGTGCGGTTGGGAAGCAGCAGGCTGCCGGAGGGGCGCAGCAGCAGAAGCAGCAGTGGCGGTGGAGGTGTCGGGGTGTGTGGGGGAATGCGTCCGCTGGTGCAGCTGATCTTGCAGCTGCTGCGACTGGTGCAATGGCCGCAAGAATTGCGAAGGCTGGTAGTGTTGCTGCTGTTGCTGTTGCTGCTGCTTCTGCTGCTGATGCTGATGCGGTGACAGCCCCGCCCACTGTAGCGGCGACTGCTGCTGCCGTCGCGGTTCCAACGGCAGAGGCGTCGGCGTCGGCGGCGCAGCAGCAGCAGCAGCAGGCGACCGCTGCTGGAATACATGCTGCTGCAAATGTTCCTTCTGCTCCTGTTGTTGCCGCTGCTTCCGTTCCTGCAATGCGTTGTCGTACGTTTCCAAGCCCGTCGTAACGGTCTTGCTGTTGTTGGTGCTGTTGTCGTACGGGTTGTCGTCGTACATGCCTCCCCCGCTGCGACCCCCAGGGGTGCTGCGGTGGCTGACGTGGCGTAGCTCGGAGTCAGCAGGAGGGCTGGGACAGGGGCTGCCGAAGCTGCATGGGCTGGCGGAGGGCTGGGGAGCCCCCTGCGGCAGCGGATGGCGAGCTGCAACAGCTGCAGCAGCAGCGGCATAAGCATGGGGGGCTGAGGACCGGCGTGGAGGTGTCGCATGCACTTGCCCTGAGGGAGAAGAACCAGCGGACTGGTTCGGGTGAAACATGGGCGGAGCGGGAGGAATGCGAGCGGAAGGCGGGGAGGAACTAGTGATATCGGAAGGAACAGCGACGTTGCTGCTGCTGTGGCGTCCGGGTGGTGTAGTGACCCATGGGTCGTTTTGGCTTGGATTTGTCGGACCCAGATGCCTATGCGCTCCGTGCACGGCTCCGCTTGCTTCGAGCTGAAGCCCTTGCTGCGGTTGCTGTTGTTTTTGTTGTTGGTGGTGTTGCCAGACACGAGGGTGGGCTGATGGGAAGGAGCACGACGGGGAGAAAGAGGAGGAGGAGGAGGGGAATGAGGAGGCTTCCGCTGTGAAGGAGGCGGTCAGGCATCTTCTAGCAGCTGGGTCGGGTCGCGTGCTGGGTCCGCCCGGTCCGCTTTGTTCGGGAACTGGCAACGCAGGAAGCCCTTGGTACGGTTGTTGTGATGGTGCGGTAGCTGTAAGGGCTGGAGGATGATAAGCCCAAGTGCTCTCGACTGTAAATGTTTGTGGCTGCTGGTCGAGGTGCACACTGCTGTGAAAGGGCCTTCGCTCGCAGCTGTCGGGATGTGGGCCGTTGCTGCTGCTGGTCTGTGGGATGCTTGCAGTGCTGTTACTGCAAGCAGGTCCGTGCTGCTGGTGCTGGTGGGTTGTTAGTAGAGTGGCAAAGCCACCCCGGCTCGCGATGCCTCCGTTCGCGCGGCCCTGCCATCCATCCGTCTCGGAGATGCAGCTTTCAGCAACACCGATTATCGTTATAGCTGGTCTTGACGATGAAACAACAGAGGACGCATAAAAGGTGCTGGTGATGCTGCTGCGCGTTGACACCGCGTCCGTTTCCGCCTGGGAGAGGTGCTGCCTCGAGGCCTCCCGCCCTGGAATTCCATCCTGGCTACCAAAGTCATGTCCACTGCCATCTGTATCGTCGAACTCGCTTACTAACTCGCCGTCGCCAACCGCAAAGTGTTCCCCCTCATAAAGTGCATCAGCTGCAGCAGCCATCGCAGGGTTGTTACGGCATCAAGCTTTAACCTTCTTCTTGCGTGTACAGTCTGCTAGTTGTGGACTGTGGAGTCAAACTATTCAAGGCGGTTAGCGGCCTGGAAACGCGGGAAGGAGGATGAACGGGTATCAGCCTAGGTGTGCAACAGTGTACAATTATTAACATTATACATAGGAAGGAAGGAAGGAAGGAAGGATGGATGGAAGAGTAACGGCCTGATATTAAAAAGGCGACATCATCAAATGTTGCTTCTCAGCCCCAACTTTGCGACAGACCCTGACAGACCCTCTCATCGTCGCTCAACCGCCACGCCCACCGCCTTCACCGCCTCCACATTCCTGCTAGCGTCGCAGCTCACTCCCGCTGCCGACAACACGCCACCAAACAGTGCTAACGACGACGATGACGCTGCAGCCCCTGCTGCCACCGCCGCCGGTAATCCCGGATCATCATCATCGGCAGCAGCGCTTGACGTACAACATGCCAACAACAGTGCCATCCAAAACTGCCGCCGCTGTCGCTCCCAGGCCGCTAGCTCCGAGCCAAGTGCCGCCACGTGTCGTGCTTGTCGTGCGTCGTACGGCAATACGGCATTCAACAGTGACTCGTACGGCATCTCGGGATGCGTACCGCATAGCACCGCCACGCCCCGGCCCACACGACACCTGTGTGTTTGGTTTTTGTTTGTGGAGAGCGACGTGTTGTTTTGGGAAGGAACGAGGTGGGACTAAAGAAAGACCAAACCATAGGAAACCATGAATTAGGGCAATACAATGGGGGAACGAGGTGGGGAGGAGGTCCATGCCAAACGCAATGTGCCTACCTATGCTGGAACTAGCTAATCACACCCACTCTCCCACGTTTAGAAACGTGGGATACCCAACGCCCTGACGTCATGCGCACCTGACAGCCGCCATCGCGTTCCCCAGATCCGGGTACACCGCCAGCACCTCCACAGCCCCCACCACTGGTGCTGCTGCTGGTGCTGCTGGGGATGAGGAGGCGGTGGCTGCGGATGATGATGACGCGGCTGCTGCTACTGCATGCGCATCATCCGTGCCATGCCCTAATGCCGCCTCCGCTTCCGCTGCCGTACTACTAGCGCCTGCAGTAGCGGTGGCGGCTGTTGCTACCGGTATGTCGCTCGCAAGCTGGAAGACTGGGCCCCCATTGGAGTAGTCCCGGCAGAACACCCAGCGCCCGGCATCGGTGTCGACCCCAGCCACCTCCTCCTTGGCATGGCCCTTGCCGCAACCTCCGTTGAAGAGGTTGCTCCGCACGCCACCAACATCGCTGCCTCGCAACGCGCCGTTGCACCAACCCTCACCAGTGCTGCTGCCGCTGCTAGCAACCCCCTCGCCACCGGCTGCTGTTGCCAGCCCCGCAACTCTTCTTAGCCCTGCGTCTGCCTGCCCTCTTGGCCCAGGTGCGTCATCAAGGAGTGCGTTCCCCGGTGGGCTGCCGCGGTTGCAGGTCCCGCTCGGTGACGAGCCTACATGGCCGCATGCGGCTGCGGGGGAGGTGCTGTCAGGGCGGCTTGCGTGCGGCCCCCCCGCCACTGCTGCCGCTGCTGCGTCGCCGAAGTGTAGGTGGTCAGGTGCTAACCGTGGGACACGCAAGGGGCATGCAGCGACGGACAGCTCCTCTTCCGGCCGCTGCTGCAGCTGCAATGATATGGGTCGGTGGAGGTGGTGCTGCTGGTGATGGTGCAGGTGGTGCTGGTGGCACGGCAGAGGCAGGGGGCCTCCCTTATGGTCGGGCATTGGTATCGACTGCGCATGCGGTGGCGGCTGCTGTTTCGGTGGCTGCTGCTGCTGGCAAGTTTGCTGCTGCTGCGGCTGGCAAGGGTGGTGCGGGTGTTGTGCCTGGCTAGGAGTAGTGAAAGACGGGGTACATGGGGATGGGGAGGGGGCTGGAGGAGGAGGAGGGAGCTTGGGTGGCCGGAAGCGCAGGGGAGCGGCGTGGGCGCCCAGCTCTGAGGTGTAGTCGAAGCCTGGAGGCAGGGCAGGAGGGAAGGAGGCAGGGATGGTGGGTTTGTGTCGTGCGTGTGTGTTGTGCCTTTGTCGTACAACACATGCTTGAAGCTGCCTGGGGCCGCCCAGGCCTCTGGTTCACGTCTGTTGGCCTCCAACGGACTTCCCTGTGCTCCCCAACCCTAAAACCACCTGCCGGTAACCCTAAAACCCTCTGGGCCGTTTGCCGGGCTACTTGCACCCTTGCATACTTCACATAGCGATCCCGGCCTTCCCAGCCACGGGCAGCGCACGGGCGGTACCGCCGAGTACCTGCACGGCTGTTCTTCCACCGGCGGGCCCCCGTGTGGCAAACGTGCCTGCCTACAACACGGCAGACTTGTATGCGGGACGGGACAAAGGACACAGCCAGCGGTGGCGCTGCTGCAGCCGGCGACGGCAGGTAACACCATCAGGGGCAGCAGCGACCCAGTGAGCACCCAGTGAGCGACCCAGCTACACACACGAGAAGGGAAAGCCCATGTTGGAAACGTTTTGTATGTTTTGGTAGCTGCTCGTGACTGTGTTGTGAACGGGGATGTGTCTCAAGACGTGCCTGCTTCGGACGTTTGGTTTGGGTTCGGGTTCGCGTGACCCGCGGGTCGTTCCTTCACCGTCCACCGCAAGTAGTCTAGAGTTACACTGCGTTCACTTCGCATCTCCGCTGCCTACATCGCACACCTCCCCTCTCCTTCCCCTGTCCTCTCACCAGCCACAACCCTCATACTCTCTCCTCTTTGATCTCTCCTCTCTCTCACAACTCGTACCCTCTACATCCCAATTAAACCTCTCAAACCCCGAACTCCCTGCCTCCACAGCCCCTGCGCGAGTACGGTAATTCCTCACGTGCCACCGCTCCCTCATTCGCACCCCCTGCACCCCACATGCTGTGCTGTGCTGTGCTGTGCCTCTCCTCTCCACCTCTCCGCTCACCGCCCTCACTGCCGCACCACCCCCTGCTGCTCCCCCTCCCACTCCGCTCTCACTGCTCCCCTGCCCCCCTCGCCTCCCCCGCCACCTCCCCTTGCTGCCCCACCCCCACCCCCTGCTGCCCCGCCTCCCTCTCCGCCCGCTCCACCTGCTCCTCCAGCTCCCCCAGCCCCAGCTGCCCCTCCACCGCCCGCCCCCCGATCACCCAGGTAGGGAAGTTGCGCACGCCGGCAGCCTCGCAGGCGGGGGCCAGCGGCTCACCCTGCAGGGCGGAGGGGAGGGAAAGGGTGGCGGGGAGGCAGCCGGGGGGTGGGATGCGTGTGTTTAGGAAAGTGGCGGCGAGTCGGAACGTACAGGTAAAGGTACAGGTGTGTTATGATAATTGGCCGCGAAGAGAAACGTACTGTGATTGCGCGAGATACATACCAGCGGCTGCGAAAGAAGCCTTCATTGGTTGCTTCACCACAAACCAGCTGCACACCCGCGGAAAAACAAAGGGAGCAGGGGGTACTGCAGAAGAAGCCTGACGCCACTATGCCGGTAGTACTTGCCATGTACCGGCCATCATCCCCTGGGACTCGTTGTTTCACTTATTTAATTCCCCCCACCCCAACCCTCGTCCTCACCCTCCTCCACCCATTCGGGAAGCACTCCACATACGGGAAGCCGCCGTCCCCCTGCCCCTCCACCGCCTGCACCCCGAACTCCTCCTTCTGCTCGGCGCAGTGCGAGCACCAGAAGGCGCCGTACATGCGGGCGCCCGCAGCCGCCAGGCGGCGGGAGAGGGCCAGCGCGCGGGGGGAGGAGGGGGAGGTGATGGTGGGGGCCTGCAGGGAGGGGGAGCAGGGGAGCAGGGAGGGGGAACAGGGAGGTGGAGTGCTGGTTAAGGGGGAGGAGGCGACAACATAAGGACGTCTTTCTTACATTCGTCATCCCGTATGCTCCTCACATGTCATGTACACCCGATAATGCAATGCAGAAGCCCCAGCCCCACCTAGCCCTGCCATCGCACCCCCAATGCGCATGGTAGTGTTCTTCTCCCCCCCCCCCGCCCCCCACCTGGTATTCCAGGAAGAAGTTGTCATCGATCAGCACCGACCCGCCACTCCCTGCTGCCGCCAGCGGCCCCCCCGGGCCCCCCAGGAACAGCAGGGCTGCGGCGGTCAGGGCGCCCCCAAGGCCGGCTAGGGCGTTGTCCTGCGGGTGGGGGGGTGTATGTTAAAATAAGGGGCCGGGAGGGGGGGTTGGGGGAGTGGGAGGAGGGTCGCATGCAGAGGGGGGAGGTGGGTTGCATGCATGCAGAGGGTAAGGGGGTACGTCGCAACTGGACTGTAATGAAAGCCACCCACCCACCCACCCACCCACCCGCATCTGCATCTGCCTGCTCCAGGCGGCTGCTGTCCCATCCCATCCGCACCTTTCCCACCCGCACACACGCACTCGGCGCAACGCAGGAAGTCACACGGCCGCTTTCATCCTCCTTACCCACCCTTGTATCGTAAACCCTGGAACACAGCTGCCGTCCTGCCCCCACCCCCTACCCGCCACCCCCACCCCCCACCCCTACCCGCCACTCCCTGCCGCTCATGCTGGTAGCCAGGGTGACCGCCAGCGCGGTGGAGGTGGCGGCGGACAGCAGGCACCAGGCGCAGGAGGAGCCGGGGAAGCGGCTGTGCAGCAGCGAACTGAAGGGAGGGGGGGAGGGGTAGGGTAGGGAGAAGAATAATTGAGAGGTGCAGCAACGGAGTCCCAATCTCAAATCCCGACTCATGCAGTGAGGAAGGGGTGTAGGGAGGTGGGGCTAACCTCATCGAGCTCAACCCATGTTACCCAAGCGGGGCGAACAAGGATTCGGGGAAACGGAGGAGGGGGGACGAGAGGGGAAATGATACTCACACGAGTACGGCACTGGTGGTTGCAAGTGCTGCTACACCTGCCGTAAGGCCCCACGAGGTGAGCCGACGGGCTGTAGCTGACGTGGCCGAGGGTGTAGCTGATGCAGGTGTGGTTGGTTGTTGTTGTTGCATCATGTACGACACAGCGAGGATGCCCACAGTGCCGTACGCTAGCATTCCGAACAGCGACAGCGGCAGGCCGAAGAGCTGCGCGTAGGGGCTGTTGAGGACGCTGTCGCAGCCATTGGTGGGACAGACGAGGGGCGCGTCGAAGAGCTTAGCCTGGAGGGCAGGACGGTATGAGAGGAGTGGTGGCTTAAGGGGAAGCATGGTGGCTTACTATGGTTGCTTGCGAGAAGCAGCGCCAGGCGTGCAGCCTGCGAGGCAGAGGCACTCGTGCTCGGACTCACGTAGGTAAGGTAGGCTGTTTCAGCCAAACCGACAGATGCCAGAGCTGCTAGCGCGCGATAGTTGCTTGTATTAATGTTCCGATTTGGTTCCTGAGGAGGATAATGCCAAAGAACAAGTAAAGGAAAGGCATTTACCTTGTCCATGCCCAACGGCAGGTACACATTTGGGTCCCCTAGCCTTTTACCTCAATTTGTATTACATTTGGTGGCGCTGGCGAGTCTTCTGAAAGCGAAGGCGCGGATGGCAATTCGTCTGAGGGGGTGCCTCTAATTGCAGTTGTCATCCGTGAGCGGCAAGTTGTCGCCGCGGCCGGCCAGATCGTGCCTTTACAGCGCGATGCTGCATAGGTGTTATGCTGTATAACATGTCTGCCAGAGCAGCTTACTGATCCCATCGAGCGACGGGTCGCTAAAGACATCCTTTACTGGTTACCAATTATATAACCAATTATATAAGCGCTATGAGGCATTAAGTGCTGTCAACCGGGCCTTTTATATCATAAAGCTACGATTGCGTTTATTGTACATCATGCAAACCCTTTCCTTGTGTCCGTACACCGCTAACTATCTGGACGCCAATGATGTACAGCAGGCCGTATGGACGCAAGTCAACCAGCAGCAGGGCTTGCATGCAGACTGCATGCCCAGGTTGCCTCTCTGGCAACCCTCCACGCTGCCTTGCGTGCAACCAGCATGTACAGCGCCTGCGGCTGTACATGTCTACATGCCTACGATGCCTGTCGGCCCTTGGTTAAAGCCCCCAGGTTACTATACCCACACCTCAATGCACGCTGCAATGTACGAAATTACAATAACATAACAAAACCCCAGATCATTGTCCAGTGTCTCATCTCCCTGGCATGAGTTGCAACGGCATTGCCTCGGAGGAGGGAAGAGTTGGATGGCGATGCGAAACGATGCAAGCCCCGCCCACCACGCCCTGGCTCCTCATTTCTTTCTCCCCCACCCCTACGGCGGCCTTGTCGCCTCACCCCAGCGACAGCACAGCTGTAAATAGCTGGCGGAGTCAAAAGAGTTCGGACTCACAGCCGGAAACGTATGAGTCCGAAGAAGGTGGGAAGAAAGCAGTCGGCAGGGTTAGAACTTGAAGTAACACGGCTGGGAGCGCGCATACCGGTATGTATTATCGGTTGTAGGTAGTGGCTGAGGAAGGTAGAATAGGCTGCTAGCCTTGCATGTGCGTATACGCTAGGGGCCTCGGATGTCGAACCGTGTAACAACCCATTTCGCGTGTGGTGGTCTGTAATGGATAGTCTAAATATCACAAAGGTGCGACAATCACCGAAGGTGCGAAGGTTTCAGTGCCTTACATGCCTCTCGCTCCTGCATGGATGTCCAGCCATCATTGCTGCATTCTGGGCTGGCAGTTGAGCACAGCGATCGCCGGCTACCGTGGAAACGCTTTCCGTCACGAACCACCGAAATGGTTTCGGTGTAGTATTGGGCTTGTTCACGTGCTTGGGCAGTTGGAGTCTCAACCGCCTCGGCATATCGGCATGCATACGAAGCGACCGCATCTCGACCCTGACATGCTTCTCACCTAGTCTCCAGTTACTAGCGGTGCATTATCTAAGGGCGAATAAGCATACCGCAGCAGAAGCGTGCAAGGGTAGGCTACCGTATTACAGGCGCCCGGCTACAACCCCGGTTTCCATAACCAGATTAGGATTGAGCCATTGCTAAGCTAGACGATCGCAACCATGATAGAGAAGCCTTGAAGTGCAACTGTCCGACTGGATTGCGTCCTCGTGTCAGGACGCATAGAAACCGACCTCGTCGTTCGGAAAGACCAAAGGATCTTGCAGAAGCTCGCCGTCGACGTAATCCGTAATTATGAGGGCCATGAGGAGGTTGGCGTTGGGATAAAGAAGCAGCGGGGTGACACTCCTTGTCTTCAACGGGCGAAACTTGTCAACGGAATTCGATCGGAGCATTCCCCAGTTGGACTTTTGAAGGATACCAAAACGTGTTTTAGGCGTCTGATGTTCAGGAAGGAGATACTTGCAAAAACTCGCCAGACAACGACGACGCTTGCCTGCGTACGACGGCGTACGGTGCATATTGCTCTGACCGAACTACAGAGACCATTCACTTCCACAGTGAAAGCGACATCTGTCTATAAGCACCTCCAGTGTTCCACTGCACAAATTAACTCACCTTATACAGTAGCAGACGCCGACTTACTGACAGTACCGGTTCCTACACGCTGACGCGCTACTCTTTTAAAATCCGGCTGGCGCTCATCTTGTCTTCGCCCCAGTGTGGGCTTAGGAACACTGGCGCTCAAACACCACTCTCTTGCAGAACAGCTAAGGGCACTTGACGCTCAGCTTGCTGCGGAGAGTTCCGGCAGCGACTGGGAGGGCGACATGGGCCATGAGCATAGTAAATATGGAGAAAGAGACCATGGGCATGTTCCATATATCGCTCAAAAGACGCAAGTCGGGCGTGCCAAGGTGAGCTAGCGGGCAATGCTTGCACCACCAACGGTCTTATAGACAGAGTTTGTTTCCTACCTGCAACGCACAACCTTTTGGAGTACAATCGGTTTCTTTCTTTGTCTTCTGCAGGCTATTACAGGCAACAAAGCGGGCGCTACCAAGCTCGACATCAAGTTACCGCCGAAGGCGACGCGTACAGAAGCTAGCGATTATGAATTCATTAAGGTATGATTCTTGTTACTGTGGACACATGGCTGTTGCGAAGTTCTGACTCCTGCCAATCCCGAATTCCGCAGAGCTCGCTTATCAACCTTCTGCTTTTCAGCCGCTTGGATCGGGTTACAGCTCAACGTATTGTCTCGGAAATGTATATGCTCCCAGTACTGGCCGGTGAAATCCTAATCCAGCAAGGCGACACAGGGGATGCTGCGACAAAACTCTTCGTGGTCCGCAGCGGCAAGTTCGAAGTAAGTGACTTTTGCCGGTGGGTCCCCCATATCTGCCTTGCTACCAAAAGTTAAAATGCCATGCGAGAAACCTTGCGTCGCTGCTCCATGGCAGGTCCTTGAGCGGCGGAAGGATGTCATGTTCAAGGTCAACACCAAGGAACGTGGCGATGTCTTCGGCGAAATCAGCCTCATGTACGACTGCCCTCGGTCAGCAACCGTCGCAGCCACAACGGACGCAAGCGTATGGGTCCTCGAACGTGACGTCTTCAGGTACCTTACCCTTCCTTACCCTCCACCGCACACATTCGGAGCTGAATGACCTCCTATGTGGGTTTCTCCCCACCCCAGCCAGCCCGACCCACCTGCAACTCCCCGGCACACGCTACGACAAACCCACATCACCCCCGATCCAATCACGCGACCCACATGGCTTTTCCCTCGCCCGTCCCCTCCCCTCTCTCACCCACCCCCCTTCCCCCTCCCTCCCTTCCCCAGGCACTTTGTCCAGGCGAGTGTGGAGGACGAGAAGAGCCAGGTCCAGATCTTCCTCAACTCGGTGCCGCTGCTGGCGTCGCTGCGGCCCGAGGAGAAGATGAAGCTGGTGGACGCGTTCCAGGAGGAGGTCTACGCAGGTGGGTAGGAGGGAGGGATGAAGAGCCCGCATTTCGCTGGATTTTAGGATTGCGCTCAGGGGAGGGGAGGGGGGAACGAGGGTGGGTGGGCGTGGGTGGAGGTGTGGCAGGAGGGAGGAGAGCTGCACGGGGAGCAGCACAGAAGCGGAAGGAGTAAAGAAGAGGAAGAAGACTGAAGCTCGAAGGAAGGAGGGGGGGAAAGCTGGGTGAGGATGGCGACATGGAAAAAGGCTACGCGGGTGGGTGGGTGGGTTTAGCAGAGGTGGGGCGGCAAGAGAGGATTAAACCGATTCGGGGTGTGACCCATTCCCTTTCCTTTCCCGTACCCGCCCCCTCTCCCCCTCTTCCTCCCCCCCCACACCCCCCCAGCCGGCGCCCGTGTCATCTGCGAGGGCGACCTGGGTGACAAGTTCTACCTGATCAAGGAGGGCGAGGCGCGGGTGCTGCAGGGCGACAAGGAGGTCAACCGGCTGTTCAGGAGCGACTTCTTCGGGGAGCAGGCGCTGCTGCAAGACGAGCCGCGGTGAGGGGGCGGGGAGGGGGAGGAGGGAGGGGTGGAACGAACTCCCCGTGTGACAAGGGAGAGGGAGGGAGGGAGAGGGAGGGGGATAGGTTTGCATGCTCCCCCTGGACATGGGAGGGCATAAGAGAGAGGGAAAGGGAAAAGGGTTCTGGTGCATGTGCACGCGCAGCATGTCCATTCCCCTCCTCTGCCATGCCCGCATCCCTCACCCCGCCGTGCTAAGGTTCTCACCCCGCTCTTCTGCCACCTCTCCCCCCCCCTCCCCTTCCTCCCCTTCCTCTCCCCCCCCTCCTCCCCCGCAGTCGTGCCACCGTGAACGCGCTCACCTCGCTCACCTGCCTCACGCTGGACCGGCGCACCTTCGTGGCGGTGCTGGGGCCGCTGCAGGACATCATGAAGAAGGAGAAGAGCGCGGAGGTGGGGGCAGGCGGGCGGGGGGGCGCGTAAAACTGAGTGAGAAGTGCAGCAAATGGAATCCAGCAACTGGGGCTGGGGGTGCTTGGGTGCTTAGGGGAGCTTGGGGGCCAGGGTGGCAGGGGGTCGACGACCAGACCCAACCACAGGAAGTCACGGGTTAGAGCAAAGCAGCGGGGATAGGAGGCGGCAGGGTGCCACGCAACACGTGAGGGTTATCGTCGCCCACCCATACCGAGTCCGCAGGGGCCAGAGGGGCAGGGAAGAGGCGGAAGAAGGGGAACTGCGTGTGCTGTCGTCACCGTCGTCAGGTGCCCTCATCGCCTTCCTTCCCTGCCCTTCCCGCCCTCCTTCCCCCCCCTCCCCCCTCCCCCATCCTCCGCCCCCCCCCTCAGGTGGTGAACCAGCGCATGGCCAAACTGAGGCCCCAGGGCAGTGCGGCGCTCCGGCGACCCACCGCTGAGGTGCTCATCAAGAACTACGGGGGGCACGTAGCGGCAACAGCAGCAGCAGCAGCGGGGCCAGCAGGGGTGGCAGCAGCAGCGGGGGCGGCGTCTGCTGGCTCGGGCAAGTCGCGCCAGGTGATGTGCGACGGGCATCTGGACGAGGTGTTGGAGCTGCTGAAGGGAGGGCAGAAGATGCAGGGTGAGAGGGGGAGGGGGGAAGGGGGCAGAAGATGCAGGGTGGGAGGGGGAAGGAGGAGTGGGAGATGGGGCAAATGTACAAAATGAGGCAGGGAGGGATGGCGGAGAGGGGGGAGGCGGTACAACGAAGACCAACTACAATGGCTAAAGGGGAGGAAGGGGTGATGGGAGGGGGGGACACCGGCATGCGCACACGGGGTAGGGTAAAACCCATGCTGTCAGGAAGGGACACCCGCGGAGGCCCCATGGGGCCCCAGCCTGTGTGTTAAGAAAACTGGCCCTCATGTATGTCCCCGTGAGGCCTCTCCCCCTCTTCGCCCCTCCTCCCTCCCTTGCCTTCCCCCTCCCCCCACATGCATGCACCCCGAGCTCCCCGCACGCAGACATGCATGGCCTCCGTCTGTCCCTCCGCCCCTCTTCACGCCCCTGCCCTGGCTAAACCCCGCCCACCTCAACCCCACCCCACCCCTAGTCCCTCCTCCCTTCTCTCTTCTCTCCCAAACCCCTCTCTGACTCCCAACCTCTCCAACCTGCCCTCCCCCTCGCCAGATGAGCACCGGGACCACAGCCGGCGGCTGGTGCTGGTGGAGGGGGAGCTGCTGGGAGAGGGGGCGTTCAGCCGCGTGTGCAAGGTTACAGGTGGGGGAGGGAGGGGAGGGAAGGAGGGGGCAGGGAGAAACAAACAAGGGGTGCGGTACCGCATGCTTTGAACCACTGGGTGGGGACCGGGGGGGGAGAGAAGAAGCTTATTATGTGGGGACGGGGAGGTAGGACAAGGCCCCTAAGGAGGAGAAGGGAAGGATGGTGGTGTCCTGGTGGGGCAGCTAGGTACGGTAGGCTGGCAGGCAGTCGCAGCAGCTAATGGGGCGGCGAGAAGGGGGTCCCGGGAGAGGGAGGCTGCTCGGGAGGAGCTGCTGCGGAGGCGGGTGAAGCGGTCCACCACTCCTTGGTTCCTTCCTCTTTGCCGCCCCACCTCCCCGCCGTCCTCCTCATAGCTCTGACCTCAAACGCGGGGGGAAATATACGTACCTCGTGTACTTCCGTTTCTCTCAGACCCCCACCGCCCTACCCTCCAGTTGCCGCACTTACCATGCTTTCCCCACCGCCCCCCCTCCCCCACCCCCCCCTCCCCCCCGCAGAGGAGTCCACGGGTCGTGTGTTCGCGCTGAAGCGCATGGCCAAGTCCGCGGCGCTGCAGTGCCCCGACCACGTGTTCTGCGAGCAGCACATCACCCGCAACATCGCACACCCCTTCTGTCTGCGGCAGTACGCGTCCTTCCAGGTACGGGGGGGGGACGAGGAGATAGAGAGACCTAACCGCCAAGGAAACCGCAAGTGAGGGCCAGACGCAATGGGGTTAGGGGGTGCGGCAGGGTGGCGAGGGAGGAGAGGGAGGGAGGAGGGGGAGGAGGGTGGCGCGCCTGTTGTTGTTGCTGGTGGTGGTGCGCTTTGGTGGTACTGTGGTGGGTGTTATGTGACCCATGGGTCTGTCTGCTGCGGTTTGTATTTTTCACATACACATGCATGATGCATGCTCTAAGGAGTAACCCCACACGTGCGCAATGTGCATTTAATTACTCAGCCACTCTTCCCATCTTTCTCCCCCCTCTCATCATTCCACACATAATTCGCCTTTCTTCCCCCCCTCTCTCTCAGTTGCTTCGTCAGTGTCTCATTATATTTTTTACCCTCTCTCTCACCGTCTCACGTCAGTTTCCTCCTCCTTACCCCTCCCTACCCCTCCCCCCCCAGGACCGGTACAGCCTGTACATGTTGTTCGACCTGATGCCGGGCGGCGACCTCATGGACGTGCTGGTGGCGGAGGCCAAGGTGGGGTTGGAAGGGGGGAGAGGAGGGAGGGAGGGGGGAGAAGGAGAGGGGAGGGGAGGGGAGGAAAGAGGCATGGTGTATGGGGGCCCTTGGGAAGCGCAAAAGCACGTGAGAGGGGGAATAGTACCGGTTTTGCACCGCACAGCGACACCCCGCCCGCTTTCTTAACCACTCGCTCGAAAATAGGAGGTTGCTTTGATTGAATGTTAACAACATGGTCTTCTGATCCTCCTTCTGCCCCCCTCCCGCCCGCTCCCTGCCGCCGCCGCACAGGTTATCAAGTACCCGGTCCCCGACAAGAACTCGCTGCGGAAGGGCTGTCTGGCGCCCAAAATGAAGATGTGGCAGGTGGGTTGGCGGGGTGTGTGGTGGTGGTTGGGGGTTGAGAGGTTCAGCTGTGTGGCTAAAGACGTGGCCTACCGTAGGGGTGGAGAGCATGGAGTTGCACCATGTGTCAGCACGTGACGTGTGTGATGACAAGGGCCAAGCGCTGTGGAGGAGGGCACGTTGCTTGGCACTGCATGTGGGCATGTGGGGGGTTTGGGAGTCGAGTCGCACTGTCCGCTGCAGTGATGGGCCGCGAGGGGGTGCCGTTGTCACTGTCACTCGTTACTCGCAACAGCAGCTAGGGGGCTCTGGTCTTGGTCTTCCTTACCTTCCCCCCCCCACCTCCCCTACATTGACCCCTACCACCTCTTCCGTTCTCCCCCTCACCCTCTGGAACTGAATTTTTATTTTCCCCCTTTGGCACCGTATATCTTTGTACCCCTCCCGCTCTGTCTCATGATATTGTTTTTTACCCCGCACCAGGGTCTGGAGGAGTCCATGTCTCGCTTCTACATCGCCTCCATCGTGCTGGCGCTGGAGTATCTGCACGACAACAGCATCGCATTCCGCGACCTCAAGCCGGAGAACGTGCTCATTGATGCGCAGGTGGGGGGGGTGCGGGGGGGGGGGGGGGGAAGGGGGGGGAAGGGAAGAGCACCGTTGTTAGAAAGGTCGGCGGTAGGAGTACTACCGGTACTGGCCTGTCGCTATGTGCTAGCTAGCCCTCTTCGCGCTGGACATACCGTACCGATGGCATATCCACCCCACCCCACTCGTCAATGCCCTGCTTCTTACCCCACCCCCCCTAACTTTCCGTACGGTTTGGCCTATCTCTGACCTCACTCCCACCCCCTACATTCCACCGTCCCTCCCCTCGCCGCTCCCCCCTCCTCCCCCTGCTGCTGCTTTAGGGCTACGTGAAGCTGGGTGACTTTGGATTCGCCAAGATGGTGGAGACGGGCGGGCGCACCTACACCTTCTGCGGCACGCCGGGATACGTGGCGCCGGAGAACGTGATGGGGCGGGGATACAACCACTCGGTGGACTGGTGGGTGGGGAGGGGGGTGAAAGACCATACCAAACCATAGGAGACCACAGGTTGGGGGGAGCGGAAATCAAGGATACTCAATGTGTTGAATAAGAATGGCAAACAAGGCAAGAACAGGGGGGTGGGGGTGGAGGGGGTGGGGGGAGAGGGTAGGATGGGCTCCCTAGGGCACTTGGCGACAGCTGGTAGAGGGGCAAGAGGGGAACACGGAAGCCCGGGTCATCCTTCTACACCCGCTCTCCCCACCTCCTTTCCTATACCCTTTCTCCTATACCTCCTCTTTCCCTTTCCCACCCTTTTTATGCCCTTTCGTTACCCAGTCTTTACCCCCCTCCCCCTCCGGTTGTGATTGGGACTCTAGTTGTTTGCATTCCTTATATATAATGTTCCCCCCTCTCCCACACCCACCCATGCAGGTGGACCCTGGGCGTGCTGATGTACGTGCTGCTGACGGCGCGCCAGCCCTTCACCAGCCCCAAGACGCAGGACCCCATGGAGGTGATGCGGCGCATCGTGGACGAGCGCTGGCCCATCAAGTACCCGCCCTACATGAGCGAGGAGGCGACGGACCTGATCAGCAAGCTGCTGGAGAGGAAGCCGGTGAAGCGGATTGGCATGCTGCAGGTGGGGCCGGGGAGGAGGGGGAGGAGGGGGGGGAGGGGAGGGAAGGGGGGTAAAGGGCAAGAAATGGGTGTGGTGTGGGCTATGGGCTCCTCCATGGGTCGCTGCTAGGGGAGTGCAGCAGGCAGCTCAGGCTTGCTGCCGTACATCTGATGATCTAGATCTAGATCTAGATCTATGCGTGCACGTACGGTAGAGGACGTCTCCCTCCCACCCACCCTGCCCCCACCCACCCCCACACCCTCCCACCACAGGGCAAGGCTCGCGACATCAAGCAGCACCCCTGGTTCGCCGGGTTCGACTGGGAGGGGCTGGCCGCACGCCGCATCGACCCGCCCCGCAAGCCCAAGGAGAGCGACAGCGCCAAGCGCAAGAGCGAGCTGGCGGAGGCGCACCGGGGGGAGCCCAAGGAGCCGCCGCCGGCCACCGCGCAGGAGATGGCGGAGTGGGACCGCATGTTCCGGGACTTTTAAAGAGTAGAAAGGGGAGGGAAGGAGGATGGAATTTGCTTGATAGAAGTGGAACGGGGGAGGGAGGAGGGAAGGGAGAGGTGGAAGAGCAGGAGGTGGTGGTGGCTGTGAGCTTGACCCACGGTGTGTGGCTTTACTTATGTGTGTGTGTGCATCGGTTGTCGGCTGCACACGTTTATGCATGAGCGGTGCCGTATTGAGCATTTTGCTTTTCGGGTAATGGGGGCGGGAAAAGAATGGGAAAGGAAGGGAAGAGGAGGAGGTGGATAGTTAGGGTAACTGTCTTGGGGTTTTGTTTGTAGGTTGTGCTTATCTGGAAACGTTTGACCGATCAACTACGTAGCGTCACACACGACTACACGACTCGTATCGCGCGTCACACACAGATGGTTTCCTGGCAAGCGCCAATCTGCATGTATGGGCAACCCCTTGCGTTAAGCCACGTTGGGCCATGTTACTAACCCATTTGCGTTGCTGGGACCTTTGACCTGGACGACGACATGTGTTTATCATGTTTCCATTTCTCGCGGTTCCCGCGTTTGTGTTGTGAGTTGTCAGCTATTGAGTCTTTGAAGGTGAGGTCTTTCGGTCTATCTTGAGGGCGCCAGCAGCCCCTCTCATTGCGGTGGCTGGTGGAAGGAAGATTGTCATGAAGTTCCCTACTTGTTATAGAGGAAGAAGAACGAAATATACAAGCAATATATCAAAACCACTCATGCCTTACATTCGGCGTTTCGCGTTTTTCTGCGCCTCCGTGATGAATAAGTCGTGTTGCAATGAACCGGATGTCGCGGGCCGCAAGGGGAAGATGCGGGTGTGTGTGTGGGTTTAAGGAGGGCAGGGGGTGGGAGATTGCGGGTGTTTAGAAAACTGGCCACACGCATGGCACTCTTCCTCCTCCTGTGTTCGTTTGAAGATTTTGCTGATGAGAGCTCGGTAATGCTGTTGTGGGAGGAGGGGAGCAAGTGCAGGTTCTGACATGTCAGGTGGAGGAGCAGGTTTTGACAGGTTGCGCACTTTGACAGGGAGGAGTATCTGCCTGGTCGGACGCAAGTATGTTAATCGTGATTGGTGTAAAGAAAGCTTGGGTGGAGTTTTGTTACCGGTAGCTGCTCCTAGGCTCGGAGAATAAACCACCTTTTGCTCCGGCCGAGGCTTTTGTATGTGCTGCTGCTGCTTGGGCGGTGGCGGCGGTGATACACCGATATATATGTGCGGGCTTCCTTGTTGTATCACACGTGTGTGACGTTCGTTTCGCTGCGAACCGTTGGTAGTTCGTTGCGAATGTCGTGCCGTGGATTGTATAACTGACTCTTCTTCTGAGAGTGACTTGACAGCATGGATATTAAAGGCGTTGCCAAAGCCGCCGCATATGCGGCGTTTGGGTTACTACTAGAGAGGGTTGACGCAACTGCTATTATCAACAGCGCTACTAGGAGAATAAAAAAGTATGCAAACGCGCAGAAGTGCACGAACGGATGAGGGCTGTGCGGATGGGTTGGGTGTTGGGCGGGTGGTTGGCTGACGCACATGGCAACCTTGGTCTTTGGTGTGATGGGGTGGTGGGAGGGATACTGATGAAGTGATGCTGCTGCTGTCGCTTATTACAGTGCATGTACCAACTGCTGTATGTCTTGCCACAGTGCGTTGCTCGCTATCGCAATTGCAACTACCATCACCACCGAAAGCAAGACAGTGCGTTGCTCGCTATCCCAAGTGCAACTACCATCACCACCGAAATTGCCGAAATGTCTGCAGCAACCAGTAAGCGACCGACCGGCAGCCCGGTAGGGATCCGTGTTCCGTGTTCCCATTAATGTACCGGCTGTCCAGCGAGGAGCATGTTCCGTGTTCCCACCTCCCAAACACCTCACGCATACCTACCATGCCAGGAAGGGCCTCTAGCTGATGCTGAAGCATTGGCGGGCATCACACGATTGGTTTCGTGCTTGCCGGACCAGACTCCTACGCACAGAGGATGGGAACACGGAAGGAATACGTTGGAGCACGGGATCATATGGAAGCGTGTTTCCTGCAGGAATCCAGTGCCAAGTAATAAATTCGACATCAACTGGATGACACTTACTGCATGGAGTTGTAGTTATAGGCATTTGAGGCATTTGGAAGGTGGGAACACGGAACATGCTCCTCGCCGGACAGCCGGTACATTAATGGGAACACGGATCCCTACCGGGGACCGGGGCGCCTCCATACCAGCAACATAGGTATCGCCGTGCCGTACATCATACCTGTAACGCATGCGGTTGACGGTTGACTGTCGACAGTTGCCTCGACATACTCTCGACATACTCTCGACTTGACGTGGTTAGGGTCGACAGTTGCCTCGGCATCTTCCTCCTGCCTTCCACTTGGCTATTCAAGCTGAAAAGCCAAACATATAGACCCTAGCAGCAAGTACCAAGCTGTTAACCAGCCGACCCGCATGTGTTGTGTGTGCTTCGGGAGCAGCTGTGCTAGAATGTAGGGTGCTGGGCTGGGATGCGAGCGGGGCATAGCTGGGAGGATGCTCCGGCGCTCCGGCGCATACCCGGGCATCATGTCGATCGCAGCAGTCCGTACCGCGACATGTGCAGCTGTGCGAGGATGCATCTTGTTAAAACCACTTCCCCTTAGCAGACTCCCAGGGAACAAGTAATTTTAGGGCAAACTATATATGTGCGAGTGTTAGCGCCGCAACAAGCTTTGCCTTGCCAACTTACATGATACAACGTCCAGTAACAGTCGACGAGAGACCCCTTCGGCTTTCCACCCGACAAGGACTGCTTGGTTTGATAGGTGTTTATAGCAACCCACCATAGGGTGTGTGAGTATCTAGTTCTCTGGCGAAGCGTAATGGAGTCCGCTGAGTCCACTCAGTTCACCGAGCTAACAGCCTGTGCTACCTGCGGCACTCTGTGGAAGCGTGAATTTAAGAATGGCGCAGAGCAACTTGAAATTGTGGCGAAGCGACTTCGCAAGGAACCGCATCTTACCGAACCGCCGAACGGTAGGCGTCCGTGGCTTCGTAACTCCCCTTAATTTCTCGCTGAGACTTGTATAGATAATGCGTCGCTGCAGCTTGTAATAATGTTTTGCGCGGTTAGTTGCGGGAGGATGTGTAACGTCCAGTGCCCGGCTTTCCTTGCAGGCCACCGAATCGTCTTCTGGAAGTGTCATACATGCGGGGCTGACCATATAGACGATACATGGACGGAGCTCCTGGCTACAGTGGGTGTGCGCGACAGCACAGCAGCGGCAGCGGCGCCTTTGTCTACCCCGGCTAAACCGAGCCCCTCAGGGAACAACCCCTTTCAGGGGTCACCATCCCACCTTCTGCGACCACCCGTGTTGCAGCGCTAGGGCGCCTAACGACGCGATACTACCTCCTAAAGCCGCTCTACGGTTCGGCCCGTTTGAAAGGCCGTAGGGGCGGTGCCATGCGTCTACATATCCGTGATGACATCCCAATTGATGGCCATCTGAAGAGCTTATTAACGGCACCGAAAGGTGTGCTGCATGCTGTATAAGGCAGCCTGCCTACGCAGCCGTTGTAGAACGCCGTTGCCGCCGTTGCTCTGTTGTGAGCATAGCGGTATTGTGATGGGTCTTTCTCCATGCAGGCGCCGTGATCTGGTAGCGATCGAGGCGCTTGGACTGGCGCAGGTGTTGTATGTAAACTGACCCAAATGGTGATTTCAGCACAGGGTTGGTAAAGAGTGTTGGAGTTGGTGACTGTAGCAGGGTTTGGTGTGCCAGCGTGAGTGCGTTGATCCCGCCATGTCCGTGGCTTCATGCCGCCAATCAGGATGTACCTGCGGGTGGGAGCCTTTGGGAACCACCCTTGAGGCGATGCAGGCAGGGCGGGGAATGACGAAGAAGAAGAGAGTTAGGGTGTGTAGGGCTGGATTCGACACGAGTTTGGCAAACTGACGACATGACGAGGTACCGGTAGCAGCCGTGAGCATGAAGACATATGCGGGTACGAGGAGTCTAGGGGGTCATTTGGATCCGTGACCAGTTTCACCGGCTTGCATTTGATGGGTTGCGATGAAATTATATGCATTGTTGCTCAGGTGCAGCATGCGTCCCGCAGTTTTGGGAAACAGGGGGATGCGCTCCTTTTCCAGCTTCGAGGGAGTTGGCACCTCTTGTCTCGCTAGCCCCCAGTGGCCGATGGGATGTGGACGTTGGCACCAGTGATCGCCTGTGCTGTGGGCTTGGTACAGTCCATATGGCTTCCGGGTGCGAGAGCTGAGGAGTATGTATGTGTCTCAGTCTGCGCGTGTGAGTCACTGCACTGTGGGCACTAACACGGCTGTATGCGTGTACGATGATAACGCGTAGCTGCCACCACCGCCTTCTAAGCCGGCGACCGAGAACGTGTAGTGTGAGACATCAACAGAAGACCGGGAATCTGGGCGCGTTACAGAACGTTTGCTCATTTGTTACCGCACTGGATGGCTTCGTTCAGGGCATCGTTTGCTCTTTCCAAGAACAACCACCATTTGTTAAAGTTGGTGTCCCGGACGCCATAGTACTACGCCAGGCATCATTTGGCAACATGCAAACATCAATTTGTACAGCAAGATCCAGACGGTTATTTCAAACAAAATCCTCCAAGCATGGCGAGTCGAAGAAAGTGCACATGGAATAGGCTACGCATGGATTATACGTGTAGGACTAAATGACGTAATAGAGCTCTTTACTTATTTCGTATTCTCCGAGCCCATTCCCTGACCGATGCCTTGTTCTGCAGCAAGCGTTGTTACGCACTTTGTTACGTGACCACATAGCTCTGAATACAGTAGGGCTGTTGTGTCCCTTACAACGCAAAGATGGCAAACAGCGGTGCCCATGCACCGTCCCAGCGGCTCATGATCCGTGAGATGATACTGGAAAACTTCAAGTCATATGCGGGAGAGCAGCGCGTCGGGCCTTTCCATAAGGTTGGGAGCTCGCCGCACTTGGCATGCGCATGTCAAGCGAGCTGGGCCCTAACAATGCCCTGCTTTGTCGCAGTCCTTCTCTGCTGTCGTGGGACCAAATGGCAGCGGCAAGTCGAACGTTATCGACGCCATGCTCTTCGTGTTTGGTCGGAGGGCGAAACAGGTGCGGGATGGATACCGTCTTTTGGAACGCAAGCTTGTTTGCGGCAAGCCACGCAAGGAAAAGCCTGAGCTCTCTCCTCTTCTGTTGCGATATCGCATCACAGCTTCGCTTCAACAAGGTGTCGGAGCTCATTCACAACTCACAGAACCACCGCAACCTCGACTATGCGCGTGTGACCGTGCGCTTTCAAGAGATTATCGATCAGGTGAGCGCAGGCGAGGTGCCTTGAGCACTTGTACGCTTGGAGCCAAGAAGCTGCGGGTTAGAACTCCTCTTGAGCTTCAACACATCCAATTGCATGGCGCGTCCGGGCACCAACAACAGCAGCTGCGCTGTCCCTCACGATAACACTGCGCTCTGACCCACATCGCGTTCCCGAGATGTCTGGAGACGCATCCATCCGTAAACGCACGTTTGCAGGGGACGCGCTGCAAACGCAGCTCTACTCATGTTTTCCTAACAACCATGCGTTCCCCTGAACCCCACCATACCGCTTTCCTCATCCCATCACACCATTCGACTGCTGCATACCGTATGTCTGCATTTTCCTCCTTTACTCCCCACACCCCTTCCTACTGCGCCTCACCCCTCCCTACCGCAGGCGGGCGACGGCTACGAGTTGGTCCCCGACTCCGAGTTCTCCGTGGCTCGCACCGCGCAGCGCAACAACGAGTCGCACTACTACATTAACAACCGCAAAGTCAGCACCAAGGAGGTCACGGACCTGCTCAAGGCCAAGGGGATCGACCTGGACAACAACCGCTTCCTCATCCTGCAGGCGAGTGGGGAGCAGCAGCAGGGGAGAGGTTATGAGGGAGTTAGAACGAGGGGGGAGACGTGGGTTAGAGAAGCTGTAAGGGTTCAGGAAGGCGGTTAGGAGAAAGGCATTGTCCTACAGGGGAATGTAGAGCAGTGGCAGCAGGGAGGAGGCTTAGGGAGACGCCAACCCGAAGGAAAGACAGCACAGCTCCCACCATCCCGCACAGCCCCGTCATTCCCCTCCTCGGTTTGTTTTTAAACCCCCTCTCCTCCGTCATATTCGTCCTCCCCTACCTTTCTGCAGGGCGAGGTGGAGCAGATCTCCATGATGAAGCCCAAGGCGGAGGACAAGAACGATACCGGGCTGCTGGAGTACCTGGAGGTGAGGGAAGGAGGGGATATGCCAACAAAGATCTACCAAAAAACACAGGGGGAAAGGAAGGGAATGGACTGGGCCGGGCTGGAACGAACGGTTTTGAGTACGCCGTCGCTAGCTTTGATGCCGGTTGCCAGCTGAGCGTGCTCAGCTGGCAATTCGTTGACTGTGCTGAGCGACAGTAACCCCTACCCGTGCGATTGGGCAGTGCTGATTCCAACTTTCCCCTGCTTATGCGCTCGCAGGATATCATCGGCACGGACAAGTACGTGCAGCCCATCGAGGAGGCCAGCAAGAAGTAAGCAGGGGCAGCAGCGGGAGGGACCAGCAGCGGGAGCGGGACTGGCGTATGCGGGAGGCAGCGCTTGGGACAGCAGGCTTGGAAGTAATCCAGATGGAATGAATCAGGGCTTGCAATCAATACTACTTAGATTTAGATGCATGCTGGGCTGTTGATGCACTCAGCCCAGCCATGCGCATTGCCCAGCCCTGACTCCTCTCATGCCCATCTACATGCCCGCCTGCCAATGCCAACCCTCATGTCTGCAGGCTGGAGGAGATCAATGAGAAGCGGCAGACCATGGTGGCCCGGCTCAAGGTCTCCGAGAAGGAGAAGGACGGGCTGCAGGTGCGTCGGCACATCTTCGCGGAGAGGATGTTTAGGGTTTCGGGCTGATCGCATCTGGCTGCATCGAAATGTATGTCTCCGTCTTCAGCGAAAACGGCTTACTGCGCGCACTATGGCGTGAACGTTCCTCTCCCACCTCACTAATTACCGACCCACTTCCCGAACCTCTCCTGCATCTACCAACACCACGCGGCGGTCTCTTCCGTCCCTGTACGGCCGTTGTACGACACGACCCGGCACCCCACAGGGCAAGGCGGAGGAGGCCCAGCAGTTCCTGGATAAGCAGGCTGAGATGCTGCGACTGCGCATCAACGTGACTCACCTGCTGGCCATGAAGGTCCAGGTGAGAGCGGCAGCTGGGTACCGCGGGGCGGCGTGTGTTAAGAAAAACTGGCCGCGAGTAGGAACGTACTGGGATGTCGGAAAATGTGTGGGCGGCGTGTGTGTGTGTGGGAGTAAACCAGGAGTTACTGAAGCGCGATGAAACATTGACCGTGACCATAGAAGACCGGAAGCTGACATGGCGTCCCAGATCCCCTAGTGGTATAAGCATGTCAATTAGTCTTACCGGTATTTCTTTGCTGCCCTTACTCTCCTTACCATTGCCCCCGCCCTGCCCCCTCCCCAACAGGCCAACCTGGCCACCGCCGAGGCCAACACTGGCGAGCTGAAGGCCAAGCTGGCGCACGAGCGGGCCAAGTTCAAGGAGCAGGAGAAGGAGCTCACGGCGGCGGAGAAGAAGTACAGGGCAGCGACGAAGGCGCATGAGCAAGTCGTCAAGGTGGGTAGGTCCGACATGCATATAGACAGGTGGGGAGGTCGCTGTTTTCGGGTACTGTTTCCTCTGCGACCTCTCCTATGCGCTTTGGGGCAATTGTCGGGGCCCTTACCCCATGCCAACACGTGTCGCTGCAGTCCATCGATGCCGCCACGGAGGCGTTCAAGGAGATGGAGCGCAAGGACGCTCAGAACACGGAGACGCTCAAGGCGCTGCGCACCAAGCAGAAGAAGCTCACGGACAAGCAGGCAGCGGACAAGAAGCAGCTCGAGGTAGGATGGCTTGGTGAGGGCTGTCGAGGGGGCGGGAGGGGGAGGACGGCGGATATGTCCCTGCATGGTGGTGTTGTGGTTGCAGAGATGGGTTGTGTGAGCCCCCGCTTGCTGGAAGCTGCTGTACATCGACACCCACACGTACATGCGGGGGCCTTCTTAGTATCAATTTGTATCCGGTAGTTGGTTTCTCCTCTTCACACCCTCCCCATCCCCATCCCGCATTCCCCGCCTACTCCCTCAGACGCTCGAGAAGGAGCGCAAGGAGTGCGAGGCGGCGGGCCCACAGCTGGCAGCGCAGGTGCAGTCCCTCACCGCCGACCTAGCCGCCGCAGAGGCCGCACTAGAGGAGATGCAGGAGACGGCGCGGGGCGAGGTGGAGGGGCTGAGGCAGCAGCTGGCGGGCGTGCGAAAGGAGCTGGCGCCCTGGGAGAGGAAGATGGGTGAGGTGCAGGCGCGCATCTCGGTGAGCGAGCGGGAGATGGAGCTGCTGCAGCGGCAGGGGAACGAGGCGAAGAAGCGGCTGGAGAAGGCAACAAAGTAAGAGGGGAGGGGGTGTTTGGGATAGAAGAGGGTGTGGGGTGAAAGGAGACAATAACTACCGGTAACCGTGTGGGGCGGGGATGGGTTGGGAATGGGGTTGCGGTAGCCGTGTCGTGGCTTTTGTTTGGTGGCGGATGGATGGATGGATGGATTCCGGCTGGATGGATTTAGTGTCATTGAGGTCTCTATGTGCGCTGAGGATGTGGTTCCCAAACCTGCTAGACGACCCACATGGCGAGCGGTAACATGCATCAAATCATAACGTCTGCCGTAAGCCCATACTACCTTGGAACCTCCTCCTCATCCTTACCTTTTTTTCCCTTCCTCCCTTCCCTCTCCTCCTTCCCAGGGACCTTGAGGAGGCTCGCTCCGCGGCTGCCGGCAAGGAGCAGCGCATCAAGGAGCTCGAGGCCTCCCTGGAGCAGCGCAAGCGGGACGCCGAGGGGCACAAGCAGGCGCTGGCGGCCGCCCAGGCGGAGGAGAGGAAGGCGGAGGAGGAGCTGGGGGCGGTGCGGGAGAGGGTGGTGCAGCTGAGGTGAGTGGTGGGGGGAGGAGAGCCGGCATTGGGGTGGTTTTGTGACCCTTGGGTCGGTCTGGGTCGGGACCCACTGACAAGGAGCGTAGCGCATGTTGACGTGGCTGTAACTCGGGTGTTTCCTTTTTCGTACACACCTTTCTACCTCGGACCGGCCCCATCCATGACTGCCATTTTAATGTTTCCTTACCAGCAACTGGCAGCAAGTCACCCTCCCTTTCGCCCCTCTCCTGCACTGCAGGGCTGACCTGCAGGCCAGCCAGGGGCAGTCGGGTGTGATGCGCGAGCTGATGGCCGCCAAGTCCCGGGGGGAGCTCAGCGGCATCTACGGCAGGCTGGGTACGTGTCTGGTTGGGGTAGGGGCCCGGGGGCGGCATGGCATGGCTTGGAGGATGCGCATTAAAGGCTTGGTTTGCCTTTTGCACACGGCACTATGACACCCTTCAGGCCTGAGTCCTGCCACTCCATTGCGGGCCTTTTGCCACTGCATGCACCCTACTGTTCCACCCCTCCCCCCAGGCGACCTGGGCGCCATCGATGCCAAGTACGACGCCGCCGCCTCCACCGCCATCGGCGCGCTGGACAACGTGGTGGTGGAGACCACCAGCGACGCGCAGCGGGCGGTGGAGCACCTGCGGCGCACGGGGGCGGGGTGCGCCACCTTCCTCATTCTGGAGGCGCAGCAGCAGTGGGCGCAGAGGGTGACGGAGAGGGTGGACACGCCGGAGGGTAGGGGAGCGGGGCGGGGTGTCGGGGGGGGGGTAGTGTTTAGGGGACAATCGCACGCAGGATGGCGCAAAACGAAGGGAAAGCACGTGGTTTGCTCACCCATAAAACCCTCGATCCGTCTCACTTCCCTTCCGGCCACCCAACCCCCTACCAGGCTGCCCCCGCCTGTTCGACCTGATTAAGGTGAAGGACCCCAAGCTACGGGTCGCCTTCTACTACGCGTGCCGGGACACGCTGGTGGCAGCGGACCTCAACCAGGCCAGCCGCATCGGCTACGGAGGCGACAGGCGCTTTGCCCGCGTGGTCACGCTGCAGGTGGGTTGGAGGGGTGGGGCTGGGACTGGGACTTGGCAAACATGTGGACAGGAACCTACACTATGTATCGAGTATCTCACCCCCAACCCCAAGACTCTTTAACACCCGTCTACTGCATGTCTCAACCTGGGGCTTCTTTACTCGTGACACCTCCCCCCCCCTCTCTCCATCCTCTATCCCCCCCCCTCCCCATCCTCTATCCTCCACCACCCTCCAGGGCCAACTCATCGAGTCCAGCGGCACCATGTCGGGCGGCGGGCGCCCCCAGACCGGCCGCATCGCACTGGGCAACCAGGCTCCGCGGGGGGCCGCCACGGACGCTCGTGCCGCGGAGGCCGAGCTGCGGGAGGTTGAGCGGCAGGCGGAGCAGCTGGGGCGGGCGGTGCAGGGGGCGAGGGAGCGGGTGGCGGCGGCGCAGGCGGGGGTGAGGGGCGCGGAGAGGGAGGTGGCGGCGCTGGAGCTGGAGCTGCCCAAGGTGAGGAATGGGGGGCGGGAAGAGGAGGGGAACTGAACAGGCTTGCTTGTTTGCACGCGAGTCAGCACAGGCAGCAAGTTGTGACGTCGGGGGAGGGGGGGTCAAAGACCATACCAAACCATAGGAGACCACAGGTTAGGGCAAAGCAATGGGGGTAGGAGGCGGCAGGATGCCGTCGGGGGGAGGGGGCGGTGTGTGGCGCTTGAAGCTTATCGCCTTAGCTCTGGTTTTCCGCCAGTGCATGCGAAGACGTGTATCATTTCTAACCTGTCCTTCCTTTCTCATTCCTCATGCTTCCTCCTCCATCCCGCTTTCCAAACCCCCCACCCTGGCCCCCACCCCTCCCAGGCCCGCATGGAGGCGGAGGCCAACACGCAGCGAGCGGCCGACCTGGCTGAGCGCATGGCGGGGCTGCAGGAGGGAGTGCAGGTGAGCCTAGGACACGATACTAAGAACGAACCAGCGGCACAGTGCTCTCACTGGCATGTTGGCGCTCTCTCAGCAGGGAGCCCGCAGTGACACACACCCCAGCTACCCGCCCTTGACCACCACTGTCTCTCTTTTCCACCCCTTACGCCCTCCCGAATCCTCCTTCCAACCTCTGTCTAGTACCGGTAATCTAATGTAACAGTTGGCAGTCCTCAGTCCTCCGCGCCCGTCCCTTCCTTTTCTGCCTCTCGCATGGTGTTCCCTCCCCTCCCCTCTCTCACTAGGTTGACGCAGCCGACGCCTCCCGCATCAAGGAGCTGCACATCAAGGTGTCCAAGGAGAAGGTGGAGCTGATGACGCTCAAGGAGCAGTGCAGCGACCTGGACAAGAAGGCGACATCGCTGCAAAACAAGATTGACAACGCGGGTGAGTAGTGCGGAGGAGGGTGGGGTTATGCGCGTAGGGATGGTGGGTAGCTGGGTAATAGCATGGTGGTGCGCCGGAAGCAGTGGTGCCGAGTGATAGTGACCCATGGGTCACCTACGGCTGTGATGACGACCTCACCGTGGCTGTGTACTGTGTCCTGCAGGCGGCGAGAAGCTGCGCTCGCAGAAGACCAAAGTGGAGAAGACGCGCAAGAAGATCGAGGAGGCGGAGGTAAGAGGAGGGGCCCACCGGTAAATGGTCATGCCAATTGTGATCGCTACCGTATGCCACCCCCACGGCTGTTGCGCCCGGTTGGATGCTTTCTCATGCCTTGAAGGCCTGCCACTACGTGCTCACGCTGTGTTGCACCGGAGGGGTGGACGAACAGCCGCGCGATAGCAACTATTATGGTTCTCAAACAACAATTTAGTAATCACGCCTTCCTCCGCCCACACCCGCGCAGGCTGACATCAGCAAGAAGGAGGTGCAGGCAAAGGCGCACGCCAAGCAGGCCGACAAGCTGAAGAAGGACATTGCCAAGCAGGGTGCGTTTGACTTGGATTGGGACTTGGGTTCGTACATCATGCAGAGAGAAGGGGTCTCACGCCTTGGACATACCGGCCCACGAGCGCTGCGCGAGGGAATAGCACCCGCATCTCTCCTACATCCTGCTTGCTTCAAGACAATTTGATTCTTTTCGCTGATAACCTGTAAACTTTCCGTTCTACATACACGTAACGTGCATGCTGCTGGAAAGCTGAACTCACATTCACATCCTGCATGGCTCCGAAACCCGCGGCTCCGGCTTCCCAACCGACAGACAAGGACCTGGAGAAGCTGGAGGCGGAGATGGCTGCATGCTCCGAGACCACCAAGGAGATCGAGAAGGAGGCGGAGCAGGTGCGTCATCGGTACTGCTGCGGGAACACACGCTGCAGATGCAGATACGCAGGCACAGCTGCGGGGGGCTTACACATTGCCTCCCTTGCCAAAAGGGGGGGCGGCTTGAGGATATCTACTCGTTCTTCCGCTTCTGGTCTCATCGAGTATGCCCCCTTTGCCTTCATAGTCTTAAGACATGTGAGGGCGGACTTGTAAAAATGCTTAACATTTTTTTCGAGTCCCCCGGTTTTCCCGCCTCCTTGCTGCCTTGCTGCTGCAGGTACTCCTGCGCAAACAGGCGGCGGAGGAGAAGGGCAAGGAGACGGGCGCCGAGGTGGAGAGTGCTCGTGGCGCGGTGGGTAGCGGCATGCAGGGGACTGGATAGGACACAGAACGGGAAGGGACAGAGGCGCAGGGGAGCGGAAGAGGGAGGAAGTCACAGTCACTGATGCCACCGACTCAATGCGTTCACCCTGGGTGTTGGCTCAACCCAACAACCGAACGCATGGGCGTGGCCCCCACCCCCTCAACATCACCGCCACCCGTTCTTCTTCCCTCTCTCTGTCCCTCCCTTACCCCTCGGATGGCTTTCCTTCTTTCCCGTCCACAGCACGACCAGCTGCGCCAGACGTTCGAGGTCATTCGGGCTACGGAGACCAAGATTGAGGAGGAGCTGGAGCGGCTGGCGGGGCTCATGCGCGAGGAGGGGGCCAAGAGCGGCTCGCTGGCGACGGAGAGGGCCAAGTTCCGAAAGAAGCTGGCGGAGGCTGTGGGTGAGTGGGTTGCGTGGGGACGGGGAGGGGATGCGGGGGAGCTGCTTACAGCTGTGGGGTCGTCAGGCTAGAGTTGAGTGTACGGCTGCAGCTGCGAGGTAGGGTAGTTGCTGGCCTCCGCATGCTGGCCTCACATTCGCCCTCCTACCGTCCTCCTCCCGCTGTCATACTTATAACATCGTTGTCACCCGAGTCTCCTGGCCGCCTGCCTCCGCTATCACCCTGGCATCCCGCTGTCACGCATGTGTCCTGATCAGGCAGCGACGACTATGTGGTGGACGAGGCGGCGCTGCGAGGTAACGCCACGGACGCGGACCTGGTCAAGCTGGCCGACGAGTGCACGTTCAAGGTACGGCAGAGTGAAGTGCCGTACGTTTCTATCTCTCTGTCTCGTCCTGTCTTTCCTTCTCTGCCTCTGGTCCCTCTTTCTGCAAGCCACCCATGAAACGTCCTCTACGGTTTCATCGATGCCGTACGACAATGGCCATTCCTCTTCCACCTCTCTTCATCTCCACCGCACACCTCCTCCTCCCTTCCTACTCTCCCCTGCCCTCCCAAGGCCACCATGCTAGAGGCGGAGCTGGATAAGCTGAGCCCCGACCTGACCACCATCGAGGAGTTCCGGCAGAAGGTGAGGGGAAGGGGCGGGAGTTACTTCAAGGGGGCGGGGTGCTTCAACTGCCACATGCGCAAGGAAGACCTACCTAACCGCCCTGCACTGCCCTGTTGACTTGCTGTACAGGCGAAGGAGTTTTCGGAGCGCGCTAAGGAGCTGGATGACGCCACCGCCGAGCGAGACGCGGTGAGTGGGGTGGTGGGTGAAAAGAGGAAACACTAACCCTGTGAGGCGGACTGGGCTACCGGCGTGTGTTTGCGGTGTGTTCCTTCAGCGTGTAGGGTGTAGGTCAACGCTGGCTATGAGGGTCTTCACGGCTGGCTGCATTGCAAACCCACCTGTGGTTCCTCACCCTGGCACCTGACCGAGAAGACCCCTCTTCACTGCTCACTCATTGCTACCCACCCTGCATTCGCTCTCGCTGCACATCATGCACACCATATCACGGTGCCGTACAACGGTCATTCATCCTGCCGTACACCCCCTCCCCCGCAGCTGCGCAAGGAGTACGAGGCGCTCCGCAAGGCCCGTCTGGACGGCTTCATGTCGGGCTTCGAGGTCATCAGCCTGCGACTCAAGGTGGGTTGGGGGGGAGGCGGGGCCTAGTTTAGGATGGCGGCGGTTGCGATGTCTTGTTGTGCTTCCCCCTCTTGGCATCCTGCTGACGACCTCCTCCCGTTTCTCCTAACCCCTTTCCCGACTCTTCCATGGCCCCTCCCGCGTTTCTCCCCACCTCGCAAAAGATCCGGTTCGGCTATCCCGCGCGTATGTTTTGGTGACTCTTTGACAACACTCTTACATTGCCCCTCCCGCATCTGTCCCCCTCGCCCCCCGCAGGAGGTGTACCAAATGATCACGTGCGGCGGTGACGCGGAGCTGGAGCTGGTGGACTCGCTGGACCCCTTCTCCGAGGTGAGGGCAGGGGGCGTGTGATGTACAAATAGTGAACCACGTAACTTGCATTACCGGTAAACCCAATAATACCGACCAGGGCTATGTTGCGAGCCCACAGCCTGCGAGCCCACATGCATGTCCTGGCGTCACAACTTTGTCTTCCCCCCTTTGTGCCCCTCCTGCCAGGGTATCGTGTTCAGCGTGCGGCCGCCCAAGAAGAGCTGGAAGAACATCTCCAACCTGTCGGGCGGCGAGAAGACCCTCAGCAGCCTCAGTCTGGTCTTCGCGCTGCACACCTACAAGCCCAACCCGCTCTACGTGATGGACGAGATCGACGCGGCGCTGGGTAAGAGACAGCTGCTGACGTGCTGCTGCTGTTGACGTGTTGAGGTCGTCTGTATTTGAGGTCTGCTTACCGGTACCGGTAGTCCACGGTCGTATATGGCGTCACACCAGGCAGCTATGTGTTGTGCAGCATGGCGCTTCACATGTGGACTCCTCCTGCATGCCTCCTCTCATGGTCTCTTGTGCCCTCTCGTTCTCCCTCTCAACTGTCCCCTCTACACCGGTACGGTTGTATGGACCCCCATCCGTCACGAATACCTGACACCGTGTGCTCTTGCTCGCGTAGACTTCAAGAACGTGTCCATCGTGGGGCACTACATCAAGGAGCGCACCGCGGGCGCGCAGTTCGTCATCATCAGCCTGCGCAACAACATGTTTGAGCTGGCGGAGCGGCTGGTGGGCATCTACAAGACCGACAACGCCACCAAGACTGTCGCCATCAACCCCGGCCGCTTCGCCGTCGTGAAGCAGGACGAGGAGGAGCAGCAGGACCAGGACCAGGAGGAGGAGGAGGGGCAGCAGCAGGAGGAGCAGCGTGCGGTGCCGGTGCGGGTGCAGCCGGTGGCGTGAGGGGGCGGGGTGGTGTCGGTGGTTAGGGTTGGGATGTGGCGGGTGCTTGAGGAGGGCACTATGAATGAATGCGGGCCTGTGCGTTCTGGCTGGCTCAAATTGACTGGCCCTGTGCGTAAAGGAGTGTGTGCTGTTGTGTTTGTGGGTGTTTCGCGTCGAGGGGCGGGGCGGAGGGGGTAGAAGTTGGGGTTGATGCGGTTTGGCTGGCGAGACGGTGGCAGGCGCTTTGAGTGGATGATCTGTTCATGCGGGGTCTGTGCATGTTACGAACGCACTGCAAGCCGCCCTGTGCGGTTGTGCGTGTGTTCAGAAAACTGGCCGCGAGTCGGAACATTCTGTGATTGCCGGAAGATCAAGTCCCCACAGAAACGCCACAGGAGCTGAGGTGTATGGTGGCGTAATTACAAATACAAATCGTCCGTGTGTGGGGGGGGGCAACCGGCCTGGGAGTGGCTCAAGTAACACGTAACACGGGAACATTGAAGTTGCATGGCTGGGTTATAGGTACATGGTGTATAGTTTGCCACGCAATTCGTGCGCTTTAACTAATGGTCCCAGCAGCGTGCAATCAGCACGCGTGGTTAGTTTGGCATACACTGTATGCTGCGGGACCATTGTCCCTGGACCCATGCATCTGGTTCAACCTTGCACTTGTAAGGTACAATCTCTCTATGTTGGCAAGATAGAATCTCTCTGTTGACATCCACGGCAGTTGCAAAGCATGTATACCTCGCTCACCTCCTCCCAGGGCTACAGCGGGGACTGTTCACTGCCCCCCTCCACAGTCATTACCAGCCGCCGGTGCCCTCACGGCCAAACGCTTTTGCCGTGTTACAAAAGATGTCGCTTGCGACCGAGGCCCATACCCTGCAGACTTCAACTACTACTGCATCCGCACTACCCTGTACACATTATCGGCCCTCATCAAGTCCCTTTATGTGGTTCAGATCGACATGCCCCTTACCCTACACGCGCCATGCCTGGTCTCTCATTCAAGGACATTCGTCTTGCCTCCATTTTTTAATACGCCTCGCAGCCATTGGGCATCCATCGGGCCTCGGGCGATTCCGGAGAGATGACATCCTGCTGCAGCCGCCCCAGACACTCCATTGCAACTGCTACGCGCTCGGGTTCCCAACGGCTTCCACCGCCTACTCCAACACCTGAGCGTGCGGAATTGTGGGCGGGAGGCATGAGGACAGGTTGACCCATGGGTCGGCGTTTGTTGATAGCGATTGTGCCGACCACCGCTGCATCTTTATGCACAATGTGTGTATGAATATAGCAATGCCTTTGCATTTTATAATGTTCAATAATGCACCACCTAGGAATGGAGGGGAGAGCAGGATCTTGTGATAGCCGTATCCCTCCCACCTCCCTCCCGCACCCGCCCCCGCCCACCCCACACCCGCCCCGCCCCAACCCTCCCGCACCCGCCCCACCTACCCCACCCTCCCACACCCGCCCCCACCCTCCCACACCCGCCCCAACCCTCCCGCACCCGCCCCCTCCCTCCCACACCCGCCCCCTGCCTACCCCTCCATCCCACACCCGCCCCCTCTACCCCACACCCGCCCCTACCGACCCACCGACTCCTTCCCAAGGCCACACCCCTACCCTACACCCGCCCCACCCACCCCGAACCCGCCCCACCTTCCCCACACCCGCCCCCTACCTTTACCCTCCGTCCCCACACCCGCCCCACCTAACCCCCACCCGCCCCCACGCTCCCGCACCTACCCCTCCCTCCCACAACGGACCTACCTCTTCCCTTCTTTTGTATCCCCCACGCATCTTTTCCTATGGCTTTTCAGTCCCTTCTTTCCTTTCTCGCTATATAATGGCCCCCTGTAGGTAGGTGGGGGCGGAAGGCGGGGAAAGGTAGGTGGGGGCGGAAGGCGGGGAAAGGTAGGTGGGGGCGGAAGGCGGGGAAAGGTAGGTGGGGGCGGAAGGCGGGGAAAGGTAGGTGGGGGCGGAAGGCGGGGAAAGGTAGGTGGGGGCGGAAGGCGGGGAAAGGTAGGTGGGGGCGGAAGGCGGGGAAAGGTAGGTGGGGCGGAAGGCGGGGAAAGGTAGGTGGGGGCGGAAGGCGGGGAAAGGTAGGTGGGGGCGGAAGGCGGGGAAAGGTAGGTGGGGGCGGAAGGCGGGGAAAGGTAGGTGGGGGCGGAAGGCGGGGAAAGGTAGGTGGGGGCGGAAGGCGGGAAAGGTAGGTGGGGGCGGAAGGCGGGGAAAGGTAGGTGGGGGCGGAAGGCGGGGAAAGGTAGGTGGGGGCGGAAGGCGGGGAAAGGTAGGTGGGGGCGGAAGGCGGGGAAAGGTAGGTGGGGGCGGAAGGCGGGGAAAGGTAGGTGGGGGCGGAAGGCGGGGAAAGGTAGGTGGGGGCGGAAGGCGGGGAAAGGTAGGTGGGGGCGGAAGGCGGGGAAAGGTAGGTGGGGGCGGAAGGCGGGGAAAGGTAGGTGGGGGCGGAAGGCGGGGAAAGGTAGGTGGGGGCGGAAGGCGGGGAAAGGTAGGTGGGGGCGGAAGGCGGGGAAAGGTAGGTGGGGGCGGAAGGCGGGGAAAGGTAGGTGGGGGCGGAAGGCGGGGAAAGGTAGGTGGGGGCGGAAGGCGGGGAAAGGTAGGTGGGGGCGGAAGGCGGGGAAAGGTAGGTGGGGGCGGAAGGCGGGGAAAGGTAGGTGGGGGCGGAAGGCGGGGAAAGGTAGGTGGGGGCGGAAGGCGGGGAAAGGTAGGTGGGGGCGGAAGGCGGGGAAAGGTAGGTGGGGGCGGAAGGCGGGGAAAGGTAGGTGGGGGCGGAAGGCGGGGAAAGGTAGGTGGGGGCGGAAGGCGGGGAAAGGTAGGTGGGGGCGGAAGGCGGGGAAAGGTAGGTGGGGGACGGGGTCGGAAGGATTAGGTGGGGCTGGGTGTGGGGGTAGGTGGGAATGTGGGGGCAGGGGTTGGAAGGGTAGGTAGGGGGCGGGTGCAGGAGGGTGGGGCCGGGTGCGGGTAGGTATGTAGGGGGCGGGTGTGGGATGGGCGGGGCGGGTGCGAGGCGGAGGGGTAGGTAGGGCCGGGTGCGGGGCGGGTGCGGGTAGGTGGGGCGGAGAGGTAGGTAGGGTGGGGGCGGGTGCGGGAGGGTGGGGATTGGTGTGGGAGGGAGAGATGTGGGTCGTCAGGCTATTCACTAGTAGGTTGTCTATACTGCGGCACGGAAAAGAGATGCTGCCTATGGTCTAATCGATGGAATAACAAGGCGTTGAAAGAGCTTGAATTGCCTGGCACGATTACGTGTACGAACTGGCCCTGCTACTCGCCGTACAACTGAATGATAACTGCAGACACGGAAATATGTAAATCGCAAGTGCATGTTCTACAACCTGTTTGGCATTCCATTGGCGGGACGGCTTGAGCATCTAGACAGAACATCAAGGCTGGCAGCTGCACACTGCTTATTACCAATCGCATGACGAAGGAATTGCGATTCTCTCCGGTGCTCCAACTGAATCGGGGGGACAACTCTTAAAGCATGATTACAGAACCATTCAAACTTATTGTCAATCAATCCCTTGCAATACTTACTACTTCGACTTCGTTACGCGGCTCAGTTGAATGAACACCCCTGAACGCTAACACGGCACGGTGTCATCAGCCCACACCCAATAAACAGTTCTAGGCAGGGGCTACTTAGCAGTAATAAAGCCGGCACTGCTCAACGATGGTCAAATATCCTCGCCACGCACGCACCAACTTGGTACGGACCGATCATGATTTCGGTCCGGCCCCATCACAGTAACCATGCCACGCCATAGAGCATAATGCTAGACAAATAAGAACCGACTTCGGGACATTGACAGCTAGCTGTCGCAGAACCAAGGGTCACATGGAACAAGGGCACAGGTAGTCGCTGTAGAAACACGTTAGCGGCACGGTTCGTAGGTTAAGAGGTGGTGGATACTTCAATTCGGCATGCTTCTGGGGTGCTGCAGTTACGGTGGCGAGGACGGAGCAATCCAGTTTGTTGACACGGTGTAAGAGTTGGTTGGGCCGTTGGCGGTTAGGTGGTTAGACCCCATGATGACAGGTGCGACGCCATGACGTGTTGGCCAGGCCGCACAAGCTACGCTAGCCGTCAGTGGACCTTCCTCTTTAGCTTCCGGTATATCGGGGGACCGTCCTGTTTTAGCTACCGGTATGGTGGTCCCGCCGCTGGCCTTGTGTTCCCTAAAAGAGAGGATTGCTGCCTTTACTGGGATCGCTGGGGCGGCAGGAGAGCAGGAGGTGTCGGAAGGCGTGGCTGCTGTCCTGTGCCTGCATGCGCAGTCGTGGGATGACACGGTTGATTCGTTGCTATGCAGGCCATGTTTACATGAAACGAACTACGTCAAATGCTGAAGTACAGTATGCGGACCGCGTATATCTACAGGTAGGGTTACCAAGGAGCCGGTGCGCAAGTAGTGTTGGTGATGATGGACTGGGTCTAGTGATGTGGCCACTCGCACCTTACCTGCAGCAGCGGTAATAGGGCCGACAGGTCGTCATGCGCAAGCAGCTGGTGATGATGGTGAGGGGCATCGCCTCGGGCCTGCAGGAAGAAAGGAGAGTCGAGGCAATAGCAGTGCTTGACATCGCACGGTTGGCAGGAATAGGTAGTCCCGCCGACTGCGTGCGTGTCATCAACTCAAATTCACCCCTGCAACCTGCTTCTAAGCCGGTACGGCAGCACGCTACTGTAAGGGGCGACTGATAGTGCAAAGCTACGACAGCTGCCAAGCTTCCAGCAGTAGCCCTCCTGTCCTAGCTGGCTAGATGCCGTACCTACCTGCAACAGCAACGTGGAAGCAGTTTCCGCGGAGGTGATGTCGCCCATCTCCAGCCAGGCGTGCAGCAGCCCCTCCGCCACCCCGATCCGTGGGCGCAGCACCGATAGCCCGCCCGCAAGCATCCCTGGTGTATGCATGCATGCATGCATAGGGCCGCC